GTACTTGCTCCTGAAAAAAAACATGGTCTGTCCGAGCAGACCAGCGAGTCACGGCACCAAAGTGATGTGGCCCAATTTGCAGCTGCAGAAAGCACAAGTTCGGTGAGTGTGGCACTGCCGCCTATCACGAAAATTTCTAAGTCGCGAATAATGTGGCACCAATGTGGCGGAACCGATATTCAACCCCCCAATACAACAGCATGAGAGTCATTCGAAATTTTTCTTTAGATTAATGCAGGGAAATCAGGTTCATTATTTAATGTACTTTTCACCGCTGGTTGAATTCACTGGGATCTAAATTTCTGAGCCCTGTAGAGTAGTGTGGCACCAGCTAAGAACCGGCCACAAGTACCATAAAAACATGACACCTGGTTCTTGATGGCCAATGTAATGGTTTTGAGTGCTGTGTGCACTATAGTAATCTGTAACACATGTAAAACTACTATAATAGCAAAGAAAGTACAATGGAATGGGGGAAGGGAGAGATGTGGCGGACCCGCCGGGAGTAGCCCCGTGTGAAATAGTATCGAAAGCGGTGATCCAGGGCAGCAGCTGTAGGAATCAGAGAGATAAACAAAGACAAACAAACATCCGTTGTTTTCCACTAGTGCGGAGTCTGAAAATGGTTTGAGTGGGTGGAGGCGCATTATAATGAGCAAAACCGCCCGGAAGACGTCCCAAGAGCTCATTATAATGAGGGAGGGGCACGCAAATGCCGCGGCTCTTTACAATGAGCCCAGACGGAAATGGTGTGCCTCATTATAATGCTCACTACAAGGACGCCTGATGGTGTCCGAAGAGATTGTACGCGCGGGTCAATGGGTGGAACCCTGCAATAACAATCAACCTCATGTGCAACAACGACTGTAAACTGATCACGAACGGACACGACACCAAGAATCTCACCACTCACCCAGCTGCCCCGTTGCTAGACTGACGGTAAACTCAGGCAAACGAGATGGTGACGATTGGAGGCGACAGTAGCGGCAAGCTATATGGAAAGTCTCAAGTCGACGATTACCGCTGCCGAGGTCACGCGCTCCAAGAAAGCAACCTGGTCCAGTTCATTGCCGACACGTACGAAGATCAACCAGATCCAGCAACACAGAGCCCGCCAGTCGAAGCACATTCAGTGGAATCGGGAGCGAGCGGATCAGGACGACCTCGCAATGAACGTATTCGTTATCAGAATGGCCATCCCAGGCACGACAAGATCGTGCGAGTCGTTCGCAGCATGGGCCACAATAACCTGGCCAATTTCATTGGCGGCCACACAATCCCTCGAAGCGACGACCCGGAGATCTACGACTACTACTGTGCATCGATACTTGTTCTCCTCAAACCATGGCGAGACTTAGCGAGGGATCTCAAGCAACCGAACGAGACATGGGCAGACGCATTCGCGGCATTCAAGACGAATACAGATACTCATACCCGTCGTATGATCGACGGATTCCAGTACTATCATGAGTGCGAATCAGCGGCCAAGGAGCGGCGTGCGGAACGTCAAAAGCGTACGGGCCAAAATCAAAGCACAGACGATTTCGCCATGGACGAAGACAGTCCGGTCATCGCGGAGGAGCAACAGCTTACACCCAAGCTCCTCGATGAACTACGCTCGGAAGAGAGATCACCGCGAGAGCAGCAGCATGCCAGATTAGCTGTCCTGCAAGCGTTCCAGGCGGGTGTGTTCAAGGATGCTCACGACACGTACAGCGGGGACACTTGTCTCCCTCGTGAACGCCAGCCAAGCAGTACGCAAGGCATCACACACTCATCCCCCTCGACACAGGATCAGTTATCCCGATGGCGAGAACAGATGCAGGATGACATCAGCCGCCAAGCCCTCGAATCTCTGTATACACAGGATCCAGAAGATGGTGGGGGCGACGTACAACTGCACGATGAAGACGACCGGCCATCTGTGCATATGCGGGAAGTCGAAATGTCCGAGGAGGCACTGACCCCCGCATCAGTTGCCGAGTTGAAAGTGGATCAGCGTCGTGCGTACGACATTGTTTCATGGCATTTGGACCAGAGCCTCGCAGGGAAGGATCCGCCGCCACTGCGCATGATTATCTCGGGGGAGGGTGGCACAGGCAAATCCAAAGTCATCCAGACCATCACGAACCGGTTCCAGGAGTCGAATGCGTCTCGCCTTCTCGTGAAAGGAGCGTATACCGGCATCGCAGCATCCCTTATCAATGGCAAAACCACACACATCATTGGCTCCATCTCTCAGAACAAAGGCCGCTTAAGTGACGAGGCGAAAGCCAAGCTGCAACGGTTTTTCCTCCACGTTCGCTATCTCATTATCGATGAGTACTCCATGATCGGGAAGACAGTCTTCGCCGCTCTGTCGCGAAACATTGGCATCGGAAAACAACAGGCGGGCGATCCGACGAGCGAAAGATCCTTTGGCGGCATCAGTGTTATTCTCTGTGGCGACCATCATCAGTTTCCACCTGTCATGGGAGGAGAGGAGGCGTTATACTGGCCGTCGAACACCTATGATAGCACGGAGTCTCAGCTAGGCCGAGCAATATTCGACGAGTTCAGAGAGGTGGTCATTCTGAGAGAACAGATGCGAGTCACCGACACAGTGTGGCGTGACTTCCTGCGGAACTTACGGTTCGGTCGAGTTCAACCAGAAGATATCACAATGCTCCGTGGACAACTCCTAGGTAGCGAGCACTGTGCGCCAACCGATTTCACCACGGCTCCATGGAAAGGCGCAGGTCTTGTCACTCCACGACATGCCGTCCGACTGAAATGGAACGACCACGCAGTCCAACAGCACTGTGCCGACTCGGGCTGCCGACGTTTCGTCATCCGTGCAGACGATACCGTGAAAGATCGGCGAGGGCGCAGGGACCTCACGCTGCGCGAGAAGGTCGACGTGCAGCGTAAACGGCTCAACGCCACCAGGGCCGATGGCAGGAACCAGCTCCCGGACTGCATAGACGTTGCAATCGGTATGAAAGTCATGGTCACCACCAATGTCGAAACGGACCTCGACATCACCAACGGCGCCAGGGGCACAGTAGTTGGCATCGTACTACACGAGGCGGAGCCGCCAATCGGCGACGGCGATGTTATCCACCTTCAACATCAACCGGCATATATTCTTGTGAAACTTGATCGCACCCGTGCTACACGTCTCGCTGGACTGGAGGACCAGGTCATACCCATCGAACCCATCGCGCGATCCTTTGACATCCGTATGAAGGTAAACGGGAAACTCACAACCAAGAGGGTACACCACCGCCAACTGCCCATGGCATCCGCATACGCGTTCACTGACTACCGAGCACAAGGACAAACCATTCCATATGTCCTCGTCGACCTCGCACAGCCACCATCGAACGGGTTGTCACTGTTCAACCTCTACGTAGCGTTATCCAGAAGCTCAGGTCGCGAGACGATCTGATTGCTGCGGGACTTCGACGACGATCAATTCTTGCAGGCGCACAAGCCGCCAATTTTGGAAGAGGATGATCGATTGGGAAGGATGGATGAATGCACTAGGTGCTGGTGGATGAAGATGAGCGCATGAAGATGAGCGCATGAATATACTGAGGAAGAGGCTGGTGGTGTGGAGAGAATGAGCCCGATAGAGGGCCACTGCAAGAGTATATCATGTCAGCGTAAAGTTCGTAAGCGAAAGAAAACCTCACCAAGAAGGGAGCGTGCAAAAGGGGAACACTTGGCAAGAAGAGTTCAGTACCAGGACCCATGACGTCGTGTGGTGGCATGAACGGCAGAATTGCAGCCCTTCGAGCAACGACACGACGTCATTGTGCTCGAACGTGAAAAAGCGCGGAGTGAAAGAAAAGAACGCACCGATGCTGATCATCATATGATCATGCAAAACAGGCAATAGATCGCGGACACAAAGCATGAAGGCATGGAATCTTGAGAGAATATGGGTTGGTCGCAAGAGCCGCAGCCCATTTCAAACAGCCCCGCAGCGGGTGTAGCAGTGACAAGGACGGCGGGAGGAGCCAGAAGAGGTATATATACAGGACGCTGGGAGGGACCGGTCGGCTCCGAGCACGCGCATGGAGAGGGAGAGCAAGTTTCAACAAATGGACGCGTCGATCACGTGACCGGACAAACGGCGAGGCAGCATGTCATCCCCAAAGAATTTCCCAACAAATAAATTTCGTTCCTCCACACTAAATATCACGGACAGACATTAAGGATATGACAAACAGAAACAGAGCACAGTCGCAAAATTGAAGGAAGTGAACGAGAGGTTAATATTCACAGAAGTTTACGAAGATTTATGTCAACGAGCGCCAAATATAGAACGCAATCTTATCGATATGCTCCTTCATCTTATCGCACATATTTGTATGTGTTTGTTCCGTTGTAGATTTCCAGGCACACTTACGGGGGTTGGATGGACCTTCAACAAGAGGCGTGCGGAATTGCAATCGCGCACACAGCTCGGGGTTCGGCTAAAGTTCCAAATCTTCCGAAATGAATTGGAAATGAGAGCGGTGCCCTGGGGTCCTTCTCTGGGGATTAGGTGGCACCGTGGCGCTCACTTCGCCTCTCACTACGTCTACGCTCGAAGTGCGAAGTTTGCAGTGTGAACGGAATCTGATTCTGTGCGAGACTGTGCCGAGATTTGAGTATTTTATTCATGGGCAAGCTTATCTAACTCAAAGAGCACATAACAAGTCATGTAGATCAAAAAAAGCCTTCCCAATATGGCACTGTTATGGTATGCTACCACTATAAAGTGGAATGATGTATCTGCACCCAACGGAAGATGACTTATATTCTATATCAAACCTAAGCAAGAGATAATGAGTTCAATGATAGTACCGATCCGGAACATGACCTTTTCGCACCTTGTCCAGTGCGAAATCTTGGACGCCACATGATCTTCATTCATACCACGGTTCTCATAGTTAACAAGCCTATCAAAGGTGGTGAATCAAAGTACACGTTACAGAATAAGTAATGACACACATAGAAACTCGAAAGAGTGAACCCACCGAACATCCACCTACTAGCACATATTCTTCCCCTAGAAGGCTGATTTCCGATGGTGTTGATGACACGCTAGGACAGCCGGATTGGGATGGGCTATCCTCGAGTTCGTTTGCCAACGTCAGTTGGTCTTCAAGGGAGATAAAGGAGGTTGTTGGAGAGAGCTTTCGATGGCAGTAATTGTCACAGGTAGTGGTGATATGAGGAAGATCTTGTACGTCGACTGTACGACCAGCATCGAACAGTATCCTGCTACCTTCACGACGTCCAACGTCCCAGATCTCTCTCAGGTTGACATCCCGAACAAGGTACCGAGAGTAATTGAACCTGTGCCATCGCCCAGAGATGATTTGTGTCATGAGTTGGTAGATTGGTGGCGTTGGAGAGGCGATCCGGTCAAGCAAGCGATGAATCCGCCTAGACATCAAAATAGCTGCATACCCTGATTAGTCAATAACAGTAGATAGGTATCAACGATATAAAATACCCTCCAGTTGCAGCAGAAACGCTGTGTTACTGCCATCAGCGTAGCGTCGTGGCAATACATGAATCGTCCCTGCATCAGAGGTAAGAGAAATGCAACGAAATTGCGCCGCTCATGGGCAGTGATGTCAAGAATGCACTATAGGAGTAACTTACGAGAAATAAACCCACTGACTTGCTCAGCAGCATGCTGTAATGACTGAACAACAGATGCGGGACAGGGATGCGAGTCAGTCATCGCAGATTGATTAGCAGTTTCAGCAGAGGTTGTCCGAGTCGAGAGCAGCACAGTAGAGCGTGTCGTCACACAGGGAGGTCAAAATAGTAGATCCTCAAATATAAGCTGGGATCCCTGAGAGTTGTGCCTTTCCACGATGCAACATGAAGCACACCGTGCAAACAACCCTATGACCAGGGTTCAAGTTGACTTTGTGGCCGACTCGAGATCCGCAAAGTTGTTCTCAGTGGGTTCAGGGCTAGCACAGAGATCCGAAGAAGATACGAGTACCCTAAGCCCAGAGAAATCGCGTCAGCGATCAGATTCCTACGACTTCGAGAGCAAGAGGCATGGTCGTGCCAGAGTATACACCGAGAGTCAACCGAGAGTTATTCACGAACACCACTAAGTACGTTCTTTCGGATGTTGCCCATTTCGAACTCCGCTACTTCACTCCGATTACAGTGGCGTGCACGAGCCCTTGCGCCGCTTGTGTTTCTTTCTCGATGAGCTCCTTGCACGCTCTACCAGCATCTCAATATAACATAGCCCTTCGTCCCGAACTCATCTTAGAACGAGCTCGATACAGCTCTCTCTTGGGATGTGCATTTTGCGAGTTACTCGTGTAATGTCATCGATAAGAGACGACTCAGATAACATGTGGCCCGCACGCTGTATCGACGCTGTTTTAGCTGCATACCCAGGGTATTGGGTTGTTCAAGCGATGGGCAAGGGTATCTTGTCTCTCCGTTGGACTTACTCCAACAACGGAGTCTTGAATGACCAGAACCCTATGCCTCAGCGAGTATAAGAGGCAGACTTTTCGGTCAGTGTTCCGGCAGCACACCAACCACTCAACGCTACGTACATGCAGCTGTCCTTCTGCTCTCGATGATCTTGGCAATACTTTTACTTGGTGCTATGTTCCCCTTCGTAAATCTGGGAGGTTCTCGTGATAATTTCCGGACTCCAGTTCGTACAACCCGACCTCCTCAGACTCAAGCCGAGCCCGGCCCGTCTATAGGTAAGTGCCAGCACGCACATCCTGGAAACTAGGCTCTAATCCATATATTATAACTCTCAGCTCCACCGAACTTTCTCGATGGACCCGAGGAGTACGATGTCGCTTTCTTGGACCCAGAGAACGCGCCTCCCAGATTTGCATCGGCTCCCACCTACCCTCCGCCTCTCATCTCTACCCCCATTCCCACTTATCCATCAGTTACCTCATACATAAATTCTTCAGCATCAGCATTTGTCCATATGAACAGTGCTCCAGACCCACTCGCTCACCAGCCTCTGCAACCACCCGCCACGCAACGCGCAATTGAAAACACCAAAGCTTCTCTTTCGGTAGCCTATTCTGACGGCGCACTCTCAGCACGGCATAACGTAGCTACCACCAAGTGGGAGCTCCAATGTCCCGACTGCCATTCATGGATCTCAACCACCATCCCTTCCGACTTGACTTTGGGCGATACAGATGGCCACTTTTCGCCACTAGTTGCTCATCGTAAAGGGAAGGCCTATGCGATGAAATGGAAGTCTTTGGTAGCTCAGCTTGGTCAGGGAGAGAATCAGCCGCCGGAAAGAACGTCCAGCGCACCACCCGATCCAAATTCACCTATCAAACGAAGTGATAGGGTGTGGTCTAGCCAGAACGCTCGTGAATTTGATGAGGCGTATATAGGGTAAGCTTGTACATTCGTCTTATATTCTCTTTCTCTCATGATTCTCTGAGCTCTTCGCTGTCTTTGAGTATATGCTAATTCATCTATAAACTCCTCACTAGATATTCCGACAACGGCAATCGTCCTGGCTCAGCGCCACCCGACGTACCTGATGGACCTCTCCTTCAGCAGTGCCCCGGGATTTCTGTTCACTGGCCAGTCGAGCTCGACATCTATGACACTTTTCCTTGGTCACGTCTTGGCCCCACCGCCGGACAGGACCAGTTGCTGTTTTCCATCAATATCCAGGACAAAGGACGCTGGTTTCGTGCGCATTCGCATCGGTGTACTGAGACGGTGCCCGATGCAAATGTACCATGTCTCGAATGCCAGATCATAGCCCCTCGCGTCGCACGGGTCGTCTCAGCAGCACAGACAGGGGCCGTTCCAAACAAGACCATCTCATTCAGCCCTCAACAGCTCCGTGATCGACTGCGCGAAGGTAAAGAGCAGATAAATCAGTGGAAGTTGAAGGTATGTGCACTGATTGCCTTCAATACTGATGTTTCTGATCGTCGACGGTTGTTGACAGTCGCTCAATCTCACCCGTTCCATCGCCGCCGCTACACAAAGAGCCGTGGACTTCAAACGGTTCACCATGGCTCTCGCGGAGATGGATGCAGCAAAAGTTGGTGCCCTTGTTCAAACGGCTCTACGCCATGGCGCTAGCATCCCTGCCATCGTAACGCAGATCGAGCAGGCCATAAAGGGCACCTATAATCCTCGCTTTGTGTCCAAACGCACACTCGACATCTCTACATTGATATATCGCATCGGCGGTCGCTCTCTGCTGTACCAGATGAACCATGCACTAGGTCTCCCCTCTCTTCGAACTCTCCAGCATCACCTTTCGTTCATTTGTATCATGCCTACGGTCGGGAACATCACGCGCCACACAATCGACCATAATCTTCTGGAGGTTCTTGTGAAGCCATTGACGAGCATCGCCGGAGTCCTCCATCATCACGGTGCCTCACTTCTCATCGATGAAGTTGCCATCGAGGAGGCAGCTTGCCACTTCCGCCAATTCAATAAGGTCGGCGGCCTTTGTTGGAAGCATTCTGGCATGGTCGACCTCGTTCTGCATACCTATCACTCAGCGGTCAATATTGCGAAACAATTGGCCAAAGGCGAGCTCCATCTCGGAAAGGAGATGACCGTCGCCTCGATCTCTTTCTTCGGTTCTGGAGACTCACGAACATATCCCATACTTGCTGCGCCTACATGCAAGCAGGAAGATGCGTCGGATATGGCCTATATCTTCGAGACGCTCATCGCCGGTTATAACAAAGTCGCCGCTGCTCTGCTTGGGCCACTCTGGTCCGTTGCGACCGATGGTGATTCGACTCGGCGTAAAGCCGGGTACCATCTCTTTGTCAAGAAGCCCCTTTCTCCGTCCTCTCCGACATACACCACACTAGTGAAGGTTCTGGGCCTCAACCTTCTCACCGGCGAGGGAGATGTAACACTCGACTTCGATTGGAAGCACGTCTACAAATGTAGGCTTCGTAGTTCAATTTCCATTGTGCTCAGTTCGGTCACTGACGAGTTTCCCTCACTGTAGGTATCTGTACCTTGCTGCGTTCCGTGTCTGGCATTGTACTAGGGCCTGGACGCATCATCAATCCATCGTTTCTCTCGCGGTACTTAGTGCTCCTCGATGGTCAGGATGCCGACTCGGTACAGAAGCTTCTCTACCCTTCCGATCCACAGGACGTACCTCGTTCCATAGAGCTCATGCGTGCCATCGTCGACCTTCGCTCACTTCACCTGGATTCTGCAAACCCGAATATCATCGCGGACCTTGATGCTATACGACTACTTTCGGATCTCTGCGAGTCAATCCTGGAGGCGTATATCAACCCGCGGCTTTCACTTACAGAGCAGGTCAGATACCTGAGCAAGTTCGCTCATCTTTCCTTCGCCTTTTTCCGACTCTATCGCAACCACTACATGTCGAATCAGTTGTATGGCGATTCACAGTGCATGGTGAAGAATGCCATCTTCTGCATCGCAAAGCAGCAAGCACTCGACCCATCACAGCTATTCCATCTCTTCGAGCTGGGTGACGATCGCTTGGAGAAGTTGTTTGGCCGCGTTCGAATGCTCGGCGCTCATGACTCGGGTATGCGTTATAATCAGGGTGTCGACCGTCTTGGGCATGCTGTCGATATCGATGGAGCTCTGGCTCGTAATCCTGACCTCGACAGCGGACAGCGCCGTCTCAAAGTCACTCGCACAGAGGCGCTCGACCACATGAATGTCGCATCATGGGAGGGAGATGCTTCCGTGAGGAACATTTCACTTCCTGATGCTTGGGCCGCTGGTTGTCGTGCAGCAGAGGAGACCATCCGCCAGTCTTCGATGCCACAAGACTCCGCTAACCTCGAGGAGATCTTGAGTGGTGGCTTAATCGACCTACTCTGCCCATTCGGGACAGGACAGTTTCCTGGGGTAGACGATGACGAGCCCGATAGATCAATCCCTTCGGATACGATACAGCAGCCCTCCGACAGCACCCTTCCCCAAACTGATACTGGACACACCGCCGCTACATCGACTACCTCTGAATTATCCCCACACGACGACTCTACGAACCCGTCAAGTACCGCTATCGCTGGCTCTTCCACTCCGACTACGACCAACGCGAATGCCGATACCGATATGACTGATAGACTAGGTGTTTCTGGTATGTCTTGCTTTACTTCTCTATCGGCAGCTACTGATCGTGGTATGCATTCTTCAGAAGAAGACGAACCATGGGATGAATACACCATACCATCATGGCTCTTCGAAGACATCGAGTCCGCCGAGTTGGAAGTTTCACTTGAGGAAAGCTTGCCCGGCCTTGACGGCACTCATTCGCTTGAACTGGGGCCTGGGATTGCTCCGGACGACTGGTTACTCTGCAACGAGAAGCCCGTTCACAAGCAAACGATCTGCCGACTTGTGATCAATGCACATTTTATCCACAAGTCGAAGAATCTCCCGGAGCGTGTCCGACCTTTCACCAAACCCACCTGGCAGCCAAATCTGAATACATCCACTGAACTAATCGGGCCTGATACGTTCGTCCAGGGAGATCACTTTGCCACCCTCCTACGCAACGAACAAATCGTCTCCCTTGCCCTTGTACGATGTACAAAAATCACGCGAGGACAGACTCAGGAACCGTCTCTTCCAGTATATACCATCACAAATCCCGAAGCTGATGTGCGACTCGAAGGTCAGATATTGACCATGCACCGAGTACGTCCCATCGTGTTCCACAAGGAGACAACAACACTGACTCTGGATTATTGATGTCCACCTGTGCTTCACATATCACAGGCGACTTCTCTCTCTGTTGGCGCAGACATCATATCGACTCACTTTGACACGACTTCACATGCTCCTGGCTTCGCTCAAGCCTTTCAAGATTCACCATGGGTCTGGGTCTGGGACGGTGGATTTGTGATGGCAGACGCGAGGATGCGCGGCTCCCAGATCGTTACCGAGAAACCATGCATAATCTCCGTCGCTGGTTGTCTCTGTAACCCACAAATCGACTGTCGTTCTGTCGTTGCTTGTGAGCGGCTCGCTGAGGACGCTCTTGGGAAGGTGAACTCTGTGGGCACGACTTGGGAGTTTGATGAAGACTACCTGCTTTCGCTCAGCACAAACTTGTGGGAGACTCTGGTTGATAATAATGTTCGTGTCGATGCACTCCCGGTACTCCCTTCGTCAACTCGTGGAGGATTTCCTTATGCTTCTGAAGGTGTGGCACTCTCCCTGATCTATTTCGTTATTTTTGGTGTGTCGAGATTATGAAATTGATGTTCTTTCTTCTCGATAGGAGACGCGATTCTCGTGAACGATATTGCCACGAAGGTTTTCCGATCAGAGATGGGTGGCGGTGGGGATCGTAAGTGCGATCTTTGCGGAGACATCGTCTCTTTCGAGAAGGACCAGTGGAGAGGCCATATTGGGTGGCATATTCTTCGTGCGCTGTGTGGAGCTGCTGAGCCACGTCCTTTGACGTCTGCAGTAAGTTCTCCGCTGTGCTCTGCCACATGTAGCAATCATCCGCTCATCTGTCCATCCATGATACTACTTACTAGGTTGGTACACCAATGCCATGCGGCTCTTGTGGCCGCAGCGATAACCCGTTATGCCAGGAAATTACAATCTCCATTGCCAACAATACAACAAAAGTCACATCCAAATGCCCACTCTTCCGCACGATTCGGTCTTACGCTAACGCAAACAAGGGAACACTTGCGACACCTTGCCGGAACGTACCAATTCAATGCCCTCTTTGCGAAGAAACCAACACTCGCTCACGTGGCCGCAGTTATAAGGGATATTGGAGGTATAACATGGCTTCTCATCTTCGCATACATCACAGAGAATATGCTTTGCCTGGTGATCCCAACAATGGCGCTCGTCTTCCCTTGCCCGAGGATCTGTGGCGTTCGATGCAGATTGATCCAAAGGAGTATGCCAGCTGTGGTATTGATCCGCCTCTGATTCCCTCTCACTTTGAGTTTGTTAAGGCTGATAATCGATCCACTACTATACCTCCCTCTACTCCGACTGGTGGTAAACGCTCCCGTGCTTTCACGAATACTATGGTAGACCTTCCTGCTCGTAAACAACCTCGCCATAACTAGTGGTACCGTACATCTTTGGATTTCTCACATGGTCATTTATGGACTCTGGTGCTGTATACCTCTATCTTGCTACTCATTTTTTGCAATATTAGTCGCCAGCACTCACATGGAGCTTTTTCGAACGACCTCCCTCTGAGCCACAATATCCTCCAATCTGCGCCACAGTACAGTGTGATTATCTAATGGATTCATGGGAGGACCCCGGGTGCATAACGTTAAACCTCCTCCCCACCCACCCCCTCTAAGCGAGAGCTAGCCGGACTCGAACTTGTGTGCGCGATTGCAATTCCGCCCGCCTCTTGACCTTCAAGCAAGGTATTCGGGAACATGTGCGGCCACAAAACTTGCCGCTGGCCCAACGATGGTAGACCAATGGCAAGAAGAAATGGTCCACAGCAATGGTGATATTGACATTGGCTTTGTGTGGGACCATAGGCTAAATATTCGAGTTGAAGGGGTCATCAACGTCCAATGGTCGATATTTGTGCGTGAGCACGGGTAACTGCTAGTACTCCTGACTGCTGAGCAACCCTGCCAAGATTGGAACCATAAATGTCACGACGCTTTGCCATATTAAGAATACAGTAGTGGTGCGAGATGGAAAGAAAAAATGAGGGATTGTACGTTCTGCGAGATAATATTATACAGTATGATATCATGCGATACAAAATGCGACGGGACGGGACGAACGAGATGCGACGAGATACGGTACGAGACAAAATACGACGAGACGGGACGAACGAGATGCGACGAAATACGGTGCGAGACAAAATGCGACGAGGCGGGACAACTTTCTCTAGTTGAATCACTATGAAATTACCACAACAACTATCATATTCCTGCACCAGCTGTGTCGAGCCACCTCGTGACTTTCGCATCGGGAGGCTCACCACGCTTGCCTAGTCCTGCATTATACAAGCGCGTAAGCACTGAATACATGACGTCGAACTTGTCGGTGCCATCGACAACTGTGTCATCCGAGCGCACAGATCTATGGTCATCTCCATCATTCCTTCGCCTCGATGCACGATCTTCGGCGGTGGTAGAGTACTCCGGTCTGGATTGGCACATGTTCAGGTGTTCGATAGGCTTAGGTCGAGGAAGATGTTCTGGGAATATACGAAGCGCGCTGTCGACTCCAACGCCCCATTGTCGTAATGCAGCAGCTCCGTAGGCACAATCGAGAAGAAAGGCGGACGGCTTTTGCATTCTATGGTTCGCAAACGCGGCATCCGTGTTATCACGCATCTCAAAGAGGTGCACGTCCGATGGGTTTATGAGCCATTGCGCAGTGAATCGCTGGTAACCGGCTCCGGAGGGTTTGGGGAGTGTCTGGGGAGGGAACAGGGCCCGTTGATCGGATTTTGGTATATCTTCTACGGTGAGGATGTGATTGGGAGTCTAAGAGGCACAATTTAGACCCAAACTTGGGGGATGATGCAGGCAAATAATCTTACGTGCATGATAGCCCACGAGCCGTCATCGTAGAGACCATGCGGGGCACACAAAAAACCGTTCCTTTTATCGTCGATGTCCCTCAGCGTAGCGATGGGATCGTCGACCTCGTGACCCGGTTCATCGCAACTGTACGAAGGGGACTCCGACTGCAGGCGTGATCGAATGAGCTTTTGAAGCCACTGAGATGACCACCTGTGGTTAAGCATTGGTTTGTGCTGGCATGACGGATAGAAAACGCACCTCACTGCCTCTTTGGAAAGGTACAATGTGGGCGGCCTCGAAGGAAAGGAATCCTGTGAAGATGCAGCGCCCGTCGCGCTCACGAAGCTTGTCACTGAAATTCCGCTTCCGAGATTCGGTGGTTGCGGAGCCTTCTCCCTGCCTACCCAGGGTGGTAGGGTCGAACGTTCTGGCGTCCCCAACTGAATATCAAGGGAAATGGTCAGTTGACTGGACTGTGGGCGAGAAAGGCGAATGCTCACATGAGGAGGGTGGTCTCGGTACGAAGATGTACTCAGCCGCCGGGAGCAACGAGTCGAGTGGAAAATCATCGGGAAGATCCTCAGATGTGTCCGCGAGTTGGATAGTGCCAGGAAGCATCAAAATGGCCCAAGCGAGGAACCTAAGATACTTGACGGGGTGGAGGCATAGGGCGTCGAGCCTTGATTTTGGAATCGTGAGAACGACGGGGTCTTCTATGATCGTCTCTACAACAGGCTGTCCGCCGTCGAGAGGCTGAGACATAAGGCGGGCCCCTTTGAGGACCACAACAAATGTGATGGTAAGATCCGACGACATTTTTGAGTGGACGAGGGCGAAAGGAAGGAGAAGGCAACCTGAGAAACGGAAAAAAGACGCTCTGGTAACAGTGTGACGTGACGTGACGATCTGTGACAACGCGCGGAGAGGGCCGATGTTCAGCCGTTCAACAACGACGATGGATCTGTGCCCCGGAGAAATTGGTGTACGGTAGACATGGTCTATGGCATCTCAGAATGATTTATTGACACAGATCGGGGACGATCCCACAGCGCAAGAGACGATTCATGTTTAAATCACAATTAGCGAAGTGGTATTCCTTAAATCGTCTTTTTTCCTGCGCATGTGGTCGCTCCAGGATTTTTGTGTAGCCTCTCTGGAGCAAGTTCAATGAGTTGCAAAAAGATTGAGGAGACTCGAGCATGTATTGGTTGCTCTACGAGCTGATACCGAACACTGCTAAAATACCGAACACCCCAGGAATGATAGTACCACATCGAATTACCACGTCTCCAACTTCGAACGCAATGGACAGTGTCCTCGTGGCTGCGCATTCGTCAACTGGGTTTCACTTTCAAACCTTGTCGAGCCCGCTGCTACAGTGATGGATGGTTCAAGTATAGTCCTCGCGAGAATTTTGCTGCTCTGCACCCGTTCTGCGTCTGAGCAGCGCTTTCCTCGAGCTCATTCGTCCCTTGTTCGGCAACAGTACCGCCCCATCGGGACATGCACAAGTGTTCCAAGTTCACCGTTCGTATAACGACACCGACCCGAGTGCATGGTTGATCCGACTTTAGTGATCAGTCGTTCAGTCAAAGCCGCAAAATAGTTTTATCATTTATGTCCTAAATGCATTAACAATTCGTTACGAGTCGTCTGATCACGGGCCTGGCATCCTTCGCGCCTCATCCTCATCTCATTACCCACAGTTTGGCCCATGACTCCTTTAGTCAAGGGAGTACTCGGCGTCTGGGTTGATACCGATGGCTGAATCATAAGGGTCAAGAATCAGCTCAGGGCGATATGGCACAGTAAATGAGGAGAACGCACTGATGTAAGCAGTGACACCAGCGGGCCAGTCATCCTGGATGTCCTCGATACTGATATAGTGCAGGACTGTTAGTGGCAGAACTACATTTCAGTCATCGGTGAGACTTACTCAAGAACGGGGTAGTAGGCGTTCGTGCTAGCCTGAATGAAGTTCGGGTCGTTGTTGTTCAGAGTCCTGTGACGATAAGAGCAGATCAGTCGAAGAAGTATGGTATGAGATACGAGCGAACTGTATACCTAGTGTTCGTGTTCCCGTTGTATGGAGCGATCCCGGAGTCAATGGAGACGACCTCGGTCCACTTGTCCGTGAAGAAGAGCTGGCCGACGTGAGCCACGGTCGAGACACCTATCGTAAGTCAAGGCTGTATTACTCCGTGCAGTCCTGGTAGATGATCCATTTATTCTGTGGATATATACCTTCGGGAGAGGTGACGCCTGGACGGTGAACGATCACGTTGACGTGGTTGGCACCATCGGAGGTGAATCCCGGGAAGATGGTCTGAATCTCGGCGATGCCGTTCTGGTCGGTGAGTTGAGCACCACGAAGGGAGTTGCTCTCGTAGTCGCCGACAGCGTTGGCTACATAGTGAGGCGAAGTACGCTAAGCAACCTCTCAGAATGACGAAGGTCGGTGAGACAGTACTTACGGGACCAAATCTCGACAAGGACATCGGTCATGGCTTGACAAGTTGTGGTGTCCATGATACCGACATCGACAAACATGGGCACGCCTCCGTTGCTTCCGACAACATCATCGGTAACAGGCTGGACGAAAGAAGGGCGTGCTTGAGCGAAGGCGTCAGATAAGGAGGACTGGGATGAACTCACGGCATTAGGGAGCCAAGTGCTATCTGTGAATTGAAAGCGACATGAGCTTCAAATAGGAGACGAAGACCACAAGATCTGACCTTTGGCCACCTCAGGTGCTGTAAGGCAGGTGTTCTGCAGAGGCGATCAGATGATGACTGGGACTGAATAGAGAGATAACCCAGGGACATTTTTGAGGTAGTTGTAGTAGGCACGCTTGGTGGGACCCGCTATTCAAACGACGTCTCAGGCTATGCCTCGAGGGAAATAAATTGAAGAATACACACCAGCGGCCATGCCGATCATGGAGAGAAAAAAGAGCTTATTCTGCATGTTGAGGAATGAGGCGAAGAAGTTGCTCCAGTACAGGCTATGGCTCAACAACATCCCCTTCTCCCCCTTTTATAACTGTCAAAATACTGTCAAGCCAGCCTAATTCTTTCTTAGAACACCAATGAAACGCTTCCAGCAGCTAGATGCATAAGGGCGGATATTTTGCGGATGCATCGAGCAGAATTTGCTGGACGGCAAATGCAAGTCAAGACGTAACGCCAACCACAAGGCCGAACAACTCAGAGAAAATTCTGCCCAAAGGAGTCAATTAACGAGGTCGGCATCTCGTATTAGCGCGCATAGAGCTCCTAAGCACTCCTTAGAACGGAGCTCGCATCGATGATCATGAGCTGACATACCGTTCGGAGAAAGCACGAGATGGATGAGAAGGGCAGATGCAGATGTGGACGGGGTTCGGCGGTGAAAAACGGAAGGTATATCCGATGGTTGCGGAGGACTGTGTAGATCTCATTGCCTACATAGGAAATAATCAAGGCTGGGCTCGTCTCGAGTACTCCGATCTGCACATGAGCATAGCAACTGAAGACTGTCAAGAGACCATGAGGTAGTCTATCTTCGTACACCTTCAAACCTTGTTAATTGTCTGAGACTCCCAAATGATGATAAAGTCAGAGATCTGAGTGTTTCGTACCATTCGAGAAGTATGAAGTCGACCTACGCCGTTCATACAGCAGGTGGAGCTACTCTAGAGCCCGAAGTTGGCCCAGATCATGATACGTCGAGAGGTCTGGTCTGTGAGGTTCGCTTTGTCTTACGGTGGAAGAGTAGTATCATCACTCAATCCTATTGTTGAGGTTGGGAGAGCCAATTTATATGCTACCGAGGGTGATATTGACATAGCAGCTGGAAGACCTTCATCTCAAGAGGATGAGCAAAATTGTATCAAAAACAAGTAGTACTGCCAGGGTGATCAGCCTTCCTTGCAAAGCGTTGAACACCACAATGCAAAGAAACACAAAGGGATATGAGCACTGTACCAAGCTTAAGAATCGCGGACGATACTGAATTCGAGAGAAAGAGAAAGCATTTCGAGCCACACGCTTTCGCCGTTGTGTTGTTCGAAGCAACCAAGCTTCGGAGACCGGAAAAAGTTGTGTGAGCGGCAACTGCCGTAAGCAGACATGGTTGTGGCGGTGGCGCTCTCTTGTTCTCGGCAAACTCCGCTGAGCCAGACGGACGAGATTTTCTGTTCCTCCACCGCATTCAGTTCACGACTTACGAGGCAGCAAGAGGAAGACGACGAAAGGACTTACATTCTCTTTGTTCCTATCATCGAACGGTACGTTTACTTATGTTCTGTATCTGACATCGACTCTATCGTTGATACTTAAGTTTATCACTGGTTTCGGCAGGGTATCGAAAGCACACTCTTCGTCACCTCTAAAAAGCACTCTACAACTATATAATAGACGTTGTGTGCCATGAACGCCTCCTGGTTCCAACGTGATCCCTTGACGCTAAACATACATCGACAAGTCTTAGCTTTGGTCGCTTTTCTACCTCTAGAATCCCCCTACCGTCCCCTGCTTCAATCGTGTTCCTCTAACCTCGACGCTTTAAACTGCCTCTCGCGACTTCTGCTTGTCCCATCTCTTTCCCTAGCCGTCGCCTCCAAATTTCGACCCATCCTTCTCGACCTGACCGCGCGCTGGTTACATGACGATAACTATCTCGAAGACAAATTTGTGGCGCTCTGCCTCTTGGTTCAGCCCCACGAAGAACTGTTTCCGTACGTAAATTTAAAGGCCATTCGGTCCTTCTGAGCTGACAAGTTCGATAGTGTTCTGTCCGAATATCTCAATCGATTCGTCTCGCAAGACGGTCCGTTAAAATCGTTGTTGGCGGTGCCGTCATCGGAACCTATCAATGTCTCTCGACTGCACCGAGTTCTCCTCGCATACTATCGACTACTCCAGACCAACCGCGAACTTCCCCACCATCGTCATTGGTCACTTGAACCACTTTCTCACCTCATCTCGCCTCCTCATCCTGATTCCGGAGCTCGCTACCTGGCGGTTCGGTGCTATGCCATCCAAAGCGGTATGGGCGAAGCTGACAGGGAAAAATTAGAGAAAGAGGTTATTGGCTCTGAAGAGTTGGTGGATTGTCCGGTGCTATATGAGGAGCAGTTAGACGGAACAACGCGTAATATGGACGGCTGGATTCTTCCCATCATGGAAGCGAAACGTATTGGTGAAGCTCGAATAGCGATAGACTCTGATGCAGACAGCTTCTATGGCGACAACAAAAACTCTCCCATTCAGTCCTCGGACCTGAGGTACGCTTTTTCCATAAACGTTCTTGCAGTTGGGGACTAATAATCCCTCCTCTAAGCCCGTACATCGCCAATGTGCATGGCGTGCTCATGTTCCGCAAAAGTATTGTATCATCGACTTCCGAGTCTCCCCTAATCATCCCTACCCCTACCACTGTCGATGCTCTGAGAAACATAACACTTCGTCTTTCTTTACGACTCCCCACTCTCCTGACTTCGGCACCTTCAGCTGGCAAATCACTCTTATTGTCCCACCTCGCATCTCTTCTCCACCCAGGCATCAAAAATCAGATCATTACCATCCCACTCGCCGACACGTCATTGGATCCCCGTTCTCTCCTCGGATCGTATGTATCTTCCTCGACTTCCCCGGGCACCTTCGAATGGAAAGAGGGCATCCTTGTTCGTGCTATGAGGGAGGGACGCTGGGTCGTATTTGCCGACATTGACAGAGGGAGCAACGAAGTGTTGGGGACCATCAAACCTCTCGTTGAATCGCTGGATGATCAGTGGATCGGTGGACGGGCACGAATGGACGTTCCCAGTCGCGGTATGGTCGTTGCGGCGGAAGGTTTCGCTATCTTCGCTACTCGGTCATTGGCCACAGCCGGAAACAGCACCTTCCCGAAACCCTCGTTCTTCGGAGCGCACAAGCTGCATGAAGTCATCGTCCCGCTACCTACCTCAGACGAACTCTACACTATCCTGGACGCCAAGTTTCCGAGACTCGCGGGTGGTGCTACTAGAGGCTTCATCGGCATGTGGTCCAATATCAACGCCCTCGGGGGTTCGGGCGTTGGTCTTCGTGATCTCGAAAAATACTGCACTCGCGTCGCGCACTTACTTCCCGCTTCTCATCATTCCATGAACCTCGATGTCGATCACGCTGCCAGCACGAGCTTCCCAGAACTATCAGCTATCTTTCCGAACCCGACCGTACGCGAGGAGATGTATGTTGAGGCGCGAGACGTCTTTTTCGGAGCAGGAACGACTACAGCCGCGGCCCGCGCTCATGCAGATGCTGTCGCCGCCTTGATCGCTGAGCACCTCGGCCTGTCTGCGGAACAGCGGGATTGGGTGTTGAGCAAGCGTCCACCAGAGTTTGAGGTGGAGAAGGACGTGAATGGGAGGACGACGGGGATCAGAGTAGGGAGGGTTAGGCTTGTAGCGAGGAAGCTGAAGGCGGAGATTGCCCAGCCTACTACACGGCCTTTCGCGATGCACCGTCCGGCAGTCATGCTCATGTCACGCATCGCGACCGCCGTCTCCTTGGGCGAGCCCGTACTTTTGACTGGAGAGACTGGTACGGGAAAAACGAGCGTTGTCACTCATATGGCCTCTCTGCTCCGCCGTCCTCTCATCTCGCTGAACTTGTCGCAACAGACCGAGTCTTCCGATTTGCTTGGCGGGTTCAAGCCTGTGGACGCGCGCATCCCGGGATCAGAGTTGCAGGGGAGGTTTTTGGATTTGTTTAGGGCGACGTTCAGCGCTAAAAAGAACGCGAAGTTTGAGGAGGGTGTGAGGAAGGCGGTGCAGGAAGGGAAGTGGAAGAGGGCAGTAGGGTTGTGGGTGGAGAGTGCTAGGATGGCGAAGGACAGGATTCAGGCCAAGTTGAGCGAGGAAGGGTCAGTGCTTTCTTGTGTCTCAGTCATTCGTTTTCTCGTTTTGATTATTCCGTCCTCAGACTTGAGGCCAGAAAGGACGAGTTGGACTCAGATCTACCGCGGAAACGTCGGAAGACGGAGCTCGCTGCTCTGGCGACATCAGAGACCAAATGGGTCGCTTTTGAGCAAGCGGTCGAGCAGTTTAGAATACAGCATGTACAAGGAAAGGGCAAGTTCGCATTTAGCTTCGTGGAAGGACCATTGGTAAAGGCTTTGCGCTCCGGAGATTGGTGAGTCTGGTGATGTCTTTCTTCATCGCAACTTCTTACTTACAACTATTATCACCTTCTAGGATACTCCTCGACGAAATCAATCTCGCAAGCCCCGAGACACTGGAAGCCGTGTCGGGCGTTCTTCACGGACCAACCGCATCTATCACTTTGACCGAACAAGGTTCCCTAGAACCCGTCCCTCGTCATCCCGATTTCCGTCTGTTCGCCTGTATGAATCCCGCCACCGACGTTGGCAAGAAGGACCTTCCTCCAAACATTCGTTCGCGCTTCACCGAGATCGACGTTCCCCCTCCCGATGCCGACCCAGAGACCTTGCTCAGCATCGTCACACAATACTTCGGTGCTTCTGCTGTCGGTGACAAGGCGGCTATCATGGACGTCGCTGAGTTCTATACAACAGTCAAAAAGTTATCGAATGCGAGGCAGCTCGCTGACGGTTCCAATCATAAACCACACTTCAGCATGCGGACGTTAGCTCGAGCACTCACCTTCGCGTCGGATATCGCCGGTACTTACAGTCCTCGAAGGGCGTTGTGGGAGGGGTGTTTGATGGCATTCACAATGGTCCTCGATGCACCGAGCGCGGAGATCGTTACCGCACTGGCACGCAAGCATATTCTCGCCGGCGTGCGTAACCCGAATTCGTTGCTTGCGCGAGAGCCTTCGGTGCCGCATGGTCGTTCGGCGGAGGAATTCGTCAAATTAGGGCCATTCTATCTCGAGCGAGGTCCTTTTCCTTACGATGCCGTGGATGATTATATCATGACGCCGTCGGTCGAGAAGAAGCTCGTTGATCTCGCCAGGATCATCCTCACACGGCGCTTCCCAGTCCTCATCGAAGGTCCGACTTCCAGTGGAAAGACTAGTTCTATCGAATACCTAGCCAAGCGAACCGGTCATCGTTTTGTCCGCATCAACAACCACGAGCATACCGACATCCAGGAATATTTGGGAACCTACGTCTCAGACCCCGTCACTGGGAAACTGGTATTCAAGGATGGCCTGCTCGTTCAAGCCATACGACGCGGCGACTGGATCGTTCTTGACGAACTGAACTTGGCGCCAACAGACGTCCTCGAGGCCCTCAATCGTCTACTTGACGACAATCGCGAACTCATCATCCCCGAAACGCAGGAGGTCGTACGGCCACATCCTCATTTCATGCTGTTCGCCACTCAGAATCCTCCTGGTCTCTACGCCGGACGCAAGGTCCTCTCCCGAGCCTTCCGAAACCGATTCCTTGAGGTCCACTTCGAGGATGTACCACAGGCCGAGTTGGAGACTATTCTCTGTCAACGATGTCGCATTGCTCCGTCGTACGGTCAGCGTATCGTCAGCGTCTTCCAGGAGCTACAGAAGCGCAGACAGTCGAGCCGTGTCTTCGAGAGTAAGCAGGGTTTCGCGACCTTGCGAGATCTATTCCGTTGGGCTGGTCGTGACGCGGTCGGTTATCAGGAGTTGGCGGAGAACGGATACATGCTCTTGGCTGAACGAGCTCGCCGTGAAGATGACAAGGTCGTGGTGAAGGAGGTGATTGAGTCCGTCATGAGGGTTCGCATCGACGAGGCCGCGCTCTACGACTTCCATCGCCCTGAGACCGACATCGCAGCCATCCTGGGCTTCCCTCTACCTTCGGCACCTGCGCTCGTCTGGACCAAAGCTATGCAACGTCTTTTCGTCCTCGTCGCTCGTGCTCTCAAGTATAACGAGCCCGTGCTGCTCGTGGGAGAGACTGGTTCCGGAAAGACCTCTGTTTGTCAGGTGTATGCAGACACGCTGAACAAACGTCTCTTCCCAGTCAACTGTCATCAGAATACTGAAACCGCGGACATCATTGGAGGACTCCGGCCCGTACGGAACCGGGCGACTTTGGAGGCTGAAGCGGTCCAGGATGCGGTTTCGATGCTCAGGAATCACGGTATAACAGAAGTGGACGAAGACGTCCATAGCATCCTTTCTTCGCTAGATTCTCTCAGCAAGTTGTCTGGGATGGAAACGGAAGAGATGCTGGCCATCAAGCGCAAGCTGCAGGGTTTATGGGCTATTTTCGAGTGGCGAGATGGGCCCTTGGTGGAGGCTATGCGGAGCGGAGACGTCTTCCTCCTCGATGAGATATCATTAGCCGACGATTCCGTCCTCGAACGACTGAACAGTGTCCTGGAACCGGCACGGACAGTCGTGCTGGCCGAACGAGGGGGAGACGATGCAGATGGGTCCTTTGTCGCCGCGGACGAGGGCTTCAAGCTTGTGGCCACGATGAATCCTGGAGGTGACTATGGAAAGAAGGAGCTCTCACCCGCTCTGCGGAATCGATTCACAGAGATCTGGGTTCCCTCTGTGGACAACCGCGACGATCTAGTACAGATCGTCGACCTTTCATGGAAGCACCAGGATCTCAAGCCTTTTACGCATCCTTTGTTGGACTTCTGCGCCTGGCTGAGTGACCGGGTCTCCGAGAAAGCCCTCCTTGGTCTGCGAGATATTTTGGTGCGTTTGACTTCAAGGATCATAGACTGTCGTTTTTCTCACATCCCTTTCTAGGCATGGGTCGCGTTCTCCAACTCTGTACTCAGTCTGCACGGTGTTGAGAAAATGCCTCTCAACGAACTCTTTGTATGTCTTTTTCCATGACTTCCTTGCCCGCCAGTTCTGATCCCTGTAATTTGTTAGCATCACGCTGCTCGTATGACATGCCTCGACGGTCTTGCGTCGCTGCCATCGCTTGCTGCATATTCTTCGACCGCTCTAGCGACTGTCAAAGCTGAAGCTATCGCAAAGCTCAATGAACTATCCCCGATCTCTTCTAACGTCGACTTTCCTGCGTCCATACACGACACGACTAGCTTTGTTCAGTTTGGCGCCTTCGCCATTTCTCGTGGACCTCGCGAAGCTGTTCAGCATTTGTACAATCTTCAGGCACCAACAACTCAAGACAACGCGTTACGTGTGGTGAGGGCATGCCAGGTTCCCAAACCCATTCTACTCGAAGGTAGTCCTGGAGTGGGTAAAACCAGTCTCATCACAGCTCTCGCCAACATCTGCGGCTATCACCTTTGTCGTGTCAATTTATCTGATCAGACCGATCTGGCCGACCTGTTTGGATCCGATCTACCGGTCGAGGGCGGTGGTCCGGGCGAATTTGCGTGGAAGGACGCCGAGTTTTTGCGAGCACTGCAGGAGGGTCATTGGGTACTACTTGACGAGATGAACCTGGCCCCGCAGTCCGTTCTCGAAGGCCTCAATGCTGCCTTGGACCATCGTGGGGCCGTCTATGTGCCGGAACTAGGGCGTTCATTCACGCGACACCCCAATTTCCGCATTTTCGCTGCCCAGAATCCCATTCAGCAGGGAGGTGGAAGGAAAGGGCTCCCGAAATCGTTCGTGAATAGATTTACGAAGGTCTATGTGGAGACCCTTACTCCTGACGATCTCCTCCAAATCTGTCAGCATATGTTCCCCGATTACCCTCCCCACTGGCTCCAGTCCATGATCGCCTTCAACGCTCGCCTGGAGGAGGAGATCGTGACGAAGAAGTCCTTTGCTCGCGTTGGTGCACCCTGGGAATTCAATTTACGAGACGTTACTCGTTGGGCAGCACTCCTTCGTGCCTCCGACAACCGCCCTGTTCATCCAGTTCACCACCTTCGCACTATCTACTTGAGCCGTTTCCGTACCTCAGATGATCGGCTTACCGCTCAAAAGATTTTCGAAGACGTCTTCGGCGAATCAAGCGATTTAACCAACGACTTATCCCAGCGGGCTCCGTATCCCCTCTCATCCCCCTCACACGTTCAGATCGGCTCCTTCATGTGCCCACGAACGGCATACTCTTCCACTTCGCGTTCTGGACGACTTTTACAATCACAGCTTGCGGCTTTGGAGACAACGGGCGTCTCCCTTACCCAAGGTTGGCTCGTCATCCTCACCGGGTCTCATAATAGCGGAAAGACCAGCCTGGTTCGCTTTATGGCGAATCTCATAGGAAATCATCTCCATGAAATCTCCATCAACAGCGCTAGCGACACCACCGACATTCTTGGAAGCTTCGAACAGCTCGACGAACGGGGACGGTCATACAACATCCTGCAGCGAGCTACCGACCTGGCGGATCGGATATCACGGTCGCCATCTGGTCCAGCTTTCCTGCATTCCGGCTACGGCGCCTCTGTGGAGAGAATACGGAAATCCTCGTCTTCCGATGATGCTCTTCAGGCAGCCAAAGATGTTCTGTTGGGCCTGGCGCAGGTCGGAGGACCATGGGGAGTCGAGGCGTCAGATCTTTTGGCCGAACTTACGTCTCTTACTTTGCAGAGCGGCGGAGGGCGATTTGAATGGGTCGACGGTCCTCTAGTCAAAGCCCTCAAGTCTGGTCACTGGCTTCTCTTAGACGGTGCTAACCTTTGCAGCCCATCGGTCCTCGATCGCCTCAATTCTCTTTGTGAACCTGGTGGAACACTCGTTCTGAATGAACGCGGCCACGTGGACGGGACGGTAGAAATCATCAAGCCTCATCCCTCCTTCCGTCTGTTCATGTCTGTTGACGCCCAATACGGCGAGCTCTCACGTGCCATGCGCAACCGCGGAATAGAGGTCTGTCTGTCGTCTGAAAGGACGACGGAAGACCTTGTCCGCATCCACGACTATCACCGCCTTCCATTGCACCGAGTTGGAGCTGCTACATCCGGTACTTCTAATGCCGCATTTGATGCCCGACGCAGAGCTCTATCTAGTCTCCCACCGCTCGGTCTCATGTCGTATTGGCCTTCCGGGCGCAGCGTCGAGGACGACTCGACGTCGTCAGCTACCTTTGACTCTGTCTCCTGCTTGTCTACCGAACCAACTTTGCCGGATCATCCGCGGATGAGAGATACTCTTCATGCTTTCGCTTTGACCACCTCGTCCTCTGCTCACATCGCTAGGTTCTCAAGGATTCTTCCCGCCCTGCCTCATACCGGGCCCAACAACGGCTTTGGCCAAATTCACGTTGTGCTGAATGCATTCCGGAGGAGCGTCTTGTGGCAAGTGTTGGAGGAGTATCAACATCAGTCCGAAAAGATATGGCCAGTACCTTTTGATCATCTCTCCGTTCAGGTCAGTATTCACACTCAACCGCATTTATTTGCCAGCCGTTCTATCTTCACCTGCATGTTTTACATACTAAATAATAAACGATCAATATATATCCAGCCGTTTGATTTTTCGTCGAGATACATGAGTGTGAAGCGCCTCTACGCTGAGTACGATGTCCCTTCGACGCACGACTCGCTGTTGCAGGCATTGGAATTGTTCGTGAGGATGACTGGTTCAAGTACCTCTCAAAGTCCACGCAAGCAAACCCTGAACACCACCGAAAGCAGCAAAAGTGCCGTGCATCAGTCTCCAGCCATGGAAGAAGTCCGAAAAGCGACGCAACAGATCGACGAGACTTCCGATGCACTCTTACAAGTTACCATGAATGTCCTGAAAGAGCGTGCACTGATGGGAGATGGAACGGTGCGTTTGAGCTTTACGCTCGGTGAAACGAATGTACTGATACGGTCCTCGTAGGTCGTTGAACTGGCATTGAAGTCAACGACCCTGGCTCGTTTCTTGGAAGAATCTGTTGCTGCATCTTTCAACTTCTCAGCCGTTCAGACGATTGTGAAGTGGTTCTCAGAGACCCTCAAACATGCACCTGCCCTGTTTACGAATCTTCAGCACTCCGTACGAGCTTTGGAACGCCTGGTAACACCTTCATCGGGGCTGGGACTGACAGAGATCTGGTCCTCAATGCTGCTTCCACCTAAAATGGCTTCAGGCCATAGCTTCGAGCGTCTGGGGCAGCTTGCTCGCTCATTGTCAAATACCAGCCAGACTCACCGTGAGTTTCCTGCTTTATCCGTCGTCTGCATTCAGCTGAACCCCTATCAGATTTGAGGTCAGAGTTGTTGGCATTGATGGCGTTGCAGTCGCTTCCCAGCACCGGGCAGGAAGATCCGGAGGTTGTGGAAGCCATGGCTCAGGATATACAGAAAGTCAGCTAAATACGTCCCCTTCGTTTACCTGATTCTTACGTTGATCAAAATAATAGCGTTTGGAAACATCGAGCAGCCGAACGACGCCTGATACGTTCGCATCCAAGACCGACTGGATCTCATTGATCAGAGAACTCAGCATCCTTCCCCGATTACATGACGGAAGCGGTACGGCTGTTCAAGTAAGTTAACACTTTTGTTATCAAAGCTTGATTGCTTATTCGACTTTCCAGGTTCTCGAGCAAATGCTTGATCTCGCTTGCCAGAATTTTACGGTGGATCTACGTCGGTTCGTCCCCTATCGTCATGCTATCTGGGCCGTGCAAGCTCGAAAGTGTACGTCTTTTCTGTCTCGTTGTTATATAGCAAATCTGATTCAGGTTTATAGTCGAAGTGCCCGCCATCACGTCGGCATACAAATCTTGGCTTCAGGCGCTATGGGACGTGGATGAGAAGCTCGGCCCATCGCTCATTCTGCAGCCTACGATGCTTCAAACAACCGTTGATAAATCGTATGTCTCCTTTTGCTTACACGTCTCTCTCACGATCCTATACTCATAAAGCGAGCAGTGATTGGTCCAATGTTACTATGCAGGCGCTCGGCGACTATGAACCTCAATTGACACGCCATCTAAACGCCCTTTTGACTGGACTCGAACTAGACAAGAGCCGTGTCGAGACGCTGACCATTCTATATCGCCAGAGCGTGTTGATGGTATGTCAACAACCTCCATTTTTGAACATAAGATACTGGCTCACTAGGAATCCGTAGCTGTGCCATTGCTTTAAAGGCACGTTCGACAAAGAAGTTGCCGCGAAGCTCGACAATATGATCCGTGAGGTGCCCCTCGATGGGATTACGGCACTTCGTGACCTTGCCGGACTTCCTCTCCTCCTTCAAGGTTCATCCCACCTCGAGTTCAAGGATACGCTCACCCGTCTATCGACCATGATCCCAGAATCTAGTCTCGATTCATCGTCACCAAGCCTCCTCCACGCGGGCCAACGCTGGATCTCGCTATTCCGAGCTTTCGTTGACCTCTATGTCCCTGATACTCCTTTGGACCCCGGAGCTGTTTACCACTGCACTTCGCAGCTTAGGGACCAAGAACGAGCGAGGCTATCACTGGAACTTAACCTTCATCGAAGTCTCGAATCACGTACCACTGGCGGTGAAACGAACGTGACCATCATGGAGCTTCAACGAAAGTTGCACGCCGTTTGCGACCAGGCAGAGGACAGTGCGTCCACCCGTGTCACAGTACGCGATACCCGTCGCCTTCGAGAGTTCTGGACCGAAGTCAACCAGTTCTTGGCCATGGTGGTATCACCTTCCAAAATCGATTCTCTCGTTGCCCAACTTCAATCCGGTGATTCCTCCGCAGATACACGAGAACACGTCGTTCAAGAATCAATCTCAGGTTTCAGTCAGCGCATGAACACTGTATACGAGGATTTCGAAGATATCTGCTCTCCGTTGCAGTTGGCATTGCTACACCTTCGTCTCGGCCTTCGTCTTGTACGACACTCGCAAGCATCCGCCCAAATGCAACATCCCACGGCCATGGCGACTGCCTTGGTATCCTCTTTATCGGTCCAGAGATCCGCCTTGTTACTCCCAGACACGGGCATCGACGTCCAGCTTCCCGGAATAGACTCTGTCCTCCATTTAATCCTGAGGCTTACTTCCGCTTCAGAGGATCTTCAAGCTGGTGTAGAAGCTGATTCACTTATCTCCGGGATCGAAACCGTCTATGAACAAGCTGTTCGTTTGTGGCTCATTGATCGCTCAAAGGAAGAAGAGGCTACCAAAGCGTCACAGTCACTGTACCGGTCTGCTCGGCTCGAACACGATACAATCCAAGATTCGGAGTTGGAAGAGCAAGAGTTTCTTTCCCTTTTCCCCAACTTCGAGGACGCCTTCGACAAAGAGCTTCCTGCAGATGGGGACCATCGCCCCACTGGACAGTTCATAGGTCCAGGTCATGTCCATCATTTCTACGACCTACATCAAAAACTTTTCGAAAGTCGAACCGTCAACTCCAATTGTCTTCCATCGAGTTCTGACATGCGCATAACGTTGCTCCGGCCCCTCCTAAACACATATCTGAACGCACTTCCCGAGGCATTAGATCGCATTAGTTTAGTGTATCAACTTTCTCTCACCCACGACCGTTTGCATAGTCTGCACCACCACTCCAAACAAACCCTCAGGCCCTACAACTTCTACGTCGATCCAAACGTCCCAGAGCTTCGGAAAGCAACCGATGTTCTCCAATCTTTACGAGCTCGACTCCAGCTGCTGGTTCTGGAGTGGCCGGAGCAGATGGTGCTGCACCATCTCACCGAGCGCTGCGATCAGATCCTACGGTTGAGCCTTCAAAGCCCGGTAGCTAAGGTGCTGGCTACGCTGGAACAATTACTCGTCCAAACCGAAGACTGGGAGCTCTACGCGAACCGCGACAACAACCTTAAGGTGCATCGATCTGCGCTGATCTCGCTCATTGTTGAGTGGAGGAAGTTGGAGCTTTCTTGCTGGCGCGGATTATTGGAGACACAGGCTCTTGAGTTCTCACAAGGGGTTTCAGAGTGGTGGTTCAGGTTGTACAATGCCATCCTCCGCGGTCTGCTTGACATCACTTCACGCAGTGAGGGTATGGACGTCGACGGTATGGAAGAGTATCTGGATAATCTCGTTCCACTTCTGGACGACTTCGTCAAGACAAGTCCCATGGGCCAGTTCAGTCGTCGTTTGGAGCTCTTAAAGAGTTTCGAGGACTTCCTGCGACGTTCGGCATTCTCTCGATCTTCTTCTCATAGGAATGCTCTGGAACGCGCAATACGTATTCTCCACTCAACCCACGCATACTACATCCAGTACCTTCCGAAAATCACAAAGGACTTCGTAGCTCAACGGAGCGCGCTAGAGAAGGAGGTTGCCGGGTTTATCAAGCTCGCGAGTTGGAAAGACATCAACGTTCAAGCCTTGAAGGCCAGCGCACAACGCACACATCACCAACTGTACAAGAACATTCGAAAGTTCCGCGATATCCTCCGGCAGCCGATCAATGGCATGCTGCTGTCAGAGAAAGCATCCGAGCCCGACGCCACTCCACATTTTTCACTGCAACCCGATTCTTCTGTACGCCACAACGTACCAGAGGCCCCCATCTTTCCCACGCGCTATCCGTACAGTGCACTTCCAGCGCATCTCCAAGACCTCCCTCGCACGTATTCGCGCTACGACACCCTAGTATCCACCCAAGTCGAGACCTTCCTCCACTCTCGACAACCCCACAGCGTCGAAGCTTTGGCAAGTGAGGTCATTTCCACGGCGAAGAACTTGTCGTCTCTCACCGCCCCGTCTGAATATTCGAAGGAGCGGAAGGAAAAGTATCTGAAGACCGTACTCGTAAGGAAGCGGAAGGCATGGAGTGACCTTCTGAAAGAGCTGAAGCGAATAGGGTTCGCGACGAACGTCAAGCCCGACGTTCTGGAGCTTCAGACGAAGCGACGATGGCTCCGGGAACAGCCCATAGTATGCGCATCGGCACACATCACCGCAGACGTGGAAAGAGCAGAGCGGTACTTCGAGCGTCTCTGTGGTCTTCTTCCCGATCTTAGGGCCGCTCTCTCCAATCATCACTCAGATCTGCCCACTCGGGAGCTTCACAGAGGAGTCATGTTGCTCGAATCGGGATTTTCCCAGGCTTTGACGTCAAGGACTCAGTAAGTTGTGGCATTATATTTGAGATCCTCAGTACGCTGATATTCCCGACAGTTTATCTCGTGCTCTCGATCAGTATTCCTCTGTCAAGAACTCAGCACGTCGCCTTCACATGCTAGCAGAGGGCGGCGTCGCGGTTTCGAGTGGTCATCATGTTCTGACTGCGGCAACCCACATCAAAAATACCATTTGCAAACTCGCAAAGGCCGCGTCTGAAACTGTGGAGCAACTCGAACTCTTCGACAATCTACGCTCTGGCTATTCTGTGCCCCCTCCACTCCTTGAAGAGGCTCGTTCTTGGGCTCACTCTGCAGACAGCCATCGCACACTTGTGACAAGCGTTGTGGATGGAATAAGACTTAGCTCTACTTCCGTCCTTCTAAGAGGTTTGTTGTGTTCTTACTATCCGAACTTCTCGCCACTGATCACTCTTCTATTCAGACGAATACGATGTACTCTCATCTACAATCCTCTACATCGAGGATATGGCCAGATCTTTGCGCAGCTGGACGGAACGCGAGGAACACATTTCCTTCATCCTCAGCCCTTTGTTAACGTGGATTGAGTCTGTCCCAATAACGGCACCTAACATCGTCACGGGTGATCAGGAGCATCCGCATCTTGATGGCGACCATGTCATCGACGCGACCCTGGTCATCGTTCAGTCTCTTCTCTCCAAGCTTCCGTCAGAAGCGAGCGGAACCGAAGACGATGACGGCTACGCCAAGCTCACCTCGCGCCTGCTGGGGGAGTTCTCCGTATCTCTCCAGGTGGATTCTCTGACCAAGAAACTCAACTCAATCCTGACTTCAGCTGCCAACGTTTCTTCCAACGTCTTAAACGATAACATCCTCCGTTTCTTGCCTTTCGTCGACCGGTATCTCACCCTGGTAGAAGAACATGTCACCGCGCACATTTGCTGGACTGGAAGCCTCTTCAAGTTACTCTATGTGATCTGTACAATAATCCACACGATCGCGACCCAAGGGTTCTGCAAACCTCCGGATGCGGAAGAAACGGGAGAGGGGAAGGACGGTGGCGAGGCCATGGGTGGAGTGGGGCTTGGAGAAGGCGATGGTGCGGAGAACGTTAGCAAGGAGATCGAAGACGAGAGTCAAGTGGAAGGATTGAAAGGTGAGGATCAAGCGGAGAATAAAGAGAAGAACAAACAAGACGATGACGACGATAACGCTATTGAGATGGGCGATGACTTTGAGGGTGAGATGGAGGATGTTCCGGACGATAGCTCACAAGGAGACGAGGGCGAGAAGTCAGATGAAGAGGGAGAAGGTCCAGACGAACAGCTTGGAGATGTCGATAGTTCAGATCCGAACGCGGTCGATGAGAAGCTCTGGGGAGATGAGAAGGGTCCGGAGAGTGGTGATGATGGGAAGACGAATCAAGATCGGTCGGAAGAGAAGGGCGGCGACTCTGAACTGGTGGCGAAGGAGGGACAGAAGCCGGATGACCGAAAGGACTCGAAGAGTGGGAAGGAGGAAGCGCAGCCAGAAGGCAAGGACGGCGAAGCAGAGGAGGAGCCTTCACCTGATGAGAGTCCAGAAGACGATGCGGGTGTTGAGGATCCGAATGCCACTGGTGCACCCGTCGACGATTACGTGCAAGATGCCAATACCTTGGAGCTGCCTGAAGATCTGGATCTCGGAACTGGGGAAGACGTCCAGGAGGAGGGTGGTTCAGAAGAGGATGAGCTGATGGATGAAGACAACGAGCATCCAGAGAGGCTCGACGACATGGATGGGGAATCGGACGCAGAACAGGCCCTTGGGGGAGACCGAGCATCGATGGATGAGGGAGGGGAAGAAGATGAGCAGACGACTATGAAAGAGGATGTTGAAGAACCGCAACAGCCCGAGGAGGAAAAGAGTGGGGAGGAGGCGGTGGCACAACCAGACGTACAATCTGGAGATGGGTTAGCGGGAGACCCTATGCCACAGGAGTCTTTCAACGAGAATGTCCGCGACACCGCTCCTACGAACCAAGCTGGCGCATCCCAGGGTGCGATGGGGCAGAGTGCGGGGAAAGGACAAGAGACAGGTCACGAGGACGGGTACGTATATGGATTATCCTTTTCTGTCTGACTTTATGCTGATTGAATGTTACTCCAGCAAAATAGATGATATTTCACAGGAAACTGAGGTGCAGGATGCTGACATGACGGGAAGCGGGGCTTCCACTGGGGGAAAACAGCAAGGGAAACCCGCATCACACGACTCGATGCCCCAGGACCTTTCAAACAACCCACTTCGTAGTCTCGGAGATGCAATGAAGGAGATCCGCCAACGCTTCGATGACATCTTGGAACGCGAAGAGAGCCAGTCTCAGCCTATACCTCACCCTGGAGATGTTGCGAATGCCTCTCAGCTGGAGTACCTCCGTCCTGACGACGCTGATGAGAACATGCAAGCGTTGGGACCAGCTGGAGCAGATCAGGTCGCAAAGCTCAGTGATCTGAACATTGTCGACGACGAAACCCAGGAGGAGGAACATGACGTAGCAATGGACATCGACGAGCCCACAGCGGTTGACCCTTCACAACCACAACTCCCCGAACAGACATTCAATGCTCAGTCGACGACTGAGGCCTTGCAGGAAAGCGTGGAGACAGCCTTAACACGTCAGGATATTCATTCACGAGACCCCTCGCAACGTACAGATCCTCTTCACGAGTCCTCTGGTGCGCAGGCAGAGGTGGATGTTGAAGAGCCCATCACTCAAGACGAGGTCGAAGCTGAACTGCGCCGTTGGCAGTCCGTAGGCAAACCCCGAGACGGAGCGGAGAACATCTGGCGTCTCTACGAGTCCCTCACCCACGATCTATCCTACACCCTATGCGAACAACTCCGTCTCATTCTCGAGCCGACACTCGCTACCCGACTCAAAGGTGATTACCGCACGGGTAAACGCTTGAACATGAAGAAGATCATTCCATATATCGCCAGCGAATACACAAAGGACAAGATCTGGCTTCGTCGTACTCGTCCCAGCCAGCGAGAATACCAGGTCTTGATCGCATTGGACGATTCCAGGTCCATGGCAGAGTCGCATTCCGTGCACTTGGCGTACGAGACGTTGGCCCTCGTATCGAAGGCGCTCAGTAGGTTGGAGGTCGGTGATGTGGGCATCGCGAAGTTCGGAGAGGCGGTGGATGTGCTGCATGGGTTCGATGAGGGACCATTCACGGATCAGGCGGGGATGCAGGTCATGCAAGCTTTCGGGTTTCAGCAGAAGGCCACAAACGTGCTTTCCCTCGTGGAGGCTAGTTTGAAGATGCTGGAGGATGCGAGACAGAGGCGGTCCAATAGCTCGGCGTCGGCGGCAGACTTATGGCAGTTAGAAATCATCATCTCGGATGGGATTTGTCAGGACCACGAGAAGCTCAGGACGGTGTTGCGGAAGGCTGAGGAGCAAAGAGTCATGGTGGTCTTCATCGTGATCGACTCGCTTCATTCGAACGCTGTCGCCGCGTCAGGCGATGGGGGAAAGGGTAAGATGGAAGGTGGCGTACAGAATTCCATTCTATCCATGAACCAGGTCGCATACAAGATGATAGATGGGAAGATGGAGCTACAGATGCATCGATACTTGGACTCCTTCCCCTTCGAGTATTACGTGGTGCTACGGAATGTGGAGGCTTTACCAGAGGTGTTGTCGGGCACGTTGAAGCAGTTCTTCGAGCGTATATCAGAGGAGTAGTATATAGTCTGTATGACAGTCTGTATAATCACGTATCTATACTTCTATCAAAAGCTGTTCGAAATAGACGAGCGCGTATCGAGCGTGTATCGGTGTCGCAAACTATTCCACACCTCAATCTACAGATAAGACCCCAGAATCTTCGATGCCGATTCGGGACCACTGGGCTTGTAACCTTCAACATTCCGGGAGGCACTGGTGTCCATCGACCCTCCCGGAGAAGCTGCAAGCGACTCGATCATAACCTCCAGCCTTCCCAAGCGCGACCATAGTTGATTCACCTATGAAGCAATGCATCAGTGCCACAGTCACGGTAAAGCATCAAGGCGTCGATATACTCGCCTTCTGATCTAAGTCACCGGTCAGATGGGTTTCCTCGGTTTTCGTCGTTTCTGGTCCGTCGCTCTTATACTCATCATCACTCTCACAATTATCGTCATCCACACCGGCAGTGCGTATCAACAGCTTCGCTAATATGTTGCCAGGTTCCTGTGACTGACATCACCAGAGAACAATGATTAGTTTTCCTGTGTGTCTCATGGATTTCCAGCGCATCCAGAGTGGGTAAATTCGCACCTCTTCGTACCAGTTGCTGAATATCCCACCACAGAAGGATTCAATCTGAACCGAAACGCTCATACGCTGCTGACGCCAGCTCCTACTAAGGTCCAACATCCTCGCGTTGAACACATACATAACGAACGTCATAGCAGTCACGAGTTCGTCCAGGCTGTCTTCGTCTTCGGCTGTAGGGAAATCGTTCTTTTCCATACGATGGACGAGATCATGAACACGAGGGAGCCACACATATAGGAAAGGCAAGATGGACTGTGCCAGAGTCAGCTACAGTGGGCGAGTGAAATGTTGGCAAGGACCGACCAATTCAATGCGAGGCTGGCCGACGATGGCGATCACAGACGGTTCGTCATCGATCACCATCTCATTCAGAACCTTTTCGAGACGAGCCTCCTCATGTTCACGGTACTCCAACTGTAGACGGCCGAGATCTTCTGCATAGATCTCGTCCCGAACCATCTTCGCGAAGACATCGTCATTGTCTTCCGCATAGCGCGAGACGATCGCGTGGACAAAAGATGAAAGGAGTTTCACGAAATTCTTTATCACAGGCCTTTTAGTAGGCGAATGCAGACGGTAGGTGCGTTCGATGTCACAGAGACGTCCTTGTATCCTCTTGTGGTAGCTATTTCATGATAAGAACAGCTACCTTGAGGTCATATTATATGGACCTACCCGATATTGCTGTCGTCCCATCCTCTAGCCCAACTTCTTACAAAAAGATATCAGCAGCCTCTTCTACGTAGAAAGGAGAAGGAATGCCACGCACAATGCGATCCATTCTGGAAGAGACCATCCAGGCGGACACTTTTTAATGAATGTGTTGACCTCATGGACACATATGAATCCGCTACTATCTGCGTCGATGGCGTCCCCTATCGCTGAATGATCTGAGTACCAAATTGTTCATCATGAGTTTGGAACCAAGGAAAGTTGTATTGATACCCACAGATCACCCTCGAGAGGATGTGGAAGGTCCAGAAGTCGTGCGCAAATACGTTCTCATTCGTCCGGAAATGATGTCTGAACTTGTCTCGATAATAATCGTATATGGCTAAGGCCCACAAGAATTATTAGTCCAGTTATGATGTGGCAATACAGGTCTATACCGTTAACAAAGACGCGACTCTTGACAGAGCTTGGCCATTTCTATAGGCAATGCTTAGTGACTTAGTACATCGTTCCGTTTTTGGGGGCGATCGTGTCGTACCATTGCTATAGAAAAAACATGTTTGTTAATGATTACAATGAGAGAGAACTAGCTGAATCAGTTTACCTTCCCAGACCGTCTTGATGTCCTCATCTTTGATGAGTTCATAGACGCCTTCACTCAACTAGGGGAAAAAATCAACTACACATTCTTAGATTTGGAGAAGTCACGGTATTTCACTTGACGCATAATAGCTTCTCGTGAGCTCTCCACGCTTGCGGTGATGCGAGTCTCTACGCCCTCTATTTTTTGGTGGAAAGGGTCGCTGTCGTAATACGTTCAACCCACCGTGGCTGGTCGCAAAACAAGTGGAATTAACTCAACATATTCTTCTCTAACAGCTCGTGCAGACCGTCATGCAACGATGCTTTTGCGCCGTGACTCACCCTCTCCCCGAGTTTATGAGCGACCTCACCTAACCACGTCTCATTCTAATCGGGCACTCGCCATCAGTTTTTGATCGTCATCATCCACATGAGCTGGAGACGAGACTGTGAAGGCCCACCTCAATGACATCCTTGACGGAGCCGTACGACTCGATGATACGAGCCGCTTCCGATTCTCTCTTTCCATCCTCCCCCAAAGTACTCAGTATCTTTTCCAAGCTACCTCCAAAGTTGTCCATCTGAGAGCGGATGCCGTTGACCGTGACCGCAGTCTGAATACGAACGATGTCGTGGATCTCGGTCTTGTGCGAGCTGAAGTTGGTCACGTAGGTTTGGAGCTGTTCGCGAAGCTCGGCAGCTTTGAAGAATCGGACTAGTGGTTGTAAAATATATGGCAGCATTCATGAGCTCATGAGTTTAGATGTTGAGAGCGGTTGTCTACCTATCCGTCTCGCTCCGTAGTACCATCTGCGAGGGATTTATATCAGTCAACGGACTAGGTAGCACGAGAGCGTGCGAGCTACTGACACAGCAAAGTTCCCTGAAGAAAAAGCATCATTGGCTGGTAAAGCAGAAACATAAACGGAGTTAATATCCTCGACTTACCGAAATCGTGCATACTATGTTCGAGCCTTGTGAGAGGGCCGCGCAAAGCTTCGTAGATCGATTCAGAGACCTTGATCTCCACCAAGTGACGAAGAGAAAAGATGGTGAGACTCTGTTATAGGAGTGGTAAGTGAGTACCCAGAATATACCCAAAATAATTGAGCGGTACCATGGCATGATGAACGACCATGATCCGGACATCGTTCGCCAGCCTGTCTGTCTCCAATTGCGTGATGCTCTTCAAGCTTCGTCAAGGGGGGCGCATACGGGACTCGTAGACTGTGCTAACCTTGAAGACGCCTACGACAGTCTATATAACATGACGATCATTCGGTCAGTTGTAATTTTGGTCGTGCTTGAGAGATCTCATCTAAGTCAAGCATCCTGACCTTTGCGATAGGGTGTAACTCGGCGATGGCTGACATCACGGGCATGATCTGATTGGTTGCGTCCAAAACCTTTCTTCCCAGCTCCTTGCCTGAAGTCTTCGCTAATCGTCGAGAAAAGAGATACGATTAGTGTGGAACTATGCCTCTGTCCGACGGCATAGTATATACCATTTGCGACGTCACTAATGGTCCTTTCTGCATCTTGAACACAACGTGTGGCGACGGCAATATGTCGCTCTATTATATACGCTCAAGCACGTAAGGTTTAGCCAATCAGACAAGTCATCCACACGTGGATAATAACATATACCCATACCAATGAGCTCTGTAGTAGAAAAGTCGGCCATGGTGGGCGTGAGCTATCACCACCGCGACCGTCAATGTTCAACGGCTGATTCCAAGGTCAATAGTGAAGCCTGCGGCTTGTAGCTTGGCGTAGACGCGCGTATATATGGACCCTAGTATGCTCATCATATCAGTGACGCAGTGTGATGGCTTTTTCTCCACAATGGAGACCCTCATCACTCATTCGACTTTTTTCTGGAAGGGATCAACCGTGTTACAGTTTAGAGCCATGGAGAAACGAGCCCATTGAATCCAGTGGATATGCTCTGAGCCGAGCCACAATGACACCGGAATAAGGGTAGGCGGGCAGAATTTTGATAGAGGACTACCAGGCCGTGTCCTAACGTGGAAGCTTCATTGTGGTTTGCCGCAGGAGGCGCGGCCAATTACAATCACCACTCTAAGTTACGAAAGGTCTCTGATATGATCGACGCCTCTAGTATAATGATTGTATACGTTCGGGCCCATGTTCTCCTATTCCCGCTTAGCTCAGCGGTAGTAGCGCTTCACTAGTATCGGGTTGCTTTGTCAGTCCTAGCTATGAAGAGGTCAGTCGTTCAAATCGGCTAGTGGGAAAGTTTTTCTAGTTTTCTGAGCTTTTTATGTTTTGTCTTCCCTAACCCATGCCTTACATACAAAGACCTTCACGTTTCCCGAGTGTGTCTTTGTAGGACAGTGCCACCATGTTCATCCGGCCCGAGCCGAAAGGCGTAATAAAGCCAAAGGTGTGCGTCGCGGCTTGTTTCTCAACATCCTCCAGTTCCCTCTGGAGAGGCCTTTGGCCACTTCTGAACTTGTGCGCCAGTTCCCGCCCATTTTGCTCTAATCTTGTACTGCTACTGTCATACACTGAAGGCTATCTGCTGAGCATTTCTCTGCGGGACGACTCCCGAATTCAACGGCGCGTCGAACGAACTAGTGATACCCAACATACCCTCCTTCTTGGGCAACGGGTGAACCGTATCCATCAGCCTAACACGACTCGGACTTGTCATTTCACAATCTAGGATTAACTTGTATAACTTTCTCGCCCGTCTTCACCATGTACAACGACACAGCTAGTGGTACGTCTCTTGTCCTCAGACCGACCTGGTAGTACACGTCGATTCTCCCCTTGCTCACCGAGAGACGTATGAACAGTATCCGATGCCCCGCTATACCTCGTATCTGACTCCTCCGGTACGGGTAATAAGAAACGCCTCGTCCGTCGTCCCCATCCCCCGCCCTCCACTGTCCCTCTACCGGACGACTTTGATGCCATGACTGTCACGCAAAAGACCACCGTTCTGGGCGATCACGTTGATGACGGTCGCACTGAACGTTTGCGAAACGAGATCGACTACGACGATGTCACGGTTGGAGGAGAGGAATTCATCGCTTTGCAGAGGGAGGGCCAAGGGGCTATGTTGCCGAGAGAGAGGAGTCTGAAAGAGAGGGATCGAGATAGAGTAAGAAGGACGGGAAGTCCAACCAGAAGCATGGGCGTTCCGGAGCTGAGTGGAAGGGTAGCGAAGTTATCTATGGGGCCTGGAAAGGCTAGTAGTGTGGCGGGAGTGGGCAGGGATAGGGCGAGGGATCGAGTCAGTCAGAACGAACATGCTAGGCGTCAGTCTGGTGGTGGTGTCAAAGCCCCGCCTATCGTCACAGGGAGGAACGAGTTGGTCCAGAGGAAGGTGCTGGAGGACGGCCCCGAACGCACGATCTCGCTTTGGAGAGAAGATGTCGCTGTCAGCTCGAATGCTTCGGATACTGGTGTCCCCGCAGGCCACGGTCTTGAGAAGAATACTGAAGCAAGTGAAGTGGATAGCCATAAGGGAAGGAAAAGGAAGGAGTCCTTTGCTATGAGCTCCTCGGTGACACCGAATACAAATTCGAGGGGGAAAGACAGAGGCCCGCAGAGTAGTGTGGACACATCCGAGGTATGTGGGATTATGGGAATAGACAACAGATGCTGAAACTTGGATCCCAATAGCAATCGCAACTTCAGCATAATTTCACTGCAACGTCCCCTTCATCTCCGTCCACCATGTTACCGGACGCATCGAGACAGCATCTCCGTAGGAGCTCTTCCCATCGCAACCCTATCAGAGGTCCTACCTCGCCTACGAGCCAAGGCCAAAGCACCATCATAACTTCGCCCAGCAAAGGTCCATTCTCGTCCTCCGTGTCCAGTACTACTGCACCAACCACCACCGCGCTCACTACAACAATTACTCAAACCCCAAACGCCATTTTCCGCCGAACCGACTCCTCATTTTCACCAGTAGATCGCCTGCTCGACTCCTGTCAGCCTTCTCTCCTGCATATCGCGCCAATATTGGATGGGCTCGGGGTTAGAGATGATGCGCATCTGAGGGCGCTTGCAAGGATGAGGGAGGACACGAGGGACAGGGAAGTCAGGGAGGAGGCCTTGAGAATGGGCGTCACTGTGGTGGAGTGGGCAATATTTGTCGACCGTTTGATCGGGATGTGATGGATTGATGTCTGTACGGCATCCAAAGTGCACAACTTTGATCTGCTAAGAGAATCTTTGCTTTTGTCCACATATTATCCCTATGCTTTGCTGACTGTTCATCCTACCCCTTGCTTTGGTACATGCTTTGAATGTGTATTTCTTGGGCAGTCTTGCACTGTTCGAAGTAAATGTCGTGGACCTGTGGCTGGCAGCTGCTTCAGTCTTTTGCAAACGCCACAACGCCACCCGGCAAGAGCCGGAGCGTACTTCGGTTGCCACAGTACTGGTTATTCAACGTTCAACGTTCAGCGCTTGAAGTTGATGGTCTTCGTTGGTTTTTTTGTTCTTACATATCTTTCCCCGCCTGCGTGCGGAAGGATGGCCCGTGCCATCCTCTGCTCCGAAGGCCTCATCTATAACCAAACCTCCGTAGCAGTCTACAGTCTACTCTCTCGAAGCCCAGCCAAAGTGGTAAGAAAATCTCTGATCCGGCGACGGATCCAATAATTCTCTGCTAGTTGGAGCTATGTACGCAGCCTTGAACTTGAAACACACCGAAACGCCAAGTACACCCGTGTATGCGAGCTTCAGGGCACCCGCCCTAGCTTTTTGGAGTTGCATTCGGACCCATTCCTTCAGTGCGTTCTCATGCTCTTCAAGTCCTTGTGCCACGATGCTTACCACAAATTAGCTCCCGGTAGGTCAACCAATGTGGTGCACCATGAAGACAGGGAGATAACATACATCGTAAGCAATTGGCATCCGACGGATCGTTCGCTGCTCAACCTAATCGTTCTGACTGATAATCGATTTCCACAGTAGATGGTCGGATTATGCATATTCCGACCTATGTGACGCAAGTAAATCCTGGGCGTCTAGTATCGTTAAGCGTTAAGCATCAGTCCCGTAAGAACGTCATCATCCAGGAGATCTTACTACACTACAGAAAATATATGACTCGGTCTGTGAAGCGGGCGTCAATATAAAACGGACGGCGAGGTCCATCTGGAATGCTCTGACAACCTTTCATTTTGTTTCCTCATTCCCGGTGTTACGCCCAAAATGCTCAATGTCCCAGAGACCGCCAAAGTTATTCCCAACGGTATTGATGACTTTGTCCCAGTTGTCCCGGAAGCTCAATCCGAAGCTGCAAAGGTACTTCGCTCTTATTTCTTCTCTTCGTGGCCTTCATTAATCTTTGGTATCTCCTTGCTCAAGGCCAAGCCCAAAAACGTACTTCCCCGGGAGTTCTACGACTACTTTCTCTCTAAAAGTGCTCAGCGTCGCAAGCCCAATGCCAGTAGGTGTTCCCTCTCATATACGTCACCAAGATGCATGCGTGCTCAAGAAACGATACAATAGTTCGTCATCTCTTCCCTCTCGAAGAAGTACCGGGAGTAATATCCCTTCTCGCGGGCAAACCGAATGCGTCGACCTTTCCCTTCACCTCTTTATCCTTCACAGCTCGTTCGCCGACGGACCCTTCCGACAACCAACAGTTCTCATTGACAGAGCCCGAATTGAATGAGGGTCTGCAGTACGGTATGGTAGAAGGCCAAACCGGATTCAACCGATGGTTGGCCGAACTACAAGAGACGGAACATAAAAGAAGGTATGATGTTGGAGAAGGTGGAGAGAACTGGAGGCTGTGTGTTACTACTGGATCGCAAGATGGCCTGTATAAGGTGTGTGACGTCCCAGAGTCTTGCGGTGGTGCCACTGACGACCTGAGGGCGTTGGCAGACTATCCATGCGCTTGTGAATCCAGAAGATCCTGTGCTCGTGGAGTCTTCCGTATATGCGTAAGTCTTCGTTACACTTATTTCTCGGAGAGTACATTAACCCAAGACATTTTATGTACGTGCGATGGGCAACGGGTCGTAGGGGTGTCTTACCCATCTTTGACTCTCTGGAGTGCGAGATAATTGGTAGGCGTCGAAGTTCTCTTGCATAGTACCTCGTATCATCCTAATGGTATTCTTTCATGCTACAGAGGTTGGCACTGACGCACAAGGGATCATCACGCGCTCCTTGAGTTCCATCCTCGAGTCGTGGCCGGCCTTGAAGCCTAAGCCCAAAGTACTCTACACCGTTCCAGTACGTTCGAGTATAATCGAATTATAAATCTACATAAACTCACATATCTCATATCGCTAGTATGGTAGTAACCCATCGGGGGTCACCACCTCCCTGGAACGCCGACTAGATGTCTTGAAGCTGGCGCGACAACACAACTTCCTCATCCTAGAAGGTGATTAGCTCCTTCCTCGTTTGCGTCTGTCCTCATAGTTCCTCACATAGAAGATAATCTATCCTTTAAATCGTAACAGATGATCCGTACTACTATTTATACTTCGGCACAAGTCCCCGTATCCCCTCCTACTTCAATCTCGAAGCCCAAACCGGGACTGTCGGTCATGTCGTTCGCTTCGACAGCTTGTCAAAAATATTGTCCGCCGGTATTCGTATCGGATTCGTGACAGGACCAATTCCGATTCTGAACGCCATAGATATGCATGTTCGTGCCACGTATTTTCCACACCTTGAATTGGACTAATATCCCATGACACATAGACTACGTCCATAAACCTGCAACCCTGCTCCTTGGTACAGTCCATAGTATTTGCTCTACTTCAACAGTGGGGCCACTCGGGTTTTATGGAGCACACCCGTACCGTAGCCGAATTTTATAGGAAGAAGAGGGACGTGTTCGAAACTGCTATGCAAGACTATCTCGGAAAGGAAGGATTAGCGGAATGGAGCACGCCCAATGCTGGGATGTTCTTCTGGTGCATGGGCTGGGTATACCTTTCTCCCTGCATACACATTGAATACTCACGCTTCGTACTCGATTTCTCAACAGGTTCAAGCTTCTCCTCAGCCCCGATGCACAAGAAGTCGGCGACTCTGAGACTATTATTCGCACCAAAGCTTTCGAAAACGGGGTGCTCGCCTTGCCAGGTACCGTCTTCCTCCCAAATGGCCAGAAGACGGGATATGTCAGGGCTTCGTTCAGCCTGCTTTCGGAAGCAGAGGTGAGAGAGGCATTGAGGAGATTGAGGGACGTCATCCTAGCTGAAAGAGAGCGGCGCGCCAGCCTGAGTTCGAACTTCTGATTATAGACCAGACCCTGAGGTATCGTGAGGGACCTGGTCTTCTGTGGGTATATATCACCGAGGCAATCGTGGGTGGAGTTGGATGTTCGGGCACTGAAGACGGAATGCTCAACCATTTCGTCAGATGTAGCAAAATCAAAGAACCCAAGGCCGGATTTACCGGTTAGGTATACGGTCAGTACGCGAGATTCCACTCTCTCACTAAAGGTCCCTGTTGCTCTTGTTTCTACCGCTGTTACTGCCAATTATTTGAATGATAGAAAATAACGAAATAATGGCTGGGCCACAGGAGACACAATCAGCGCTATAATTTCGATCGGTTGGATTTTCACGTGACTTAGACACATCGCAGAATGCTCTCTCGTTACGGTAACTTTCTTTGACTTTGTTCTTGAAACATTCTCGACAAATTCTGGTAAACAACAATGCCGGTTGCACATGTGTCTGCTGCTGTCGCAGCGAAATACGAGGCGGACTTCTACTTCGACACGAACTCTTCACAGGGCAGAACTTTTCGCGGTATCGACTACTTATGGTGAAGAGTGCGACTCTGATGGGTGTCCCACCAAGTGCGCCCTAGCCTTCAAACGTGAGGTGCGTCCAAGTCAAGCCCCAGTCTTCTCAGCTCACTAATCCAAGCTCTCGCTCTTTATTTATGTAATGACTGTGCAGTGTATCAAGTATAGCCACGCAGAAATATTGCCCATGCTTATGTAAAGTCGAGTTCCGCGACCTGTTCAAGATCAAAGGCGTCAACAAGAAGGTCGTACCATGGGACGGCCGCCCGCCAGAGAAAATTCACTTTGGCTTAGGCTTCACCATTGGTCAGGTCAACGATTACGCGCACGAACATAACCTCCAATATCTCAAGCTCAATTATATTAGCTTCAACCTTGACGTCGTCGTCGGACACCTGGCAGAGCTCACCGACTATCCGAACCTCTATTGGAAGCTTATCTTCAGTTTTTTTTGCACCACGACATCGTTCTCGCGACGTACAGTAACTGCACTCAGAGGCGGCTGGAGATGGTGCCTGAGGGCGAGAAGGAGGTTCTCGAAATCATACGCAGAGAAATAGGCCTAGGGCCTGAGCAAGAGGCGATGTGGTACACTTGTATAATCAGCGAGTGGTGCGTTGGCTCCCTTCATTCTCAGTTATTGACTGGTATCCTGGTATTTAATCGGATATTTGACCATAGATCTACCCGGGATCTATATTCCTTCATCCTCTCACGGATCTCCGAAACATCTTCACGCTTTCAGCTCATGTCTCCGTCTACATATTAATCCTGCTTTCTCTTTGTGCAGCATAATGTAAGTTGTTGTGTCAACGGCTGTCTACAGCCACATGTAATTGACCCATGAGATATCATGATTTGAGAGTGATTAGCCGCAAGCACGTCCGTCCCTAGCCTGACGGAACCGTCTCGGCCTCAAGATTCTTTCCTCGTCCGTCAACTTAATGACTGTACACCGTCCGAGTTTTGCAGCGAAGATGATCTGCGGCACGATGACGAATGAGGTGTATCCCGTGTCAACCAGGTCAAAGAGTACACCATTCTCTTTGTTCAAGCTCGCCGCCAAACCCGCCTGCAGAGTGTTCTCTGCCTGTTCGACACGCAGCGCTGGCCGGTGGCTGCCCACGGATAGTGAGGTTGTGAGGAACGAGTCAGAAAGTTGCGAAGTCGGCCGGAAGAGGGAAAGAGGAGGAAAGGTAAGCGTCGAGTCGTATACGACTGAGCATTGAGGTTGTGTTGAGTTGGCCGACGAGTCGGCATAAACGACCCTCCAAAGGCATGATTGATTGTCGTTCCCGTCGCTGGCGACGGCAGAGAGAGCTTGTCCTGAACCCTCGGCCAATAAAGCACCAGAGCCTCTGTTTCGGAAGGAGAAATTCCCGTCTGCGCGTGGGATGGGCTGCCAGTGATGATGATCATGCTTGGGACTGTAATAGGCTGTGCGGACATGATCTCCAATTTTTTGGTCGATGAGTGCCTCGCATGTTTGGGTGGCTGAACTGGAGAGGATTGCAAAGTGGGGATAGTCGACTGCGCGGTGGCAGGAGTGGAAGAAATACCAAAGGGAAGAAGACGAATGCGTGGCCATGAGGCGAAAGCCATCTTCCCCGGGCCCAATCGTGCGGGTGACGAATAAGCCTGAAGATATGTTTTGCAAGTAAAACAGGCGGTGAGACAGAGGACGAGGTGATGCAGGTAACGCAGGCGATATGGAAGGCGATGGGGGTGTGTGATAAGGAATTGGAATGTGAGCGAAGATCCATTCCTGTGTCTTCGATTGGGGATCGAACGTGGCAGAGTGCAGCGATTCACACTGTGCGGAGACAGGGCATGATGCTGCATCTAAGACGGTCGGTGGGCCACAACTTCTAATGGTGCATAAGTCGGCCCTAACGGTCAAAAGTAAATGGTAAGCACGGAAGGTGAAGACGCTTTTGTCTGGACTCGTACATGTTGCTTCTCCTCGATCCAAATAGCTTCCACAACTGGTGTCTAAATCCTGCGTGCGGGTAGCATCCTACTCGCGTCCCTGAATTGTCTCCTGAACAAAGGATATCCAATACAGTCCCCGAGGCCAAGTTGGTTATGATATACTGCATCTGGCGAGCTCGCGAGGTGGTGACGGACCACAGCTGCGAAAGATCGAGCCTTCCTTCGGAGAGCTCTCGCTGGGGAGCGAGGTAGACAGGAGCCCATCTCATTGTCCGCGGAGCGTTAGCCAGTTCGAGTAGCTTACCCGTTGCCACATTTTTTATGATATAGATACCATCAAGAATGGAGAGAGGTTGGTCCTTGGGGAGAGTATGAGATTGTCCATGTTCATGGAGCTCTTCAATCCGCTGGGCAATCAAGCGTAGGGACTGTCGCATACTGACGCTCGATTGAACCTGAAGGAAACTTTTCAGTCAACCGATGGCGGTCGTATATAGACCAACAGATATATACCTCAAACATTCTGAAAGCGTGGGTGAGCTTGTCCTCTAATGACTTGATGTTGTCGGCATCTTCACTCTTGTAAAGAAGGCGCTTGTAGACTTTCCGACTCAATTGCGTACGAGTGAATTCCAATATTTCCTCCATCGCACTTATAGTAGCATCATATTTCCAATCTCAGTGCGCTGGAGTTGGAATTGGAAGTGAGGTACGCACACTGTGAGTTGTCGGAGATCATCCTTGAGTTGTACCTCCAGGCCGTCTTCACTGACACCGCGACACGCTTTCGCGATCGTGACGATCATATCCTGAGCGCGCAAAGCCAGGTTCTGGCAGGCCGCCTTGTTACTTTGAACTTCCTGACATCAATAGAGGCTGATAATAAGCACGCATCTTGACTCATTTGCATCCATATATTGTGGGTAGCCTGTCCGACATACCTGAACAACTTCGATAATCGTGACCCCCACAGAGGCAACGTATTTGACGCAAGGCAGGGTATCCGTTGCGTCAAGGATACTCTTCACGAGCGAAAGGGACAGCGCTAAGTTGGAAGGTGCGCGGGTCATTGGGTGTGCAGAGTTATGATCATCATGGGGCGGTAATGAACTAGGCGATCCTAAGCTGAGGGCCATGTGAGTCAAGGACGATGGATGTAATGGATAAGTTGGCTATTATCCCGAAGGCAGAGTAGATGGGATCTCGACCGGGCAAGCGAGGATAGATCGATATGTACCGGTAGACAAGGCTGAGTAGGGGGTTGAAGATATGCCACAGCCAAAGAGTCCATCCAAGAAGCATATAAGTATACAGTAACCAGCGTCTAATCACAATCGCGTGCAATGGTCACTCGACGTGGCCATGCAGTGTCAAGCAAGGATCAGCCCAGATACGACCAGGCTTCACAGCCACCGCGACCTTGAATAAGAATAGATAGAAATAAGTCCCCTATGGGAAGATCACGATAAAGAAAGCTCACGCCTTGTCAGCATACCATTTGCATAGTTCAAGTTCAAGGCCGCTGTGTTCTGCGCTCAACTGCTCTCAGCCGGAATATCTCGGATTGCAGCGGGCGGAGTTTGATGACACGGTGGCACGAAAGTGGCACGAACTTCTGATCAATTGCTGCAACGTTCAATTGAACGATCCCGTCTGGACCTTCACGCTTCAAGCTTCAAATCTTCAAAGGGATTGCCGTTCACTGAAGTACTGGACGCTCACTGCTTCTCAGCACGATGCCTGTCGCCGAAGTCTCTGCCTCTGTTGCCGCCAAATACGAAAAAGACTTCTACTTCGATGCCCACTCCCCGCAAGGTAGAACTCTTCGCGATATCGACTACTCGCAAGAACGCGATCCCAATGGCAGGCTCACTGAGCGCGCGCTAGCCTATCGGCGTGAGGTGCGTTGTCTTCCACCATCCGCACGTTCGTTCTCTTACTTTTTTCCCCGTGTGTTCGTGGCCGTGTAGCTCCTCAAGCATAATAAGTCCTCACAGTTACCTATGCTGAAGGACGACCTTCGTGATAAATACAAGATTACGCGTGTCAATAAGAAAGTCGTACCGTGGAATGGCGGTCCACCAGAGAAGGTCCACTTTGGCATCGGTATCACCATTGCACAAGCCAATGATTACGCACACAAACATAACCTAGTACACAGTCCGAAACGCGACCATATAATCTTCAACGTCCGTGCCGTCGTCAAATACCTCGCAGAGATCACCGACTGCCCGAATCTTTATCACAGGATCGTCTACAGTCTGGATCACGACATCGTTCTTGCGATGTACGATAACTACACGCAGAGAAAACTGGAGTTCGTGCCTGAAGACGAGAAGGAGGTCTTCGATGTCATACGTAGGGAGTTGGGCGTAGAGCCTGAACAAGAGGCGATGTGGTATTACTCCATGAATAGTGAGGATTATTCTGTAGGTTGTGATTGGTGCGTTGGCTCGCTTGTTTCTCTCTTTAATGACTTCACCGTGTTTCTCATACTTCCTCGTTTATCTCTTCACCCACAGATGCCTGTCTCTTCTCTCTTTGTCGATATCCGCCAACATCGCAAGGCTTGCTCTGTATATTTCCTATTCTTACCCTTTGCCATTGCTCTTCCTCGTAGTTATCTGTATATTCCCTGGTGGTTCGTATCGTCATTGTCGTCCGTGTATCTTTGTTATCGCACACGCTGTCTCTTTTCGACTCGTTGATTTTATGTCGAGATGTAAAAGCAGGCTATCCGCAGTCTACCATCTCCCCATCAATTTAGCATCTCGAGAGCTTCTCAAAATTCTCCATCCACTCTCGTCGAGTACAGGACACGCCTTTTCAACCGGTCAACGCATAAAATCGTCCGAGCGAGATGAAAAGCCCGAGATGGGTTGAAAGCGAGGGATGAGGAGCAGAGCAATCAGGTTTGGGCTTCGCATGGAAGGGAGGAGGAAGCAAGTATATGGCGGAAAGGCTGAAGAGTGGCCGTTCGGATTCGTCGCCTCACAGAGGAACTGAGAGTCATCAAGACTTGCTGACGGGGAGACGCACGGTGTTGACAAAAAATATGAGCATTATGACAATGAATATGTTACATCTAGAGGGGGAACGGTCCAGCATGTTAGTTTCTGCAAAGTAGCCGGCATCTGACAATATAGTGCCACTCACGTAGCAAGGTGGCAGCACCACACGCAGGAACTGTGCACAAGTCTATGACCCTCATGGATAGCTCGGCCTCTATGAAGCAGTACACCCTGACACATAGCGAACTATGCATATGGCATAAGTTTCTTCAGCTTCGAGGTCTGTGGCCCATGCGAATATGTCCCTTGAGCGAGGCGATTTTTGCGTCCCGGCCGTTTCCCCACATTCAAATGTTGGTGATACGCGTGCGCCTGTGGTCCATGCCAGGCAGGTCGATCCAAGATTAGACAAAGTAAGCTTTGCACCAAAAGTTATGAATACGCACGCGTTTGAACGGTCCACCTCCATTGCCTATCGACCTCCACCTCTTCTTGGTACCCGAGTGTGTTTTGAGTTTGGGGAAGAACGGAGTTGGTGTCGAAGAGAAGAAGCGGGAAGGAATTAAGAGTGAGGCAACAGTTGAAGACCTCGAGGCAAACAGCCGAGCTGTTGAGAACAATGAGGATAGCATCGTTCTTTACTGTCTCGAACAATGACGAGGACGATATTGGGAAGGCACAAATCCTAATGTGGCCCCTGCTGACCGCGCGAGTCGCGACACCACAGGACACCACGCGAAGTCTCACGCTCCGAACGGCGATTTCCTTGCCAAGTCGCACTGGTCAACGGCAACCTCATTGTGTCCACAACCATCATCTACAGTTTGACTTAGTGCTTGTTGTAATATCACAAGATCAACATGAGCGATAACACACCGAATCAGCTCAACAACCCTGCAGACGATGCTGATCGCGTACGCTCATATCTACTAGTAGATATAGTCCGCCACTGACTGACCGAACTTGCCCTACAGATTCGTATGAAGCGTCTTGCTAAACTTCAGGGACCTTCGCCATCCTCATCCAGTCCTTCTCCTTCAACATCCAGTACACCTGTACCAACGCCTGTACCAGTCCAGAAGCCGAAACCTATCCCGGCTCCAACACCAAAGCGCTCACAAGACGCCGTCCCTGTGCCCTTACCACCTCAGAAGAAGGTGTCTGTTGCTCCTCCAAAGTTCAATTACTCGACTTGGGAGCCAGGAGTGATCAGTAGTGTGTTCAGAGTCACTTTGGATGTGCGTCCTCTCCTTCTCGCCATTTGTTGCAGTGTGACTTAGGGTGGCGTGTGCTTTGCAGCGGGATGTGGCCCTTAAGAGCGACAACGACCTTGTATGGCTGAAGTCCTATGCCGAGGATTCTATGACTGACGGTACGTCTCACACAACCAATTGGATCTTAGAAGCGGAATAATGACCTACCTCCTTGATATAGAGGGTCCGCCTCGATTGGCTGCCGATGCGGTCGAGGGTGTAGTCATCGCGCGGTTAGATTTAGATCCTTCTGCCATGCAGTGCGTGATGTTTCATTAGATGGTGGTTATACCATATCAATATAACGCTAAACCGCGATGTGTGTCTGCAGGGTCGACGACGATTACTCACCCTTCCTTGCTCGTATTCCGAGCAATCAGACGGTGTTCGAATATTTGACTGGATGCTGGAAACGGCTGAACACCTCGAAATCTGCTCTGCTGAGAAGGGTTTGTGGTGTTTCATCGTCTGGATTCGTTGCACTGACATTTTGTTCGTCCAGGGCTATCCACCGGCCGATCTCAAGCAAGCTCTTGCACTCGAAGAGAGCATGCGCCACCTTATCATCAGTTACATTGGAATAGATCTTATGAGCCCGGAAGCTTTCCCTCATCCTCCAGGGTACGTTGTCGCACACATTCGGTCTGTCACTGATACTTACATTCATGCCACATACAGCAAAGCCATTGGTGCTCCAGAATTTACTTCCATGCTCCTCTCCCTTTCGTCCTTCGCCGCTTCTCCGTACGCTTCCTCGGGACCTGCGGGCTCATCCCTCTCGCCCTCTGAGATTGAAAGCCTCCTCTCTGACATCGTTTGGCGCTTCGACCCGGATGGCGAACTTGAGTCCGTCCTTGGTCCCGTCGTCATAGGACTCCTGCACCACGAATGTCTTTTCTCACCAGAAGGTATCGCAAGTGCCGACTCGCTTTGGAGAGGCGTTGTTGGTGGCCTAGAGGTGTTGGTAGCCAACAAAAGCGTGGTGAAGATGATGTGTATGATGGAGGAATGGTGCGCAAATGATGCGGACGCGCCAAACTTTGAACGGGCTAGTTTGCTTGGACCGCTATTGAGGTTGAATGTTTTCCCCACGGAATGGGTGAGTATAGATTAATTACATACTCTGATTCGAGACAGAAGTGATGACACAGCTTTCTAGCCACATATTGCCAAGACATACTTTACCGACGTCGAGGGCAGGCCGGCACAGGACGTTGAAAGTGCACGCAACAGTCTCAGGGGGACATTGAAAAGCCTCCAGGTGCGTCATTTTATGTAACCGTCATGCAATGTCCTCACAACTCATCTTGATGACAACAGTCGTCGCTCTTCCAAATATTTAACACTATCGTGCGCACGTCGCCCGAATGTCGAGAAGCATTCCTCGCATTTGTCGCTCGCGTCATCGAATTGAACATCAAGCGAGCTGGCATGCAGGTCGAGGCGGAAACAGTCTCGTCAGATAGCTTCATGACCAACTTACAGCTCATACTATTCAGCTTTGTCGATCCCTTCATGGACGCCAGCTACTCTAAGGTTTGTTCCCCCTCTCCCCCGTTTCAACACCCTCTCACATTCACGCTCATGGTGGCCGCGTTCTATATTAGATTGACCGCATCGACCGCCTCTACTACGCGCATACCTCCCGACTCAACATCAAGGAGGAAACTCGCATCAATGCCACCTCGGACGAAGCCTCACAGTGGGCCGAAGCCAATCAATTAGCCCCGGGTGCTCCACCGCCCAACTTCATTTCGGACGTGTACTTTTTGACGTTGGCGATGTTCCATTACGGCTTCTTGAAGACCGTGGATACCTTCGAAGAATACGCGAAGGACTTGGATGATACGAAGAAAAGGCTGGAGCAAGCGGAGGGGGACACTACTTGGCAGGGCGTGAGTTGATCCCCATCTTATGCAACTTGGTCTACTTCACCTCAAGAGGGCTTTTACTGAAGACAAATGTCGTTTAGACCATGATGGCACCAAGAATGGAGGCTTACCTCAAACAGCTCAAGGTAGGCTCTCGTATATTTTTCTACCAGATTTATTTTGATCTGACCACTCATTATGCAGGAGGAGATCTCGAAAATCACGGCTGCTCAAACAGCCGCCTCAACACAGCTCCTTGACCCTGAAGTCCTCTTCAAAGCGAACGCCTTCGTTTCTTTCGTAACAACATGGATTATCCGGTTCGTGGACCCCAAGAGAGCGCACCCTAAGCCGATGGTACAGTGCGTGTTGCCCTCGTCGATCTTCACAATATCATGCGGGATGTGTGCTAATTTTATTGACCCTTTCAGGCTTCCACTCCCGGCAGATGTTCCTGTTGACTGGAAGGTGCTCCCTGAATATGTCGTCGAAGATGCAATCAACTACCTCGTCTTTGTCGTCCGGTCAGTCCTCCTGTTTATTTTTCCCGTTTTCTGGGTGCTCATGCCCTCTTGTAGTCATCACCCGCAAAGCCTCGAGCTCCAGGGCCGTGACGAACTCCTGAACTTCACACTCTCCTTCCTCACGTCAACATGGTACATCAAGAACCCTTTCCTCAAAGCCAAGCTCGTCGAGATATTGTTCTTTGGTGCTTGGCCTTATAGAGGCAATCAGAGCTTGTTGGGGTCGAATTTGAATGCGAGCAAGGTGGCGTTGGACCATTTGATGAGAGCGTTGATGCACTTCTACATCGGTGAGTGCTTTAACCTTTGTTTTGATGAAGGTGGATGGAGGGTAAAGGGTTGGCTAACGGTAATGATAATGGCGATTTGTGCAGAGGTTGAGCAGACGGGTGCAAGCTCGCAATTCTACGATAAATTCAGTACGTTGTCTCTGTATCTCGTTGTTTTGTGGGCCGATTGCTGATATTATGCACCCCCTGCGTAGATTCACGGTGAGCACGGCTGTGTACTGCATTCAACTGTACGAGTACCTAACGTGTCATTACCTCAGGCGGTATATCTCATACATATTGAAATCGGTGTGGGAAAATCAAGAGCATCGGGCTGCTCTGCGGAACGAAGCCAAGTAGGACATCCCTCGTTTTTCGCTCCTGGGATTCAGGTCGCTGATCTTGCTTGCAACACAGGAACAACATTGAAAAGTTCATCCGCTTCGTCAACCTCATGATCAACGACGTGACCTACCTCATGGACGAGTCTCTCAGCGAACTTCACCAGATTTACACCATCCAGCACGAGATGGACCAACCCGAATGGTCCACCCGGCCCCTCCAACAACGTCGGGAACGCCTAAGTACCCTAGGCGGACTCGAGCGACATGCGAGCTCCTACGTCTCGCTCGGAAAGTCCACCGTTGACATGCTCAAGCTGTTCACTGCCGAGACAAAGGAGCCCTTCATGATGCCCGAGATCGTGGACAAGCTCGCGGCGATGCTGGATTACAACCTCGAAGCCCTCGTCGGACCAAAATGCAAGGAACTGCGCGTGAAGAATATGGAGAAGTATTCGTTCAACCCGAGGAAGCTGTTGAGCGACGTGTTGCAGGTGTATCTGAATTTGAGCGACTGTGGCGAGTTTGTGAAGGCTGTGGCGGGTGATGGGCGGAGTTATAAGAAGGAGTTGTTCGAGAGCGCGGCGGGGACGGCGATGAGGTATGCGTTGAAGACGGAGGGGGAGATCGAGAAGTTGAGGTTGTTTGTGGTCATGGTCGAGGAGGCGAAGGCGACGATGGATGCTGAAGAGGAGTTGGGAGATGTGCCGGATGAGTTCTTGGGTATGTCTTGCTTTCGCCTTTACAGTCCGACCCATACTCATGTTATGTCTACCCTAGATCCGTTGATGTACACCGTCATGAAGGATCCGGTCATTCTTCCGTCTTCGAGGACAGTCATTGACCGGTCGACTATCAAGTCTCATTTGTTGTCCGACTCGAAGGACCCGTTCAACAGACAGCCTTTGAAGATCGAGGATGTCGTTCCTGGTGAGCACTAATTCTCGTATCCGTCATGATGGTCCGCAGTGCTGATAACCAACTTGCAATAGACGATGCCTTGAGGACTCGAATCCAAGAGTTCCTCATAGCGAGAAGAAACCCTGCTTTGGGCCAAAGTGCCGAAAACACTGTGCACCTGCACGATGGTACGGACCAGGCTGATGAAATGACTGGTATTAGTGCCAACCAGGGAGAGGCGATGGACACCTCGTAGAGTTGTAGCGTTTTGTGTGGCACCACCCCGAACTGTGTAGATGTAACGTTGTAGCATATTGTAATCTGGAAGAGGACATTCGTCTCGTTTGTGATCAATCGCTCTGGATGATAAATCGTATGCTTGAGGGGGTATCATGATGGTACAAAGTCCCGTACAATAGCGCAACTTAAATAATTACAGCAAAGTGGCGAGCGAACGTCCGGAGATATGTACACCACCAACACCATCAACGTTTCCGCTTCTTTGCTGGACGAGAAGTGCTGGCGCGACGCGTTGACGCGCCTTTCTTCGTGCTCTTCCCCTTCTTGGTAGGTTTCGCCGTCTCGACTACCGTGAACATTATTCGCAACAGTGGCGGGGATGATGAACAATAGCAGGACGTACCAGATTCCTCGTCCTCATCCGCATAGTCTGTCCCACCATCCGTCGCGCTTTCCCTAGGCGTAGGCAACGCACTCTCGTCTCCACTCTCCTGTGTCAACGCACTGCTATCACTATCCCCACCGATCAATCCCGCCGTAGCCACATCGCTCCTCGTCCTCTTCTTACCCCGACCCCTCTTCGTCGGCGGTGGCGGTGAAGCAGGCGAAGCTGGATCTTCGGGCCCTCGCAGTCGTCTTGAGTCAAGAATGGAAATGATCTCCTCGTCCCATGGCAGTTCGAATTCTTTGCGAAAGAAGGGATGTGACCAGAGGTTCTCGCTCGGTGAAGGTGATCTTGCTTGGTGTGGCGTAGGCGAACTCGACCCGGGAGATTCGTACCCTTCCGTTTCCTACACCATTCGCGACGCGTCAAATGAAGAAAAGTGAAAGCCAAGTTCGAGGCACTGACCAGGTTCTCCAGCGCGTCAAGGTCATAGCAACTTCGAAGCTTCTCCCAGAGGTCCTCTATCGAGACGTGTCGGCCAGTGTCCCTGTAGATAGCGTTCCGCATTGACAGGATGTGGAAGTGGCGGTGAAGGCCGACGGGTCGTGTGCGCATGAGAGAGCGGAAGAATGAAATTTCGCCTTCGACGGAGGAGAGGAAGTCGTCGTCGACTGGGCTTGATTCGGCCGTCATCGTGGTGAACGTCGAGTGCGTAGAGCACAAAGAACCAGGCGCGCCACGCCACAGCAACTTGCCACTCTCTGTCTAGATTTGCGATTCGGCTGGTTTCCGGGGTCCTCATCCATCCCGCTCAGAATGGATCAGTCCGGAATCACGTTCAGCTTCGTTTCACCCGCCACGACCATGAGCCACACAATGCCCAAACACCACGGCTTAACATCACTCATTGCGGTATTCGACGCTTTGTGGCACGCAAAGCTTCATGGGGCATGTCTGCAACTGTCAAGTGGACAGGTCCTGATGAATAGCAAGTAGTTAGGTGAGCTAAAACGCGTCGTCGATATCATAGTAGATGTCGTATCTGCTACCGAACGAAGGGGCCCTGTCGCTTTGTATTCCATTTGTCTTTCTTTTGGCACTGACTCACCTGCGGTGCATGCTGGTTGCTATCGTCTTGATGTAGCTTGTGTCTGTCGAACGACAAAGATCTCGGTCCGCATGTTGCCTGAAACCAGCATGCCTTCCTCCTAGGTTTTGTTCCAAATACTGGCTCGTTCCAGAATATCCGCACTTGTTATCCAATTTTTTTTGGGGCTGATAGCATGTGAAAGCTGTGACGCCGCTTGGCTATCGCGACTGGCCAAGTGCCGTGGGCCTACACCCATCCCAAGCCATATTTTTTCGATATCGTTGAGTGCCACCAATTGTGAGAACGTTTCGCTTTGTATCGACCGATCACTTGGTTCCATATACATTGTCACGAATTGATGTAGTGCCATGCCTCTTGCTACAATGCTAGCGGGAGAACCGCGAACCCTTTCGGCCTTTAAAACGGTCTGTTAACTTCTCGAGTTGTACGTTCCCCCTCTGACCCGCCCACTCGAACCGCACCCAATTTCGATCTCGCTCCAACCATGGTAACCCCCACCAAACTCCCATTCCCCGATTCCACCGCGCCCGCGCTTCACAGGGGCCATCGTCGAATCCCGGACCGTCACAGAGCGGCCTCGCCTGGGCCCTTGCAACTCCATGTTCCAAAGACTCGTGATCTTGGCCGTGCGCTTCATCCCTCCAGATCTTACCCCCCTATAACCGGCGTCAAACCTAATCAACTTTATCGTACCGCTACTGGTTTGCCCCCACCCCCACCCCGTTCCAAGAATCCAACTCCACAGCCGCCTACCAACCCGTATCTAGCCGCGAAAGGAGACTCCAGAACTAGTCGACCCCAGGGCGAGAACGACCCGGCTAAGCAACATCGTCGGACAAGGACGTTGAGCGATGGCAGTATCCGAGGGCTGGGACCGGATGTTGTCCAGGTTCAGCTTCCCGAGAGGAGGTTCAACCTCAAGGATCCGCTCATCGAACTCGAACATAGCCTCAATATGCTACGGTGCGCCATCGAAGACCGCAATCTTCAGAGTACTCAGAGCTGGATCGGCTCCAGCCAGAGGGCCATGAGGCAGCTCCTGAAGGCGACCGAGTCTCTTCCCCAGCAGGTCCTTCGCTCATCGTCGTTCAAGAAGGCTCAGGAGGCGGTCGTTTCCTCACTGGTGCCTTTCACATACTTCTTCGGCTTGCGCATGTGTGGGTCTTCTGGCTGGACGGCTGCCCCATATCTCTTTGAGACAGTCATTGAGAGGGTCGTCGCCTTAGTTTATATTGCTGATGATCTAATTCAGCTTCTGCCTGGCGTCGGTAAGTAATATCTATGCCATATCAGCGTCTTGACACTAATATTTATGGTTCCTCTGTTATCCGGTAGCCTGTCTGTCTAGGTCTCGACTGCCTAAGCTGCTTCAAGGTATCCTCGCTAGGCGACCCCCCAGCCATTACGATGCCGACTGCGACTACGTCTTCCATGACTTCGACTACATCCCTCCGGAGCTTTTGAATGGCCCTCGCAATCCTATAGACGATGCTCAGGATTATCTGATCTATCCCTCTGCCGTCGAGCATGATCCGAACACCAAGCCCGTGATCGTCTATGCGAGTCTTCCTGCCATCGTATCTCTTCTCACTCAAGACCGCGCCGAGCACGACGTATCAGTTCGAGAGGATTTGAACGAGATCTTCTTCTGCTGCCTGCACTTCTTCGACTCTAAGGAACTGTTCTACGCTCTGGTTCAAAAGTATCGCCCGCCACTTTTCTCCACGACGACGGACAGTAGAACGATCGAGAACCTGCGACGCCATGGCCATACTCAACGTCGTGTCCTGGCCATTCTGACTGCCTGGGTCACGAAGTGCTGGAGGTTCGCAGACGACGACGCTGTTCACGAGTTTATCTGGGACTTTGCTTCCTCGGGACGTGTCTCGGGCCGCTTTCCTGCTGAGTGTCGCAGGCTGCTTGAGGGGCTGAATGCTTTACAGTATTACAAGAAAACAAAGCGTCTGATCGGCCCTCGTCCCCTCAATGAACAGCGACCTTGCGCTCACACTCCGAAAGGGCCCAGGCGCGTCGATGTGGATCGTTTGAACGCTGAGGCCCCAGACAAGACGGTTCAAGTCCAATGCGGTTTACTTCCCATCAGCACCATCATGGCCGAGCTCATGTTCGACGACCTTCCTGCCGGCCGGCTCTTGACAATCGCTCGCCAACTCACTTTGATGGCGCACAACCTCTTCGTCGAAGTCTCACCGGAAGAGATGCTCACTCACGAGTCCAAGCATGAGAATTGCACTACCTGTCGTGTTGCACACTGGAGGCCCAAGGTGGCACAGTTCAGTGATAATCTTACCAGTTGGGTCTCCCGGGCGGTTGTGGATGAGGAGAATCTCGACAGGAGAGTCACAATTTTCAAGACTTTTGTAGAACTCGCCGAGGTGCGTATTTTCGAAGTCATGCAACCATGCCCTCTCATGATGAAATTCTGGACCAAACTAACTCCGTGCTCTTTTGAACTCTTCCAGATGTTTTCCCAGCAGCATGACTTTCATAGCCTATGCTCGATCATGAATGGACTTATTGCCGTAGGCTCAAAACTCACACATACGCTCGAAGTGCGCCACAACCCTACTTTCTTCCATGCCTTCTGGCGTAGCTGACTTAGTTTGTTCAGGCATTCGAAAAGCGGTCCCCGCGTGATTTTGACGTGTATAAACAGCAGAAAATGCTCCACAATGCCTTCTGTAATCAAGGAACCAAACATGCAATGGATATTATGGAGAAGAGTTCACAGCCCATGGTACCTATGCTCTGTACGTCCCTCGTCAAACATCTGGATTTGTTCTACCATCCTTGTCGTTGGCTGGCTTCTCACTGACCACTTCGCGATTTACAGCCATGTTCACACAGGTGTACGAGCGCGTCCTCCGCGGTGGTTTCATGTTCGTGACTTCCAAGCAAACGCAGAAGAGAGTACATCACATCAGGCAGTATAGGCTCCTGACCCAGGCCGTTCGATGTGCGTGCTGTTTTCTTTATAACTTATCTGCCGTATGGCACGGATTTCACTTCTAACTCAAACCGCGTTCCTTTCAGTGTCCAAAGGCAGCTATGCGACTTCGTATGACTACGGACCTATGCCAGAGTTCCAGAGGCTACTTCGCGCCATCATCTATGCCGATCAGTCGACGCCAGCTGAACACGCCGCGGAGAAGGAGAGGATTTATCAGAGAATGTACGTCTGGTCTTCGAGGTCCTTCCTCCGAGTTCGTCTCTGGATTCTGATGGGATTGGTCTCTACGTTATGCTATTTGCAGCCAAGAGATAGAGTCGAACCTCCCACCGACACCAGCACCGCTCGTAGAGACACGACCTCGTCGAAATTCGCTCCGTCGAGGTGCAGAGGCACTGGTGAGGTGCATCACTGATCCCATAGGACACCGCCGATCTGCATCTCGAGAACGCCAGTGATTGGTTTTTGTCTGTTATTTATTTTCTTTCTTTCACTAACATATCTGTATTATTTAAACCACCTTCGACTTCGTTCCCATTCTAGTACCACTGCTATTCAGTGTAACCCCACCTTCGTTGTTCAGTTAGTGATATATTTCCTCCATTCGCTATCTATTTAGACCTCTGTCTCTTCCTTTCTCCGATTACAAAACGTCACGATCATCATGCCCATACCACAGTACCTTCATCCCTCTCCCATCTAGCACTCCCCTTGTTTCAAACGCCCGCATTCACGCTCATTTTTTTGCCATTGTTTTGTCAGCTACCCTCTGACCAGTCACACTCTTTATTGATTAATTTTATTGTTTCTCTTCTTGCCCACTTGTACAATGTACTACCTCTGTAGAATTTCAATTGTAATGAGATCACAGTCAATTGTGATCGCGAGGCACATCACGGTGTCCTTGCGGCCAACGATTGGTAGATTTGCGCGAACTGCCGTGCCCACTGCGAGTGTCCGGGGTCTCAGTCTTACAATGAAGTCGCTTGATTCGGAAATATGAAACGATCTTCTGAGTCTTGACTTCATCTCCCTCCTCTCCGTTGACTGCTCCGCATGGCACCGCTCCTTCTGTGGTCTAGTTTAGTGTGGGCACAACGAACTTGTGTCAGTAAACACGTGGCTAATCGCTTGGTACGTAAAGCTTACTATCTGGATAGCTCCATGTCCCTCACAGAATAATGGCAGTCTGGCCTCTCTAACATCCAGGAAAGTCTTGCGCACCTCTTTCAACACGCGTCTACATACCAGAAAAGTGACTTAAGCACTCTCGGGCCATGTTTCGTAGACTCGTCGAGGCAAACAATCTTTTGCCGTGTTATGTCATTCGCCACGGTCTAAGACCCACTCGTAAGCCTACGCGAACCTGAACCCATTTCCAATTGTCCTCCATAGTTACCGTTGTATTGATACCAAATATGGACCTACACTCAATATGGTTGGGCTCTTGGAGCTTTGCCTCATAAGACACGGAAAATTTCGGGGTCGGGCAATGGGCCGTGCCTATGACAACCTTACCCCCAAAAAACTCTTTATAACCCCCACGATCGCCCTTCTCTCCTTTGTAAACTCTTTCTCAACATCTCCTTCACCTTTCTGTCCTTTCATTTTCCGCAACATGCCATCGATCTCTGCATACCTTGTTCCAAATATGGGAAGTCCTCCGACTTCCCCCTTGCCCCCGGCTGGGCGACCGAGGTCCAGGTCTAGCACCCTATCCCGTGCAACTTCATTCTCGTCGACGTCCTCAAGACGCTCTCAGCCTGAGGTTCCCCCATTGCCGCCCAATCTTCCCCCGGCTGAGCGATCCAGGTCCCGGTCTAGCACCCTATCCCATGCGACTTCGTTCTCATCGACGTCCTCAAGACACTCTCAGGTCCCTCCATCGCCGCCCCCTCCGGATGGGCGACCAAGGTCCAGGTCTAGCACCCTGTCCCGTGCGACGTCCTTCTCGTCAACATCCTCAAGACATCACGTCCCTCTCTCGCCATACAACCGCGACAAAGCTCTTCCCGTCCCTCCACTCCCAACACGGTTCTCACCGTCGAAAGATGCATCCACTTCGTATAATAGCCATCAACGCGCGTCCACAGCACCCGCACGTCCAACGACTGACCTTCCTCGGTTGTCGACTTCCCCCGAGACGCGTGTTCTTCCTGTGGGTCATACCGGAGTCGTTCCTCGCTCCCATGGGCCTTCAAATACAGTCAAGAACGTTAGACGAAAGCGAACGATTGGTGATGGGGCAGACGTCGGACTGCTCGGTCCTGAGGTCGTACAGGTACCGGACACCACACACGCTTCCGTGAAGACGCTTTTGCACGAAGTTCAACTCTACATCAGCCTGCTTTACTGCGCCATCGAGGAGCGCTCTCCACGCAGTCAGATGCTCCAGACAGCGAAGACGGCCGTCCAGTGGAATACGAGGCTCTTTCAAGCCATGGATCCTGTGGCGAGGAACAGCTACGACCCGAGGGCATTCTACGAGCTCCAACACGCGGCCGAAATGGCTCTCTCTCATCTTATTAGTTACATCCTCGCTGCGAGCTCTCTCACGGATGACCTCTGGACTATCGCTCCAGATCTCTTGGATATGGTTGTCCGCGCTGTAGTTTTGTCTGTGCGTCTTATAAGCCCGGATAACCCTACTGGTACGCCCTTACCATCTAGTGCGCATGTCCCTGCTCCCGAGACTCCCCATCGTCGAGCGTCCCGCGATCGTTCATCTCGAAAGTCAGCAACGTCGTCGCGGCTCTCCTCCAGCTCCGAAACTTCCTTATTGTCGACCGCAGACTCCGAGTCATCCCCAACGGCACCTACCCCCACGGCCGACGAGAAGGACGCTCAATGGGTGTACTACGGCTTCTCCAATATTCCCCGAAAGCCACTTGCGCCGAACCATCCGCTGTCTCCCCCGAAAGTATGTCTCGACTACTCGATAATGAAAGTTATTGGGCGTGGCTACGATCCCGACAGTCGTGCTCCTTACGTCGTTCGCTCTGGCACACTTCGCGCACTCGTCTACGTTCTGACCGAGAATCCGGATAGTCAGCTCCGAGACGAACTCCAAGAGATCTTCTTCACATGTTTCCGCCTCTGGGGAGTTCATGCTGTGTTCGACGCTCTCATGGCTCAGTATCCTCCGAGAGCGAGGGCCCATGGACTCGACTCAGAAGTCTGGAACAAACACGCCATCGCTCACCAAGCCACTCAACACCGGGTCATGTCCCTATTGACCACATGGGTTCACTTTCATTGGCGCTTTGAGGACTGGGTTGCTCTTGATGCATTGTATGAGTTCGCCACCACGCAGACTCTACGCATCTCTCCGGCCACCTCGGCCGCTGAGGACCTTGTGGAATCTCTGGACGCTCTACGCCAAACAACTCAGGACCAACGCACAGGTCCTCGGAGCAATGATTCTGACCGTCGCATGAAGCCCAAGTGGCTGGACCCCCACTACTATTCCGCACCACAGGCGAAATACATGGATGCACTGGTCCGCGACCTCGCCAATGATCACGCCACTAGCGGTAGCCCGGGGCGATATACTCTCGACATCTCTCGTTTCGGAGGCAAGAAATGGTGGATTGCGCTGGCGTCTCAAATCACGCTGGTCTCACACGATTTGATCAGAACCTTCCGCGCAGAGGACATCATCTCTCACGATCAACACGGCGGTAGAAAGTGCAAGGGCTGTCCTACTTCTCGGCAGTTGGCAGAACTACGAACATTTCACGAGGGGTTAGTCTTTTGGGTTCAAAGGAACGTCTTGGGGTTGGGAAGCACCGAGGAACGCATGGACGGCCTGCGGAACTTCATCGAGCTTGCTGAGGTACGCTTTTTCTTTCTTGTTTCTCCTTTAACCTAAAGATCGCGGCTTATAGACTGTTTCTCGTTTTTATTCTCTGTGGATCTTGTTCTCAGGAACTACGCAGTCTCAAGAGCCTCGATGCATTCGTCGGTATCCTTTCCGGCCTTGATAGTTCAGCTATACGGAAGCTGGATGCGTCTTGGCAGGTAAGCTGCCTCTGCGATCCTGTCTAACACACGTTCCGTTCGCTGACTTTGCTCTACAGCTACTCGGAATGGAATATCCTGGGGCGTTGGAAACATTCCAGAAATTATTGAAGGACCAACGGAAGCTCACTCAGGGATATCCCAACGCGGAGTCCTTCATGAGACCCTTGGAAAAGCCAGTTGTCCCATGCTTCGGTGAGTCATGCAGCTCTTACCATGATTCTGCTCCGTCACCCATGAAACTAACTTCAACTCTTTGCTTTATTGTATGGTCAGCTCCTTTCCTCAATGCTTTCGACCATAACATGCATGGTGGCAAGACGACGGTGAGGTCTGAGAGTGGCAACGACCTCATCAATCTCGAACCTTACCGAGCGCTCACCAGAGCATCGCGTCGTGAGTGGCCTACTCTTCATGCTGCAAATATAGTCTGTTCTGACTTATCTTATTCGACCCGCAGTCCTCGATAGCTACCGCATTGGCTACGATTTCGTGCCTATGCCCCATTTGCAGGGCGCTATTAGGGATACGATGATGGTCGGAATCGAGACGATAGCAATGCAAGAAGCCGAGAGGATGTGTCTGTTGGACATAGCGTGCGTTCTCTCTCTCTCTTTTTTTCTTGTCTTCCACGATCGCACCAGGCTAAGACTACCTCACCTCCATCCCTAGTTCCAATTTGCGCAAACATGGGGGCGAACTCGTACCTGGCTTCGAACTCGACGACGGGCTCAAGCAGGAGAATATGGTTGAAGTCCCACCTACGCCCGGTCAGAAAAGGCATATCCGTCGTCCTTCGCTTCTCGATACTGCGGCCGAGTTCCTTGCGCGGAAATTGAGCAATGACGAAGGCCCGCGGAGTAAAGCCCACGGCAGGACCCCCAGCAAGGGCTAGACTGACTCACTTTCGCTGTTCTTTCTCTCCTTCCTAACGAACCTCATAACGAAACTCTATTTATGCCTCGCTGTAGTTACTAACAGAGGCGCCATTATATCTGTCACGCTCCTTTCCATCTCATTTCTTTACTTACTAGCGACACCTCTGTGGTCCCATTGTTCCCATTTCTCTATTTACTAGCGACACCTCTACAATATCATCCTTGTCTGACTCTTAACTTATGGTTATACCCGCACAGTCGTGGCCCCCACATTCCTTCATCGACTTATATAAACTCATCATGATACACGTATTTATGTGCCCTCGTTGATCGACTGAACCCCCAGTGTATTGATAGTATATGATGCTCCTCTGCTCTGTATTTAGTCGGTACTTATAGCGGCGAATTCATGACCCAGTAGTATACGTAGAAATGTAAGACTATAAATGATATCGGTGTAGTGACTTCTGGATTGAGTACTGGTTATCGGCGGCCTGGTTCAGCACATTCGCTCCTCGAATTGTTCAAGACGCAAAAAGATCGAAATAACAGCCAGCCTGAGCTTGGCAGTTTCCCGTAGGATATCATTATTGGGTATATAAGAGATCGCCATATACCAGCACGCGTCGACGCCATCGAAGATTCACAGAAACCGATCCTCAATCGCTACATGTAGAGTCGTTTTGTCAGCGTGATGCTCAGTCGGGCGTGGAGTCGACAGCGAGGTCAAGTAACCACTCACAACTTGAATTTCAGAACGGTACGCCCTTCTGTTCTACCTGCCCTTGCCTCCTGCCCCCAATCCTCATCCCTTCAAACCTTCATACCATACACAAACCCAACTAATAACCTTCGCCCCATTCTGAAACACATTTTCCCTCCAACTCAGACTTCACGAACCCAACACGACAAGTAAACGCGCACGATATCATAGGTCCATTCGAGATGTATGTATCCGCCGTGGTGCAGGCGGGCGTGCTGTTGGCGGGGTATCGGCAGTGACTGCCACCAGGCCGTGTGGCCCATTCGTTTATCTGTATGAATGACGCGTGTTCTATTGGGTAAGCTCATAATACCGCAATGTCATAGTGATACATATGAGATGATCTATCGAGATACACTCACAAGCCGTCCCAACTCCTCAACCGCCAATTTCCTCCCAACGACGCTTATCAAGCCCGCTGCGCCCGGATCATTACGCAGAAAATTATGTATCCCGGAACGGCATATACACGTCGCTATTCAATGTCAATGAGAAATCCCCCGTAAACCCACAATGACAAACCTGACTGGGAAAGGAGAAAGAGAAAGAGAAAAGACGTACTGAGTACGATAGCCTCCGGCGCAAAGAGTTCTACGCCGGGGAACGACGCGCAGATATCAGCCTGAGGCTCTTGCGTCGTATCAATGAGAGGAGCCTGAGGGCCGCCGCACGCTTCGCTGGTAGCAGCAATGCTATGTCCTTTCGGCTCCGGAGGTTTTGTAAGGACCATCTGCATTTGTGCGGAACAAGACACACGAGTGCACAGAAGAGCAAAGAAGGCAAGAAGAAGAAGCCGTGGCATTGCGGTGTGCGTTCAAGATGGTGGGTACTATGACAATAGCAATGGTAATACCTGCCAGGGAGTTCGAGGATGAGATAACAGTGAGAGGGGAGGAGGAGCGGGTCAATGCATCACCAAACATCACCAGAGCAATATATATCTTCCCGCTCTAGAGGCGCTAGTACAAATCACATACGCCTCGCGGACCAGTCCAGTTGCTATCTCCATACAAATCCTGACATGAAGTAGTAGGAGACTTACCTCTTCCGGACCAAGGATTCGCGATTTGTGGTTCTCGGAACATGTCAGAGGGAGGTATGGTGACTCGGACTCGGAAGGCATCCTCCATGGATCATTCATCCACCTAAGTCATTCTGGGATGAGCTGAGCTGCGCTGAGAACAAAGAAAGAAATAGCCCTTGGGTGGCATCAGACCGGATGATAGAGAGGTATAAATAGGAGGATGGTGGAGTCGTCGAGTGGAGGTACTGGGCTTGCAGCTGAATATCGGTGTGTGGCGACGAGAAAGACTCGGACGCGCATAATGCATCATGCATCACCGCTGAGTTCGAGGTAAAAGTAGTACCGCGAGTGATATGTCCTCTGCCTTTCCGGAATCAGCCCAGAGCGGAACACTCAAACAGTAAAACGTCTTCCATTCAGAGCTCAAACTTCAGCCAGTGAGAGCGCCAGGCCCAGCAACCTCAAGACAAACCAAGTTCAAACAACTTTCAAGGCGCGTACTTCAAAGCTTCAAGCTTCAAGCTTCAAGACTGTACCAGACAAAGGTTGGTCAGTGGCAGTGGTTGCCAGTGACACAATGGAGAGCTCGGAGTCAGTACTGAACCTCTTTCTCGTTCCGGATTCTCCCGCAACATAATCCCAACTTTCTCCACGCGCGTGGCCAACTTGGAACCCGGACCCGCCACAACACAAGACCGAGACCGAGACTTACAAGTTACCTTCATCATCCTGTGTGCTATCTAACTCTGGACCAAACTGAGACACTCAACGTCGGGACTCGGGCGTAGGATACACATCCGACATCCAACACTGACATCGAACACGGGCATTGGATATCGGACGTTGAAGCCCATGCGTTCAATCAGAAAAAAAAATCATAAGAAAATCAAAAAAAGGGAGATCTATCTGTGTATGTACAATCACAATTCTCGATCCTCGAATCCAGGGCATCAAAAGTATGCCATCGCCACCATTTCAATTGAACGAGAAGTGAAGAACGAAACCGTGGCCAATGCTTTCGGCGTGAGGATGGAGGAGACGGCAAGCAAGATATATGAAAAAAAAAAAAAAACAAGATGTGCAGGGGTCACGAGAGATATGAAGATGGAAGCAGGGGCACAGACAAATCAAAACGCCGATGACTGAGGACAACGTGTAGACGGAACTCGGACAGACACAACAAACAATGACGCAAGCAAGCACGGACGGACGGACGGATGACTGATGTCGAAGAGAGTGAACACCAAGAACAAGAACGAGAACAAATGAAATGACCGAGCCCCGACGCTCAACACACACTGGCAAGCACAAGTAAAAAAGAAAGAAATCTAAGTAGCTTCGACTTCGATGGGCTCGGGCTCGAAGCAATGAAATATAAATATGTACATATACATACAACCGTTGACCCAAAAATGCATGCATGCATGCAGCTACCCAAACCCAAGAATAGCGATGAACGAGCGAAGCGTGAAGCGTGGAGTAGAAAGGGTTGTGTGTGTGGAGATAAACCAAAAGTGGGATCGGGCTGTGGCTGGGTTGGTTGGTTGGAAGGTAGGTTGGTATTCGTCGGCCTGCCCAGATGCGTCAAGATATGTCCGGTCGGGTCGGTCGAGTCGATTCGTCGTGCCGTGTGGATGGGGTCGAGTCGAGTCGAGTGAGTCACTGTGCAGCGGGCTCGGGTGAAATTGTGCGGTGCGCGGTATGCTGGGTCGGGGTGAAATCGTGCGGCGCTCTCGAGTGAAATTGTGGCGGTATGATGTGATTGTAATGCAGGGTCCAGGGGACAGAGGTGCGCGCTGTCCTTCTTCCCTGTTTTGTGGCTTATGCCGATGTGGTTTTTGCTCGTGTGTGTGTGTGGCAGGTGTGTGTGTGGCAAACGGTATGGATACAACAATTGTTTTCCTATTCTTCACGCGCAAACTGATCAACAACGTTTCCACTGCCAGATTCCAAAAGAGAGACTCACCTTCTCCTCCTCACTCTCGTATCTCCTCTCATGTCGGTTTATAATAAATCGTCGTAATAAACTATTCAACCACCACGCATTAGAGTCAGCAAACAAACCACCCAACCTCTCATCCACCTCTGTGGCACGGGCACGTACAAGTGTCAAAGACCGAGAACCCACCTTCTTCTTATACCGCGTCGTATTCCCCACCGCCAACACCCCATTCTTAATCGCGCTCGTGCTCAAATGATGTAACACGACATGATTCGGAACCGGAAGCACACTCGCATCGTCCGCCAGCGCCGGTCCACCTCCAAACGCCCCTGGGGCACTTCCTCCCTTACCTCCCACTCCCTCTCCAGCACCACCACCACCGGCAGAAGAGAGACCAGGGGTAGTGGGCCCCCCGCGCGCTGCAGCGCTCACATCCGTCCCGCTCGCCGTCGTCACCGGAATATCCTGTTCACCACGTTCACCAGGCCCCGAATCCTCGCCCGAATTCGTGCTCGTCATTCCCAAATTCGAATGTCTCGTCCTCGAACGCAACCTGCCATTTGCATTTGCGTTCGCGTTCGCAGGATTAAGCGTCGAACCACCGTGCGAACTCGAACTCGACCGATGCCGCGATCGTTCCTCAGCTCTAGCGGCGGACGCATCGGACCGTGGAGGCGACGGCCGATAGTTTAATATGAGTTTATCGAGATGACGAGGGAGGATGGGAGCGGGTGGGATATTAGGTGCGGGAACGAAGGATTGTTGACCTTCGGGGGAGAGGTAGATTTCTTCTTCGCGTGCGGCGGCGATGAGTTCTTGTGGGAGTTCGGACGTCCAGCGCGCGGAGAAGGTGGAGGTTGAGCTGCCTTGGGTGCCGTTGTCGCTCCAGAAGGAGATTTGGTGGCCTTGGGAGGAGTGCGAGGGCGTGTTGGTGTTGGTGTTGGGGGCGGTGGGTGGGGAGAGGTTGAGGCGAGGGGGGGTGGAGGCTAGTTGACGTGTGATGGAGGAGGGTTGGGAGGAGGAGCGGGAGTGCGAGGCGGAGGTGGAGGAGACGTCGACGTAGTTCGCGAGGGAGCCGTCGTCGTCGACGGCGGTGGGGAGGTCATCGGCCACACGCCACTCGTCGTCGACGACGAACTTGACGTGGTGTGTGCCGGGCCGGAGAGAGACGGTGACGGTGAATGTCGAATCATCGTTCGGGCTGTTATTCGAGATAAGAAAGAAGTAAAACGTGAGCGAGGGGGACACGATCGGCCGGATAAGGCAGGAATAAACGACGAGGGATGGATGAAAGCAAATACGCACTCCTTTTCCATTGGCAGCCGGCCTTTCCAATTCGCGTCGCCTGCACGGGCGAGGAAGACGGATTTGCCTCCGCCGTGCCATGCGATCTGGAAGGGAATGGGCTCGCGGGGCTCGTCTATCGTTTTGCGCGGCTGCGGGGTGCTGCTGCTGCTCTCGTCCGGTGGGAGCTTGACGAGGCCGACGGGGATCGTGCTCCGGATGGTCTCTGCGACGAACGGCGACGCGGGGTCGTCCACGAGCGGCTCGTCGTGGTCCATATGCACCGCGGGGATCTGGGGCTGCTGGCCATTCCCGTTCGCCTGCACCTCGCGGCCGAGGAAGGAGCGGGTGGACGGGTACTGGCTGCGTGCGTACGAGGCGCGCTGGCGGTGGTGCGGCGGGTAGATCGGAATGTGCGTCGACGGCTGCTGGGGAAGGACGTCTGCCATCTGCGTCGTCGATGGAAGCTGGGAGGGTCGTGCGTAGGGGGACTGGCCGACGTTGCCGGCGGTGCCGACGGGGACAGGGCCGGGGACGGGGATGGGGATGGGGGAGGACGCCTTGGGACGGCGGTAGGGCCCGTGGGGGGAGGCGTTGGGAGAGTTGAGGTGTGAGGAGACGGGGGTGAGGGGACGGGGAGCCAGGTCGGGGAGCTCGAGGGAGCGCTTCTTGTACCTCAGGGAGCGGTGGGGGGTGTGCGTCCTGCTGGCGGACGTCGACGACGGCGACTGGTTGCGCTGGCGGGCTGCCGTGGCGCTCGCGGCAGGCAGCGCACTGTGGACGTCGGGCGGGGACCGCGCTCGCGATGCTGGGCTGTCTGTCGAAGACTGTGAGTTCCCCATCTATGGCAGAACACAACCAACGTCTGCTCCCTCCACCGACCACCCCCTCTGTCACCCCCGCCCGTCACGCCGTCACAACCCCACCTTCCCCATTTCCGTTTCCCCGCACCGCCCCGCCCCTGTCCATGCCGTCGGCTTCGTCACGCTCCCCATGTCTCTCTCTTTTCCTCTCCATTATTGCCGCCTTTGCGCTTTGACTCCTGCCTCGACGAGCACACAAAAAGTTGCGACGCGCCACCATCAGCAACCTTGTTCCGCTGCCGACCCGGAGCTTACTCCATCCATCCGCAAACCTAATCCTCGCCACAATTCGGTCTCAGTGTCTATTTTCTGTGGCCCTTCTCCTGAAGTTTTCGCGTCTTTCTTCTCATTGTCTCTCCCACGGACAACACTCCGTATCCCCTCCGAGCCAAAATCAATCATCATAACCTTCAACGTCACCGATAGACGATAAACGAACGGACACAATCCACCCACGTTTTCTCTCCCCGTTCCCGAACGCCACACGCAAGACCAAGACATACAGTGTTGGATCCCACAGACCCCTCGCGCCTTCCTATTCGCTCTTCTGGAACCGTCTTCTGCGCCCATTTGGGCATCTGCTCTCCGGGACCGTGCTCTGATTTCAAAATTTCACACCTCAGCTACAAATCCTTTGCCTTGAATGAGCGACGCAGACGGTTCTTGCGCCTTCACGGTGCCACCGGCCCTGACTTGCAATTGGGCGTACGACGCTGTCCTAGCTTAGTATCATTCCGAACGGCGAACCGAAGCGCATCAAGCGGGCCTCGACCACGACCACGATATGTATGGAGTTTACGGCGACTTTGTTACCGCTACCGTGGGTTGTATGATGCAAGGTCGGTAGGTATTAATTTACTCTCGGAAACACCACGGAAATTCGTTCGGCGCATTATCTTGCTTGCTTCTTATTGTCCCACCGAGGATTAGCTCTTCTTCTTTTTTTTTTTCCTTTCCTTCAGTCTTTCTTTCTTTCAGTCTTTCGTTCTGGCTACACCGTCCGACAGCCCGTCCGCCCTTCATCGGGCCTCTCCCAGCTCTCTTCTTCTACCTTCTTCCTTTTCTTGCCGTCCCTCCTTGCTCCTTGCTCCTTCTGTCCCTGATCCCATCCCCATGGGCACGGCCTACCACAACTCCCAACCTCAAGTTCGAAGCACGTTCAATCAAATTTTTGCCTTCGTGCGCCCTTCGAAGGTTTCCCGAGACGAGAGGGAGAGAGTGCTGGGTTTACGCCCTCGCTCTCCCACTGGTATGCTTTTCTTGACGCTTGACAGGCTTCGTTGACGTTTGATAGGTATGTAGGATCTGGGTCAATCTAGGAGGTGTCGGGACCCAGGCGAGCAAAGGGGTGCCATTTTTGAACGGTGTATATAAACGGGATGTTAAACCTGCCGGTATCTGGACCAGTCTGCCAATGGTCATCTTGTATTTAATGGTTGATAGCTGACGATTTCTTACGACTCTCATCGTCCCTCCCCCTCCGAGTCCACCATCCGAGTCTAAACCACACGCGTACGTACGCTACCACCCAATCTAATACAAGCCTCACTTTCCCCATCCATGCATCCATCCGAATCGCTATCCTCTGGAGTCTGAATGGCTTCTCACCCGAAATACATATCCCGTACATCCAAGCTCAAGCTCGAAACCTTCGTCAATTCGTCATTTTGTCAGCTTGACCGAGGCCGATGCAGGGTCCCACGCCGGTTCGAGGATCGGGCGGAGGGGCGGAGGGGCGGAGGGGTGTCGAAAGTTTTAGGCTTTGGGTTTTCGTTCCTTGGACTTAGCTGTATTCATGCAGGTTTATTCTCGTGGGCTGCATGCAGTTGATTTTGGGTCCAGGGTGCCTGTCTGCTAGTGCTTATGTACGGCCAGCAACCTGAAGATAAGTAGTATGAATCGGGCATCCATATCGAATCCTCAAACTCTATCGTGTCCTGTAAACTTCGCCTCTCGCACTGCTTGGTTCCATCCATACAACAGTCAGAGAGCAAACTCGAACAAGGCCACTGGGCCACAGTGACACAATAGGCCTAGGGTGCCACAGCCGTACAGTATGAGTATGTATCGAATTTGCAATAACGGAAGTTCTTTCCTTGTTCTTGCGGAACTTCCCGGTCAGTCGCGTTTGCTTCCGGTGCTTCGCCGCTTCTCAACTCACTGGCATGAGCTGCCTCTGAGTGCTGCCAGTACTCCTCCCTTGCGAACCGCTCCCGAGGTTCGAAGCTTGCAGACGTTTGAACTTGCTGAACTCTCTTTCGATGGGCTATCCGTTCTGCGGTAAATATTACTTCACACACTACGAGCCTGACGGGCCGACTTGGATTTCAGAGGCTCTGGCGGCTCGTATCCAAGCCTCCCGCGCTCAGGGCGGCTATCTTGACCGTCAGACACTCTGACACTGCTGCTTAGCACTGCGACACGATTGATTTACTCTTGGAGTTCTGCCAGTGCAGAGCTGTAGCACGCACCGCTGACTCGGACAATTCGAGGCGAAACTTGGACCGGGCCCGGTCCAAGTTAAGTTCTAATCATACTCTCAGTGATTGAAGCCTTCGACGACGACTCGGAAGAGATACTTACATGAAGCGAGAAGATGTCTTCAATTCTTTCTCCCAGGTTCTGATTAGCACTAACTTAGCACCTAACCTGCCAACCTACCTTTGTCAAGGCACGCGTGCACACCTATACTATAGCTGACGAAGTTGCCAAGCGCGAATATTTTATCATCACGGTGCGGTTCAAGCTCGGATACAAGGTTTTTCTCTTCCAACGTACCTATTGGCGGTCAACAATCTAGAGTAAATACTTTCGCCACGAGGAAGTCCACCGCGACAACTCAGCGCATCTCAGACGCATTTCCAGGCTTGCAGACTGCACCACTGTCCATACTATGGCTATATGTCGCTATCTTTCCAAGTTTCTCCCACGGAGACAAAGTCGCGATTAAGTAGTACGCATTACGAACTGGAGGTGCGTCACTTCAAGTTGAAGTTTCTCCTCAACCTTGATCTGACGGCGCCGTCTCGCTAATCCGCGCGGCCAGAACCATGATTTCATCCACGCCCGTGCTGCCCTGTTGGGATTTAAGGTATGCATCATGGGTTATCGATGGCAGTAGTGGCCCAGATTAGAACTCGAACATGCAGCCATACACTTGAAGGGGACCGTGCGTGCGTCCGAGCTTGTGAGTGAGTCGGAAATTTTCACGTATCGCCGGTTGACGAAAGCTCACACAGGGACCGGCTTTGCAGTCGTGGTACGATTCCTTACTACTGCATGGATTCATAGGGACGCACGGGTGATCGGCCGGGATCTCATGCTAATGCTCGTCACGGTGGAGTCGGGAGCAGAACATTTGGCACTATGGAGAAAAGGTCCCGGCCGGGTGCAAACCGCGAACGTTGGAGGTAGAGGCCTGCAGTATTTTCTCTACACGAGCTGATGCACGGTTGTGAAGACCTGTATACTATGGTGATGCCCTGGCATTCGCAACGTGTTCACAGATACTGAGACCATGACAGACTTCTAGGAGAAATCGTGAATGCGGTGCGATTCCTCCATTTCGTCATGGTTCCCTCCGTATCGTCCAATCTAATCACCTACCGACCATCTCCTCATTCTGCCCCTTCCGCCATTGGGTTCTGCGTTCCTTCTCGCCATGTGTAGACTTTGAAACTGATGAACCTTCTTTTGCTGCTAGATGGCGTCATAGCATATGGCGCTGACTTAGGACCGTTAGCAAGCGAGCGAGCTATAGTCAGTGGCTATACTTATATGGGGACGCCATTTCGAATCCTTCGGCCACAGAAACTTTGATAGGAATCTGAGGAATGAAGGCTTCGACTTACGACGCGGTCCTGACTTCGAGTTCAAATCCTCCAACTTGTTATCCGTTGTTATCGTAACTTACACGCCTCACCACACTTGATGAAGATCTCCTTCATCACAATCACATCATGACGCAACAAAATTCAAACACGACGACGCCCAATTGAAGCATGTCGACATCCAAATCCCAGTGCGTTCGCCCAATTCCTACAGGCAGATAGGCCCAAGTCCGGGGAAACCCTCGCTACGCGTCATCGAGGCAGTGACCTAGCATTAATTCCATCAACTCAACTGACTCTCGCGCACACGGTTCTCGGCCTCGAATACCAGTGCGCTGTGCACATACCTATCCCCACTGATCTTTACACGCGCTTTGCAAATTGATGAACCTTGCTTTAAGTGGCGTCATGAGGTCCTGTGGGGCTTTGATTAGCGAAGTTCTTAGTACCACTGTCAGTGTGACAGCTGAGCTACTGGCGGATAGGCTAGTAATAGCGGCTATGAAGAACTCGGATTTGTGGCGCACAAGCGTTCTCGTTCTGTGGGCATGCAGTCAAGGCCCGGCTCTCATGCCTCAGTTACAGCACTGGCAGCAGTGCCTTTCAGACTAGATTCCTCAGGCTCTCGGCTGAAAGCAAACCTTGCATTTCGAGAGAGTGCCATTTTCAGAGCTCTCTCGTCGCGGCGGTTGATAGGCAAACTGCTGGCAGTGAAATACGGTGAGTTCCGTCGCTCGCCTTATCATTTCTCGCACGAAAAATCGTTCTTACCTTCTTCTTCTCCCAGCCCAAGACGCTGTGGATCTGAAATAGATGAACTTTGTTCAAAGGCCCTGATTAACAATTTGTGGTGGTCTATGCTCGAGCTCGAACATGTTGTAAAGGTGTTATCATGGTTTGAATGTGTGACTCGCGCCGGTTAGATGCGACTGCGAGGGAAGCGGGAGTGCTCTGCGAATCAGAGTAAGACGATCTTGAGCACTAGCAGGTTTGCAAGGATCCACAAGGACCCATAAGCAGGAACCGGAGAACCGCGCACCCACAGCCGAGGGGGAAATCATGACATCGTTATCTCTCCTCGTATCATATCCATTCACAGTCCTCGTATCCCCATGCACCCACTTTCAAATCGAAGAAGTTTACTCGTGTGTGACGCGAGTACAGTCGGCAAACGCCCATAGCAGAGCTGAGGTACGAGCAGACGGAACTCCATAGGGGAATTTTGAGTTTCGTGGTTCGACTTTTTTATGAGATTTCCTATGGGTCAGGGCCGCGGGTGAAGCCAAAGCGTGAGAGCATCCTCGCACGTCAATGTTGTGTTAAAGAGATAGTGCAGGTCTGTCGCAAGACAGTACGTTCTCTCGTGGCTCGGTACCTGCAGAGCTCTAACCCGCATATGCACCGCGCGAAAGGATTGTGCATCCCCCCAGACATTGATCCATAAACGGAGATCTTGGCCTTGCTCTCTTACAGCACCCTCGCGACCGAACAAAACAGGGCTCATTCTAGGATCCCACCGAAATGCAGACCAACGTAGTATGATTTTAGCTAATTATAGAGTACAAATTGAACGGCACAGAAAAGATTCGCTTGAACGAAATTTAAGAGCTACGAAGAATAAGAAAAACAAACACTAATAACCCCTAGGTGTACGCGGGACACGGGAAAGACGGACCCTTTCCATCTGAACTCCACCGACAGACCGATTCACATAACTCACGCAGACATTACCCGCCCTCTCCGCGCCGTCTGAGGATGGTCCCTCAGTGTTTGCCACATAAACGCTCACGACTCCCTGTCCATTCTGATAGAAGTCCCTCTTGATATCAGTAGCGAAATCCTCCATATATTCGATCCAAGAAACTAGCGATTTATCACCTGTTTGATAATTGCGCGGCCGCGGAAGCCACGGCATGAAGATCCTGTCAAAGAAATCTGATCTTATTATGGTCCTGAGGGCCCACTTGAGCGACGTGATCTTCAACGTGAGTGGCTCGGCGGCTTGCGTAAGGAGCTTGTCGTGCACCTCTTTGGTGCTTTCCACGTCCATAGTACGAGCCGTATAGATCCCAAGGACGGTACCATACCCTGGAGGAGGTCGTGCTTCACCGAACCACTCGAAACGTCCTTGCTTGCCATCAACCACGCAATATGCCCGCTGAGGCGTCGTCCTTCCAGGCTCGTTGGCTAGAAAGAGAACCTCGCAGACAGCGCCCACGCGGAGGAACAACGATTTCACGCCGAGGTGTAAGGTTTCGTCTGGAGTCTTCGGTATCGAGCTGTCTCCCCAGATGATTGCGAATTCGAATGGCGTTTTGGTTCTCGTGTTTGTGCTTTCAAAGACAACGAGACCGGTCGCTATGCGGGCTGGCATGACGGGCACTGTCGTCCGTACGTGCTGTCAGCTACTAGTATAGGATGAGGAAATATTAACGTAGGAAGACGCACAGTATGATATTTTATGTCTTTTCGGAGGGGGGTGTGAGAAGTCGCGATGGGAAAAGTGGCCCTACAGACGAAAAAGATATGAGTATGAAGACCGGCAGAGAGCTCAATTGAGACGTACAAGAGAATGGAGTTGTGCAGGAGCGATGGATAGAGGGAGCAGCTATCCATGGGCCTTTATATATATGATTCCACAAAAAGGCCCAAGCAACACGAGGTCCGTCGACCCATAGTGCCAGTGGATTGTTATCATAGTAGTAGGCTGCAAAGACGTCTTGAGACCGATCGGCATACCCAGACAATGCGAGATCTGCGTGACCTTACACAAAGGGCAATAGCTTTGTGAGTTTCCGTATTGGCAATCCTGGCCTAGAACAAACGCTTGTTCCTTTTTCGGCGATGCTTCGCGTGGCCCACTAGAGGATTCCGCCGAGACAGGCCATGACTGCGGAATCTACAAAGCGATGCAGACCTGCCGCATTATCTCCTCGATGGTCGAACTGCAGAAAAAAATCAGGGGGCCTTGAGCAACTGCCAGAAGACAAAGACTTCTTCCGAGTCTTTACAGTAGCATCGAGACTCGGAACTTGAACATGAGCCGGGAATGGCCATGATGGCGCAAAAAGCCAAACTAATTGACAAGGAAAACTAATGGCCAGTGGTCATGATGACAATGGGCGCGGAGGAGGTTGCTAGCTACGAGCTTTGTACGTGCTGCCCGCGTCGTGCTCTCCGCGTGTCTTCTCGCTTTTCCAGGTACAAATACATCCAAATAAGAGTGTCGCTTGCCGGCGAGTCACTCGGCCCCGGTTCACTGCCACTCCCGAGCTCCGAGTTGTGTGTCCGAGTGTGTTTACGTAAGGCATAGGCCTCATTAGGCGAACATCATCTACTTATCTTGAGAGTCGGGCTAACTTACCACAGTACTCTAACTGAACCTGCGTATACTTTTGCTGCGGGTGTCTTGTTATTGAAACCAGGCAACAATTTCGTGTGGCGGCTGCATCCTTGCTACATCCGGTATACTTATCTACCGGATACTAGTAAAGCCTTTTCGGCTGGTTACTCATCTTGAAGTTCAAATTCAACCCCGCGCACAGCACCAGCCTCCTTGGTAGGCTGGCGCGTCGATCATCGCGACACTATAGCTATCGTCCTCTTATCCCCCCCTCTGTTCTTAAGCTAATGCCGGAGAGAGATACCCCAAGGCTCCGGATCGGTGTCGTGCAGTTTGCCCCTGAAGTAAGATCGTGTTGTCTGAACGCTTTGTGCATTTGCTGATGGAAATATCGATGATATCATTATCGGAACTGAAGATCGGGCAGGTTCAACACAATATAGAGAAGGCTCGCCTGCTATGTGCACGGTGAGCATGGCCCTGGACTCACTCGTCTTCAGGGCCGACGCCAAGGTGGTCCCTTGCTTGAAGCTTACAAAACTATCCAGAATTCAACCGCACTCACTGGACCTGCTTTGCCTTCCTGAGATGATCCTAACTGGTAGGCCCAGTCTACTTTATCATGCAGTGCCTGCTTCTCTTTCTTATCCTTACTACGACTGCTTCACAGGATACAACTTCTCCGGTGCCACAGCTATCTCCCCTTTCCTAGAGAAGCCGTATTCCGGGCCCACCTCGACGTTCTGCTCGCAGCTTGCACAACAGCTGAATTGCCATGTCACCGCAGGCTATCCCGAGAAACTTGAAACACACGAGGTTGGCAAGCGGAAGGACGATAAGGGAAACGACGTCGACATTGTTGGAGCGAATAGCGCGCTGCTCTATGGTCCTGATGGCCAGCCAATCGGGAACTATCGCAAGACGAATCTCTTCGAGACTGATCGAACATGGGCAAAAGAAGGTAGTTGTGTTTCTATTACCTATCTAATCAAATATGAAGTAGCTAACGTTCTTCATCCTGACAAGGTTCCGGCTTCGTCTCGTACAGGCTCCCTGTGCCATTGAACACGTTGAGCACGGCCATCTGCATGGACCTAAACCCTTTCCCTCCCAACGATTGGCGACTCGAGGATGGTCCATACGAAGTAGCAGAGTACTGCACGACCAACAGGGTCAACGTTCTCATCCTGTTGAACGCCTGGTTGGATCCAGGCGACGGAGACGAGGAAGACGCTGAGGAGCCGTCGTGGTCGACTGTGAATTATTGGGCAGCTAGGTTACGACCATTCTGGACGGAGTCAACGTCAGTGAATGCACCGGAGCAGATGCAAGGTCAATCGGAGCCCGATAGAACCATCGTGGTAATCTGTAATCGGTGCGGAGAAGAGAATGGTGGGTTGTGCCACTTTTTGCACAATAGGCGGGCGATACTGACCTTGACCTTATCAATGGCAGGAAAAACTTTTGCTGGGAGCTCTGCGATCTTTGACTTTCATCGAGGACGCGGCCGACCTACTCTACACGATGCGCCGATGGGCAGAGCAGAGGAGGGCATCCGCACATGGACTGTCTGATGCTCAGCTCACTCTGCCCTAAATAAAGTCGTCGAATCTGTTCACCCAGCTGAGTTACGACTGCGTGAGCAGCCTTGCCGTGTAAAAAGATAGTATTCCATGGATACAATATAAATACACTTGGAGCACTGGGTATAGTCATATATATACAGGATAAGAGTACTTGATCCATCACTTACCCGAAGACTTCGAGGACTTGCACGTCCTACGAAGCATCGCCACCACATCCCTCGCGTCTTCAAAATCCTCACCACCGCTGGCAGACCAAGCATCCACTTGCACCAGCTGCTTCACAGTGGCGACTTGCGACCGTGCACGGGTCTGATATCCCTCTTTCGTGGTGCTGAACGAATGCACTTGAAACTCTAGCTCTTGGGCAGCATCCGAAAGTACAGCGTTCCTAGTACGTCAAAGAATCGAGATTAACTCAGTCCCATCGATTTTGTTGAGATGTACCTTCTCGTCTCCTTAGCGGTCTTCATTCTGAGCTTCTCCCACAATTCCGCTTTGGCAAAGGCCTTGTGCAATGCACGACGTATCGAGGTGAATGTCTCATCCCGAAGAGATTTCTTCACCAAGGAAGATTAGTCGGTCTCACAACATCGAGATAGGCTGGTTGACGTACGGGAATCTTCTGCGAGAATGATACATCCAAATCGACCTCGTCGTCGGGTAGCTTGATGGGCGACGCTACATCAAATGTTAGAGACCTTCCAACGTGTGAACGAAAGCTAGGCATCGGACTTACAGCTTGGAGCCGCGTCCTCTGTTAACGAAGCCCGACTACTATCTCTTCGCTTACTTCGCCGTCGTGGAGAGGCCTCCTCATCAGTCTGGACTTTGGCAGCGTCCGGCTCTTGCTTGATTGTATCGAGGGTTTCGTCTGCATGATCGGGTGGGTCAGACCCGGCCGCTTCGCTAGGTGTCTTGAAAGGGGTCTTGAAAGGCACTTTGAACCCCGTGGCAGCCTGCTTTGGCTTTCTCAAAGATGGCCCTATTCGGTGGCCAGTAAATATCAGCTTGTAACTCGTGAATGAACATAACGTACTGGCACCATTTGTAGCCGCAGAGTAGTCGATCTTTTGCCGCTTGGCCGGATCACCTTCGCTCCCCGTCGCAGTGGAGTTGGAAGACCCGCTAGCAGTCCGCTTCAATCCCTGGGCACGGGAGCGTAATATGCCTGGGCCCACGTAGTTCGTCTTCGCACCGTACGAGAGAATCGTCGACCCTGCGCTCGGTACAGAAGGGTAATTCTTTGCACTAGAGTGTTTAGTGGTGTCTTTCGATTCGGACCGTAGGGGTTTCGACCCAGATGCTGCTGCGTTTGGTAGTAGCGGTGGTGGGACAGCCCGAAGAGCTCGAACTCGATGTACGGGATAGGAATCGTCTTCTTCGACTGAGTGGCGGAGGAGTTTGGCCGATTGTGTGGCGACTTGTTCGTGTGAAGAGAGAGCCTCCCGTCGCTTCTTTGTCTTCTCGGGGTATTTACACACCTTTGAAAAGAAGAAACCGAGAGATCAACAGCTAAACGCAAGGATCAGATTGGAGAGGGGAATGCACGTACGTCACACATTCCATCGCAGAAGGTCTTCACAAGCTCGGTATCGTTCGCGTCGATGACTTCGCCAAAATATCTGCATATCAACTACACAGCTCTGAGTCAGTCTTTGAACGGGAGCCACCAGAAGCGACAGAATTCACCAGATGTCGACAGATATCAACGTTCTCGGCGAACTTGATTAGCTGCGGTATCAAGTTAGTATACTGTTACATCTTCAAAGGGAGTTGTGGGACAACATACGGAGCCCAGACTATTGACGGCCCGTTGACTCGGAGGAGGAGCGTGGGCAGATTCTGCCGTGATTTGACGAACGCTCTGGGACTTTGCCACAAGACTTTTCACACGGAGCGCGTCCTCTCTGGCTAAGAGGCTGTCAGTGATTTGTCCTCACTAGAGACATCGATATACTCACAGAAATAAAGGACGCATTTCGCGGCCTGTACAGTGCCAAGGGTAGTAAGTATAGAGGAAGTGAGGGTGAAGCTCTTCTCACATACCAAATCGTCTCTTCCCGCTCGTCCTGCAAGAGTGATGAGCAAACCGAACAGAACATCATATCGAGTGCCCAGGCTTACCTGTTTCTTGGTAATACCCTGCAGTTTTGATCAGTCTATGCTCATTTGAGGGGATAACAATACTTACCTTCGAAGCTCTTGGGCAGGTCAAAGTGAATGATATACCTATATAAAGACCAATCAATCAGTATTGCACATACAAATTAACAACTTGTATGCAGGGATGTACCGAACGTCACTCTTATCAATGCCTATCATCGTGCAGTGTCAGGCTTGAAGACCAGAGAGAATGACCTTCACTCACCCATTCCGAAAGCAATTGTGGCACAGACCTGCCAATGAGTCGATAGGTGAGCTACGAAGGGGTGACAACCACATCGACCGTGACTTACGATATCTATACCTTCTTCACCGTCTCCGCCCTTGAGCCAATCCGTCAAAGTCTTGTCAAGGGCATCGGGTCTAGGAAATTGTGCTCAGCAAACCCTCTAGACTCGATATGCAGTGGCTTGAGCATAAATCAAGACATACTTGATCCCCTTATGATAAGGCTTCGAATTCAGCCCTCTTCCTCGTAGGAAGTGTGATAGTTCGTTGCAAGTAGCACGAGTGCGGCAATATACGATCCCAGACGATGGCCTATTGCGTCGTCGATGTAGGCTGCTGATGTAGCTGAAGACATCTTCCATCTGAACCATCGTATCATTCGAAGCGTGATATCTAACCTATGAGAATGAGCCGAGACGATCACCGATGAGCCACAAGTCTAAGTCTGAATTCACGGCGAAGGGGAACATAAGTTAGGACTTACTTCGTAGAAGAGGTTCGACCTGTTGAACGGATGTACGAGCTTGCAATGATCCTCAGACATTCTCAAGCTCTTAATAATGTCATCCTGAACCCTAAGAATTATCATGCGATGAGCAGAGTAAGAGGAAAATCTATGAAGGGACATACGTCGGTGTGGCACTGGCAGTGAGTGCCATGATGGGTACGCCCGGAAACTTCCTGCGAAATGCCCCAAGCTGGCGATATTCTGCTCGGAAGTCGTGTCCCCATTCCTGTAAGGTTTGTCGCAATTTGTTAAACACCACTATTACACCTTACTTAGATAGAGATTTCTACCGAGATACAATGGGCCTGTGGCACGCAAGAGAACTATGATGAGGAAGGACCATATGCAAGAGTGACATCCAAGCTCACCTCGTCTACGACCAAGCGGTTCAAATTATTCGCCTCGTACACAACAGTTAACAGTCTGTGGATCTCTCCGGTACTAAGTCTCTCCGGTGTAACTGGTTGATGTATCGCTCAGATACCTCGGACGATGAGACAAGTGAGACTTCACTCACTGTAAAGCAACCTGTTGGAAGGCTCCCCAGACGACAAATCCTCTTTGATCTTCATTACGTTCGCGCGTCAGCAAGAGACGAGCGATCCGAGTTTGAGATGTAGGTAGTGCTAACCTCATCCTGCTCTAGCCGAGAGACATCCGAGGATAATGCTGCCACACGGACATGGTTCTGGCGCAGCCGTGCGACCTCTGCAACGACGAGGTGAGTCACCAGTAGGATGTTAGGTCTTTGAAAGGCTCACGGTTCTTGATCAGGGCTTTGGAGACGAGATGGATCTAGTTAGACTGTGGCCAAGCATGCATCGAAATGACATTCATACCGAGTAGCGGGGATACAACGATAGTAAGACCTTCCTACAAATAAAATAGGGTCAGCGGTCAGCGGCCAGTAAATTGAATGGAAGACCACTCTTACATCCTGGGCTAGTGCTGGGACTTGGAAGCAGATGCTCTGGAGAATACGAATCAGGGATAGGGTCATAACAATCGGTCATATGCACAGAGAAATATACCTTCCCCATGCCAGTAGGTGCCACCACGAGGACATCTCGTCCTTCAGAGGATTTTACTGTCAGTGCACATGAACCAAGGGCTGGACTAGGGTGACTGACCTGACGCAGCAGCCTCAAATATCTCCTTCTGTTTGCCCTTGTAATCCTCATGGCCGAAGACTGTGGCGCAGGCGATTCAGCATTCAGTATGAGTGAGAACCAGAATCCCTGGTACACTGGTCCAGCTTACCATCTTTCAGAACACTATGTCCCGACAAGGGATAAGTCAAGATACTTTGAGCCAAACCCTGCAAGCTCTGTGGACTCACTGTAGACAATCGTCGAGAGTGAATTTGCCGGTCAAATCACTACCGTCGTCGGCCATACGAAGCCGCACAAGTGGGTTGTCCAAGAGTTCAAAACGATATTATTGAAATGTGACAGAATAAGCTTGATATATGCGTAGTAGGCCTTCAAAGACGGATTCGATGGTGGTGAAAGGGCGGAAGAAACGCCTAAGACGAACTTGCCGGCGGCGACAGCAGACAGACACCGCGTCGCGACAATCACATGACTGTGGGCCACGTGGAGTGCCACCCAAGTGGCCCAATCATCGGTAGTTTCCCCCCCGTTCTTCTACACACCACGCCATGTCTTTGGGTACAAAAAGATCAACAGTACTGTAGCATCAGTGATGCAAGTAGCACGTAGGCTCCGTATTCCGGTATGGTAGCTACAATGTGATGGGACTTCTCCGACTCTGGTCTCTAGATACACCACCAGAACATACACTCTTCCGCATCTACCTATTCATACGGCTCTAGCAAATACATGTAACGATGATCACGCCGACTTAGGTCCAGTCGGTATACCAGCCAGACGCAACTTGACTGCAAGCTCGAACAAGTAGTCGAGGCACTGTAGAAGACGTTAGAACTTGAATAGCAAATGGCAGACAATTCATCAGGATACTGACCTCAGTCTGCGTTTTCGCCTTCTCCCAGTCGCTCCCTAAAGTTGGAGAGATTAGATCCACCAGAGACATAGTGAGAATGTCATTCTTGCATGTGCAACGTACCCCAAACATAGACGCCATGTCTACGAACAAGGATGCCAGCGGCCTCCGGATACTTGACCATGGCTTCAGCCATGCTATCCTTGAGATCTTCCTCGTTTGGAGTGTTCTCTATGATAGGAACGACAAGCGTATCGAGATAGGAGAGCGCTTTTCCGGTTCCACCGATACGGACACCTTTGATCATCTATTGGCCGACATCAGAACTGGACGAACCTTCCTCGGAGGTTCGCAAGAAGACCTACCTCCTACATCGCAGAAGACCAAGTTTAGCGGACATATATACAAACGTGGTAGTGAGCACGCTACGCAGAACCCTCGTACGCAAAAGAACACAAACCTGGTGCGAGATGGTGAATACATCACCTGACCACATCAATGTCGCCATAACCGCGTTTTGAGAGTGGGTATGTATACAGCTCCCTGCGTCCCTCAAATCGAAGGCATTCCAAAACAACGGGGTGCAGGCAGATTCTTTGAGGTTGACTGTGGGTTTGCGCAGGAAGATTTTGTCCCCGGTTGTAGTGAGCGTTTGTGGGTATGGAAGGACGAAGATATGCGTAGGTTCGATGCGCTCTTTTTGGACACCCGAGGGCGCAATGTATACCTTATCACTGAAACGCAGGGTCGTCGTAAAAATACGGACGGAATGGTAGAAGATATAGAACACACCCATATCGGATAGTGATCCCGCCACCAGTACCCGTTACCCAACCAAGGTGATAAAATCCTCTACAGAGTTCGGGGATCAGGTTCGCGGGCTAAGTCTGATGGTCAGTGGCGGCGAAGAGAACCTGACAAGGGAGATGGGCTCTTGCATGAAGAGGGTCGGTAGAGGTGATAAGAGCATCGGCTGGAGAGGTCGACATGATATAAGAACGGGAGGAGAGAACAGGCACTGGTGGTGGTTCGAGAACAAGGAGTATCCGCGAATATTGGCCGCTCGCCACAAAGTTGGACAGCGATCTTTTGTTAGATAAGATAACCCGCAGGTCAGCGAGCCGAAGTAAACGGTTACAAAAATAACCTTTGCACGGAGTTCGAATTCTCTCTTGAACTCTTCCCACCGTGAGGACTTGTCGAAATCCTCCATGGGATATGATCCCGCACAAGCGCCCTATAGTTAAAGACGGTTCTATATCTGACAATCTTTCTGCGATTATTCTTCAAGCGTCAACGTTCCTTCTGAATCATCTTGTATACATACGGTAACATACCCAGCTATGGACTCATAGGCAAGCGCTCGCAATCCCGGTGAACGGCGACGACACCTCACTGCGGGTCCAACAGCGTCCGTCCAGCGCTTAGATCAGATTCAACGGAACTGCAGTCAAAATCGTAACAAACCCCTCACGCTCGGCTCCAAACATTCTCGAGTTGGCGGGCAAAGAAATGACCCAGCCTGCTGTACCACCGAGATCTTCCTGACCCCCAAAGGAGCTCAAAACCTTGTCCGGTGACAATGACTCTCTTTTTCCGTCAATTGACGCTCTCAGCAACGCTGAACGCTCCAGCATCAAGCACACGCATACTGCATGTCGATATCGTGCCACGACACAAGAAGCGCACACTCGATTCGGCGGACCTTTTACCTGCCCAAACTGGGCGTTGCCGCAGTGCTCAAGTACATAAAGACATCACTCTCATTTTTCTCCTGGGCAAGTTCTGCCATCACCGTTGGCATTGATGTAAGCTTCCCTCGGTAAGCGCGCCTTCCCGGGGTGAGTAAGTAATTCCTGTTTGATATCTTACGAACTTGAACGGATTCCCAGGAAGACGGCCTCCTTCCTAGGCTGCAAGTTCGTACGATGAAATACCCCTGGGAAGGCCACAGTGGCGAGACTGCGGGCATGGGGACTCTCGTTGCAGTAAACTCTATTTGCTGGTGCGCACGTAGGAGGATGCTGTTCGGCAGCAGGTTGGCTTCTAGGTCATGGTGAGGGAAGGAAGGGAAGGTGATATCATGAGGCAGCTGCCCCATGAGGGACAATACATAATATCCTTATCTGTGGTGGGCTACATACACCAAAAATATGAACTGGTCCGAGGACCATCGGCCATATGTATCTTGTAGAGCGTATGCGTGATACAGAGCTTGAGCAAGATGCAGGGCGATAACTTGTCATTCCTATATCGGCCAAAACGGTGTGTGTGAGCATCGCAGTAGTATGCTTCTACTCGAAATTACGCTCAAGAGCATCGATTCGGAGAATGCGCCGTGGGCCCACGAGTAGCCGATGACTTTCAGCAGAGTACTATACCAGACCAAACGCGACCGATGTCTACATTTCCAAAACAACAGGCAAGAACGATCTCCGGACAGATGCATCCATACAGGAACAGCCGATACGTTTCTTGTGAGTACACGTATACGTAGGTATATATACCGCGTCAACAAGGGGAACAAGGGGGTGGGGGTGGGTATTTCAAAGACAGAGCTGACAGGACGAACAACAACGAGAAGAGCCTGGGCGAACTAGCTACAAACGAATAAAACAATCGACGACGGAACCACGAGCACACCAAGGTACCAAAATGCAAAAAGCCAAACACAAACACAAACACGAATCCAGCAGACTATGATACATAAACCGCCCAGTAGACCTTATGCGCCGCCAGACGTGGATGGCAGCACCACTGGAGTTGAGCTCGGGGGGACTGGTGAGGCATGCCGTAGGATGACCATCAATCCGTCCGAATGGGCGGAGAAAATGGCATCGACGGCCATTTCCGACTCCTCCGTGGAGGATGGCAGGCGGCGACGTACTCGGGAGGTAGCAGACGAGGGCGCGGCACTATGCGAGCCGTGCGTGCGCGTCGACGATCCTGGACCTCCGGCGTCCCGGTGCCGTTGCCTCGCCGGAGGAGGATCAGCTTGCCGTTCGCTATAGAGGGGGTATGAGGGTGGCGTGCGGTGTCAAATCAGTGCATGTTCAGCATGAGGTGCGCCAACGGGAAACACTAACCTAGAGTCCCTACCCTGTCGATATAGTTGAAATTTGCCAAATCCGAACCCTCCATCGCTTGGCTGCCCTCGTTCGTTGACACCCCATCCTTTGACAGCATCTATCCAACTCCGGACCAGGTCTTCGTCTTTTTTGGCCACGAAATCGAAGAAGCTACGACCCATTACGGTTGTAGTGGGCAGGAAGGTGTCATTGGAGCAGTAGATGATGGGGCAACTTAGCGAGAACCTGTCAAGAATGAAGGCGGTGCGGATGGATTGCTTCGGTAACGGATCGAAGGTGATAACTTTCTCCACTCTCTCTGCCAGCTCATCTGTTTCGTCCACGGGATTTGTGGCGTTGGCGCGGACATTGCTGATCTTGGTGGTGGTTGTGACGGAGCCTTCCGGGCCTACCGCACCCGACGACAACGGGACAGCGATTGTGCTAGGTGGCATCGGCGAGGGATCATTCCACCGCTGTCGTGTATTGTAGGTAAATAAATAGTGTAATAAGGGGCAAGAACTGAATGCCGGAGCGCCACTCACCCTGAACTCGAAATTGGCAGCTGAAGGGGTGATGACGGTGACCTCCTGCGCCGTGGATGCATTGTGCATCGCCTTGGGCCCCATGGAGGCAAATGAGACGCTACCCACGAGGACGTTATAGGCTACAGTTCGAGACTGACGGTACGAGGTAAGCATTCATCAGGGCGACGTAGGGGAGGCATCGGCCAGATACTCACGATTGCACAAAGGATGTAACCTTTGTATGGGTCCTTATGCTTCATGCGGAGGTAGGCGAGAACGGCCGCTTTGTCTTGTCGTATGGTGTCGCTGAAGCACGAGTGAGAATCGGAAACGAGTAGGAGATATCCTCACTCCCATGACATACTAGTGCATATGTTTTACACGAGAGAATTCATCCGGGTGAACGAGGTCGAGAGACGGTGTACCGACGAGCTCATGTGGCTCATAACCTGCTCGGATACTATGTGAGCAAAGAAAGGGGTGAAAGGATGATACTATGGGCGCTTACCGAGGAGGTCACTGACAGATTCTGTAAGAAATACCCATGTCGCCTGTGTTGAACGTAGAAGTAAGACAGAGAGTCATCGACAGAGGCGGAGTGTGAGCGCACATTCTCTGAGAAATCCACGATCCCGACTAAAGGCGCCTGGGGTCAGTTTATATCGTGGAAAATATATGGCCTAGAAACGCACTGAAGGAAACGCTGGGAGAGTCCATCGCTTGGCAAACCTAGTAAAAGAAATGGACACGAAGAACGGAAGGGCGTGGCAGAAGACGGATTGAATATGGTCTGCGGCTGGCCCAGAGCAGTTCGAAGGGGGAAGAGCGTCGGTTATATCAGCAGGATAAAGATTGAGCGAGCTTGGAGAGCGTGTGCTGGCTGTACGACGGGGCTTGCGATGGGGAGAGCGACTGAGGACGTCCAGGGTGAGCAAGGCGTGCGCTCGCAGACATCTGGCCGACTCTGGACAAGATGCGAACGACCGAGTTGACGCTCACCTCGCTCCCCTCGGCAGCGGCCGGTCATCCTCCGTACGCGCGGAGTTTGGCACTTTGCTCTCTCTTCACCCCCACACAATCCCGGATTTCCAGCCGCTTTCTGGGCCTTCACACCCGAAGCGTAAAAATTCGCCGAGATCCTGCCACATCTGTACGGTAAGCAGCGCCCAGATTCGCTTCCACCGCTGGATCTCATACATCATATGCCTCTAAGTTACAAATATCGCCAAGCCGTGGGCCGCGGCGCCTTGCAATTATTACCGTACAGGTCGCTGAACGTTCTCACAGGATCTTTTCTGAATAGACTACAACATATCTACTCTTCTGATATTCTATTCGCTAGTCAATATGTGGTCCTCTGCCCCTACGATAGCGGCTGGAGATGTGGTCATCGCATGGCTCGTAGGTGTTCTCAAATTACGTTCAATTGCATTGGAATGTACTGAACGAAAAGTGTAGACACGAGAACAGATACAGCCTCTCACCATAACTCCCGGAAAGGAGTTCAACAGCAAGTTCGGGAACTATCGCCACGCAGACCTAGTTGGGCTGCCTTATGGCTCCAAAATCGCCTCTCGCACTGGCAAAGGATTCATTCATATCCTGCGGCCCACACCCGAGTTGTGGACTCTGGCGTTACCCCACCGCACCCAGATTCTCTACATCGCAGATATAGCATTCATCACTTCATGGCTCAACATCCATCCTGGCAGTGTCGTTATCGAAGCAGGTTAGTCACAAACATGTCCTGCACTTACCAGATAGCCTCAGTCTATTGGCCTTCGTGTCTCGAGTTCAACGGCTTCTGGTCACCGTATTCGACCCACGGTGCTCTCAGTCATAGAGGTTCCTTGTCATACTGAGGACTGGAAGTTCTGTGGACTCTATCAGCCGACGGTCTGCAGCGAGATTCACTCACTAGTCGCTGAATCTCTCCCAAAAATAACTCTTCTTGAGCTCCTTGCGACCTCCTTCTTCCCGTTCATCTGCTTCTACTGGCTGCATCCACTGCGCATCATTGACTCCAGGGCACACGCTGTACAGCCTTCTATCTCATGGTCCCTTTTTATGCTGAACACGTGTACGTACTAACCTTCTTGCAATGTGCGAAGGCACCGGCTCCGGGTCCTTCTCGCATTCAGTGGCAAGAACGATTGGGTCTTCTGGAAAGCTGTGGTCGTATGAATTCCATGAAGCGAGAGCAAACAAGGCGAGGTATGTCGGTACTTTGAACCCATCTCGCCTCTTCCCTACACTGCCATGTTTCTCCGTGAAGCCACCTCCATTGACTGTTGTGGCATAATTCATGTCTGTTTTTATCCCCTCCTTGTAGGGAAGAGTTTACTCGCCACGGAATGTCGGATACGGTCACTCTCACTCACCGCAATGTCTGCAAAGATGGTTTCACGGTGACCGACGAAGCGGATGCTAGTGCGTGGCCGTTATACGGAGCCGGTCTCTCCTTAAGCAACATACTAATTACCCAATTACGCCGTTATAGTCTTCCTCGACCTGCCTGCCCCTTGGGAAGCCATAGAGCACGCAAAGAAAGCACTCAGAGTAGGCAATCCCTTCTCCACTACATACTGGAGACAAACAATGCTCATATTGTCGGAATATACCAGAAAGACCGCATCACACGAATATGCTGTTTCAGCCCATGCATGGAGCAAGTCCTACGGACAGTGAGCGCACTCAACGAGGCAAATTTCACAGGTACGCCCCATGAGGGCGCAAAACTACTCCGCCACCCAAACACCCGTCCCCACCCATCTCGACCTGAGATTGATGCTGATACTTGCTATCCTCAGATATCACGATGTACGAAACTCTCCTTCGGCCATACGAAGTCAGCCAAGTCCCGACCCTCCAGCCTATCAGCGCTGTCTCCCAGAAACTCAAACAATCCGAAAAACGCCGTGAAGAGAAACGGATCCGACAGATCGCGGCCTCCCGCTCACGGACGGTCGAAAAACGAAAACGCTCGGAAGTCGCGAATGGCGGTGAAGACGAGGAGGGAAAGCCTGCAGCTGACGATGACGATGACGCTGACGGCAAGGAGAAGGGCACCAAACGGGTGAAGACAGACAATGAGCCCGCAGCTGATGTCGTCGCGAACTCATCTGTGCAGGGCCAACTGCCATCTTCTACACTCGCCATCGGACAAGGGGATACGGACGTTAAGATGGACTCGCCCACGACTGTACCGACAACTCTCCTCGAGGCCGAGGATACGACGGAGCCGACGACACAGTTCCTGGCTAAAGTCATGTCGGAGGTCCGCGGGCATACTTCTTACCTCACTTTCGCTGTCCTCCTTCCTGCGATTGTAGAACAAGTACAAGCGACGACCGAGGCTCAGAAGGATGGTGCTACCCCCGCCGCCATCCCAGAGACAGAACAGCAGATTATCACACCATTGTCAACAGGAGATGATACACAGGTGAGTCGTTTTCTAGATGCTATTCATTATCCGCTAACATCGAATTCGTGTGCGTGGCGGTATAGAGTACAGATCCATAATTGTACAAGAAACCCGATGAAAGTGATACATCCATTAAATGAGACGAATAAAATACCGTCCGAGGCAGCGGTGTGGCGGTCGAGCAGCCAAATAACAATGTGGAACAATCGTCCCGTCTGTTCCCAAAGAGCAGCTTCAATCGGACTCTCCAATCGCCTCCCTAACCACTTCTTCTCGCTCCTGCTCCTCCTGTACCTTCGACGCATCCTTCCCTTTACGGGTCCTCAGCACCCTATCTGACTTCACTACCGGGGGTTGTGCAGCCTTTCGACGCTTAGCCGGTGATGGTTGGGCGATGGCGTCCTCTTCATGCTCCTCTCCATCTTCAGACTCGTCATCAGAACGAGCTCTTGCGCCTCTTCCTCGTTTCCGACCAGCGACGGCCTTAGCCTTCGTGGCTGTTCGGGGCGTAGGCTTTGGTTTTGGTTTCGGTTTTGAATTTGTCGAAGCCGAAATTGTGTTGGCAGTTCCGTTGGTTTTCCGAAGGGTCCTCCGTGCGAGTGGTTTCGTTGAGACCGAAGCCGGAGATGGTTGATATCCGGCGTCATCGTCGCCCTCGTCCACTACATCTTTCGATGGTGCGATAGCCGCCGAGACTGGTAGCTCATCCAGTGGCGAAGACCGCAAAGAAAGGTCACCAGCAGCCAACTCAGCCATCGTCTTCGGTGCGCCTCTCGGTGGCGCTGGTACTGGTATCACCTCCATCATGTCATCTTCATCTTCATCTTCCTCCAGACCTTCGGTGAGTTCATAACCGTCGCTTGGCCGCTCGAGACCGATTGAATCTGAACGATCTTGGTCCGCTGCGATGGAAGGAGCGGTACTCGTTCCCGGGACAGATTTTGGAGTGTTTGGTGTAGACTGGAAGATTGCGTGTTGATACTTTGGTAAGAGGTATGGCTGAACGACATCGTCTGCTCCTGTGATGAAGCCGCCGGCCTGAAGTTGTGAATGAATATATGGTCAGGAACAGAGAAGAGGACTCTGGCTAGGATTAGCGCTATACCTGTTCAACCGAATTATCCCCAACATTCTTACTAGCACCACCAAAATCATCCCCGTTGGCCAAGGGATTATCAGCACGACCTGCATATTGCTCCTGCAATCGCTTTCGTATCCGCAAGCCTTGGATCAGGCGGGTCCAGCGCTTGATGACCGCATCCTGTCGTTTGGTCTTCTCCCTTTCTGCAGCGTTGTGTTCCTGCTCCCAATACGCCTCTAGAATGGCTTCTTCGTTCTCTACTGCGACGACGATTCCAGTAAGAACCGGGAAAGCGCGCCGCTTCTTGAACTCGAAGCCCGTCTGTGGAAACGACGTGCATTCAGCTATCGCTACTCAAAAGAAAGGTCTAGGACAAGAGAGATTACTCACGACTGCTTCGGCATAGTCAAATCCTAGCTGACGAGCGACCTTTGCGATGCCCTTGTCTGTGAATGTTTCGAGGGCCGTCATGAGAGATAACGTGCAGAAAATAGCGGAGGCTACTCACGAGGCAAATGGGCCGCTCCTGCGGGTAGCATGCTCGACGTATACAGGTCGATATTTCCGAAGTCGTTCTTCGGCACGCGTCCCTGTAAAACGACCCTTCAGCATCAGCGACTCACCCACACTTGCCTTACTCGAAGAGAACTCACATCAACTACAGGCTCAGGAACATACACTTCGGTCTGCCTCTCCGCATATAAACCCTGCATGACTTCCTCCCCTTCCCCCTTCCCGTCCGCAGCCCCAGCCTCTCTCAACACCTCCAATTCCCTCTTCCGACCGATCGTGGACGCCCTTTGTTTCACCCATTTCATCGGCTGCTCTCCTTCGCGTACCACACGTCCTTTCCGCATCCAGTTCTCCGCAGTTTTGAGCGAGAGGACAGCCGAGCGGGGATAGACGGGTTCGCCTCTGAATTTGCCTAGCTCGGGTGCGTTGGCGCGGATCTCTTGATCGCGAAGGAGATGGCGGGAGAGGACGTAGCTGCAGAAGCAATAGCGATGAGTGCTGCTATACCACGGATGGAGAATGCACTATGCTTTACAGTGGATGGTCCTTAAAGCCGGACATTGTCGTGGGCATACCCTCCGTGATCTGGTTAGCAGTAAGTTCTTCATCTTCGAGGTCATCTCGATGCTATGCCCCAAACGATCAAACAGGCTCAGCGTCTTCCGCACATCAGCCCAAAGCCCACATGTCAGCCAACGCACCAGTCTGTACGGCCTCGTCACCGTACCTAACACCCTCTCCCACCACTCCTTCCGCCCCTTCCCGCCCACCTGCGCCTTCGCGACCTTCGCGCCGTACTCCCTCGCATACCGAGGCGTCAAATCCCTCGCATAACTATCCTCTTCGAAAGCTACCACGTAGGACATCCGATTGTCGACCCGCGTTTGTCGGCGGCCAGGGCCCCTAGCCGTGAGGGCACTAGGATGACCAGGATCAAAGAGCTTGCGTTTATTGATTATGGCGCGGATAGGGTCTACGGGGAGCCAGCGTGCATCTGCACGAGAGAAGACTTCGATCCAGAAGATGGGTGGGGTACGCGTTGGATCTGGAGGCTCTGTGGCAAGAGATGTAAAAAGTCAGTAGAAGACTCATTGAATAGATAGAAAGAGAGAAACGCACTAGGCGGTTGGGATGAAGCTAATGTCTGGCCCTTGCTCTTCGACTTTCTTAGCCTAATTACCGGCTTCGCTTTCTCCTTACCCTTCCCTTTACCATTGGCTGCCGGGCTGCTGCTACCCCCATCAAGCGTTTGACCATCTCCTGGGAAGTACCCACCAGTCGAAGGAATATCAACCTCCTCCATATCTCCATCTTCCTCTCCATCTTCTTCACCATCCACCGAAGCCCTATCCTTCCCCTTCCCCTTCGTCTTCGGTTTCGGCTTAGACTTAGGCTTGCCTACACCCGCTTGCCACGGTACGCTCTGCAAACTGACCACCAATCTCGCAGGGATCCCAAGTGCTCTGCATAACGCTGTGAACAATTGCGCACTCACGTCCCGGCTCCCGTACCGCTGCAACGCACGCTTCATCAGACTCTTCTCGCTCCTGACCACCTCCCACTCGTCCTCATCCTCTCCGTCCTGCCATGCTTCTACATCAAGTTCAACCGGCCCTTGATATGCTTTGCCTTTCCCCTTCCGGTCCACCTTGAATGGTGAGGTCGATACGAAAGGCTGAGAAGGCAGGAGACCTTTCACGGAGAGACGGGTCTGAATTTCGTCGAACGTGCGACTACGAAGATGTCCTTCGGGATCTACCTCGAAGAAATCGTTGGCCCACCATTCTGCGAGGCGGGTGATGGCGAGTTGGAAGAGATGACCACGTTTGGGAGCTTCGGGGATGCGTGACCTGTGGATCTTGGCAAATTCGTTCTGGAGTCTTAAAGGTGTGAGTGAGAGAAGGCGGGCCTGTTAGAAACATGACAAGATGAAGTGTGAGTGTCTAGATGAGCGCATAGAACCTGGGTTGGATGGGTCGTGCAGTTGGGAGAGTACGTTCAGACCGACCTGTAAGAGCTGGTCGTTAAGCCATCGGTTTCGAATGCGCGCATTGACGAGAAGAGCGACTGTATGGATTTTATGACAGTCTATCCGCGTCAGGCGTTCTGCATGAGAGATCCCTGTAGTTTTCTTCCTATGCAATTTCAGCTCAATGCCCATAATCCTCCTACTCCTATGCACTCACGCTTGACAAAGCTGAAACCAATGTACTCACTTTGCTGCGTCTCCCTTCTTGTCAGTCCTCTTGCTCAGTGTAATCTCAATGTCCGGTCTTGATAGCGTCGAAGGGCCCTCCTCAACATCGAGATGGATGTCCGCCGAATCGTGTGGAGCAGTCGGTGCTGTTGAAGCTTGAGGGACCGTAACGTCGACCTCTTCCCAGTCTATCTCGTCTTCATCGCTGTCCTCGAGTTGCGCAAGGAGCATTTCATCGTTGACTTCGTCGTCCTCCATGGCGAACACTGTCTAGTTCGAGCCAAAAGTCACTGTACCGCATACACGCTTGAAAGGGTGGGGAACGCGAGTCATTTCGGGTAAATTGGTTCGGACGCGCTTCGTCACATGGTGCCGTCGTGTGACAGTGACAATTTCTGAGTCGCCATTGGTTCGCCACACTGACGCCACACTCTCGCCAATAGGGAATCGGCCCATTTTCAGCTCATCTAGCCGTTAACATCACTCTTCGCTCGGTCTTGTAGCAGGTGAGTACATTGACCCAAATCATGGCATGTTGTGCTCGAGTAGCTGAGGTGAGGGCCAATAATAAACAACCTATCGATCATGCGAAGGGTACGCATGCACGCTTTGTTGAAGGGTCGAGCGACAAGACAAGGAGCATGATGTGATTCCAGATGATAGTACAAACAAAGGAGAAATTATAATCTACAATCTATGAGTACAACAATACGATGAACAACAGGAGAGCGAGTAAAGATGCATGCGGGGCTATGGAGACATGGGAGTAGGTGGAACGTGATAAAGGTATGGCGAAGCGGGTATAGTACAACAAGACAGGGAACGTAAAAACTCAAGCCTCGATGACAAACTTCAGCTTGATCTCGCCGTCAACCTCTTCTGGAATGCAGGTCACCTTCTCCATGTTCTCCACAATATAGTGCGCACCGCAGTTCTCGATCTTCGAACGCTCGTGCGAGGTGCAGACGGCGATGACGGTCGCGCCTGATGCGACGCCGGCGCGGATACCGGAAGGCGAGTCTTCGAATACGACACACTTCTTCGCGTCGAAGCCGAGGCACTTCGCAGCGAGGAGGAAGGGGTCAGGAGCGGGCTTGCCAGCCTTCAGACGCTTGTCGTCGGCGGTGATAGTGACTGGTGGGGGAGTGATACCAACGCGAGTCATGCAACCGTAAGCTAGAGAGAGGAGCGCAAGGTAAGCGAGCTGAAGAAGACGAGAGCAGACAAGCGAAAGGAGACTAACCGTAGGTCTTCGCACCCGATGTGGCGACAGCATAGTGTCCCTCAGGGATGGACTCGATCATCCTTTTCACGCCGGGCAAGATCTGAACAGAACGGTCGACACTCGCGGCCTCGATCTGCCAAGCGTTCATCTCATGCGACGAGCCCTTGAGCGTGCTCAAGCCACCCTTGCCCTCCTGCTGAATCATCTCTTCGTGAACGTCCTCCATGATAGCATCGTCGAAACCATGCGAGTCGGCGTCGGGCATGACGGACATCTGAAGTATGTTGTTAAGACGAGTGCCGAAGGATGGACGTCGTTGTGTGCCGGCAGGTGTGGAGAAGGAAGTGGCGCGAGAGGATGGTGCTGATGAGCCGGCGGAAATGAGTTCTGGAGTGACGGCGCCGGAATAAACAACGGAAGCAGGGGTGTGAGGAGTGGCGGGAGTGTAAGACCATGGCGAGTTAGTCTGAGAGCCGGGGCCGTGCTTGTTGTAAGCGTCGGCGTAGTAGAGGATAGTCTCCTCGAAGGCTTGAACCTCGTCGTCCATCTCGTGGGCCTTGATATCAGGCTTGAACTGGGCGAGGTTGTCGACAGCGCGCTTGCCGTGGGTAGCTGCGATGACATAGTGCGGGTCTTGCCCAATATCCTTCGCAACTTTACCCCAGGCAGCTTCTACAGCGGCGATGGAGTCGGTGAGGGTGCCATCCTAAAAACGTCAACACACTGAAAGAGTTAGCGAATCTTCCCGGGCACGCTGTGGCGAGGAGTAGAAGTATGGACGGAAGGGATACACACCATGTCAAAGAGGACGGCATCGGCGGTGAAGCTCGTAGAGGACATGCTGGTTCGTGGAATGGTAGAGGTGGAGGTTTTTGGTGGATAAATTGTGATAGTCGAACGCAAGGCTGGTATGGAGGGAAGGGGATATGAAGGAGGTGTTGGTGATGCCTTCGAATGGCGGGTTCGACATGCTTATATACCTTGCCGACCGATAACCAGCTCACCAACAAGTCGAAAATTTCATCCAGATGATTCCACAAAAACAAAGGAGGAAAGCCGGATTAGGATAAAATGACGTCGGGGGCGGCACCACCGCCCAATTGCACAAGAGGCCCGTTGCTCGTGCGACGTCGCAAGCGTTCGCGAAGATTGGTCAACGTTACATGTCGAGAGCCCCACAAGCGAGATCTCTGAATCTATCTGCGCGCTTGGACGTTATCTTCGGTGTCCACGAGTCACAGTGGGGCCCGGCAATCTTCTGCGAAGTTCCTGCGCCAAGAATGGCAGGACCGGGGATTATTGCAGCAGCACGGAGACTTGCTCGTGAAAGCCTCGCAGTTATTTTGGGGGAACATAGCATCGCGCCGCAGCTTGTTTTCCAGGAATGAGCTTTCTGCCCGCAAGCAGCGCTATCGCGGCGACCGAGCCTCCGAGGGAGGGCTGAACAAAGTGTCGCTGTTCGGGAAGAGCTCGGGGAGGCGCGTGACGTCATCCTGCCTTTTCGGGCGTCGAGGACGTGTTTTTGAAGAATCGATGGCCCAATTTGGAAGACCGTGGCACGTACTCCGTACCTTGTTCGCGCTTCCGCTCTGCCAGTGTATTCTCGTCAAGCGAGAAAGGGGAGGAAGCGATTCCTGGTGGTGGGATTTCCTAACGACAAGGTAGGATCTTACCTTTTGAAGGATGCTCAAGAAAACAAGGAAATCACAGGGAGCTGAGCCGAGGTCATCCATCTCTTCATGGTGTGGTAGGCTATTATGACTGCCGCGTGTTTCCTAGCGAAGAATACATAAAACAAGCTCCAAGACGACATCACTGCCATGTACGACCACATTGATGGCAGTCTTTTCCCAGTCTCAACCACGAGAGAGGAACGACCGTTGACCAATAACATAACAGACCCGATCTTCCCGTGTCAAAGCTTGTTGAAGCCCATAGCACAGCGTTCGGTCAGGGGCAATACATATTCGATATTCGATACAAACATATGCATGGCGCATCCTCGAGGTCGCACCCCGGTTCCTGAGAACATAGATACACCGTGAAGCTGATGGATGGCCATGTCGTAATTCGAGTACGATGGCTTGACAGGTTGAACATACAGAACTCAACCCAGAAGACCCCTCATCGACCCCATGGGTCAACTGAGCATGAATATCATCGATGAGGAGCTCCATGGTTATTCCCCAGTTGCTTCTCCTCTGGGGAACGCGGAGGTGAGTGTGCAACAATGTCTCGAAGAAACCCTCGAAGTCGACGCCAAGGACGCAAACTGCTCCCATGTCCTGCACATTTTTTCTGATTCATCTGCCCAGAAATGGTACATGAAACGACGCGCTTGCAACGCCGGCCATCCGCCTTCAACGGGCCACGAAAGTGCTGTGACGAGCCAATGGCAAGTCACAGCTCAGCTGTTCTTCGCGAACCTGCTACAGCCATTCGGAAGGAAGACATACGGATCCCTTTGCACTTTCCGTCCGGCACCTGACTCTTGCCAGGACAGCGCAGTGAGATCTATCACAGGGGGGAGAAGGAAGTGGGCACCGTGGTGGCACCGGTGATCCAGAGAAACATTCCTTTCTCGGAACTTCAGGCTAACAATACGCACCCACTCACCTCTTGTATATATCGTTCCTCCACCCCAAAAGCCCATCGACAAGGATCCACTCCGCTATACGTATCAGCGTAAGTATTAGCGACCGATGTCCTTCCTTTCCCCATGGCAGCTCCACAGGGACAACGTTCGCATCATCCAGGTATAATCACGGTCTGGTAGGGTGGGCGGATATGAACCTGCGAGTCAAAACCAACGTTCGCTCCGGAAGGTCACGCGTATCCGCGATCTAAAACTAGTTGCACCGATGAAGGCGAACCTTCCCGGCGCTTTCTCGTGGGGTAGGCGTTCGAGAATAAACTCGAGCCTGCCCATCAGCGCCATTCGACGTCAACCAAAGAAACCTCCTTGCGCGATCAAGTGGCAAAGAGCTCCGTGGAGGCCTTATCTACTTCATAAAATGTTTGAGCACTGGCGTATATCAATGTGGCGCGTACCCTCCACTGACGAAGCAGATACGTACTCACTATCACTAGTATCCTGGCCACAACGATGTACGATGTCATGCGCGATTGCAGACGATGCCGGACTGTCAAGATACGAGACAACAGAGGAAGTATGTCTTTGCCTTTAGCGGGATCCACTCGTCGAGACCGGTCCAGGCGAGGTAGCAAGTTTATCGTCTATCGTCGCCACGACCCAAACGCGTCATCGTGGGGCGGATGTCAGTCGGACAGTTGGTGAGTCGCTTGCGATCGCGAACGTTGGCGTTGACGTCGACGGTATCGTACATAACAATGAGAATTATGTTATTCGGGTAGGCCTAGAGTATAGTTTAAGCCCTGGGGCAATTGTTTTATCGAAATGGGTGCATACATTGACGCGGATACCGGCCAGACACTTACTGGGACCTATGTTCGAGAACGAAGATAAAAGCACTATCTGTCCAGACAAATGTGGATTGGAAAGGTGTAGAGAATGCGCGTTTGCCGCGCAAGAGCAAACTGCCTACTGTATAGTCAGCGTCCGACGCCACAGGTATAACGGAGACTCGAGGAGCGCTGTAATCCATACCTTGAGCATAGTCTTCGAGTTCTAATAATAGCTTGATAGCTCCAACACCCAGCGGTCATTCAGATGGCTCGTCCAGACTGTTGTTTGCGATCGGAGCCATATTTCGGACGTCATGAAGCATTAAAAAAAGCGATTTACCGGCAAATATATGCATCCGACAAAGTCGTCTTGAAATCCTGGCACTTTATCCACAGGACGTGGACCTGGACGTCGTCCAAGCGATTCATGCCGCACACATACCCAGAGGGCGAATCCTGTGATCACAACGTCGTTCAGTTTGGGCAGGAGTCAAGACCAAAGAGGATCAAGATGGTGAGCACGGGACGTACGGGTGCATTTCCTCATCGGTGCGTTGCCAGAGCGGAGAAATGAACTTTAAACGTTGTAACCCACTTGACGGTCGACCATCGACTGCGCAGTGGGAGTTTGGCATCACATTTCGTGGAGCCATAAATCATAGGAAAAGACGCGAATCGTCTTGACCCTAGGCATAATCACGACACAAGCAATAGTTCGATGTGATTCTTCGGAGAAAATCAGGATAGAGGACCGTTTAGATGCTCTCTAGACGACGGTCGCGGGTATGAAACCTTCTTAATAAGGGTGAATAATAGATTTCTGGATATCGTGGGGCACTATTATTATAGGTGGCGATATGTATACTGTGCAGAAGACGTTCAGTACATGTCTTTGGCACGGTTGAGAGATCACTCACTAGAGACACCTGTGGTCTAGAAGGTCTACGTGGCTAACGACTCAGAAATACCAACCTGTTCGCCACGTACGCAGGAATCTCAATGAGTCAAACGGTTTAGATACCTTAAGACATTCTCACAGAGGTGATGTCGATAGGCAATACGAAATGATCCAAAAAAGTGTCATCCAGATGCTTGATGATCTTGCCGAGCGTCGACAAAGCCTCTTGAACGCATGGGGAAGATGATGCTAGGGCCCCTCGTAATCTGCGCTGGATTTCTACTAAGGAGCCAATGGGATCTCCACCAGGACAGTACGGTTTCGCAGAGATTTCACGTAAGTCCGCGAGGGCGGCCTTCCAGTTCCTCGACCAGTCTTCTTCGCAATCGTGCGAGAATCTTGCGACGACGCCAGCGTGTCCCGGATCGCTATGAAATTTACAGTCGAAAGTCGGGGGTGGCTCCAGTGTGGTCCATAGATTTGTGAGATTCAGGAATCCTACCGCCAGCCGCATGTGTTGTGTTGCAGTGAGTCCTAGGGAAGATGGCCCCGGAGGAATGAGGTGGCGCTTCGTTTTGAGCACGTAGCGATAGGCAGAAGCTTCAAGAATGCGCGATCCATGCATCTTGACAGCATCCAAAGCTGGAAGGACGTGGGTCAAAGAGCCACTCCATACGTATGAGACCCAAGTCTTTTCGACTTGGCCCCTGAGCGAGGGGTTCTGTGACCTTTCGGCGATGGAGAGAATGCGTGTCAAGACGTCTGGACTGCTGATAGGGTTGTTATTGGCGTCGTAAGCCCAGTTCATAAGCTGGCACTGCAAAATAAAATTGGCCCATCGCTCCAGTGCTTCAAACTGATACTTGTGCATGATGTCCATCGTGTTCATGAAGGCCACCAAGGAAGTCACAGGGGAGAGCGATATCTTGACAGCGAGGTCAGGCCTTTCTACATTGTCAGAAACATGGTTCTTGTTATTCTTGAAACACGATTACTCACCCCATGTACAGGTAGAAAAGTAGAGCTTCGACGTGCTCGGGGATGTCACCAGAAAGTACGATAGGGTTCGAAGCGTCGGAGCCTTCTACGTTTCCCGCGTGCGAGTTAGACGGAACAGAGAACATATCTCGAAATATAGGAGATTCGCGTTCGAGTATCCAGCGATCAACCTTGGTGATAGAGTGGGAGGTCAGCGCTCACGCGTGAGTTGGCGTCGAGCTGACCTTGAATAACAAGGCCCCAGCCCTCAGAGTGCAGTCAGCATCCTCATGATACACTATACACGATCTGGTTTCCTCGTGCAAAGATCCCGAGGCCTCCGAATCGTGCCAGTGGAGTCTCTGGCGTTTCGCAGGGGGTGTGTCGTTTGACATGGCTCGCAAAAATTCATAACGCTTTCCGGACCACGAGGATTATGAAAGTCAAGTAGAGTGCGACAACAAGAGTTTCGCCCGTTTCAACGACTACCGATCTTGTCGTGGACGAGCAGAAGAAAGGATAGGGGCAAGTCCATGCCGGCAGAAACGCGACGAAAATTGTCACGTCACCGTCACGTTCGTGACTCCTCCATCTTGTCGTCTTCCACCAAAAACTTCGTGCCACCCCATCAAAAGTAGTGCTGCCATTCGTCTGGACATAAAATGGTGCGCCAACAGTTTTCATTGTGACTTCGCAGTATTTGATACCTTTCAACCGGTTTAGCGACCTATTTTGCTTCAAGGTAGTACTGGCAATATCGTGTTCAGTTAACTCCCGAAACTCATTGACATACAGGGCACGAGCGATCGCTCACCCAAATCAAGTTTAACCTCGAAGGAGACCTGCTGTTCTCTTGCTCAAAGGACCTTGTCATCAATGTCTGGTTTTCGCATAACGGAGAACGTTTGGGGACGTACGAAGGGCACAACGGGACGGTATGGACGATCGACGTCGACTGTGCGTGCTTTCTGTGCTCTATGCTTCATTCAAAACTCATCTTTCTTGTATACATCCATGGCTTTTTTCAACAGCACAATCAAGATTCCTCGTCTCTGGCTCGGCCGATAACGAGATGCGGTTATGGTCTGTGCAGACCGGCAAGTGTTTGTACGTTTGGGAGTTTCCAACGGCCGTGAAGCGTGTGGCGTTCAACGAGGACGATGATCAGATAGTCTGCATCACCGAACAGCGTATGGGTTATCAGTCCACGGTTCGTGTCTTCGATATTAACCGCGAGGGTGATGGGACGAACCGTACGTATGCCCTTTTTTTACATGCTTACCTTTCCTGACGCGCACCGTTTATGTGTCTGATCTACAGAGAACCCTGAGCCTGTATCTATGTTCCATCCTGTCGGCTCAAAAGCAACCGTCTGCGCATTCTCTTACATCCCTAACATGATTCTCACCGGCCACGAATCTGGAAAGGTTGCCATGTTCGATAGCAAATCTGGCGAGGAGGTTCTGAACAATGAGCGAGCGCATATGGATTCTGTGACGGACATGCAACTCAGCGCAGACCGCACATACTTCGTCACAAGCAGCAAAGACAAAACTGCTCGGGTCCGTCTGCCATGCTCTACCTCCATACTACCACATCGACTCATACCTTAAAAACAGATACATGATTCCAAAACCTTGACTGTCCTGAAGACCTTCAGCACGGAGACACCTCTGAACAGTGCTAGCTTGGCGCCCACCATGCCTTACGTGAGTTCTTTTTTGCGTGGTTCGCTTCGTCCCTTGCAGGTGATGCTTATGATGGCCGTCCCTTCAGGTACTGCTCGGTGGCGGTCAAGAGGCTATGAACGTCACCACTACTTCGACGCGGCAAGGAAAATTCGAAACTCGCTTCTGGCACAAGATATTCGAGGAGGAAGTTGGCCGCGTGAAGGGACACTTCGGTCCTATCAACACGTCAGTTTCATTCACGATTGAGCTTCTACACGCCGTGACTCAATTGTCATCTTCACTTTCGTCCATTCAGCATCGCTGTGCACCCGCAAGGAACATCGTACGCATCTGGTGGTGAGGATGGTTTCGTCCGTGTGCACCATTACGACGAGAGCTACTTCAGGGCAAAACCATATGGTGATATGGACATCAAAAACTGAGGAACGCTCGGATGTCTGGATTCTTTGTTGTTGTGTTCTTGTACTGCTGGTGTACGGTTAGCTTTTCTTATTTCACTTACGTGCATTGATTCTAAGGGCCAGTCGGCGCGTGTGGCGCTTGGCGGTGTATGTGGCCCAACACATATAGTTCACGTTCTCTGCACGGGCTCCTTAGTGTACCAGGTCATAACCATTCTCGCCCCGCCTCTACGGCGAATAGTCCTACATATATCGTACAGAAACTCGCTTTCCCGTCCACCTTCAAACCCAATGTGTAAACAAAACGATGGAGAGGCACTAGCAAGTCCAGTCGCTAGGCAGCCTCGTGAGGGCCGTCAGGTGAACTCTGCGATGGTACCCCGCTCATACTAATCATATTGGTGATGTATGCGTCCCAGTCCGCCCCCCTGTTAAGGAAGGTTAGCACCGCGAACGTACCAAGCAAAGGTCAACGTATAACGTACTCGAAACCGGAAGGTACATTGGTCCACATATCCATCATACGCCCTTCCTCGGTGTCGATCCTTCCCGGACTGACCGTAGAAGGGCTTAGTATTGATGGACCACTTTCAGTGCCTGAAGAAGGACGTCGGGTCTGAACACTTGAAGAGGCGGCGGTGTGACCCCCAACTGGAAGGTAGAAGAGGTCATTTTGACTCATAAGTGTATCTGGCGTGTCCTCTATGGTTGCGGAGAGGGGAGGGGGAGCTTCTTTTCCGTGCGACAAAGTAGCATCATTTGTTTGGGGGGCGTCGAGGTCAAAGAAGTTGAAAGATCCAAAGCTCTCCAAGGCCTGCGTTGTTCTTTCCATCCCATCTTGGGAGTTGGCGCCCCAAGGCCAAACATTTGAGTCGACCAAATTGCCCGATGCTTCGGGAAGATCGTTGGGCGTGACTGAAGGGCACAGAAATAGATCCGCACTCAGCTGCGTGCCAGTCGAGGGTTGTGGCGCTGATGGTGAAGACAATAGAGGTGCCGTTTGCTCTGACACGAGATGGGGTATGGCTTGACAAAGAAAATCGTCCACGATGGCGCCACCTTCTTGAGGATGTTGTCGTCCAGCGTCCAGCATATCAGAGGCGTCCCTTTCGTCGAGATGGCCAAATCCGGTACTACTGTGCACAGGAAGGCCGTCGGAGTCTCGTCTTCGCTTCAACGACGCAGCTTTCGATTCCACTACTTTATCGCCCACAGAGGCCAACTCTGATAGAAGATCACTGATGGTGTAACACCGTGAGTTGAACTGGGAACAAATAATTTCTGACTGGGTAAACTTACCGTGCCCGGCCTAAAGCAAGCCATCTAGCCACGCATATCATGATCAATGCAAGGATACGACGACCGACAGAAGAACGTACCTGTTTTCGTCTGCTTTGAGAACACGCATAGCCGCATGTACTTCTTTCATCTCATTCACAGTGTCGATGGTCAAGCCGACACGTTTCGAGCGAAATATATTCAACAATAGGACTACGGCTGCCGTGAACGCCGGATGCTGAGGGTCAGAAAGATACAGCAGTGAGCATAAGGCATCGTCACTGTATACGTTGAGAAACTGACTTGGAAGAAAGTTACGGGCAGGAACCCTGCTCGCCTGTGAGCGATGTCGACAATATGAATGCATGACCGGGCCGCATTCATGCATAGAGCGAAGGAAGAAAATGATGCGGGAGAAGTGTTGTTGTGAGAGATGATAAATGGCCGGTGAATGAGGATCTGAAGTTGATAGTAGCTGCAGTATAAGGCTGCGGATTGCACGAAGAATATGCGATTCTCGTTTGTTGGATTCCAACGAACTTCCCAAACACAGGTGATGAGTTCTATGAGACCAACAGCAAAGTCGGTAGACCTACGATAATCGGGGACAGTATCGGTCCATCTCTGCAAAGCAGACTCAAGCTGCGCGACCGTTTTCTGTTCCCATTCCGGACCGACGAACCCAAGAGCGGCTTTAGACTTCCTGCTCGAGTACTAAAGAGGATGTTGAGCAAAGGATGAACGTAGAGCAGGGGTTTACTCACTATCGTTCGCAATGCCAGCGCATGTATTTGCACCAGTTTGAGTAGAAGATTGAAGTAGGCCAAAGTAGACGGCCTCGTGGCGGGTTGCTTAAAAGCCTGTGCGGGATCAGGGTGTGTCCAGTACTCATCGTCACAGTTTGTTGGCATATCAAGGTCCAAGCTGTAGGTGATAGCTTGTGAGATATCTAGGATACTTCGATCGCTCAGGAGGAGACTTACTCCTCTTCCTATTCGAACGAAAATACATGAGTCACCATAGGTGTGAAGTCTCACAAGAAGGGAGACAGTAACTTACCTGTATTGCGCAAGGGCGTCCAAGCCCTGAGCTGACGGCCCTATCTTGAGCTACGAGACCCCTTCAAGTAGCTACGGTTAGCGGCAAATATTTCGATATCAAGAAAACATTCATACCAGAAGGCACGTTTCCAAAGCTCATCCTCGATAGTAGGCTTCGTGCGATAGACCTTCCGGCGATGGGCTCCGACGTCCATGGCAAGTCCTATGCCATTTCTGATCATATTCCAACATGCTTGCGGAACAGAAGAATTCTGCACAAATGTCACAGCTAGCTATCAATCAAAGTTCAGTGGTAAATTTCATTCCAAGATGATTTTGTATACACACACAGTGCATTTGAAGGTCGTATAGAGATGGCGGATTCGGAGCCAACCACGACTTTCGCAACATGTCAACCTGAGAAAACCATTTCCATCCAGCGGAATGCCAGGAATCATTGACGAGAACTCGCGGGTCTTCTGAGAAGCGAGATCCATTGGCGCAAACGAGAAGAACCACTTGGCGGAAGCCGTCATCGCGCAGATGGAGGTTGTCATCTATAGCTTTAAAGAAAGTGGGCCAATGCAGAAGTGATGTGAAGACGTTGACATGCTTGAAGTAGAGGTGGACGAGAGAACGAAGTAGGTCTCGGGCAGGAAAGTCGGACGGGTAGGGATGACATTCCAGCGCATGTCGCTCGAACTGGTGACCTACATTGAATTTTAATCCATCTGATATAATTGGAGTGCGGCTCACCGAAAATACTGACCAGAACTCTGGCCGCCTGTTGGGCCGGTGTCCTGCGTCTGTAGCTTCTCCCGCATATTCTGATTTGAGATCAAGAGCAGTCCGATAGAGGTTGACACCGCTTGATTTGCCGATGAACCGGTTTGGGAACTGCTGATCGAGTGACATATTTGTGAGTCTTTCAGAGAGTAGAGCGCTGTACTGATATTCGTCGTCACTTGAGTTTAGCTCTTGGTCGACGGCGGAGTACTGCATCTCATCAACGGAGGGTGAGCCGTTTGAAGGGGTCCAATCCCTGGGTGGGCCCATGTTTGAAGGTTGGAATGCGAATGTATCATCAGCCGGTCGGGAGCCACGGCGCTCTGTGCTTGATTCTCCTTGAGACGATTGTGAGTCTGGGAGGTGCTATCGAAATGAACAGTGAGAGTCTGTGGAAGTCGTATCGACCATGGCTCTTACTTGCTGTAGCAACTGTTCCATCTTTTCCAAACGCGTTTCCAGTGTTTCGACGTATCTGTACCACCATTCTAAGTCTGAGAGCTGAGCACATGATCATCTAGACTCACGCTTTCAGAGGGCCCCTTTTCTGTAACCTGGTCATTAGCGTGGCACTATTGGTGAATCGTTGACTTGTGAAAACTTACCTTGTTGATAATTAGATATGTACATTCACTCCTTGAGTTGATACAATTCGAACACTGGCCTCCTGGCCGCTGTGCTCCATCACCTGATTGGATGTTCAAACATAACACAATGATGAATTCATGGGCCTCGAGGATTGGAAATGATGGCTGGACTCGTACACCGGGCTAGGAGATAAATACTGTCAAGAGGTCAGTTCTATCGGTCAATAAGAGCAGGTACAAACCCTTCTTCCGTTTGCAGCTATCGCATGCTCGAGGTGCTCTGCGCTTCTTGGGGGCAGGAACCTCCGGTACTTCTTCGCCACTCGTCGCGAGATCGGTTTCCGAGGATGACATTCCTTTCCGATGTATGCCCTCACACTCAAGATACAGCGCGGCACTGAGGTTGCAGACAAAGCGTGCACAAATCACAAGCCAATGGCATACGGCGGTGGTTGCGGATTGGTTGCGGAGCAGTTGGCTTACGGCGATCCGACGTTGACAGAAACTTGGAGGCCATGGCGCCGGGACTCGGCCCTATGTCATCATTGTGGCACCACTCACCCTGGTCCTATGTTCGCGGCTTTCCTGCGGAGGCTCCATCTTGTAACACTGCGAATCTGTACAGCCGAGAACCTATGGGCGACTCAAGAATAATAACGGCTACATATGACATCTTATGATAAGTAGCTCACAAACGAGAAGGTTCACGTTCGCGACTCGGGGCATGGCAAGCCAAAGATATCGATGCGTGAAGCAGAACGAGAAACGTCCACGTGTGCAAGGACAAGGGCAACGGAGCTATGTACATGATGGGAGTTGTACTTGTCTGTAGCCCCTCGAAGCGGTCTAGTCCTCTAGTATTCTTCAACCTGGCCGACAACGGGTCTAGGGGGGAGAACGATTGGCCTGACGAAGTTCACCCTGTTGGAAGGACATGGAAAAACAGATAAGTATCGTTATAAAGGCCAGAGAGTTCGTAACGTGGTACATACGCAGATCGATACCTCCTCAAGTAGGTGATCGCGTGGTTTTCCATCTCATCCGGCACAACGCCAACTTTATCCCAGTCTCCCAACGCCTTCTCGTCCTTCTCCTCAGCATACTCTGCACCCGCACCAACATCGTCAAGGTATCTTCTCGTTACCTCGTCTGGGCTAATGACGGGCCACCAGACATTCTGGGAAACCTTGGCGAGGAGGTTGGCAACAGGTTTGGGAACGACGGGTGCGCGGGAAGGTGCGTTATAGGTTACGGTGGAGATGAGGTCGAGGATGTAGGCGTAGGTGAGAGTAGAAGGACCCGGGAGCGAGAGTGTTCCGGGAAGTGAAGGGATGGAGATGAGGTTGGTAAGGGCCTGGGCAACGTCCATGACCTATTGCACTCATGTCAGCGGACATGCAGGTTGAGTAGAGAAGATCGTGGACCACTAACGTGAACAGGGCGGATGCGTGTTCGCCCGTGATTCAGCTTCCACCAGATGGGCCACACTAAAGCGTAAACAGTATAGGTGATCTTTCATGATGGATTATATTCAGTACTACTGACCGGCCATGTTCTGCAGCAATCTGTCCTCATATCCGTACATGGTAGCCGGACGGATGATAGTCGCATTCGGGAATGCGTCATGGACGAGTTCTTCGCCTTCCGCCTTGGCTTGATAGAAGCGGGATGGAGAGTCACGAGAGGCATTGAGGTGAGAGACGTGGACAAATCGTGGGACACCAGCCCTGGCCGCAACAGACGCAATACGACCTGCGCCGGTGGAGTTTACATCGTGCAATGAAAAGCGCCTAGACACGTCGGAAGGTCAGCAGAAGGTCACAACGGTTGAGCGAATACTCAGATAAAATCCGGTGATGACACCCAAGGTATAAAGTGCCAGGGGTGGAAAGAGGCATACTTGGTATCATATTCCCGCCCAGTGAGGTTGTAGACGATGTCGGAGTGGCGAAGACATTCCTCGATTTGGTTTTCGGATCGGATGTCCCATTCCTAAAACAATGTCAGCGGGGTGCTATACGTATCGCGTGGTCCGGTGATTGGAAGAATATTGAGGGCTTGAAGAACAGAAGGTGATATGGAGTGTGGGGGGATGCTTGAACGTACCAAAGGCACAATTTGCCCAAGGTCACCCATAACCTTCAAGTGCCTCTTCTCATCCTCATCGCGGTAAGGAACAACCACCTGGGTTCCGGCCTTAGCTGCGCATGCGTTGATAACACGGTTCATGTCATGGCAAGGTCGCCACGCGTTATTGGACGAACATCAGGGAACATTCGCGGTTAGAGGCATTTGAGCAGAGACGCCACAAGCTAACGCACCAAGCTTGGAAACAAGATAGCGCCCTAAGAAACCGGTGCATCCAAAGACAGTAGCAACGTGCCCAGTGGTAGCACTCCTTCCGGGAGGCCCGTAAGCTATGATGGGTTTCTTGTCCGGGAGAGAGACGAGGTCATGGAGGGCGCGCTGCTCGGTGTGGTCACAAAATTTTGAGTTCGGGGTTTGGCAGTAACAAAATTTCAGTGCATCCGAGGGCAAAAAGTCAGGATTGATAGTGAAGAAAAGAAAGATAGTGAACAAGCAGGTCTTCACAGTAAAGGTTCGGTTACACTCACCTTAGAAGGCTGAGCAGCCACACGATGCAGCCGCGTCAAGGACGCGGTCGTACTGAGCATGGGTATGATATATCCGGCCCAGCACGGAGTCCCAAGTCAAAAAGATTCGATAAGGTATGCCTATGTCGGCGGTGACGATGAGCAAACAGCCCGCTTGCGCTGTCCGACGATGCACTCGGTCTCGGCGAAGGCCGGCTCGAGGGTAGCCCTAACCCCAAATGACGCCTTGCAGCGAGTGAGCTTCGCGCTTTTACGAACCTTGTCCCACTAAAGTTTCCTTCCTGCTCAGTCACTGATCACCCACTTCTTCTGCACTTATTATCGTCATGGTTCAAGGAAAGACGAAGAATCTTCAGAAATCAACTGGCAACTCTCGAGCTGCTAAGAAAGCCGCCGCCAATCCGAAGAAGGGCAAGAGGGCTATTGCACCGAAAAAGGAGGCTCTGGTCAAACAGGCTAAAATGCACCAGGTCCGTCATATTCAACATAAGCCATAGATGTTCAATAACCCTTTGTGTGACTGTCCCATGTCCTCAGAACTTGAGCGCAAAAATCAACAAGACCATTGAGCAGCAGGTCGTGAACGCTGCGAGCTCAGGAAAGCTGACCATCATGAAGAACATCGCTAGTGACCGGTTCGTTCTATAGAGATCCCGTTATCATCTAACTTTCCCTAGATCTGATCCTGTATTGGGCAACCTCTTCGCTGACTCTAGAGAACCTACATCGTCAAAACCGAAGCCGAAGAAAAAATAGCGTGTTTTCCAGTGCCACACCCTCCCTGCCGCTATGGTTGTAAGTCGGAACAAACATCTATATGATATCAATACCAGTTCTTCATGGATACCTTGCCCTTATTTCTACCAGACACACTCTGAGGCAACCATCGAGTCCACGATTTACCCTACGGCCACAGCGCCTACCAGAGAACACCTACAGTCGCGAAAAGAAGTACAGGAGCCACCACAGGATCCTCCTCCTTTACACTGGCGATAATTTCTATACAATCTCCTGCCGGACTCGTCACCATAAGGACAGCTGTTCTCAGCGTACTTCATGATCGATGTGTTTCTGAAGGGCAACAGCTATGCATATCGGCTTCTGGAACCATTCGTATTATCCCAGGACCACCTTGGTAGCTGACTGCTGGATTAATATATGATGAAATCCTTGCGGCGTCTCAAACTCAACCGCTCTTGTATCTCATGCACTGGCATGTAATACAGTGACACGGTATCTCGTCCTTCCCTGCATCTTCTTCTGTGTTTCCAGAGATCATCGTTCTGTGTGGTCAATCGAAACACCATCTCTCCGGTTGTACGTCGCTGCGCTGACACCGATCTAAGATGGAACGTAGCCAAGCAAACGTATATGCTGCTCACGCGGGTGTTTGACAACCGGACTTGGACGTTGCCTGGATGTTGCCTACTGATCACATCCACCTTGGGTCATAATGGTTGCAACGAGATCAAGACGTTGATTCGAGCTCGAGGTCGTACAGCGCATGTAACGAAATTGTCTATTGTGCGCATGCTTTTGATGCGAACAGCTTGCCCACCTGCGAACTCAGCTTAGTAAAGGCAGGAGGCGTACTTCAAGTTGCAGGTACTTGCCTTTGACGCAAACAATCATTACAACGTCATCGAGAAAATCGGTCTCGGATGCCAGTTTTTTACAACTGCTTATCGCTTGAGCGGCGAGTATGCACGTTTGATGCTTCTTGGGCCACATTGGGGAGAACTCGAGAAGCTTGCTCAAAGATCGGCTTTTGACCTGTAGCACGCGGAAGTGTCTAGCGCGCTGCAGTTCAAGTGGGCCATGACTCCTCCGCCCCTATACCATCTATGCATACGTTGATCTGTTTGGCCAGGCGGGGAACTCACAGCGGGTATGAACTTCATACATGAGCACCAGAAATTCAGGTCACTTCGATGCAATGGCAGTGTTGTAACACTCCAACAGGTCCAGGGATAGCTCACAGATCCAATCAAGGCGAAGGAATGTCATGTTTCTTACCTTCCATCTCGCACAAGGAAAAGCACATGGTGCTCTGCTTCAAATCCAGCACACCTCTCGGAGCTCATAACTCCTTTTCGAAGAATGTATTCGCAACCTTTCTTATCATCCCTCTCACCCCATCCTTGACTTCGCCAGGCGCAACGAGATACACTGCCAGGCCGCACATGTGATGAAACTCTTCTCTGCCATATGGTGACCCCGTCATTTCTCGGAATGCTCTCCTTGCGCCGGGTAACCAACGTGCTTTGTATTCTTCCCTGGTATGGAGTATAAAAGGAGAGAAGACTGGGATGTCTTTCCTCAGATCAGAGTTCCTTGTCTGAACTTCACATCCTCCGCCACAAGTCCAAGCTATCATGGCCGTTCTCCGAACTTTCGTCCTGTTCGCCTCCATCGCTGCTAGCTTGGCTGCCACAGTCCCCCGTGCCCTGCCTTCCGGGACTGTCACTTGCGGCAGCAACACGTACAGTGCATCCGAGCTCACCGCCGCGATCAATGCTGGCATCGACGATCTCAGTAGTGGTAACCTACCGGGTTAGTTTCACCCTGCTCTATCCATGGACGTGGACCAGCTACTCATAATGTGACTACCTGTTTTTGTGCATGGCTTGCAGATAATTATCCTCACCAGTACTACGACGAGGCTTCAGAGAACATCACACTGTATTGCAGCGGCAATGGACCATGGTACGAGGTACGTCGCCCAGGTTCTAATTTCCCATCGGACTCCAGCATTCTATTTTCGTCGTACTGAGTCTCCGTCCAACAGTTCCCACTCGTCCCCGGAGGTGCTATCTACACTTCCAGCGACTCCGACTACAATTCGCCCGGAACTGACCGTGTCATCTTCACCGAGAGCGGCACATACTGCGCGTGAGTATACCACCCAACCTATGATTTTACTCTTTTCATCATACGCCAGCGTCCGAAGTCGAATGACTGACCTTCCGACCTTTTCGATGCAGGGTCGTCACACATACTGGGGCGGCTTCCTACGACGGCTTTGTTGCTTGCGAAGGCGACTAGATATTGAGAGCTGTAGTGACTGTAAGGAAAAGTATTATTTTGCCTGTAACTTGATCAACGCTATGACATTGTATTGGACGCATGCAAGAAAAATCAGCTGGTCTGAAGCCTGACCGGCATCAGCACCAGCAGGTGTACACTGGTCGTAACTCTGGCACCCAGGATAGTCGTATCATGTAGAGAGACTCCTAGTCTTCTCAGCACGCCGGTAAGTTAAGACACAAATGAGCGAACGTTAACAGCGTTCGTGCCAGAACGATACTGTGGCGCGCCACAGGCCTGCTATCTATTCACCGTCATTCATTCAACTTGTTCCAATGCTACCCCGTACCCATTCTCCAACACGCGTTGCACTCGGTTTCGTGAGTCCCGTTACAACGTACAATCGAGCCGCAGCTTGTATTACTGGTATGGAACATATTACTAGTAGTACAACAAGTACAGCGCACTGGTGGCGCCCATATGTACGTATGCGCCACAGGACTCGAAAACTTGGACCTCGGGAAACGGCATCGACAACGAGAAATGGCGGTCATGGGGGAGTAAGGGAACAGGTATGTGAGCGGAAAGAAAGAGCGGGCGAAGGGAAGAGGGGGCAGAGGGAGGACAGAATGATTCGGAGACTGCTATGACACGGATTGGGGAGGGATGAGGGGGGCGACAATATTCCATATTGGCCCGAGAATGAGAACGTCAATGGAAGGTGGTACTACTACAGTATAGTAACACATTGTGAGGAGACATGGATGGAAAGCAGACTTGAGGGCGAGGTCGGACGGAAAGGGTGGAAGTGAAGAACAGAGACGTCGTCCCAGACGCAGAAGAGAGAAAAGAGGGCGAACAGTTAGACAGGGTGAGTCGGGATGAAGGTGAAGATAACGGGCGAGGCGATCATAAGTGGTCGTAAGAAGATGCAAAATAAAACAGATCGTACACGAATTGAACGACTGATGGGAAATGACAAGTATATGCTGAGTGCTATTCGACGAAGGGCAAGCCCGAGTGCAAAGACGCAGAAATGATACGGTGAGGCGTGCATGAATCCAGCAGGGCGCAGAAAGGTACAGGACCAGGCGCGAGTATCATCAGGATGAATATCGTATCGGGATGAACCCAAAGAGATATGTGATGGGAGACCAAATAACCATGAAAGAATTGAGACGAGATAATACTGCAAGGAACCAAAGAGAAGAAATGCATGGGGATAACGGCAGAAAAACAAGGATGCTGCGGGATGGACAATGTAACAACACGGTAATGGGGGTGTGAAGGGAAGGGCAAGGCTAACAAGGAAGTAACGGTCAATGCAGGGAGGAGAACAGGCGAAAGCGTCGGGAACGGGAACGTGAAAGATTGCTTGTATGTAACAAACGAATGCATGCGATGAGGAGAAAGTTCGTATGAGACTGCAATGAATGAAAAAAAGGTGCCATTATCGGCGACGATCGAAGGTTCCTCGGAACAATGGGCGAGGCTAAAACAGAGAAAGCGATGCGGGCAAGTCAAGTGGCGAGGGAGCAGGACATTTGGATGTAGACGGAGCGATGAACATATGAGTCGGAAACAAAAGCAGCGAAAGGCCACAGGCATTCATGACTGTGGCAATAAACCGCGCTCTCTCAAGCGTTGCTCCCGCTGCCCCTGCAGCCATTCCGCTTCGTTCTTCCGACGTTGCTCCTCAGGGATAGGCATTCGTTTCCCCTTCTTGAGTTCACGAAGGGCATCCCATATATCACGAAGGTCGTCAAGTCGCGTCTCAGGCAAGAAGGCAGAGCCCTGGATCTCACAAAACCGAACCACATGGAACATCAACTCCTCTGCCACTTCCGCGTCCACGAAGTTGGTCATTTCGATGGGGATGAAGGCGTCTTTTTTTGTTCGCTTGTAGATCCGCCTGCCATCTGGCGCGCGAGGGGGGTTCTCGAGGGAGGGCTGTGAGAGGAGGCGAGGAATCGGAAGGAGCCAGGGAACGGTTGAAGGCTCAGCCAAGATGCCGGTCTTGGGGTCCTGTTGTAACCGCCTACGTGCAGTCGATGAAGGGGTCTCGGAGGTTTGCGCATGCCTCTCGTCCTCGTCGTCGGAGAACTCGTCTACGACGAAGGGTTCGGGCCTGCCTGTACCGGAGGGGCCAGGATCAGGCTCGGCACCGTAACAGTAAGGCATAGGGTCGAGAACATGACGCCTTATGCGCATGTCCGGTGAGAGGATGGGTGTCCCCAGCATGAAGGCATGAGCGTCCTCCGAGATGGTGATGGGGTCTCCTCGCGCGTAGGCAATATCGACTGCAGTGGGCTGCGGCGGTCCACTGAAGGCCTCCGCCTCTTCCTCGGCCAACGTCTGAGATTCGTTCAGTCTGCCTTGAACACGGTTCATGACGTACACCATCCCCTCCCCATCGCGCCATTGCTGCATTTTTATGCCGTTCCTGCGTTTATAGCCTTCCACCCAACCGTCGCTAGCCTTGAATTTGTGTTCGGGGATTCCAAGGAACTTTGCAGTCCTGATGGCCGCCTGCTTTATGTCTTCGTCATGGATAGGCTTGTCCTTCGGCCAGTCAGCTAGCCATCGGTCTAGTTGGCTATGAAGCTCAGGAAACTTCGGGTCTCTAGAGGCGCGATCATCAGATGAAGAACAATATCGAAGGAAAAATGAGCTTCACTTGAACTTTGCAACCTTGCAAACCTCGTCAGTTGCTCTGAGCCACCTTTCCTTATTCTTGAGAATCTTGCTAATCGTGCTCCGCTCTACTCCGAACCGTGCTGCAATGTCCTCTTGGCGCATGTGGGGGTTGTCTCGAGCCATGACGCATATCTCCTTACGGTCGGAGCTGTACAGGCGTTGCTTCCGGCTCTTGGTCGTCCCGCGAGGGACTTCAGAATGCTTGCCGCCACGCGTGCGTGGTTGCGTTTCAAGAATTGCGGCGGAACCACCACCGGAGGAGACGGTCGTATGTGACGTAGTGCTTAAGGCGGGAGAGGTGGACCGATGATTGAGGGAAAGATTGGATGCGGCAGAAGCGGAAACGGGAGTGGACGCAGATGCGGAGTTGGCGGAGTCTGAAGTCGATCGACTGTGGCCCGAGTGATTCGTTAACGTCGGTTGTTGTATGGGCTGAGCCAACATAGGCGTCGCCTTGCGAGGAGTATATTGGCGGATAGACATAGGCGGTACTTGCTGCGGGTATTGATACGAAGGAGGATAACCTGCGGCGGGGTCTTGTGAAGGAGGACGGGGTGCAAAATGCGGCTGATAATGTCAGGACAGTCACGATAAGCGGTTTGTAAGGCAGACGGTCTTAGAATATTATGACCCACATCGGAGGACTCTGAGCGCATGTTTTGTGCGGGAGGAGCATCTCTGTCTGCACGGGGGTAGGGTGCAGACTGGGCCTGTGTGGCCTGACGGTTCTGACGGCGGGTGGAACCTCTGTCAGGCCCGGTGCTACTAGGAATCTGAGGCCCAGGTGTAGACTGAGGAGGACTAGTGTCTAAGGGAGCGGGCTGATATGGAGGGTACGAAGTGTGCGCGGCCTGCGGCTGGTGGACGTATGGCGATGTGTACTGAGCAGCATAGCCGTTTGCAGGAGGGTTGTGCACGCCAGAATACATTCGAGGATAATCAGCAGGAGGAGGGTGAGTGTTTTGTGGCGCATAATGCTGCCATGATGGAGGGGGGATTGGATTGGCGAGATGAGGCTGATATGGTGGATTGGGGTAAGTGTAGTGATAGGCAGGCTGCTGGTACTGAGAATTAGAATCCATCTCGACTGCCTAGCAAAAGATCAGGGTATATCGGCGTCCAGCAAAGACACGACGGGCTCAATTGCGGCCACAGGATGCGCGTCCTGGGGACAGCAGATGGTGGAGGAGCGAAAGGAGGAAGACGCGAGCGTGTCGGGTCCGGCCAAGTAATTTAAAGAAGTATCGCAATTATGCGCACCGGGAGACTGGCCGGCAGCCGCCCCGGTGCGGAGGCTTTTCATCTGTTCCACTTTGCTTGCCACGCGAGCGCGCTTCCTCGACTGGGACGCCTTCAAAGCTAGCTCATTCCCTCGGTACTCTATTTTGCTCGACATATTTCTCGCAAGTGCTGTCTTGCCTCGTCGAAAGCTGACTGAAGAACTTCATCCAAGGCGCAGTTCCTTCCCGAGAACAAGTGCATGCGTCCTCAGGGTGTCGTTGTTCCGAAAGAAGTTCTTCTCACGCCGAATTATCGCCACTCAACTTTGATAGACAGGATCGTGATCCCTTTCGTTTACAATGGCCTCCCCTTGTCCTCTGGTCTCCAATCATCTCCTCTTGCGATACAAGGGTGCCTACTTCCGATTCTGCTATCGATAATGGAGTGCGTATGAAAGTTGAATTTCCCTGTCGAGGTCACACGAGAACTTCGTACGTCCTGTATCGGTCCTAACTGTATTCTCGCTCCTACGCCGTTGCTTCTTGACTCCTTGCGTGCGTGTCGAAATCAATAATCATCAGCAGACGGGTCACCTTGGCTTCTTTCAGAGGCTACCTCTCCGCCACTTGAGCAAAGATAGCCAAGCGCTCCACTCCCCCTTGTGTGGCGCTTGGGCCCTTCAAGGGGCCTCGTCCTCTTGTAGCCTGACTTCTCCGTCTTCTCGAGCTCGAAGTCTTTTGGTGTTGGCCTTCTCAACAGGCTTGGAATCGGAGTTCTTTTCTCAGCCCGTGCCGGAAATGAAAGACACATGCCTACATTGCCACCATACGTCCGACGAATCCGAGGTTGGCGCCTCTAAATACTTGACGGCCTTGGTACATAGACTCGACGTGGACAATGCACAGTAGGGTATCTAGCTCTCCAATAGATCTCACTATTGGGCCTCCTCGTTCTGCTTGTTGATCTGTTCCTATACTGCCAACGGGCAACCTCGTCTGAGCGCTCACCGCTTCGCATTGGCCATCGAGAACTATATATGTCTACCCAGCGTATCGCGCTCATCTCATGGGAGCTTTCCTCCGCGGTTAGGCCATCCGCTAACGAGTTTTATACACGCCTTTAAATGCCAGTCATACCGTTTACTTGCCTCTGCGGTCTGTTGACTACGGCTTTGTAACTGTGGTAATCTCGTGGCCCAAATTGTCGCTCGACAGCACTGGATCTCCTTATTTACTGCCCCCTCGCAAGTACCCCGGATGCAGACATCGATCACTGAGCTCGATCACTCCCCTGAGGAAGGGCTTCAAGCATCCTTCCGACCTCAGGCTCCTCGTTCTCTACCAAAACATGGGACCTCCGGTGAGAGTACAACTCCCCTTCTAATTTATCATCCTACCTAATGCGAGAGCCCTCCGGTCTTCAGTCGCGCAGAACATACCCAAAGAAGCTATAGTTTCTTCCAGGCGGCGAAGACTCGTACTCAACGATTCAGCGGGCGACGTCTCAACCCGTTCCGCCTATTTTCAGCCTATCCTACTTATTCGCATTCTCCCGGTCTCCGACCTCCCTTTATTGCACAGCAGTAAACAACCCGCAAACACGTTGTCTCTGTCAAGGTCTAGTCTATTTAGAGTGTCATGTACTCCCGTCCCTTATAGATTCGCGATCTTCTCCCTACTCGTGCCGCTGGTCAAATTGGAAACTGATCGTATCGAACGCCGTTTGGATTTCAGAATTTATCGATTTAGCGACCGAGGCCTCTTCCTCCGAAGTTGAACGGCTTTCAGATGGAGGTAGCCGGGCCAACAGGGGCCAACCGCAGCGCATCGAGGACAGATCTACAGGATTGAGAATAAGGCCCTCCTGGATTCAGGTTTCCGGCCACGGCAAGAACATCATTATTTCGAGTCCTCGGAGCAAAAAAAAAGCTTGGAACGAGAGGTGGCCGTCGGCTGACATTGGCTTTGCTGCTCATAGTACTCAAACAAACACGCGCAAGTAGCACTGTCTCATTCTGTGACCCTGTAGGTATAGGTGGTAGTAGGTGCAGGTATACGCGTTGTGTTGTTCTGCGGTCTTGGTCTGGCCATTTTAACGCCCCTCAGTGGACGGTTTCGGTAATGGTTGATGAACGGTTGATCAATGAGCTCGAGGCTGAAGCATGTCCGAGCTAAGGTCCGTTATGCTATGTCCGATGACTTCCCGCAATGCAAGCTTAGACTTCATAGCAAGCAAGTGTTAAGTAAAATACTTCCAGACCAGGTCCCAAATATCAGTTGTGCTTTCCGCGGATGCAGGGACCGGAAACGACGGTATCTTCATATACCTACAAGGAGAAGGAATTTCTCCACCCACAACTCGTACGTCGATCGTCAAGTTGTTTCATCCAGTACTTCGTGCTCATCAAGTGACTTGGTTAGGACCATACACGTTTGTTTGCCTTGAGTAGGTCCTGCCTCTAAAAGACGACAGTCTGGTGGGGAGCTCTGAGCTTGCTTAAGAGGAGCTCTTCTAAAATTACCGATTAGTAGCCTGAGCTCTGCGCGACAACATAGACGCGTCAGGACTTGTGTTGGGCTGCTCATTGCTCACTACTATGGGTATCGCGTCGCTGGTCTGCATCCTAGATGGGCGATCGTACGTCTCGTGCACCCTATCAACGGCAGGAGCTCAGATGAGAAAAAATATGGCGTCGGTTCAGGCAACACAAGTTGAGGAAACGGCGAACCAGAAGTGGATTCAGACGGAAGCAAAAGTTTGTTGCCGCCACAACAGAACAGATCGGAAAGGTCCGAGCCTCGCTGTTCCCGATCAGAGCGCTTGGTCAGTGCTGTCATCCTAACTTCTCCTCCCGAGAAATCCCGTCCTCTCGCCACCCCACCCAAGTAGCGCCACCAACGCCGCCGCAGCAAAACAAGATCCCACGTAAACTATCATCCTTTCGTACTTTCCACCTTCCACTCCGAATCCACTGTGACTACTTAGGGTATTGCTGTGGGTGTCAGACGAAACCATGGAAGACGAAGACCCGGGTAAGGCCGTAGAGATGGGAGTTGAGAGGATGTTTCCCAATCCGGCTACAAAGACGAATATCTGTGAATGCATGCTCTACAAATATGACGGAGTTCCTGCGAGAAGATTGTTAGGTACTGACTGGAAAGCATGAGGATCCCCATGATCGTCATAGAAGCCGAAGGATTGTCTTCTACAGCAGGGGAACAAAGGCCGGTATCAGCCATCCGGTCCATCTCATATAACGCACGGTGAGCACATCAGCGAACACAAGGCTTACTGGTAATCCCTTTAACGAACGCTTCCCACAGGGCGAACCAACCACCTGCCAACATTCCATACACACCACCGAACACGAGCACACCTGCTACGATATTGCCCACGACGCCCCAGAGCGTGAATGTCGCGACGGACGTTAGGGAGAACATGACGAGCGCGAGGATCCAGGGCGAAACGTGGTCGGAAAGAGCGCCGAAACCGAGCTTAGCGATAACGGAGGCTCCTAAATCAAGTGAAAGTTAGAGGGACTGAATGACAGATGCAAACGCCGTCGTGGTTCAAAACCCATGTCGGAGACCTACCATTCAGAAGGAAAAGTGAAAGTGAGGAGGTTGAACGTGATACGTTCAAAGCGGAGGCAAACGCTGTAATACCAAAGGAGTTGGTCAACGCTAGAATTGACGAGGCAAAAAAAAATTAACTGACTGGGCAACCATACAATCGGCACATAATACGCAAAACCTTGCAGCGTATTCGCCAGAATGAAAAGCAACCAGCTCCAATCCTTGAGCCAGACATATTCCTCAGCTCTCCACATCCGCGACCTCCTCGCGGCATGGACCCTACGTTCCGGAAGGCGCGGCTTGATCATCAAGAGTGCGGCCGCAGTACATGCGGCTAATATAATCGAGAGGTAGCGTAGAGTTTTGGCGATACCCCAGAGCGAGAAGAGATGGGGGAGGAGGACGGGGAAAAATAGGCCTGCGAAACTAGTTCCTGCATATATGACCCCGTAGGCTATGCCGCGACGCGCGACGAACCATTCTTGCACTAAGTTGGGAACGGGTGCATAGAGCAGTGCTGTGGAGAAGAAAGAGATCAGCGTCTAGGAGAGGAACAGACAGGTATGTTCGCTCACCTCCGCCAATTGCGTAAAGTGCACCTTGCAGTCCGACTAGTTGCTTTACGTCATCAGTATAGCTCGCCGAGAACAGGGCAATCCATGATAAAAGAGCTCCAAGCCACATCACAGGCCTACGAAGTCGAGGGAATCGATTGCTGAGGGGATAAAGTAAACAACCTGGTTTTGTCAGACGCCAATAAACCGCATCAAATTTAGGAGAATGTGCACGACGTACTTATGCATTGCGACAATCCTGACGATAGAGTGCCGATGAGAGGCAAAAAGTATCCCGCTCTTGACTGTGAAGCCCATTTCGAATCGGCGAGGTAGGCGTCGAGGAAAACACCATAAGAACTAGGAAAGCCCCAGGCAATCGTTTCGATAACAAAGGCACCAGCCAACTAGAGTCATCCAAATACATATCGTCAGCATGATTCGAACTGCATTAAAGGATAGAGAAAGAAAAGAAGACCTACGAACGACCATGCCTGGTATCCCCCATCTACCGGAGCAAGATGTGATTCATTCCGGAGTGTCGCAAGATCAGCTTCATCCTGGCCGTGACGGTCTTGAGGTACAATCGGTAAAGTTGTGGCTGGGGAAGATAAAGACCCATCCAAATGAGACAGCTCCATCGATTCTGCTGGTTCTTGCCGACTAGATGACGGTGTGGCGTCGAAAGCTGGTGTTGGGCATTGAGACTCGGCAGGCATGTTCAGAGTGTACTCAGCTTGCCCTGTTCACTGAGCTTTATCGTCAGAATGGCCAAGGTCACGCTAGATCCTCGAGGATGTCGGTAGTCCTGTAAAGAAAAAATCCGAAGACTTTCTCGAACGTAAATAATACACTTGTGAGTGTACGCGAATGCCTTCGTATGTGTGGCGTGTGGCATCAAGATTATCGTGGGAATACTGATACGTTCGAGTCCGAAAGCCCTCATCCATATGAGTGTCACTTCATAGAAGAAACTCACCCTGACAAACAATGTTCAAAAGACTAGCTTCCTATAAGATCGCTTCATTCTATCATACATACATCCACTTCTTCTGGCTCCCGCATCTTGAGAAAGTAAACAGACAGAGAAGATTGAAAGACGAGAGAAAAGGGAAACCAAACCAAACTTCAGCACAGAACACAGAGCGTAAATTAGACTCTCGCCAGAAGAGCCTTGTCTGTCTGAGCTTTTCGGTCACCGTGTACCGAGATCGAAGAGAAATTATAGCGTGAGGGGACATGACGAGCGCCAGGGGGAACGTTATGTATGACATGGAGAGATGAGGTGAGAGAGTGTGTGATGAGGAAGTATGAGGTGGCGTTGGGTATCGGCAGTGTGTAAAAGCTGAAACCGATGGATTATTCCTCCGCGGTGGTTCCGGGGTAATCGCGGTGGGAGGGTGAGAATGGTGATGTGGGTGGTACGAGCGGCCCCAGGTCGCGATCGAAGCGGAATGAATCACGAGAGATTTGAGGACATCAAAAAGTGCTGGCCCAGGCCTCCAGATCAAATGTCGATGACTTGGCGCTTTCTATCCATTCGTGTTTCTGTTGCCAAGCACGAGGTTTGTGAGAATTTGACCAAGGAAAGACGGGGGGTGCGGGGAAGGGGGACAGTAAGAGTAACGAGATGGATAAAATGGAGGGACGGAAGAAGAGTGTGTATGAATGAGGTAAAAAAAACGTACCAGAAGATCTTTCGGTGTCTGTCTTAGTTCCGGATCCTTCAACAAACACCCATCCACAAAGTGCTCTGCCATCTTTGGGAACCTCCCCTCTGGAGTCAACCTCGGGGCCGGTTCGTTCACAATATGCTGCAACAGCTCCAAAATACTCATTGTCATAGCCCCACCCTGCAAACTAACACCCTTACTCTTCCGCTTGTTTTTCTTCGCCTCCTTCTCCTTGTCCTTCTTCGACGCCTTAGATTTTGGAGGCGGGAGGCCGAGGGGATGGGGCCTAGATGGCGAAAGGGTGCCCTCGAAGTCGGAGAGGTCAGAGTCGTCGTCTGACACGGAATCGGAGAAGGGAAAGCGGCCGAGAGCGAGTTCAATGAGAGAGATGCCGAGGGACCAGACATCTGATTTGACGGTATATTGCGCGCCCTGAATACGCTCGGGCTGTGGGCCACACGGAAGCAAACGTGATGAGGTTGACGCCACAGGGGAAAGGAAAACAGCGGGAGGATGATAATCAATGTGCGGAGATGAGACGTACGCTCATGTAGGTAGATGTGCCGACGAAGGTGTCGGCGATAGAGTTGATGAGCTCGCCAGAGACGCCAAAGTCACAGATCTTGATTTGTCCCTTGGAATTGAACAGGATATTTGAGGGCTTGATGTCTGTGCGCGGTGACGTAAAGTGCAACGTATCAGCGAAGAGTAGGTAAACCGGCAAGAAGAGTGGGAGACATGCCGCGATGAATGATGCGATGGACATCGTACAGATAGGTAAGACCTTCAAGGACAGCGAGGGCGACTTTAGCGACGACCTCGACATCGATGGGTCCTATTCGTTTGTAGATGCCGTCTAAGGAGCCCTTGTCCGAGAATTCCATGCATATGCAGATATTTGGGTCTGAAAGGAAGGCGCCATAGAAAGAGATGATGTATTCGGAATGACAGTCATGCATAATCTGGAGCTCGCGGAGGATTTGTTTGCGGACTGAGGGCTTGGCATCTATGAGGACGATCTGGACTACAATTTCACAAAGAGCATCTATGGTTCAAGAGGCAGATATACGCACCTTCTTAGCCATGGTAGTGTGTGTTGGCACATGCTCCACCTTCTTCACGCTGCCTCCGTTCCCCTGTCCGAGCTCCTGCAGCTCCTTCAGATCCTCGTCCCTCAAGTCGTACTTAGTCTCCGCGTTCATATCCAGGCTGGCAAGAGTATTGGAGAGCGTGGTGTGGTATGACTTGCGGTTGGACGAGGCGGCATTCGAGGCCGGGGCGGATGTAGGTACGTTATTTGCCAGCAGCAAGCTCTCGTCTCCTCCGGCTGGTGTCGAGTGTCCCTTGGTAGACTTGAGCGCCATTGGAGGTGGCCGCTTCTTCGCCTTTCCACCTGCTGTAGCTGGTGCGGCGACTGGTGCGAGTCGGGTGGGTATTGGCATCGGCTCTGGTTCTGGTGCGGCTTTGGGTTGTGTCACGTCGAGCTGGAGGGCCTTGAAGTTGCGTTTCTTACGGATTGGAGTGGCCATGGCGCGCAGAGAGCTGGAAAGACTCGAAAAAGAAAAGTGAAGATGGGGTTGCTATGCAAAGATATATCAATGACGAGCCCGACGGTGGGAGTAGACGGACAAGTTGGCGAACGCTTTGCGACTGTTGCGTTGACTTCGCTTGACGGGCGGCACTTTCCGGCTTCTTTCCAACTTCGCCACCCTCTTTCTCTTCCTCGCCCCATCCATCTTTCGCTTTCGTCCCCTTTTGGCGTCTGGCCATGGGTTGAATATTGCTCTTTGCTCCCAGTGAAGGCTTGGGCACAACAGTGTTGGCTATCATCCACTCAACACTCAGCGCTGGGCGTCACTTCTAACAGATCCTTGTCTACTTATACATTCCCATATTCTTGGATTCCCTTCCTCGTAGATAAAGCCCTTCATCTGTAAGCTTGGTTCTCGCACTTTACGGCCATGGTTGCCGCCACATCTCGCTCGTGAGCTCTATGTTGGCATGCGGTGGCCCTCGGCGCACTCTGGCAGTGGATTTCCTGCCTTAGACTCTTTTCAGGACACGGACGTACTTACGGGAGGGAAACCTCAGCGAACGCCGTAAGGGAAGAATCAGCGCCCGTGTATGGTGGACATGTACTCTCGCCGGTCCTTTTCTTGTCATTGTATGGCATCGGGTGGTAAGGTATCTCTTCTCGTTGCCTCGTACAATCAATCAATTGTATGTATTGTTACGCTTTGATGGGACGACTTCCACAAAGGTTTACATACAATGATCCATGTTTATCTTACAGAGCTTACACTCCTGATGTTTGAGCTTAGGCCAGGTCCTTCAAGCTTCCCCAACGGTGGTAGCGCGCACATTCATGCTCCAGGACGCTGCATACAGTGTTGAAAGAGGCGCGTCCATCAGGTTCCGACGAAAACTGGATCTTTTGGGTGGCCTGCCGCCGCAACAATTCGTTTCGTCGGCCGTCGCTTCTAGTGTGCGGTTTGGGCAGGGAGAGGTCTTCCGAAATGGATCTTGCTTCACTGAAGACATTGTCTGCTCGGCCTCCTCTGCATTGAAGGGCGTACCGGCGTATATCAAACAGTCCGAACGCGCCAGGCAGTTTCGTACCGCCATCGTCTCTCGGATGTTTCGTTATTTCCGATCGAGCGTTTGCTCACTGTCTCCTCTCGTCTCCCTCAGGAAATACTCGGCCAATATCCTAATACGTTCGTACAGCTACTACAGAAGCGTTCTTTGGGTATTTCCTTGATGCGGTTTCGCCGGCGGCTCTCACTACTTTTAGTCCCGTCGTGGTGGGAAGAAATCTCGAAACAGACTGTGATGAGCTCACCGGGTGTCCCACAAAGTCTATACGTTCTATATGTGGTCCGCTGGCGTGAGGTCGCAGGGAAACATTGGCTGAGGTGGGACGCTTCCCGATGCCTGGTGGGACTGCATGGGCGTTCCGGCCTTGTGATTGGTTGTCGGAGACACGTGAGGCATGGTTCGGGGCGGTATCTTGGCTCGAGCACAACGGAAGTCCCTGGCCCGTTTATTTCTAGACTTCTTTCGCGCACAGTCGGACTATAAAGGCAGCACGTCTCGGGCTCTGATGCACTCTGAGACACCCTCCCCTCGCACTCCGCTTTCGTCGTCTCCGGACAAATTCTCAAAGCTTTGTTTTCCTGTGATTCGCCGGAGCGCGGAGTGGGCAACCGAATCCGGAACTCAATCCAAGGACTTCGCCACTTTGACTGAATACCTTCGATCTGTGATCCTGGTCCCAATTCGATTTATCCCGCCACCCGCGTCGCCCGCTCGTAAACGCAGTCGGAATTGCTGAATACGATTGACACGGAAGAACGCCATTCAATCAATCAATCCAGCGCTTGCCCCAAGCTCGCCTCAGACTTATATAAGGCATGGATCCCTCGACGGAGACGACTGGCAACTCACTTCCACCCCCAACGGTCCCGATGCGAAATTCACGTACCCTCGTTCTATGTTTCGACGGCACCGCCGACCAGTACGACGCTGAGAATACCAACGTTGTTAGGCTGTTTTCACTCCTACAAAAGGGCAATAATTCTTCCCAATTGGTATATTATCAGTATGTTTGCCTTGCACTCTGTCGTACCAGTGTTTACTCAGTATCCACCAGGCCAGGTGTCGGAACGTATCTCGAACCCGGAGTTGTTTCTCCTCTCTTTACTTGGGGGGCGAAGGTACTGGACGAGGCCGTCGCTTGGTATCTGCCACAACACGTCATTGGAGGGTATACATACTTGATGAGCAATTATAGTGTGGGCGATAAAATTTGTTTATTCGGTCCGTTTAATGCGTTGTTACTCCACCATGGTTTCCGCTCACGCATCTATCATCATGCTACACAGGTTTCTCCCGAGGCGCCTACACAGCCAGAGCTCTCGCTGGTATGCTCCGTGCTGTATGTGCAATATATCTTGTGTTTATTCCACCGTCGGACTCACGGCTGGACAGGTCGGTCTCCTGCCTAGAGACAACTCAGAGCAGGCCGGATTCGCATTTCGCCTCTACTCTTCAGAGAAGTTGTCGGACCAGCAGCTCGTGCCTGGATTTAAGAGGACGTACTGCCGCGATGTGACGGTTGAATTCCTCGGTGTTTGGTGAGCCACATATGCATATAAAGCTATTGAATGATCTCTCGATGGGTAGGTCGGGGACGTCGCACGTTCCTTGTCCGAGAGGCTCCGACAACGTCACTGCCTTCATATCCCAACATTCATGATGCCCCTTCAAGTCATTCGTTTCCGGGCGTCACATGTACTGATGAACATCTTTCTGTTCTCGTTCACAGGGATACGGTTGAAAGCGTTGGCATTATTATGACCAAGTCGCTGCCGTTTGTTTCAACTAACGATTCGATTCGCACATTCCGTCACGCTCTCTCATTGGTACGGTACCCGCTTCCAAAGTCTATCGAGTTCCTCGATGTCTAATATCTATTATTGATATAGGATGAGGTCTGGCCATTGGTCTTAATCTCATACGCCTGCTGCTGCTGATCATACGTTTCAGCACCGCGCCAAGTTCAGGCCCTCGCTCTATCATAGGCCGACCCCCCAGACCGCCATGACCGCCGCCGCGGAGGCTACCTCGAAGGATACGAAGAAAGAACACAGGCGTCCATTCCTTGACGTTGGATTCAGGCGCCGTCCCCGGCAATCGCTCGGTGACAAGGAACGTATTCTGCAACCCCCAGCCTCTGAGCAACACGAAGATGCGGCGAACACGGTCAAGCGGCCGGACTTCGTGACCGATTCCAAGGAGGTCTGGTTTGCCGGGTGCCATGCCGGTATGTCCTACTCTGTCAACGTTGATGATGTTACCGTTCGTCGACGCTGGCGCTGACTATAGCTTATCTCTTCCGATTACCGAGACGTGGGAGGCGGAGCAGTACCTGATGGAACGAAGTATTCATTGGCGGATATCACGTTACGTTGGATGGTTCGGGAGATCATGTTGAGCCAGTGCGGTGAGCCTACTTTCGCCTCTGACTCGAGCATCTTTGCATTGTATCATGAAGCCATCGCCTTATCAACTCATCACCTCTCCCTACAGGCATCATATTTGAAGACGATGCTCTGGAACGTTTGAATATCCCTCTCACGGTCATGCACTCCATGGGCTCGACTGGAGGAGGTCCACAGATACCCGATGCTGGAATTCTCCCCGCCCCTGTCCCCCAAGAAATTAGCGAACCGTATGTAGTTGCAGGCGCAAGTGACGCAGAGTCTCAATCTCGACAGCCACTCCAAACAAGCCGCTCCGGCCGTGATCTGTTCGTGCCAGGGAGCGGTCCGTCCCGAAGCCCGAGCCCGAATCCTTGGAAAGCGAGAGAAATCACGGATATGAAACAGCCACTCCACGATGAGATGAAGAGAAATATTTTGTGGTGGCTGTTGGAGATCATACCCACGAAGGCAACTTGGCAGGACGTGCAAGGAAATTGGCACTCATCCTGGAGGCACGTCTTTTCCTTGACGCCACTAATTGTCACCTGTATTGCACGCTGACTTTCTGTGGATGTGGCGCGTTGGCAGTCTGCACTGTGGACGAGGGAGATACGTGCCGCCGAACTCCCTATTTCATTCGAGCGTCAAGCTTCGAATGGACGACGAAGCTATGAACTACAAGCCCAAGGCGGTCTATCAGGCAGAGACTATCAAGTTCGTGGACTAAGAGTTACGGTGTTGCATTCTTCCTGTTCGTACCTGAACCGCCCCGTCCTCTTTGATTTCCCAGTGTTTATGTCTTCGAATGAGGATTTCCTTCTTCTTTTCTTGTTTGCAGATTACTCGAAGTATTGAATGGTCGTAGGCTCAGCATACGTTTACGGTTTATTTATTTGATCCCCTTTCCCTTGGCCCGTCCACCACGAACACGACAGCATTGACCATTACGACGACTCTGGACGAACATCATGACATCGAACGGAACGGTATCTTTATTGCCTACGAATATTTTTTGCCCAGATCGCATTAGCATTACCTTGCGTAATATCATTTCTTTAGGCTCTCCTTTGCATCCCCGCTGCATCCACCACTCTGTTGGTATGACCCTTTGTATACTAGTACGAATAGTTACGAAAGTCCTTTTGTAGGATAGGACCCTTATTGAATGTTCAACGACTCAGCATTTTCACGACGTGGATCAGTAAGAAAGGAAGAGACGGTTACTTGATCGGAGAGCGAGCCACAATACTGTAACACAGGGTGGCGTTCAATGGAATGTAGACCGCAGTGGCACATGCGTAATCTCTGGGGCACAAGATACAGGATGTTCAGATTCAAGCGGGAGCGTATACATTTCATTCGCAAGGCTAGTGATATATGTTAGGAATACACAGCAACCGAAAGCTCGACGCACGCTAAAAGCTACCAGAGCAAGCGAACCAAAAAGGACTACGAAACCAACAACCCAAAGAAATTGTATGAAAGGAAAGAAAGATCTACGAGAAGGCTGGGTACATATGTCGTCTAGAGTGTACGTATCGAACGTTGGATAGGGGATCAAAGACATGAGAAGACGTGGGGAAGGGGAAATTTTTAAGGGCGGAAAACAATATACTGCCGTTGGAGTCGTCAAGACGTGAAGTATGAAGGAATAAGTCTGAAAGAGAGCACGACACGAAGTGAGTGACAGACATGGTTACGAGATGAGGAAAACACACACACTATGATTCACTTCTTTTCGTCCAGTGTCTCTATTTCGCATCAAAATGCCAGCTGATAGAGAGCTCTCCCACATCGAGCGATGCGAGCTCAGAGAACACAGCAGGGGACATGTCCAGGTCGTAATAACCACAAGATTCGCAGCTATCTCTAAGCGTCGCTTGTACGCTCTTGCCATTAGCGCTGATGGTGAGCATCTGACGAAAACACAAGTGCTATTAGACGGATAGTAATGGAATAGGTGCGGGAGGCTTCATACCTGATTACAGTTTCCCCCGTCATTAGCGTCATAGAAGGACTTCGCCATCGCGACAACCATGCTGCTGCTGTCGTCGGTTTCGCCGCAATTTCCGAGGCCTGGATAGTACCATGTGCCCTGAAAGACTGTCAGCGACTCGCTAAGTGGTGAAAGATAGAATGGACAGACGTACTCTGCCAGTGTGCGTCACCCGCTTCGCGAGAGAGGAGTTGAAGAGCTCGGTGGGCATCGGCGATGCCACAGCCGACAGGATAAAGGTGCAGACAGCAAAGAGCATCATGAAGAGAGAAGACATCTTTGAGACAGACGGCGAGAGGTGTATGAAGAGTGGCGGGGTAGGAGAGTGCGTGGATGTGTATATGAAGGGGAGTGGCGGGTAGGAGAAGGCGTGGAGCTTGGATACCGACCAAGGTTTGAAGGCCCGTATTTATACGAGGGAGGTCTATAGGTAAAGCCCAACTTGCACATGGTGTGCAAAGCGTGGACGTCGCCAGGCTGCCATAAAGTTCACTGAAAAAAACAAGGCCTCACGAGAAAAAAGAAAATAGGGTTGGTCTCCCAGGAACCTCCGGAGAGACCGACCACGGAACCATAATAGTTGTGCTGCGAGACGGAGGTAAATTTTACGCCGTTGGCTTGTCCAAACCCGGGAGCAAACAGGTCCTGGCACCGTATGAGGAACGAGGCTCGGAGAGGGATGGACCGATCCGTAAGGGGATCAATAAATCAGTGAAAACCACAGAGGATATAGACACGAGGGCGATTGACATCATGGAGGCGTTTGGGTTGCATTATGAGCGTGTAATACGGAGACGGCGGTAGACGCTCTCAAGCAAGAATCAAAGCTGCATTTGTCCACAATGCAAGAGCGCCGAGGGAATTTTAGTGTTTACCCTCTTTTGTTTCTGACTGATTCTAGGCCACGACCTGCCTCGACTTGTGTATGACGGATTGACTGACACATCGGTTCCTGCCGTCGAGGCCCGCCGGTTTAATGAAGAGGGTGAGAGGGCGTTGAAAATCGAGACTTTGGTACATCGCAGCGAATGGCAAGGCCCAGGATGAGCGTCGCACACGATTTGGGGTCTTGGAATACATAAATTATGTAATTTCGGAGATAGCCGCATATATGTTGCAGATTTCCTTCTTCGCATGCTCAAGTCAACCCAAACACCTGTTACGCACACCATTGAGTATAGGCAGTCTAATCCACTCTATCGATGTTAGTCTCAGTACGGGAATATAAATGCTTCTGCTCATCTGGTTTATGACCTGGTTCATGTTGCTTTGCGTGCCCACTGTCTTCTTGTCCTTTCCATCTCCTTCCCTATACTATTGGAATATTCGACTCATTGTCTGGTTTCTCTCTAAAATGCTTAATTAAACTCAGTGGACCCTTTTCAAAGTCGGCCTACCTACCACTGGTCTTCACGGCACCCGTATTCATCGGCCTTGGCGATTGTCGGTGATAATGGATGCGGCGCTTTTGAACACTTGAACGCGCATCGATCCTCGGTTGGTCTTCAGGCTCATGCTCTCAGCCCGAGAATTTCTTGCTCGTCGTCAATGTTCTCGGCAACAGCGCACCGGGCGCTTTGACTTTACGCGGTGAATAACTCTCCGGGAAGTCCGATGTGATTTTTTTTAAATCTTGTGAGCGGTTACTACGTGACCCTTTTGCGATCTGGAAGCCTCGCGGGACTACACATGCGAATTGTCTTCACTCGGCCGTTTATCCCTGATAAAGTGTTTCTTCGAATACAGCAACGACGAGAATCTCGAGAATCTAATGTTGAGTTCAAGGAAAATTCGGACCTCCGTGTGTGCGGCCGTCGCACTTGTACTCTTCATCATGCATCAGCAGTGCTCAGCCTTCATCTCCTGTCGTGTCTCCAAGGTCCATGGCGCTGCCGTTCGTTTCGTGATGCCTCACCTGATCCGCGAGATTCCCTAACGATTTGCTGCAGGCGCCGGGGGTAGGGTTTCGTAGTTGTACATGAGCAGAGCTCAGCCTTTCACACTGAACAAACATTTATCCCTTCCTTCCTAGTAGCTTGCAGGCCCAGAACGCATGACAATGAACGCAAGATCTTTGCGTGCTTGGCAATGTGGGGTCAGTCATTTCTTGGCAATCTCGAACGTTAAAATTTGAGAAAGCTCTCGGTGCCTTAAAGTTGAGTGGCCGAGTTACATCAGAAGAGACCGAGGGTGACCATGGACCGTGCCTCACCTCGGCGGGACTGCAATTCCGTCAAGTAAACCGTCGGGGGCTGTGCCTAGACCATGCCCCCTTTGACCTGCCAGTGGCACTCTCTCGCCACTCATTCCATTTCTTTCTCAGCCCAAATTCAGAAAATGAGTACACCAAAATTTCATTCTCTCACAGACTGTACGGCACGGCGCTCACACGAACACTCCGCTTGGGGTCGCTGGCTTCCAACCAATGGTAGTAGCCTCCTGCAGGACTTTTACGGGAGTACAGTAAGAAAGTGATGAGAGCTAACGGCCCCGCTGTCAACATCGCGAGGTCCAACCTACAGTCTCGCCCAAGTACTGTCCGCTTTATGCAAACGGCGTCTCTCCTGCACGTTCTCCATATTTTGATGAAGCGCATAAGTAGACTGCATGCCACAAACTGCATGTCCAAGCCACGAGCTATTACCACCTCGTGCATCCGTTGCTTAATTTACAGGAAGTGAGCGCGTTGATCCCAACCTCGAGTTTAAAGATTTGCATCATAGTATAGGCATTGTTTCAACGAGGTTCTGCCAATTACGATATACAGAGCCTTTACCACGCGGCACGCAGACTGGGAAGAGTGAGGCGTTGTAAGTAATTTGGGGTAACTTACATGGAATGGCAAGGAAGCAGCATCCTGAGTTATGGAAGCGCAGGAAAACCACGTCTGCTCCTCTAGCTTCTGTTCTTCGTGACCAAAACGCTAACCCAGAGTAAATGATGCGATAGGAAGTGTGGCAAGTTTGTTTGCCCGCTTAGATATCCACACAAATCACAACGCTAGATATTTCCGAGTCTGAACCGCGCCAATTCATTGCATATAGCTATATAATTCGCCGTAAGTTGGGAAGGCTACATGGCTGGCAGGATACTAACATGATGGCAAGGTGGCCCAATAAGATATCTACACGCCACTCTGCACGGATCGGAATATTGCTCAAGTAAGTACTTATGTGACGTCAGCATCACGAGGTCCTGCCGGTTGAGGCCAAGCACTCGGAGCGATGAGTAGTACTACCTCTTTCTCCAGGCGTTCATCTTCTTTCGGTCTTGTGAGCACGGTGTAGTGCTGTGGACGCAAATCGATTGCGCATCGGTAGCAGGTGGAGTCTCTCAAAACAGATACACGAATTAATTCACTCTCCAATCGAGAATTATAAGCGGGAAGATCTGCTCGAGAAATGATGGACTCAACACAGATTTCCTACGGACACACCCTCCCGGTATGCTCGCTCTCTTCCCTGCAGCTTCCGACGCAAGGATTCAAACGCAGAGTATATAAAGGACCAGGTCGATCGCATCTCCAATCACTGCGCCGCTCAGCTCGACCTTCTCAGTGACGTAGGCCTATGCTGCTTACATTTGTACTTTCTTGAGCTCATGTACATGCTTTCATCCTCTAGATTCGTGACCTGTATCGAGAACGAGCAATAATTGAGAAAGAGTATGCTGCGAAACTCCAAGCATTGGCGAAGAAGGTGGTTGAGAAGAAGACGAGAAAGATGGCCTCTGCCGTCTTAGGTGATGAACCTACTAAGACATGGAACGAAGACACCATCAGTGAGAGGTGAGTTGTTTCATCGTGATTGCGCAAGACGAAAGACCTTTGATGTTGGCCCATGACAGTACACTGGATCGGGCATACTCGAAGATCATTGGCTCAATCGTCGAATCTGCGCAGGACCATATCAATCTCGCAGATGCGCTAAGTTCGCAGGTGGTTGATCCCCTCAAGTCCCTTGAGCGAAAGCATGAAGAAAACGTCAAGAAGGTGCTGCACCATTCGTTCTTATGAATTATCTCCTCTCGCTCATGTTATGACATACAGCAAACCCAATTCTATGAGAAAGTGTTGAATGACAGGAATCGAGTGTATAATGATCGGGCAAAAGTAGGTGTCTTTCACTCAAAGACGCCCGAAGCAGCCGATTCTGATAGACTATCTTAGAGCAAGCAGAAGGTTCGTTCTTTTAGATTAATCTCTCTAGATACACCTCTGATTATCAACTAGTATGACGAAGAATGTGTCGAGCTCGAAGCATATCGCCAGAAGCAGGTACGCTAGTCTCCGTACTCGGTGCTGTGACACCTCCGTTTCTCATATCTAGCTCGCGAAAGGATCGCGCGCAGTATGACAAGCATGCAGACAGAGCAGCTAAGCAATTCGAACAGCAACGTATCGACATGCTCAATGCCAAAAAGTGAGTTATCATTTTCATTAATATGATTTGGATGAAAACGGGCAAATCTCGCTGTGTTTTTCCGGACAGAGGTTCACATCAGTCTGCCGATTGCCGTGCAGGGGGCATACCCGTTCATCTGATGAAGTCGTGCTCACCGTGCACTCCTTTCCCAAAAAAGAATCGTTCAATATGGTACCTGGTCTATGATTTCTTTATGGACAGGGTATCCCGCAACCTTTGGCCCTTCTGAATCATTGAGTTGTTTCATCAGACTCAAAAAATAGGATGTGACACGCTTGCGTACGCGAGAAGGTTTCTCAATATTCATAGTTGTAAACTATGCTTACTTCGTTCTATTGTTGATGCTCATTTCTACACATCTTCAGCGTGTTTATCATATCGACAACAGTGGCAAACAAGATGAAGGAGAGATTCTACGCTGAAGACTTACCTGCTATCGAGAACGTAAGCTTGCCGTCACCGCTCGAATCTATCTTTTCATGCACTGTACTCATCTAGGTGATACCGTATCCTACAGCAATACCGTAAGTTTGGATTAGCATCGATGCCTGATTCCCACTCCTGACTCAATGTCACAGAGAGGCTCCAAGAACACCTCGTTCAAAAGTACATCAGCGTGCTACATCACGCTCAGGCTCTCCAGATCACCCACTACGACGTGCTCAAGACCCTGGTCACCGCTGCCGACACTGCACTAAGCGAGGTTGATGCGCAAAGGGATCAAGCAATGTTCATCGATTATAACATTCGTCCCTTCTCCATGCCCACCGACTGGGCGTTCGAACCTTGCGCGAGTCATTATGATACAGTACGCAAACATTTTGATATGGCCTGCACTCGTCTCGCACGTGGCTGACTTATGCACAGGGGGAGATGAGCGTGGACGACGCACCGAAGGTTTTCCTTCAAAATAAGCTGTCCAAGTGTCGATCAAAACTCCAGGAGTTGGGGCCGCTTCTGGATGGGAAGAGTGAGAAGCACGATTTATTCTTTCCCAAATCGCACGTTAGCTCAACAATAGGCCGATTCTTTGGTGACAACAGAGAAGGATGTTGAACAACTTAGCAAATTGGTGTCTGCCTATGCCACCAACGGATCCTTGGGAAACATCGATGAAGTCATTGAGGTTGGTCTATTGGTGCTCATCCTGGCGTCAGCTGTTCTCAACTTGAGACTTAGAGCTATCTGAACGCCGAACACCAAGCCACTCTCTACGCTACGTCCAAGACCATCCTTGACGCAGAGATAGAGACTGTCCAGGCTGCATTAGCCGGTAAGTTTAGATTTGGCCTCATGGACCATCACTTCTCTCATGACCCGCGAAACACGCATACAGGTGACGAAGGCTCTCAACAGCCCCACTCGTTCAAAAGCTCCTCATTCACCATACCGACTGAATGTGGCTATTGCAAGGTTTGTGAGCACGATCGCGAATTGCTAAGGAGATCCGAAGCTGATCTTTGAATTCGCAGTCTTCTATCTGGGGTCTCAGCAAACAGGGGAAAACATGCAGGCACTGTGGCATATCAGTGCACTCGAAGTGCGAGCTGAAGGTAATGAAAAACACTGTATGGAATTGTTCGACACTGAAATGCCAATCCTCGCCAGGTTCCTGCCGAATGCTCTGGTACCCGTGAAGCGCGGCATAGGTCATCGGCTTCTGTGAGCAGCTTATCTCGAACAGATAGCGTTCTCTCGACGAGCTCCAGATGTGAGTACTCCCTATACGCTTGACCCTCATCTGAAACGAGCGCTCACATATTTCCAGCCTCAATCTCTAGTAATGCTTCCAAAGCAGTGGCGCCGTCTGCATCCTCATTCGCCCAGACTAGTCTTGATACTCACGCAGAGAATCATGCGAGGGCACGCGTGGTCTTCGATTTCACACCTACATCTGCATTCGAGCTTGCGGTTCATGGTGAGCCCTCTCCGCTCATTGCTACACCACTTATGTCTGATCATGATGGTGCATATTTCTCCCCAGAGGGTGCTCAGGTGGACGTACTTGAGGACGATGATGGATCTGGGTGGGTCAAAGTCGCCGACAGCAATGGTGGGAGAGGCTTGATACCAGCGTCGTACATTGAGGCAATCGATGATACTGCGGGCGCCACAACGCCACGGTCTTCCACACCCACTGCAGTAACTCCGAATCAAGGCTCCGGACAGTACGGTCAGTGAATCCATTCTACGTGATGGGGTTCATCTCATTAGATCCGACTCCATAGTCCGAGCTATCTACGCCTACCAATCCCAAGGTGAAGACGAGTTAGGTCTTCAGGAGGGAGACAGGATCGAGCTTACCCCTGGGACAGCCGGTGGTCAGTATTATGCCGAAGGGTGGTGGGAAGGTAAGTACTCTGGCATCAGACCGCTCTGATCGCTGCTCATGGAATGAGTTCAGGAATCGACTCCAGGGGGACGAAGGGAATATTTCCAAGCAACTATGTAAGCTCTGAACACTCGCGTATTTGGCGTCCCAGTGGGCTTATTCGCGATTATCTCACAGGTCACATTGATTTAGAGCACCGACGATCGCTCACCACACATCATATGCGGCGGACTTATAAGTCAGAGTTTCTCCAGCTCTACCGTTCACTGGATAAACAGTGTACGCCTTACGCTAGTAACGATGATTTGCTTGAAGTATCGCAAAACATATGCTATACAAAGAATTTCAAGGACATAGCGAAGGTCAGACTGAGTATGCGCAGAGATGAATATTGCCGCTAGTTACATTGCTACCAAAATCACCCTTGAGGGCATGGATCGCGGGATAAGGTGGCCCGGGATTGCGTGTGATCGTCTCGTCTGCGTTCGTGCTGTATTGAGGGTGGCCCACGATGACGAGGTTTTACTGGGCTATTATGCGGTCGATCTTTTCAAGCGACCTCGTGTTGTGGTGGGCTGAGGATATAGCGCTAAATGTGGCAAGTTGTAGACTAGTACAATAGCTCGCAGCTGAGGTCCGCATGAAGTACTCCGGAACCACTCAGAAAACCACAAGGTCCTGTCCTCTGAGCCCAGCCTCTCTCGGTATTCGTGATTCACTCAAATACAAGTCGGTAGTAAGTGTATACTTCCAAAGCCCCTCTTCGTCCCGGCTCTAGGGTTTTAAATCTAAGCTAAACCCGTTCATTGATTGGATAACTTCTTGCCCTGTAGGAACACCATCCCGGAGATTTTTCTCTCCTCACTTTGGGCCGGTGATTTTACAGCTTGCAGCAACAGATACAAAGATTCGATGAAATCAGGGTCGACCGCTGTAACCTAACATTGGGCTGGTCGGAGCGGAGAGTTAGTTACGTCGAGTGAGCATGGAAGAAAGTTAGCAAACATGAACCAGGACACACGATGGATAATACCCATTGAGCAGCTGATAGCGCCGCTGTTATGTCCTTGATTTCCCATCAAGCTATCGATAGTCATGCACACCAGAATTGACGTGCTTCTTCCCAAAGATATGCTCAATCTGTCTGGAAAGAGGAACAACAAGAGATTGGTACGGGTGACCCGAGAGCCGCATTTGATGAATCCGAGCTCGCATTCCCAGGTGCGAGATCCGACGGTAGAGACATCGATATCGCTCGCCATTGACCCCCTCTCCGCTACTGTCTACATCCAGGAGACCATAGATGATGGATGGATGCAGGTACCGGGCCGTCGTGGAATTTATTCGATGGCGACTGAATGTTCAATGTCGCGGCTCATCGTTTAACTGCAGTTCTGCTCCATGAACTCATGCAGCCACATTCGTCTGTCTCATTGAGTAAGATGGGCCATCAATGCCGGACCCATTGGGTCCAGGATTGTCTGTTATGTATCGAAAGGGGGTCGGTGTCGTAAGAGCAGTCGTTCACATAGGAATATGATATCCCCACCAGTCCCATCCCCAATCAACATGAGGCGGATTGAATCCTCTCTAATTTGAGGCACTGTGATCGGCCAGGAGTCGGAGACCCTTCCAAGCCAGGCCATAAAAACCCAAGAGGGTGCCGTCGAAACCCACACCTTCCCCCATATCCCTACTCTTCGAATACTGGTGGACACCTGCATCTCGTTCAAAATGTAGGCCCTCTGCCAATGGCTCCTCCGTCTGTCCCAAACGTTTATAGAGTCCAGCTGGTTGACACTCAGCAGAAGGAAGGTGCGGACTACAGGTTCCTGGCCCTTAGATCCTACCACTCGTAGTAGTCACCCACTGTGCATCGACAAGCAGCGCTAGGTGGACCAACGCCTTCGTCGACTCGCAGCATCATCGCCGACTACGGTCCTTCCTTGCCGAGCGTATACGCTTGACTCGCAGACCGTACTCTTGCGATGGATGACTGCGACGGCGAATTCGTCGGCTCACGCGACCGCTGTCCACCGAAGGCTTCCTTCCGCCTCGGAACACTACACATCATGTATCGCTCTACAAAGATCCTTGATTGGACTGCCAGGGACTGCCACTTGCCCAAGGCAAAGGCACTGTGTCCGGGAGCGAGGACATCGTGTGGCTGATTTTCGTGCGGTTCAACCTGACCAAGAGAGGGCCATGAATCACAAGTCTCTCAAGGCTGTGATTGCACGCCGCCAGACAGGGCTCTATAGAGCTAAGCTTGCCGCATCTGCAGCAGGTAGCCTGTGGCGAGCTCTGGTCGAGTCTCCCTTCAAAGACTAGCGTCCTAGACAGAGCTATCCTCAGTGATTGAGTACTGTCCCCTTGCAGCCGAAGAACCCGAAGAGATTATGGAGAACCTTAACTCGCCACTGATTTTGCCGGTGTTTTCCTTGTGCGAAGTCTGCTCGGAAAGAGGGCCACCCAGAGTGGAACTAGAGATCACAAAAGCGACAGTGCGGCGCTGAGCTCTTCCTGCAGTGTGAGGTTACAGTCAACGCAAACCCACGGCGACGGACTTTGATATGAAAGCCGTTCGCTAGTATGATGGCAGATATCGTGGTTGAGCCGATATCTCGCCATGAACAAGAGGGTCTTTTGAAGCAGTACCGGACTTCGGTAAACGGGTACCTAGAGAAAGCAGTAAACAATAAATTCACAACAATCGATACAACCGGAGATAATTACAGAACACGGATCAATGTCCCATCACGATCGTGTACAGACAACATGGAACGAGCTAAGAGAGACAAAACCTGGACAAACATCCTCCCCCGAGGCCAATCAAAGAGACCATCATGCTATCTCCCGCCACCCACACCAATAGCCGTGCGTATATATGCACCGTTCGCACCCATGGGGCCGAAGGTTGCATTCGGCGGCAAGGGAGTCGGTAGAGCGCCGCCCATGGCAGGCGTTGGAAGCGACATGCCTATGTGGTTCTGTCCACCCGCTGAGTTCTGGTTCTGTGTATCCCTGCTGAGACTTCTATCTTCTCGCTCCGCGATCGTTGCACCCCCACGGCCAGGGTCTGGAATGCCGTTGGCGACCGTGAACGTCTCGCCGAGGCCGTAGAGCTTGCCGTTGTACTCTTCATGGTCAACCTGGTCGTGGAAGTAGATCTCTCGCATCTTGAAGAATGTCGAGGATGTGAGCAGCGAGTCGGAGCCGGCTTGGTGCGAAGGTCCTATCCGCATGATCTGTGGCGTGCGTTCACTGTGTTCAGTCACACGAGAATAACGGAGAGGTTCAAGAATTATCGATGGGAAGAAAGATCCTTACCCCGAGGTCATCCGCTACGTCCTGTAAGCCACCTTTGAGCAGTTTCGAGGCACGCATCATGGTTTTGATGTCGTAACTAGTGGGGAACCAAGTCTTGAGAACGTTGAAGAAGGCGTCCTCCGTCGTAGGCAATGAGAGTGCGGTGAGAAGTTTGATGAAGTATCCGAAATCGTAGCCGCTGTATACACGTTCGATCGTTAATATACGTCTGTCACTCCACGACCAAACCAAAGTTCACTGCTCGGTACGACGGCACTTATGGCAGGAAGTAAGTTTAGATGTGTCGTTTTTGGCTGGTCGCGTAGCCAGACATGCAACGGCATAGATGATGGGCCCAGTATGGCTCGAGTGAACGAATACAATGGTGCGGTATGGGGTGACCAATGGCCTCTTGCTCGTCTATAGCAAGGCGAGGGATCTGGGGAGACCATCGAAACATAGCCCCTGCCAAGTCGCCTCCGCCCAGGAGAGATGTGAAAACCGGTACTCACCTATGAAACGAGATCCACCTTGTCTCGTCCGTCAACACCAGCCCCGACGTAATCATCAACTCCGCAAAATCATTAGGCATGATCCCAATTTCCTCATGCCGCTGGAAGTCGATCCCGGATTTCTGCAACAACTCTATGGATTCCGGGGCGTACATGTCTTCACTATGTAGCGTAGAACGTTCGATGTGTTGTTGAGTGTGTCAGTGCATTGGTTCATGATTACCGCAAGCACGACGCAAGCAGACGTAGATGGTTGGACTTGGACTGATGAAGTATACACGTACTTTACACTGAAGTGAAAGTTGAACTGCCAGGTAGACACATCTTGTGGTGGTGTCCCGTCCTCATCCGCGAGGGTAAGACCGATTTGAACAATCTTGAGCAGATCGACGTTACAGCGCATTGTCTGGTAATGATAATCCGACGAGGTCTTGAACGCGCCTATGGGACGTGCCACTACACCAGGAAATTCGGTATCCTATCGACCATGGTTGTATATCCGCCAGGATATACCAATAATAACGATACAGACACGAAGGGAAAGAAAGTTCAACATTGTGGAATGAGACGAACAAGATCGACGGGCGCCACGCACCATTGCGACATAAGGATACCGGTCAATTAATTCTCTGATATTGCGCATTTCTGCCTCGAGGTTTGGTGCCCATACTTCTCGAATCGTCGAGGACATGACGGCGCATACGCTGACTAGATTATGGATGTAGAGGAAGGAGCGGATGTGGTGGGTCACTACTCACGTCCTGTCACGTCCCCCCTAAAGTGGAATTCGACTTGTACTACGCCACACCAGGTTCAAACGTTCAACCTCCGCCGTTCGAACATTTCTTACTCGCCGACCATGACTCTGGGTCCTCACCATATTTATACCGTCAGTACAAGTTCGCCGCGCTTGAAGAATTATATTTCCTGACGTTCAAAAGTGTCTTGACAGATAGTGCTTTTCCGGCAGACCTCGATGTAGCCGTACGTGCCGCCTGACGGCATCCAAAACATACTATATCATCGGCCCAATTGCAGTTCAGTTCTGCAGCTTCTGTGTACCGCTTCTTTCTGACCATTTTGACTCGACCATGACACACATCTGAATATTATTGGCTGCCTTCTAACTCTTCAAGTCTATCTGCACAATGTCCAGTCACAGCTTCGGCGCATATCAGGATGATAGATGGTCGACATCGAATGGTGACCTCGCGATGCGGACCCCTCTGCCTCCTTCCTCTTCCACTCTCGGACAAACATCCTCGTCTACAGACGAGAGCCTTGACGAAGTGAGCACGCCCACAAACAGAGAATCTGATGGTGGATCTATGAGCAACGAAGGAGCTCTTGCTCCTGTCGATGGAGGCTTTGGAGCTTGGTCGTTTGTACGCTCTGCTCCCTTCATGATTCATATTCGTGTATGACTCATCCATGTCTATTCGCCCATAGTTGGCTGCTGCATTTGTAGTGGAGGCCATTATTTGGGGCTTCCCATACGCTTTTGGTTTCTTTCTGTCGGCATATCTCGAGGACCCACAATGGTCGAACCAGAGCAAAGCGAGCAGTCTACTCTCCCTAGTTGGAACCTTGTCATCGGGTTTCATCTATTGTTCTGGTAAATTTCCAAGCCATATCCGGGTGATCGCCCTTATACATCTGATCTGCTCAGGGACGTTCCTGAATCCATTCTTTCGACGCTATCCTCAACATCGGAGGACTTCAATGTGGACAGGTGCTGCTCTATGCGGTTTTAGCCTTCTTGCTGCTAGTTATGCAACAAAGGTAAGGCCCCTTGTGGATGTTTCTCGATTTTGAGTAATTCTTACATCCCCACTCAGGTCATCGTACTTGTTCTCACGCAAGGTTGCCTCTACGGTATAGGTGGAGGTGCGCTCTTCTCTTGCTAGAGACATCATCGTCTTTAACGGTCCTTTTACGGCTACAATAGCGCTCACATATTTCCCAACACTATCATATTTGCAAGAGTGGTTTGTCCGACGCCGAGGTTTCGCTAATGGAATCCTTTTTGCTGGTTCGTATGGCCTCGGGCACTGGCACCAGCCGCCTATTATCTGACTTCATCAATTTGATTGTTCACAGGGACCGCCGTAGGAGGGCTTATTCTTCCTGTAGTGATCCCATCTCTCATCCGCGCCCACGGTACATCCTTGACTCTCCGTTACCTCTCGGCGGGAACACTTGGGTTGTATGCTCTTACAATTCCTTTCATCCGACCACGACTGCCTGAGAAAAGGGTACACGGCCCTGGAAGGAGATCCGATAGTGGCAGACCATGGCTTAAGGACTGGAGCTGGTGGTTTCTCATCCTTACGAACACAGTTCAAGGCTTTGCATACTTCCTTCCGGTCATCTGGTTGCCTTGTAAGTGCCCCTTGACCGTGACTCAGTGCGTATCACGAGCGATCTGACCGTCGACGTTCATAGCCTATGCTTCCGCACTGGGCGTTTCTTCATCGACGTCTTCGATCGTCGTTGCTTTACTGAACGGTCAGTGTCTTTACTCTTCTCCTTTGCATGCCGTTGAACACATCAATACGATTCAGGTGCCGCCGTATTTGGTCGGATGTCACTCGGCGCTCTGTCTGACTACTTATCTCCTTGGCTTCTCGCGTTCATCACGTTGTCCCTCACATCGTTTGTAACATTTGTTTTGTGGGGTGTGGCGGGGCATGCTGTGGCGGGCCTTCTCGTGTTCGGTGCAGCCTACGGTCTATTGGCCTCGGGATTCAGCTCCCTTTACACGGCATTTGTCAAATCCATCGCGAGTAAGTGCATCCTCTGGTTCAAGGCTTTGCAGCGAAGTAAAATTAGGCTGAATTGTTTCTCTGTCTTCAAGAGGACGATCTGTCGCTTTCAGTCAATCTCTTCGGCTTCCTGCTCTTCACGAGAGGGCTTGGAAACGTTCTTTCTTCCCCCATCTCCACGGTGTTGTTGACCTCCACACAGTCCATCGCCCACGAAAAAACAGGGTTCGACGTGGATAATGGTCGTTATGAGAAGATCATCATCTATGTGGGGACTTGTTTCGCAGGAGCGGCAATGGTAACCTTGGCGGGGTGGATGAGGGAGAGAAGTCTAGCGGGGGCCCGCAGCATGATTGTGTAGTCGAAGTCTGTCTACAGATGGTGAGTAATGAAGATTGTCAAATCTTGTGGGATTCTCCTGACTGACCTCGTCTCTAGTTCGATCCAGAGCACAGAAATACGCCTGTCTAGGCGTTGTTCTACAAACATCCGTAGAATCCCATGTTTTCCAAAAAAAGAGCTTTGTATACGTATGATTGTGCCTATCTAAGACATGACCTTGACCAACATGCGATGCCATGTTCTCGTTTCTTTTGGGATGACACGGCCAATTTTATTTCTCTACGGAGTGCTCCATGATAAGAACGTGTATGTAGTTTCATGTGGATTATTTCATGGAAGGACTGACGATTGACCTCATGACAGAGCGCAGGCTGCAAACATTGCTCAATGTCCAGAGGACCAAGCCCTTGCTGGTCCATGACCTCGCACCTGTTGTACTCCTCTAGCACAGTCTGTCGGTGCTTTGACGGCGATTTTCTTCTAGTGGGCCACCATCTCCGCATGCCTACGCTGAACTTGTTGCCGTATACTGGGTGTCGATTCGCGCGATGATCTCAACCTACGGATCTAGTACTACAGGACAATCTGATGGCGTCCTTCGTGAGGGAGTTTGAGAGGATCTAAGAGATCTCGGGGAAACCTTGGGCTTCGTTGCATTGACGCCCTGCTGTATCGAGAGGTTTCTTAGGCCTGGCCCACAGTGTGTTGCACTTCACACGTGCATAGCACGCCACATAGAGCAACTTTCAAAGCAACTCGACCGCGAGTTGTTTTTTTTCGAACGGGCTTTTACTATATACAACTCGGTAAGCTTTCAATTGCCGTTCAAGGTTGACGAGGATGGCTGACATCACGTTAGGTACGCTGCATCGGCTGGCGGTTCTGTAGGTCTAGCTTCCATGCTATTTCTACTTTTATCTTGCCCTATACAAGGGACGCACATGGTTGTCTATCGTATACGTGTGGTGCATTCCAGATATTCCTCGATGTTATGGTCTCTGCCGCATTTTCTCCTTATCCTTGTTTTCGGCAGATGAAAGCAGAGGTCTTGGCCGGGAGGAACATGCGGTGAGTAGCTTCTTTCTATCATATGGTCAACCCGGCATTTCTGAGAAGATACTTTCTCGGATGATCAACGTGCTCGATAGTTTCGTGGAATGCGAGATATAAAAGGGCTACACATCAGAGCTATTGTCCCTCAGTTCAGAGACAGTATTCGAGCCTTCCACTCCTACCAACTCAATCAGCCATGACTTTCATTCGTGCTGGTGTTCTGCTTGCCTCTGTCGTCGCTGGTCTGGCCGCGACTATACCTCGTTCTCTGCCCTCTGGTACCGTTACCTGCGGAAGCAACAAGTACTCTGCGTCTGAACTCACCGCTGCCATCAATGCTGGCATTGCGGATATGGACAGTGGGAACTTGCCTGGTCAGTTCATTTCTGGGCTCGTTTCCTGATCAACATGCTTACTTTGCTGGATGGACAGACGATTACCCTCACCAGTATTATAGGTACGAAATTATTCCAGAACTATTTCGCGGTGGTCACTAACCGTCGACTCTCGTGTAGTGAATCTTCAGAGCACATCACTTTGTGGTGTAGCGGAAATGGCCCGTGGTACGAGGTAAGACCGCGCGCATATGATATATTTGTGCGCGTTTCTCATCAGTTTCCTCCATATCTTTCCTTAGTTCCCACTCGTCCCGGGAGGGTCCATCTACACCTCGAGCGACAGCCACTACGTCTCTCCTGGAACAGACCGCGTCGTCTTCACCGCCAGCGGCACATATTGCGCGTGAGTCTTCTTCTTTTTCGGTGTCCACGTCACACCGCTCAAACGTCGTCCATCCTCTTTTGAAGTGTCGTGACGCACACCGGTGCTGCATCTTACGATGGTTTCGTTGCCTGCGAGGGCGATTAGATAGTCCTTTGGTGGGGTCTTCTAGAGAGAGAACATGAAAGTGTCTGTGTGGTCGTTAGCATGTTCGCCCATATTTGGTATTTTCTTTGCTAAAGAAAAATCAACGTCATTTCCCCGTCATCCGAATCGGGACTGCTCTGGTTGCCACAATGGTGTGGCGTCTTTTCAAGTTCCAATCTGCCCTCGGCATCCGGCGGGAGATCGTCCAAAATAAAAATAGATTTTTTTCTCCACACCGTCATCGTCGACGTCGACCAACCATTATCTCTACCTCTCGACGGGTAGATGGAGCGTTGTCTACATTTCTGCGCTCGTACTTATTGTAGTCTTGCCAGTGCAGTGTACGTTACCACTGTCTGGCTTTGGTCTGGCTGACGCACTTGCGGCCCTTCTCAAAATTTCTACGATGTTTGGTTTGCCCTACTTAACGCCCCGACCTCAGTTCAACGTCGACAAGCGCCAGATGACCGCAATGCTGCCATGACTTTCTGATGGTTTGCAGGCTAACAGCGCATAGATCCCGCTCTGGGGCGCTCGACCCCACATTTCTGGTCTTGCGGTGCTTGTGCGGTACAGTACGACGTCATGTACTCGGGATGTTACTCTGCTCCCTCCTACTATAAAGACTGTCATATTTGAACTTCGTCCAATATACCACGCTCTTGACCTTTCCCTTTTCTACGCTAGTATTCTTTCATCGTCAACTCACCATGGATGTCTCTGAGAAGAACACGGCGACTCCATCACCCGCCAAAGTCAAGAGGCGAGCGAACTGGTTCATTCCGTATGCTGGTCTTCCTTTCTTTACACCGATTGGAAGTAAGAATAATATATTTGGTTCAGGATTCTTTTTGCCATCGAGTTTGTGCTAGCCTGCCTCGTCCTCGGCTTCACTGTCGATACTTTTCAGTACAAAGTCAAGACACATACATGGGACTCTACCACGGAACGAAATAGGTAACCATACCTCTTCAAAGTCAGCGACACTTGTTTGGCCTGACCAATATCTTAAGGATATGTTTCTTGATATTTTCCGCCGTGCGGACAATCGCGCTTGCAGCCGTCTATATTGGCTTTGGTTTTGCTCAGAAGTACTTTCATTCGATGCACCATACCGTATGTTATACCTATTTTCAACAACTCTGGTCACTAATATCTTTCTCCATTGTCCTAATGAACAGATATTCGTCGTCCTGAGCACTATATTCTGGATCGTTTCAGGAGTTCTTATCCACACCCTTTTCGGTCTCATCGAGTGTGGCGGCGTAGGACGTGTCGCTGGAGGTCTGAGTGAATGTCATGAACTCAAGATCATCGAGTGGCTTTCTTGGGCTATCGCGCTGGTCAGCGTAATTGCTTCCTTCCCCGTACTTGCTCGTGCATGGAGTGATTGGAAGATGAAGAAGCAGAGGCGGGCGAATGAGAAGAGCGGGTATCCGCGACATGGTTTCGTTGTTTGAGGGCATGATCACAGACTCGGGGCCGACCTAAGTCCATGAAGATGGGACTTCAATGATTATACACGTACAGAACATTGCCTCATATTCGTATACCCATACACAACTTTGTATTTTTTTCGAAACACACGGATTGTGTCCTCACAGATGAGGCCGACCGTCCGAACTCGCTACACGATCTTCGAGTGGGCTGGAATATGGCACCCATCCTTCACATGTTGACGGCAGTTAGATACATTGCGTATGGTATTGCTTCAACGAAGGCTGAGCAACCCTGGTCGCAACCTGAAAGTGTGTGGTTGTGCATGCGAATTGCTTGATGCTTCTGTCCCAGTGAATGAGATGGACAAAGCACCACTCCAGTGCGGAACCCATATGCTCAACAGAGGGTACTCAGTTCCATTGGCTCTTGATCTTGATCCTGCGTAGTCTGGAGCATTTTGACAGTCCGCAACGTAAGACGGTAGCCCTAGAATAGAGTATATGTTAGCGATGTAAGGTAGCCAGATGGTTCGTGCCGTACCGAAAATGCGTTGATAGCGCATATCCATCTACAACATTCGATAAAAGAGGGGCGGTTATGAGAGGCATGGGAACGATCAATGAGCTTGCAAAACTTACAAGCTACCTGGGATGGTCCACGGGCTGTCGCTCATGTTGAACCCCAAGTTGACTGCAATTACACCTGAGAAGACAGCGTCAGTATGTATGGGAGAGCTAAGAAAGAAGAAGCAAGTCCGCACTGGTAGGTAATATATAAGCCCAAATGCCGTCCTGTATGAACTTGGTCGCGAAGGATACGCGGCCCCAACATCCTTGAAGGGATGCATGAAACTTCGTCAAGGTTAATACGAGGAGCAGAAAGTCGAATATCAGTGTAGGGATTCTTGATGAGCATGAGATTAGTACATGGACACCCGAGCGAGTCAAAGGATGCTCACGGTAATGCATATTTGGAGGCACCCGTCGGCGCGAAGTTGACATCGCAGACACCCTCACCAATCTTGGTTACAATCGCTGTTGTTACCACCGTAATGGCTTCTAGGACCCAAAGAGCGCGAATACCATGATATAAGATCTTGATGTCTCTGTAAAGTGCGCACGCTATTACAGCGTCAGCTCCCTCACAGTAAATATTCGTCGACCAGTCACTGCTCACTTCTCAACGTCATGAGTAACTGCGTGGAGCATATTAACAGCATCGTTGCTATGACTTGGATAGAGACCGAGGCCTGACAGTGGTGAGTCGGCCGGACGAATATAAAGGCAAGTCCCATTCTACGATGACGTTGAACAAAAATCAGCGTAAGCAAGACTGACTGGATCCAGCCCTTACCCTTGAGCGAGTAGCCCGAGTAAACGGATAGAAACGTAAAGCGATTTTATGTGCATCCACGGTCCGCTGAGGAGGGTAGAGTGACAGCTTTAAGGTGTGGTCATTTAGGATGGGGAATTAGGGCTCACCACCAGATGTACTCGATCTCTCATGGATGCAGCAGATGAGGATTCGTATCAACTTGAAGATGATCACATCGCCACGCTTACCTCATCACCCAGGGTGATTATCATATCCCAGCACTGAACCATAGCCACTTTGTTACACCGGACCCAATCGGCAGCGAGGGAGAACACACCAGAAAGGAGGATGCCAGAACTTGTCGAAAGAACATCAACGAAGATCTTCACGATTGCATACTGTGAAGAATGCAAACCTGCAAGCACTGTTGTATCCGATATTGGATAATTGCGAGGCACACTAACGTCCAACGGAAGTGTATCATGCGAATATTTCCATAGTATGTCATCCATGTGAAGGAGAAAGCACGCCCGAGACGATACTCCTATAGCCAGAAGGGTCAAGGAGGTGAAATAAGGAAGCTCAGCATGAAACCTGCAGGTGCAGTGTATAACGAGGACGGAGGGAAACTTGAGAAGCAATTGGCATATACGCGAAGAGCCTCTCCATATTTATATAAGGGCAGAAGACGGCAACGGATAATTACTAAACCGCAGTTATGGGACAGACTCGGTGCCGGGCAGGAGGAGCCAAAAATGGGGACGTCTTTGCCGTACATGGTCAAGCCATCTTCTATAGACACCGCAGGCGTGTGCAGCGCGAACCGTTTGAACATGGACCAAACATATACTTACTAATCTCAAGCGGAGATCTCCTAAGAGAAATCACAATCAAAAGATTTGCCCACAATCGCTTCGAAGGTATGCCTAGAAATTTCAAGAGTATGTGCATACGGTAGCCATACGCCAGTTAAGTGACAACCTCATACCATGGTCGAGTACTCAAGCTTGCTCTCATCACGCCAATGTAGTTATGAGACCTCATCGTGAAGTAAGACATACTCCCGGGTTGACTGTCCAAACTTAAGAACTATTACCATCACACGAGATATCAATGACCGCGGTTGGACGAAGTGAACTGGAAGCACGCACCATCGCTCGGTTTCAGTTCGTAGAACCTCGTAGTTGGTATGGTTTCGTCGTTAACATGCGTTCCATTGGTGGAGTCGAGATCGATTACGAAGGGTCTACGATGGCCGAAGTCAGACATAGTATGGTCAGTGAAGGAGGAAGTGATACTGACTTGATGGATCCTTTTGAGGCTCCATATTCGTCTTTGGTTTGCACGTAGCGATCTAATGGGAAGAAATTGTGACTTCATGCAACCAGCAAATACGAGGCGCTACATGTACAAACATTGTATGACGGCGTGCTGCTTGGAGCAAGAAGGGTGATCAATAGGAATATCAGCGACCGTATGGTCTCGTCCTATGAGGTATGCGCTTTGGCGGTGAATGTGAAGGAGATCTAGGGGCATAACGCGAAGCGCCACAATATATCGCTCAGGATCGTTTCACTTAAAATCAAATGGACACAACTCACCAACTTGTTCGCTCCCTTTGAAGACATACAGCCTCCAACCTACGACTGGTTTTCGTGCTTCTGGTGGCTCGTTGTACTTTAACAGTGTACTACTCCCATCAACATTCTTCACCGTGTTTGTTGCCGCAGCTAACAGACCGGACGAGCCGAAATTTGGTTTCATCTTGGCTTCCAGATCCTTGTCAACAGCCGAAGGAGAGCGGGAGCCTGATGGAGCATGAGAAGTACGGCGAGGGGGAGAGGCAGAACGTCTACTCGAGGAGGGGCCTGCACGGTCTCGGTCTCGATCCCTCTCCCGTCGTGGAGACCGCTCCCGCTCCCGATTACGGGGACTATCATACCTGCCCCTTCCTTTTGGGCCGTCGTTCATGTCTCTGCCCTGCTCCCGTCTTTCTCTACGCGGGTCTCCTCGACTGTCTCGCTCGCTGTCCCTGGCGCGCCTCGAGTCCACACCCTTCCCATAGTCACGGTCCCGGGTATCCCATTCCTTTCTCTTATGTCCTGCATCATAGTCACCATCATTTCTATGACCTGAGCTGGTTCTGTCATATTCGCGGTCGTCTCTGTTTCTCCTGGAGTAGTCGCCCTTAGAGTCGTTGTAGGTATTGCGACCACGAAGGTCTGGTTGAGGAGGACGATGAGACATATTGAATGAGCAGCTTGAATCAAGAGACCAGAAGGACAAGAGATAGATATTAGCAGTCGCAGTGGTGTAAAGGGAACGTAGAGCGTCGAGTTCGTGCTCACCGCAAAGGCACATAAGGGGGCACCCTAACCCAGGTCCTGGGTTAGTTTGAAATTCGGAGGCAAACGAGAACACCGGCCATTCCCGGTGTATCGCTGTGGCACACGCCTGCGGCATTCCTGTCAGCCACTTCATGTTTGTTTCGAATCGACCCCCACGTCTCACGACTCTACCTCATCCCACTCAGGCTGGTGGTTGCTGCGATCCACAATCGAGCTCTGGTCCTTAGTCTCTCTTCTGTACCGCCCATCAGGGGGGTTACACCGACTCTGTGGTCCTCTTCCTTCTTTGTTCGTGTCCACTGCACTGTCATCATCATCTCGGCCACGCGATGTCCGAAAGAAGACGAGGTGTGGCGTCAAAGCGACCCGCCTCTACGGAAGGTAACGGAAATAAAATAAAAATCTACCTATCCAATGTGACCTTGTCGTACAAGACCTCTGATCCATTTCCCTCATTTTCAGAAGTCGAATGTTGGGCACACGCGGCGGCATCGCTGCAGGCGCTTTCGAAGCTCTCTTTGGTTGCGATGAAGGAAGATACGGTAGGAAAGGTGAACCGGTTATTTTTGGCATGGCCGGCCGACGAAGAGCTTCCTACGGGTGGCATCGACGAAGTCAACGATCTTCACAAGAAGTTGAAAAATGGTCTGGCAGAAATCAAAGTAGATGCGGAACGCGAGATCAAGTATGGCATTCGCGGATCCTGATGATGCACAACTGCTAATCGACTTATCAGGGCGCTCGACGATGCAATAGAAAGCATAGGAGTGCTTATAGCGCTTCGAACGGCCTCTGAATCAATACCGCCTGGCCCTGGTAACTGGACAGATTTCTTTATGAAGCTACCGAATGCTTGCTCATCTGGTGTCTCGACAGAAAAACGCGTTAAACGTCCACGAGGTCACTCACCTCCAGGGCCCACAGGCGTATCCACTCCTATGCTTGCAGCTGCAAAGAACGGTCGCGATTCTGTTGGACCAACGATTCCTTTCTCTCGCGACCCGAAGGCCCGAAGAGAGGCCCTAGCCAAACAGTTGCCACTCAAAGAGAACAGAATGGTCGCTTTCCACCAACATCCGAAAGGCAACGGAAATGATCCTAATACTAATTCCGAGTCGCAAGATGAGACATCGTGGATCCTGGCCAAGATAACAAAATGTATCGGTCAAGACAAAAATCGGTTCGTTTTCTCTCCCACATTCCTTAGACTTAAACTTATTGGTTATCCCAAGATATATCGTCGAGGACGTTGATGCCGATGTCGATGGAAAGGCGATGTGAGTGACCATACACGCCACTCCTTGTCTTAATGCTAACTTTCTGTAATACAAAGGACCTGGCATACGACGCTCAGAAATATCATTCCCCTTCCCGATCTCAATGCGCCTCCGGATAGCCCTACACACCTGAACGCTTACCAAGAGTTTCCCCCTGGCTCGACCGTTATGGCCCTCTACCCTGATACCTCATGTTTCTATCGAGCTCAAGTCATTGCCTCTCCCAAAGAGGTAAACCCGGGCGGACGCGTGAGTGTAAGCGACACTTGCTGTGACCTTGACTCACCTCTCTCTCTCTATCCCAGGGCGCTTCTGCGACGAAGTCAAAAGTTGGAAAGGTATACAAGCTCAAATTCGAAGACGATAACGATCAAGAACACACAGTATATGCTGAATGGGTTGTCGAGTACCCTGGCACATGACGTCGTGTTGTCATGTTTGCGCTGCTGCCCCATGGGCCTCGCAAACAATCCATTTTCGAAGATAGCTTGGTTCAGAGACCCTTATTTATCGCCAAATCTTTGAATTGATTATTATTACAGATGATCTATCGGACCCATGTTTTGGTTATTTTAGCCTGTATTATTGCATTTATTACTATGGGGCTTCTCGTCTGGCGGCACTCCTAGACTGGTGACCGAGCCTCAGAACTCAGGGGTGAATGACGGTTGGGCGAGTACCTTGAGTTCCCGCCCGCCCGCACCCATCTTCACACCGAAGACCGCTCTGAATCGCTGAGGCATCGGCTGGTGACGTCCGCAGTCGAATAGGCTGTTGTCTTACCTCCTGTGGTATTCTCACCTTATCTGACGAGAGTAAAACATGTGAGGTGCCTTGTCAGGCTGCTTGGATCCGAGGTTAGAGCTCTAGACGGTACCGAGAAATAAGGCCTCGGATCGCTAAGTTCGGCCTTCCAGGGACATACGTGTCGCTGACATCTGACTCTTCATTGTCGTGGCAGAGGTCGGCAGGAAGTATTGTGATTTGAACTGACTATGTCTGAAGTCAGCTCCCTTACACTTCTACTGTTCTTCACGGTTTATTTACTTCAGGCCACAGTGGCACCGTACAATCATGGCGGGGTTGAAGTGCGTGATCATCCCGAACTGCACTGTTACCACAACGCCCTACTGATCAACCTTTCGTCTACTAGGTCTTGAGCTTCGAACTTCGGCTTTGCGATTCCCACTGACCCCACACGATTCCCATACTCGCTTATCAAGGCTTTCCATGGGAGCCGGATATTATAGAGACACCAGCGTCATACCTCGTTAAGGCCGTCCTAGTGTCTGCCCTCGATATTAGGCGACAATATGTATAACTGTCGTCTCATATCATCCATGGCGTCCTGACATCACACCAACGAAGATACCGAACCATCGAATGAAGCAAGCCTCGTCTATTAGATGACCGCCTACTATGTCATGCCATACTCTCGCCCCGGATCATTCTACACCTACACGCAGACGGATCCTCCAGCAACAATTGCTCGTAAGTATTACTTCCGTGGGCTGAGAAGACGGTTTAGTAACGTATTAACCTTTGTGCCGGACAGTTCTGGCAATGTCTTTTCTCGTGGGCGTAATATATGCCTCTTTTTAATGCTTTACTCACGATGCTGATTGATACATAGTGCTGGGACATGATCATCACTTTCGGCGATGAGGTCAGTGTTTCTTGTCCAGTAAAGGTTCGCCGACGTTGTTCGGGGCACTTACTCTTACGGCACTCGTCTCGTAGGTAGAGTATATCTGGAGGTCAGCCTCCGTCCCTCGAAAGGCTTATTAGGACTTACAACGCCGCTGCGATGAATCAGAGGGCCATGGTCAAATCTGAAATCGTTTTATTTCATCGTACGCTTCGTAACGCTATTCTCTCAACTGTAATGTTTCTTATCCTTCTAATCTTGGTATTCCTATCTAATGATGCAACATCGCAGTATGAACGTTACATTGACATTTACCCAGCCCTCGTATCACTGCCCTATTCTTTCCAGTGTTGAGATACTGTCGTCTATCGTGTTGATGGCGCTCACACATGTGCTCATGACGGTTAGAGGTCAGTCCTTTCCTACTCGTAGTACATAGCCCTGCTGAAAGTTGTGCCTACAACCAGTCTGCTCACTGTATAGAGACACGAGATTCATCTATCACGGCATCCGTTTTTTATGTTTCATGGAGATAGCTGGTCTGATCATCGTATATTCTCTGACGAGACCAGACGGCATAATCTGTGACCATGAGTTCTCCTCAAATCAGGTCCAAAGGTTTGGTTTCGCGTGAGTTCCTACTTTCCACGCACTAACGTAACATAACTAAAATCTGAACGCGAGGACCAGAGTACCTCCTCTGATTTTCAACACCATTCTCCTGGCATTGACATTGATCAAGTTCCATCGATCGCTTCGACGCGGATGGGGTCGTGTACCTGCAGTAACGAAGTTCATGCAAGACGGCATCTGGGCATATGCTTTACCATCGAGTAAAACATTAATTTCCTTGTTTCTTCTATGCACTACTTATGCCTACCGCACAGCAACGGTAGCATTGACCTTATGCATGAACTACTTCGGCGGCATACCATATGTAGGCTCCGGCAGGGCGTGAGTTCTCTCCCGGCGTTTCTAAAGATTTTGCGCTCACCGTCTCATGATATAGCTGTATCGGTGCTGTCAATGGCTTCTGTGTAAGTCTATATCCCCACGCGATACGTCCGTCAGCAGCCGTTGAATTGTCCTCCTGTCTTATACTAATAGGGATACCGTCTCATCATCAACACCTTCAAGATGCTTCAAACTGCAACTGAAATTGACCGGACAGAGTTCACTTCTCTGTACATAAGCGACCCGAACACACGTACATCGGTCGACCTTTGAAAGCACCGTATTTTTGTAATCCCAATATCTCCCAATCATACACCTGATGACGGTCCACTACGTCCTTACCATCTCTTTTACTCGGAACAAGCTCAGAGACTCGAAGCATCGTCGACTACACACACTGTAGATTATTTTCTGGATGTTATATTCCGCAGGTTCACCACATGATACGAAACAAGTGCCTCGTTTGAGGCGGGGGGACTCGGATGTGGTACCGGCGTTTATTATGGAGCTTCATCTTCAGGGGTAATTTTCTAGGTCTGTATCTATTTCCTAAGAGAGTCGTGTGGCACTGAGACGCATGCAAATTGTGTATTGGTTACTGGGAGGTCGAACTTGGAGGAAACAGGAAGAATGATATTTCATAAGTTGGGCCACAGTTAGAGTAAACAAACACTCTTGCGTGGGAAGAAAAGGCGCTTCCGAAAACCTGCTTTAACGCGTACGCGACTTGTCGCGTCCTTGTATCGAACTTTGTCCGAGCACCAACATAACAACTATATATCCCCGAGCTCTCTTAGAGCCATAGTTCTCTCAAAACATCTGCTGCCTTGGTCACAGAACCGTCTTGCTAGGCTCATTGTGACAGCAAACCGAAGGCTCGGATTGCGTTTGTCGTGGGTTGCTCGCTTAGTGTCGTACCACTTTCCCTCTTCTCACACCTCTTTTGGCCAACAGCGCTGTTCTTTGTTCGACCTACAAGTTGATTGTTTCATCACGATTGGAGACCATGTTGGAATCAGAGCAAGCGCCGACCATCTTCACCGCGACTTCTGCCTTCTCACTCGCTGGTGTAGCAGGCATAGGTGCCGTCGCGTATACAGCATCGCAGGCTCTGCTACCAAAGAATGCAAAATGGCAGGACAGATTCACGTTCATCTGGCTCGTATGTACCACATCTCATTGTGCGAGCATTACCCCGTCCTGACTACACTGCCCAATCGACGCACCTTGCCCTGGTCCGATTTCTACAACGTTACACGGACGCGTATACACATCTATTTGATGATCCTACATACTCTTCAAGACTTTTGACGCTCTAATCCACTTCATATTTGAAGGGTCGTTCCTTTGGCTGTCTACCTTTGGTCGACAAGTCAATACTAGCACTGGACCTTTTGCCCAGATGTGTGCGTTGCCTTCCTTTCTCCCATGTTGGTAGCGGTCTTAACGGAGAGTGCAGGGAGAGAGTACGCGGCTGCCGACTTCCGATGGGGATTTTCAGACGAGACGGTTGTCTCCCTGGAGATTCTTACCGTTCTTGGAGCAGGCCCGCTTGCTTGCTACGTCGTGTACCAGATTGTGAAGAATGATCCTGCGAGACATTATTGGCTTGTTGTGTTGAGCACGGCGGAGCTTTACGGCGGGTGCGTCCTTCTATATCCTCTCTGCTGCTTTACTCTTTACCGTGATCAAGACTGACCTTCACTGTCATCCAGATGGATGACATTCTGCCCCGAGTGGCTTACTGGCAGCCCGAATCTCAACACATCAAATGCTCTCCATCTCTGGGTTTACCTCGTCGTGAGCATTTCGCGTTGTCATGTTCAGTGACCTGTCCAACTAATCCACTGCTCAAACCCAATAATCTAGTTCATGAACGTTATGTGCGTCTACTCACCTCTTTCGAAAATCGGTTATGGCTATCTCTCGGTTCATATTAATCCTAAGTCTGGCATTGACTCGTCAGATGGGTCGCCATTCCCCTATGGCTGATGTACGACTCATATGGCCACATCTCGCAAACGATGCGCATCTCCCAGGCGAACACCTCAAAAGCCAAATCGCTTTGAAACATCAAAATATACACCAGTGCTATCGACTCCGGAGCATAGCTCAATATCGCTTCAACGAAGTGGTGTTCTGGGTGCATGCGCAAGTACAGAACTACTTGCACGGATTTTGACTTACGGACGGTTCTTTTGGCACGAAGTCGGGCTGCATAATGTTTCCTTGCTGGACCCTATATATCTAAACAACCATAGTCTTCTCATTCTTGGATCATCGTTTGGGCATTGTATACTATCTAGTGGCTAGTGCAACTTTAGCTCTGATTCGGGCTTACAGGACAGAAGTCATACGGCTTGACTTTCTGTAGCCGCCTCTGCACGACCCATGCCCTGTTGGCGGACAACTCGTTGGTGAATATTGATGCGATTTTAGTTCCGACTTCGGTGGAGTGAAAGAGATTGTAGTCATATGCAGTAACCTACACATAATGCTATGTCCCGCTTAGCTCAGCGGTAGTAGCGCTTCACTAGTATCATGGACTGTCAAGTCCGGCTATGAAGAGGTCAGTCGTTCAAATCGGCTAGTGGGAATATTTTGCCCGCATTGACGCCGGTATACTCCAATTGTGACGAACTGCTGTTGTTTCAGAAGGTTGTTTTTGATTCGGAGCCTTGAGACCTCATCTCTGTTACATAATTCGCATTGAGACTACACATTCGCGACATCACAATAAACAGTTCCAGGTGATCATCACCCACAATACATATTCGACTCACTCGAAGCTATAACAACGGTAGCGGATATGTCCTCCAAAATCGTCGGTACAACCTCGCGAAGTTCCAATAAATCTGCTTCTAAGATAGTGCAGCCCGTCAACTTGAGCCCTCGCACCGGACGGCCTAAACCACGCCGTCTCCTGAGCATATCCAAGGTGGCATCTATACACGTGCGGTGGTATAACATAGAACTCCCCATACTATTATCTTTCGTGAGGTCGACCCTGCACACGCGGATGAAGTCCAAGGAGGGCAGGACCATGAAGTTGACGGTACCTTCGTCCGAGGTCGCCGTTGGAGAGGTAGCCGTTGGAGAGGTAGCAATGAGAAGGGATATGGCTTCCACAGACTTGCGATGGATTTCCAAAGATCTGACGGACGGAAAAGCCGAGAGAACCTCCGGTTCAGTGAATTGGTAGAGGACAAGTTTACGAATGGTGGTGGGTGATAGCGCCTCCACGGCTGCACGGAGGGCAGGGACATGAACGAGATTCCCGGAGGCGACGAATGCGAGTAGAGAGGGTATCCTGATGGTGAGTGTCAGAACTGGTTTATTCGATCGTGACCTCTCATGTGGAGGCCTAATAGGCTGGGACTGCCCCGGCCAGTACTCGAGGGTCAGCCCGTCAATGAGCATTTCAGTTATCGCAGGGTGTTGCCGGTGAAGATGAGGTGCTAGTAGTTCTGCGACGGCAGTACAGCTCTCCGAGCCATTGGATGCCATGACTGTAACTCGAACGGCGGTGGTTCGGGGAAAGCATAGCACGCGAAGAAGGCCCGCGCAACATGCGACGTGATCATGAAGGTTGAGAATGGACAGGTGGGGCAGGTCAATCTGACGCGTCGGAGCAGCATCGACTCTGAGAACCGGGGATACAACAGTGATAAGGTCAAGGACTTGGAGGTTTGGATTGTTCTCGAGTATGTGGAAAAGAGGCTCGTAGGATGGCATTGGCTTGATTGTGTGTAACCGTAGCCGCGTGAGACTTTGGAAGAAGGGGAACGGCTGACTGATGCCTACTCGTGATAGGCTGAGTTCGGTCAGGCCAGGAGCATTGAAATTCGGGGGAAGAGAGATGATGGTGTTAGCGTCGTTTGTTAGAAGACATAACTCTCGTAGAACGGGAGCTGGTCGTTGGAGCAGCGTCGCGAGGTATGCGAAAAACTCGTCGCGTCGGTAGCCTCCGGTAGGGAAAGGGTTTGCGTACGTGATGGACGAGTCTGTCTGCGAGAGCACGAGATCTCCGATATGAATATCCTCTATCTGGTCGAGATGCTGTTGGATGGTGTCGAGAACGGCCTGCTGCAGTCGTTGTATCTTTCCCCAGATTGGTATCGGGATGGCGTACGAAACTCTCCCAGTTCTGACGGACAGTGGAGTCGCTTGGGCACGGGAAAGGAAGCTTGCGACCCAGTCCGGGCCAAGATTGAAAGGGAGCTGCCCCCAGAGGTGGGGCTGCTTCAGTGCAACTTCCCTCCAATGGGAGCATGTATGCGTCACCGTCAACCATCCAAGAACTGGCCCTTTGCAAGCCTGGGGACCACGCATGACCACGATTTCCCCGAAATCGTTATCAGGTTCAGGGTTAAGCCCAGCGTAGAGAGATGGTGGATTATCTCTCATGAGCAGGAAGAAACATCGCCCAAGTATCTCGATCGGAAGCTTTGAGACTGGGGACGCCTGGGACATGATATTGAGCCAGTATGGGCCGCGCCGTGCTCTAAATTCTCTGTGAACAAAATTATGTTAAGACGATGCATATGGAAAGGCGACGAGATACTGACTACAAGTTAGCTCTGAGTCGTAGTTGTTGTGGTTCGTGAATGAGCTCGAACATCGAACTTGAACATAGTTACTTACGTGCGTGAGAGCCGGCAAGAATGAGGATCCCACGTTCCTGCTGGTAGGAATGTGTCCCAATCGCACTACTACACTACGGTGAGAAGTGATTCTTTTTGTATCTTGCACCCTCTCAAGCAACAGCCAGGAAATGCGTTGGTAGGGCCACCGGATGTCGTTGGCGCTACAGCGCCACACGGGTGGCACTTCGTATTACGCCGATTTCCCGCTGCCCCGCGAGACCCACTACCAAAATAGCGGGAATGCAAAAGCGCAGGCCTACCGACATCGTTTCTACCCCAACAATAAAGAATCCAACCTGATTCGGTATTCAAGATAAAGATACAATAGTAGATACGCATCAGAGCGAGTAAGTTGGTCGAGTGTAGGCTACAAAGTTCGGTATAGAGGTAAAGTCCCAGGAGGAAGCGTATTTCCACGAAGACAAAGAAAGCGACAAACGAGAAGACGAGAAGACCAAAGGAAAGGCGTGCAATAAATCCGATTTGAGACCAGGGAGCGAAAAATGAGCATGGTGTCTAGATCAGAGAGCAATGCGACTGTAACGGGTACGGAGAAGGTATGCAGGTGAGACGGCAAACTGGCTTGGCTGCTATCAACACAAAAGAGAGAGGACTGGGACGACGAGTGAGAGTAGCATCCAGGCCGGAGTATGTGTGATCGATGCACTGCAGGATACGGAGACAAAGAATCAGCACTCGACATAACAGCGCAGACCAAATAAAGAGAAAGCTCAAATTCACCTGCTCGTCAACCTCTGCGGCGTCTCCAACATCTTCACCTCCATCAACGCCACCAGCCCATCCACCGCACTCGTCCCATTCGCGCCCACACTCAAAAAATGATTAATCCCGTCCGATCCGTTCGCCAACAGGCCGCTCACGTACGTCACAGTGGTGAGGTACACGTAGCCGTTGGCCGTCGTTTGGCCGGAGAAGGTGAGGTTGGAGGTGGATAGGGAGGAGGTGGCGGAGGTGGAGTTGAAGGTGGAGGTGGGGAGGATGGAGGGTTGCGAGGTTATGTTGCCGACGAGCCAGTCTCTGGAGAGAAGAGGTAGAGTGAGCTGGAGAAGGGAGAAAAGGGGAGGGAGGGTCGTACCGGCCGAGGTTGTACCTGTATTGAGGGAGGTGAGGTTAGATATGAGAAATGTGAAGAACAGGGAGGCCAAGCGAAGTCTTACCCGTTGAAGATGATGTCATGGCCCTCTATGTACAAGGCATTGCATTAGAACGGATGAAACTTCACGATGGACAAGAAGACGAACGGGATGAAGGAAGCTCGTATGATACCGCCATGAATACGGCGCCACTAGTAGAGAGGTAAATGCTAAGTTAGGTGGGAGCAAGAGTGATGGCAACGACATACCTGTTGGCCGCCTCACCATCCTGTACCCAATACCGAAAGTGGTTTCCCCCTATCATGAAGTGCGTGAGATGATATCATAACTCGAAAGATGCTTGAAGATCATTCACCCTCAATAGACTCTTTGCATGTACCTATTGAAGCATCGCCGTAGTCGTATCTAATCACAGCAGTCTCGTTCACTGAACGTGCGTAGGTGTTCTGATTAGCCGAGGATAACCAGGGAAAGGGAGCGAGGTGGAACTCACGAAGACCGTTCCCGTCTCCGAGATTCGCACCCTGGTCGTTACCCGAATGTTGACCGAGGCATTCGCTGGCCATGTCGAAGGAGCTGCGCAGCAAGTATGAGTTGCTGCAATATGTATTTCGGTGCTACACTGCAGAACACACGTACTTGAAGTAATTGCGAAGACCTCCGTTCTCTGACGAATCTACCAATACAGCTTGGTCTGATGTCCCAAGGATGACAGCGTTAATGGGCTCAGAGAGACCCAACGGCGAGGTATCGGCGACGGTCTGTTGACTGTATTGAGCCGTAGAAGCTGAACACGAACGGGCTGCACGTACGGTCAACCAAGTCCCTCCGTTGTCTCGCGGATCGTAGAAGCCCTGGGATGGCACAGCTCGTTTCGAGCTCGATGATGGCACGGCGAGGGCATATGCGAACACTGGAGATAGGAAGAGGATCTGGAAGAGTTCACGAGAGAGCATGTCTAGCAAGCGTGGCCTAGGTCCGGATTGTCTAAAGGGTCGTTACAAAAGCGCTTCCAGAGCGTGAAGTGAAATTGAAGGGCTGATAGCGAGAGATAGCAAGTGAAAGGGTAAGAAAGAAGGAAAGTGGACCGGCCAGAGGAAAGAGTGTGAAGAGAACGGGAACCCACGCCGTTGCGGGTCCAAGATGAGAACAATGGCGGCAGGCAAGACCTGGTTTCCATTGGCTCGTGCCCTGGATGCGGTGGTAACCGAGAATAGACAGACTGGGAAACAATATCGCACCGCTTCGGCGAAGTAGCGATGTCTAGATATGAATCCGAGTGTGCACCTGCTTATTGTGAGTAGATCCAAGATATCGCCGTCAAGCGCTTACGGCAGGCCGACGATGGCCTGTGGCGATATATTATTTATGCATCACTCAAAGCGGAGGGGACCCGATGGACAGATGAGATTGGATCAGGTACCGCTGTTATACCTTCTCGTATTGTCATGGAGAACTGCAAAGGGATTGATGAATGTGGCGAACGGGGCCAGAAAAGGTCGTCAACGCCAAAAGCGGGTGCCCCACGCGGCCACAACGTGTTTCTCCTTTCGTCTCGACGTCGAGCACGTCCTTCTCGCCGCCGTCAGAGTCGACGACCGAGCTCTCTTTCCGCTGTCACGTTGCCTGTTTGGACCATTTCTGACGACAGTGCTGGCCAGAGCGCATCGGGGACGACGACAAGGGCGATACATTCACACGTGCTCACGAGACACTGACCCTCTTGACGACCTGCTCGCCCGCGCTTCAGCCTCACCTTTTCTGCCGTTCGCCCCGCCGTCTTCATGCCTCTTCGCTGTCTCCAATGAACTCGCGCCCATCTTTGGCTTCGAAGCGGCGCCCTTCTTCTGCCATCTTTCTCGGCTCTCTTCCCCCACCAAATCTTCCAGATCTTCCTGAACCACCGAGCCCTGGCACGGCCTCAAATCATTCTGCCTCGGGCCTCCCCTCGCCGCCCGCCACAAATTCAACAGGTAGCGGGAGCACGGGCGACAATAGTGCGGACGGCGGTAGCCTTCGTAGACGATCTATCTCGGACGCGAACATGGTCAATGGCACTTCCTCCAAGAACGGATCAAAGAGACCGCTCAGTCCGGAAAATCAAGATGACGATGACGAGGATAACACCGCCAGGCTTTCTAGACGAAGGTCCCACCAGCCCACTTCCTCCAGCGAGAACGCGGATGCGTTGAAACGGGTCATGAGTCTTACCCAACGTAATCGTGCAGTGAGTCTGCGTTTACCCTGATCTTTTCTTTCTGTGCGGACTGTATTCCCTTCCCGGGTCAACAATGCCTCTCCATTGTTTTCACTTTCTGTGGGTGGTGGGATATGCTGCGGGATCACAGTGCGAATTCACGACTCAAGAGGCGGCTCGCGACCCGTGTTGGCCGTAAGAGGAAACATACATCCTGTGCCACCCATGACCATGTTTCTGTGTAGAAAAAGCTGTTCTGTACTCAATCCAAGTTTAAAACCTTCGCGATTATATTCCGTACGGTGTCACTAGGTCCGGGAGTCCATCACTCAACTTCGTCATTGATCTTCTTGCAGGCTCTCGACAAACTCGCTCGCTTAAATTCCACTTCGCCCTCCTCGCGAAGTTCCACTACTCCCCTTCCTCCGCTTACCGGTTCAACGTCGAGACACGCTCTCAGCTCCTCAATTTCTTCGGTATCCTCCCGTCGATCATCTTATTCACATACCCACATACACACCGCTCCCAGTCCCCTCTCTGGCTCTGAAACCGAAAGAGAATCACAACACTCAGACGATCAGTCTGCCACTCCTCCATCCTCTGTCTCCCATGTGTCCCATGATTACGACAGCAGCTTTCGTACAAGAACCATCTCCATGCCTGATTCACCGACCCGAGTCCGTACGCTCCAACAGAGTAGCCGATCGAACTCGCCTGCGCCTGGGACTCTTCAAAGAACACCTCGTAAACGGCTGGCTACTTTGGCCATGTCTACCCCATCCCCTGGCCGACCACGGGGAGAGGGAGTCGATGTTACTGCAGCGGCGATGGCTGCCGTCGAAAGTCTGAGGATGAGTCCCACCTCGCGGCGGAACCGCACTGGTGTTCCAAGAGAACTCAGGGAAACTTTCAGGAATAGCATGGATGGCAGGGTGCGTCGAGCGTCCTCTTTGGCACGAAATCGTAATTTAATGGCACTTTGTCACTTCATTCATATAACCCCAGACCTCGTCCGCATCACAAAGGCCACCGTCTCGCGACATGTATACACTCTCCGGGCGTGGCTCGCCCTCACCAAAAGCTAACCCCGCATCTCTGTATAACGGCAACCCCACTCAACTATCTCCCCGACCTCCACGATCTACCAGCAGCCGCTTCGCCACCGTCCGAGAGTCTTCCAGAAGACCAAAGTGGCCCTCAGAAGACATGTCTTCTTCTTCCTCGCGCCACATTGCGGAAGACGATGAAGATGACGAGTACGATCGCCCTTCCACAGGACATACACATAGTATCAGTATCGGTGGCGTTGGTCGAGCTCAGTTCCGTAGAGCCGGAAGTGTGGGGGATGTGCTTGGGACGAGGTTGATCGGCTCCGGGTTGAGAGCTGCTGGTATAGGTATCGGACAAAGAGACAATGGAGACGACCCTTTCGGCGGACAAGATATTCAGAACACGCCCACGCCCGAAAGAATCATGCGGCCTCCAAGATCTGCCGTCTCTTCTTCCACGGACGATTGGAACCCATCAGACGAACCCCGCGCCGGGCCTAGTAGTAGTGCTAGTAGAACGGGCGGCCTCTCGCGAACGGGAACGCTTCGAGATCGTGACCGTGAGCCCAAAACACCGGCCAACGCCGGCTCATCACACCTGAGGGGCGAGCGGGGCACGTACTCAGGACCAGCGCCCGGTGGGAGAACCTCATCCATGTCCGATTTCAATCGTTCGGGGAGGGCGAACGACGACGATGTTCCGAGTACGGCGCCTCCGGCCACCAGAACGTATAATCGCACGTACATGGACCGCGACAGGGAGGGCATCGGCTCACGAGCGGGCTATAGGGCCTCTCCGATTCCGGCGCCGTTGTTCGCGCAGGAGAGGTCGTATGGGTCGCCGAAAGTGAGGTCGACGAAATTGAGGGAGCCGGAGAGGGTCAGGACGCTCACGGCTGCGGAACAGCAGGCTATCGAGCACTTGAGGTTGATGGAGGACTCGCTTACGTCATTCGAGACGGCGTTGAACAGGCTCCCGGTGATGGGCGAGACGACGACGGCGACTATACCGGAGCTGCATAAAAGCGCGCAGGGCATCGTTAGATTCGCGGAGCAGGTGAACGAGATGCTGAGGAATAGGACGAATCGCGCTCTCGAGAGGCAGATAGAGTCGGAGGTGGATGATCTGGAAGGGGATAGGGATGAGGTTGACATGGTGGGGCTTTGGAACGATGTCGGGAGCGATTTTAGGGATTGTTTGAGGGTGAGTGACGAGTTGGTGAGGACGATGACGGGGCTGTTGTTAGGAGTTGGGAAGGTGTTGAGGGAGGCGGCTCCGTTGGGATCTTCGCAAAATGGAGGGCAGGCGCATTTGAGGGGAGTTAGCCTGGATGAGGAGATGTTGTCGGGGAGGTTGAGCGCGCAGCGGCATGGGTATGGGATGTCGAGCCCTGATGGACGGTCTGTCGCGGGAAGAAGTGCTGGAGGAGGGAGCGGAAAGGGTTCGAGTGGCGGTGGAACAGATATAGGGTCGGCTCTTGGGAGGAGTTCGAGTAGCAGGATGGGGATGGGCGCAGAAGCTAGTGGGAGGCGAAGCGCCGCTTCTTCATCGAGGAGGAGTTGGGATCCGAATAACTCCATCGCCAGCGACCGAGACAGGGACATGGTCAAGCAACTAAAGCGAGCGTCAAGTAGGGCCGAGGAGATGCTTGTCCATGCGCAACAGAGGTCTGCCTCCGCCATGATGCGAGAAAGGGAGCGAGATGTTTACGGTGTAGATCGTGACCGCGACCAACTCAGCCCCAGCTCTTCTGACCTCGGTCACTCACTTTCCTCTTCGCGTAACGGACCAGCGACGGCCGGTCTCGGGCCCTCGACGTCGACGCGACGGACTTACCAGCCCAGAGATCGAGAAAGGAAACCCGACTTGTCTACACATGACTCAGAGCGGACTCTTCGGGAATTCGACCCCTCGCCCACACCTCCGTCCTCCCGTGCAGGAATGAATACCGATATGAGCAGTCGTCAACCGCTTCCTCCAATCGACACCGACCCAAGTCCACTGCCTTCCGCCGATGCCTTCGAGCGTCGTTTATCCGAGCGAGCCAGTCGTCGGAAGATCTCCTCGACATCAAACATAACCGTACGGGCCAATCCATCCTTCAATCTATCCTCCTCCAGCGCCACCGTAGCGTTGTCGCCACACACCGTCTCCAACAACTTGACCCCCGAAAAGGCTGCTTTTCCGATGCTGAGCAGGACTGACTCGACAGAGAAGCACACAGGCGAGTTCTCGAGGAGAAGAGACGTTACGTTTTCTCGACCTTCGACAATCTCGACTTCTGCTCTCAACGGCGTACAGCAACGACATGATAGTCAGGCTCGCTCAGGTCGTGCGAGGGTTGAGTCGGGTGATTCGACGTATGCGGTTGACCTGGATGCGGACAATCCAGATTACAGTGGGACTAGCGCGAGCGATCGTGAACCTCCCCTCAGCGCCAAGTCCACCAGATCGCAACTCAGGTCTAGTAGAAACGCTTCTGAATCCGAACGACCTTCCCCCACGACCATGGGACAATCATCGACGCTGGGCAGGAGGAGGACGTTAGGAGCGGCGAAGGCCAGGGCTTCGTTGGATGCGGAGTTAAGTGATGAAATGAGGAGGGATCGTCCTCCACGGGACCGGGACAGAGAGCGGTCATCGGCTGAGAATCCAAGAGCAGGATCATCACAGAATCAGAACGCTTCGCTCTCGTCGACGGTGGGCGGGAGGAGGGAACGGAGGAGGACAATCACGGAGATTTTTGCTCCATAGACAAATTCAAAGCCGGTGTGTGTATTAAAATTGTGTCTTCTGAGTTACATCGTGAGTACCTTCCACCAGTTCTCCATCACGACCTCGCTCTGACTTGCGCTTCCCGGATCTCATAGCTTGTTGACCGGTCTCCTCTTGTTCAGCTCTCGCATCGATATCCGCGTTGGCCACTTGGTCGCGTTCGCCTTGCCATGTTTTTATTTGAGCCGTTCGTCTTGCCCGCGTTCGGTTCTTTTGTTCTTTCGTCTTCGTATATTCGTACTAGGACGATCTTTCCTGTATGTATCTTTTTTCTTTCTGTGGTTTGTTCTCTTTCTCTCGCATACATATCTTCCCCCCTCGTTAGGCCTGACCTTTTTCCCCTTTTCATATTTTTGATGGCACGCTTTCAACTTCTTCGCATGCCTGTGAGCTTTCACGTTTCACGTATCCATAAACCCAACAATCGTTTCAAGGCTGAATATTCCGTCTTCTCCTCTCTTCCACTTTCTCTGTTTTGAAATTCGCTTGCGATGCCCCTCCCACTCCCTCTGTCTTCAATACTACTCGTATCCTCCCCGTTATTCGGTTATTCTTCATATTTTCTTCGCCACTTTCTTCGTCTCTTCGCAGCTTTTCAGTTTCTGTGTCTCTCTCCTCTGTGATATCAAGTGTTTACTGTAGGCACCGTTGATCACGTCTCACTCTCTCCCTCCCTGTCTCTCGCATGTCGTACCCCACGCACGCACAGTATGTTTATGGGCTCTCTGTCGATGTTTACAATATATGAAGAATGGCGCCAATCTCTCACTGTTCGAGCAACGATTTTAGATATCTTCATGTATTCTAGTCGAACCGTGTCCCCTTCTCGCCCGCTGTGGGGGACCATTTGCCACAGGTGCCACACCGGCGCCACGTGTGACAATCAACGGCAGGCTCCGGCGATCGCCGACCACAAGTTCAACTTAAGGAAATCCCAAGGAAATCCCCACCCTCGGAGGCCGCAACCACGACCCAACGCAACCTCCACCTCACATCTGCAGAACGCTCAAGTCTCCACCAACGTCTGTATTCCAGAGCTCTAGTGAGTATCACACTGGTCCATGTGCGCTACTACCCTCGTCGCCATGTTCAGATATATAACTCACCTGCTGAATCCGCTAGACCTCCGCTCCATCACCATGTCAAACATTCCCGAGGAGAGTCCCTCTTCTAGGTATGTAACCTGCTACGTTTTACTACAAGCATGGTATCTAAAAGGGAGTGGAATGATGACAATAGGGAGTACTGGCCAAGTCTTGTTCAAGCACGAGTACAGAGATACGAACATGCCTCTTCCCTGCCAGGGGTTCATCCTGACGTCCTTAGAACAGCCCGAAGCGCTCTTAGTGCGGAGATTGAGGGCTTGGAACACGCTGTCATTTTGGCCAAGTCAAGCTTGAGCAATATGTCCCCGGTCCATAAACTCCCTCCCGAAGTGCTCGGAAAATGCTTCACTGCTCTGATGGTGCAAAGTGACCCACAGGTTTACACACGGAGAGCTACAGATGATGATACCTACGGCAACGTACAATTGGTTACGGATCTTGGGTGGATTTCGGTCACTCGTGTGTGCCGCAAATGGCGCCATGTAGCATTGGCTCAGGCGAGCCTTTGGGGTACTATTCCCTTCTGCCTTGGCCCAATGTGGGTAACAACCTTCATAGAACGAGTACTGTCGTGCCCATTAGACATCCAACTTGGGGCAGACACTCCTTTATCGCTGTGGAATAATCACCAAGATATGCTTGACACAATACTTGACATAATTCGTTGTCATTTGTTTCATATCAAGCGGATCATCGTCTCAGGGATTGAGTATAAGTTGGGCGACCTGGGAGAGCCGTTCTTCCAAAACCTCACAGACGTTTTGACCGATCGTACTCCAATGCTACACAGCATCGAACTCATAAGTGACGGTTTTGATTTCTCTTTTCCCCCCAATTTCCTTCACCATGCACCTCATCTCGCCTCTGTCACAGTCTGTGATTGTGACACGACGTGGACTTCTACGTCTTTTCGCAACCTGACATCCCTCGACATAACGCCTGGTCCCAGGCTCTCAGCATACGATCCCCTAATGGTGGTCCTTCGTTCGAACCCGACTTTGGAAGTCTTGAGACTTTGGGGCGCACTTCCCTTGCGTGCATCCACCTCAGCCGTTGGCGCTGTCATCACATTGCGTCATCTCACTACCTTAGACCTCGGTGAGGAATCCGTTACTGTCCTCCGCCATCTATTCGAGACTCTGGTCATCCCACCGAAGTGTGTCCTCAATCTGACGGAGGTCGTGATCGATACTGAGGTCTCCCTGAAAGATTGTCTCTCACTCATCACCATCATGTCAGCACATATCAACAGACACGACAAGCCCATTCGTGAATTCTTACTCCGCGACTTCACTGAACCAAGCCATACCGTTAAAAGGCCAATACAGTTTATAGCATGGAGAGATGTCAAATACTTTTTTAATCGACACTCGACACGGGAACTCGACCATGGGAAAGGTGCTGTGTTGAATTTTGGGGCAGTCATTAGCAGTCAACATGTCGACGCCGCCTCTGGGGAGGCTTGGAAGCAGAAGATCACACTTTCCTTATTGCAGCATCTCTCTCTATCCTCGGTTGAGGTTCTTGGGATCGAAAGGAATTGCGATCTGGTCGCAAGTTTACTCCCCGATTTGCAGTCGATGTGGAATATTCGATACTTATCATTTGACGGGGATACCTTCGAGTCCATGCAACGTTTACTTACGGCGACTATGACGGATTCTCCCCACGGAATAATGCTTCCGCATTTATTTTCGCTCCTGACACACAAAGGAGGCTGGGACGTGTCGTACCTGTCTGAGTCTTCAGTTGTCGCAATTTTGGACACCTTGCGCAAACGAAGAGACTTGGGTGTGCCTATTCAAGAGTTTTTCTTGAGCGGCTGCTCTTTGAATCCTGCCGATGAAGCAACTCTCCGAGAGATCGTACCAACGGTTGTGCTGGGCAACATTTAGACGGGCAGAATCGGTGAGTAATATTATGTTGTTGTGCACCTTGCCCTCATAAAAGAATTATTTTGTCTCAAGGAGGTTGTGGCCTTATGTTGGCCAATCTATGTCGGTCTATATCTGCGTTGGATGCAATATGCTTTGTGGCCAGGTCACTGTACGAATGTTTTTACATGATATGGTTTCGTTCCTTTGACAGTCGGTTCTCTGAGTGTCCATCCTCCGTACGCGTCGCGCGATACTCAACAAGCATACCTCTGGCAGATTTGGGGCTTGGACTACTCTTCACGAACTCAAGGGCCAAACTCTCCTTCCGGAGTATGATCGACCCCGTGTGCTACAAACCGAGTAGTTACTCCTAAACAAGGTATGGTGTTCTATGCGAGCTCCTATTAGCTAACACGATAACAGCGTAGAGAGAGAGAGAGAGTTAAGCTTACCATGCCAAGGAGATGATCTAAGTTCAGAGGACCCTTCGGTCACAACGGTTTGTTCCTCAAAATTAATATAGCTTACGGGACCACTCTAGTCCGAATCGAAAGACGCCTGTTCAAACTTCACATGAAGATCTCCAAGCGTAGGAACGCATGCGGCGTCTCCTGAGCGTCCTTCGAATGCGGTTAGACAGCGAGCGGTTGAGAGTAAGGAGGTCATGGCGAGTATGAGCTAAGGCGCTGGGCAGGAGGGTGACCTGACAGCGCTTCGGACATCGGTTCATTCTGAAGTATGAGTACTACTGCACGTCGGCCATGTCGATACGACGGAGGAGTATCTATTCCATCTTGCTTCCATCAACAGATAGTACAAGAGAGTATCGGATTTCTTCTTGCGTCTGCTCCAGCAGATCACATCGTGTGGAATAACTGTGTGGCAGGACTCGTCAAGGCAGGCACCAGCAAGTCCAGTAGAAGGTTTGGCACACACCTGTACTTTGCTCTACATACGCCACAGTCTGCTTCCCATGCAAAGCTGGCGAAGTGCCTCCCGAGTTTGCCGTTACGATCCTGGATATTCACCGTCGAACCCGATATGTCTACGGAGGACTCAGGCTGTAGCGCCGAGGAGGGATTGAAGGCCTTGTCGCCATACTGATACTCTACAACGGTCGCGGCACGTCCAGACACGCTCAAGAATATATCGACCGTAGCGCTTCCCAGCCATACTGTTCGTTCCTTGGACGGAGACGGAGCCAATTCAAACTTCGAAGGAGGGTCGATGTGAATGATGCCGGAAAGGGAAACATACACGGTTGTTTTCGTCGGATGAGAGATTGTAGCAGAGGAATCTGCGAGGTCATGGGAAGAGGGCGTTTTGCCGGGAGGAGAGTGGGAGGAAGGAAGAGACCGGGGGATCGAGATGTGGAAATGAAGCCCGTGAGCCCATGAGTTGACTTCGAAACATCCGACTCACACAGGTTATGATTGTATGTGTGGCTAGAAGCGTACTGTTGCACCCTGTCCTGCGTTGCTCGAAGAACAGAATGAGAATCTGAAGATAAGGGTCTGTCAAGTGATTTTGGACCGTGAAACGGCCGTATTACTTACGGTCAACGTCACACTAGTAGCAAAGTGCATCTTCACGATGCCTTGGGACGACTTTGTTGAACGAGCATCCGCGAGAAATTATATTAGACCAGGGCCGTCAAGACTGTTTTTGGTACGGAATGAGAGGAAGTCCGTCGATCCGCATACTACTAAGCACGTAGAGAGTGCACTTCTCATTCGGCCTAGAAGAGAGAAACACCCCTCCCCGAGCTACGCACAACGTAAATTATAGCGGAACGTACCGCGAACACCATCGAAGCCTGGCATAATATATTGAAGATAGTTCGGTATTCAGTGGCCTCAGCAGTACCTTGACCTCATCGTGTATGTCCGGGTCTGACATATATAGCCTCGTTCTCGCAGGACGAGAGGACGAGATCCATTCGAGCAATCTCGAACTTGGTCTTCTTTACGTGCCTGTAGCCGCTGTCCGTTTCGGTCTGTGCATAGGCGCGTACGACACAACATACGCTCCAAAAGTATCCATGATAAACACCGACCAGTCGAGGGGATGAGCCTTCATGCGATCATGGTCAGCTAAATATGATGCATGACGGTCGTATAGCCATGTATGACCGGTGAAGCGCCGATAATTGACACAGAACGGTCTTGTCAAGAAGACGAGCGAGGGCAATGAACAGAATTAATCCGGACCATCCCGAACCAGATTATCCTTTCATTCTTGACAGGCTGCTTTCGGACATGCAATTACACATGTACGACACAACGGGCGGCCTCATCCGCACCACAGGTACCCACTGGTATGAGAGACCGATGAAGAGATTCCGAACATGGCGATATCAGATATCGAGGGCGAGCGCTCATGCAGCAGCAACTGCATCGTAAAAGGACCGGTCGATCATGACGCGGACGGCGCACTGGCACTACTGAGATCTTTGCAAGTACAGAAGAGGTAAGTGCGGCTATATCCTGTCGGTTGAACAATCAATCGACATGAACGTGAACATGGCTGGTATCATACCTGCCAGTGGGAGAACGCCGAGCGTGAGCAAGACTCCAGGGAGTACTTACATGCTGAGTGAGGAAGATTCGCATGAACTTCAAATCATGACGGCCGTGCAAATCTTGAACTTGGCCTTCCCTTCGCGGATATGATCGTTCTTCAAGCTGGCCTTTGTCCGCTTTCAACTTGAGGCGTCTCCTGACAAGCGCTCACCGGTCACCACTGACACGTCTGGCCTCGACAGATCGATCACCATGGGCTTTCCGTCACCACAACCATCCAGCGCCGGCTCTCGAACGGAGAAAAGTCGATACTGTACATCGGAATAGCTGAACATCCACTCTCAGGCTCGCGACCAAACGGAACTATGCGAGCGAGTGAGAATTTTCGTGAGCACGAGGTTGCGTCGTCGTGGACAGAACGCTGCAAGACCGTCCGAAGCAGGGCGGTCACGGTAAAGAAGCTTTGCCTGTGAGAGAGAGAGACGAATCGAGGTGCGAACTTGAGTGACGATGCTTAACGCCGCAGGGGGTACATACTATATACGTATATGGTGCAGTGAGAAGATTTTTAGCCTGTTGGGGATGGACGGAAGATGAGTGACCGACCTGGTTTTGGTGGCGGTGGATGGACTTTGTCGGAAAATATTCCAGGACCTTTTAAGTACTTACAAGGCTATATCAGGTATATCAGGCCGGACCGGCCTGGCAATGATTGAAAGGGGGGAAAAACTCCCTGGGAAGGCCGCTTGTAAGGCCGCTTGTAAGGTCGCCGGGATCCGGTTTATGGCAATGGGCCTAGGCGTCGTTGGGCTGGCCGGGCTTGGGCAGGCGGTCGGGCGTGCCGGTGTGGCCCTGCGTAAGGTGGAGGGGGGCCACGTCGTTGATGCCCATGTCGTCCCCAACCTGACTGAGCGAGCGTGCACAATACGTTGAATGGTCACTTTCGTAGGTTGTGGCCATAGAGCGACATTGCAAGTGCTCGTTTGAGCGAGTTTGGAGGTGTTTTAGGATCGGGTGGCTGAGCGCGCGTGCTCCGCGCATGCCTAATCGGGGAGTACCCCTTATCAGACCGGTCCCAGCCGGGAAAGATACCTTACAAGGCAGCTTGTAATCTAATCACCTTTCAAGCTCCGCAAACATTTTCCGACATTCCGACGTAGGGTGACTCCTCGCAAGTTGCAATTCATCGTTGTTGACAGTAGTTACCGTTAATACTGTCGTACCGGAGGCTCTTCATGAAAAAGAGTTTCGTCCGGTGTGATCGGGAGCAGCGAGGAGTCTATAAGTAGACGAATAGAATACAGAAGATGATCGATTGTCGTCTGTAGAACACGAGGCTAAGACAACCTCCTCGTCGCTCTTCGCGATCTGGAAATGATAAGGCAAGCCACTACGCTACGATATTACTCGCAGACCAGCGTGATTGGTGGACGTGTGTCATGAGTTGATGAATGGCGTAAAAGAGGCTGTCCTCATGCAATTAGAGTCTGAGCCTCACGCTACTGCAAATACGGCCTAATTCGCTTCGCCTTTGTCTCTTGCTGAAACGTCTAAATGGAGTCAGAGATGATGGAACACGATTGACGAAAGCTTCGTGACAGACCTCGAGGCGCGTTGTGGCTGAGAAGGTTTGAGACAACGCCCAGGATGGTGAATGCCCTACGGTGCAAGTGTCCGAAATAGCAGATTGATGAGGCTGCATGACATCCAATTCAGTAGTCACGGGTGGGAGGCTTCACGACCGGAACGAAGAGAATCAAAGCGACGGAGGCCGGCGGAGTTCATTATCACGAAGACAACGATGAGTCTAGCGGAAGGAACAGACTGAAGATCCCAGAAACCGAGAAGAAGGTAGAAAAAGGTTCCAAATATGGAAGGAAGATGACCAAAAGAGGCAAGTGAGCTACGGAGAGAAAACATATCCTCGAGGCTGCGCAAAGTCGCGTGAATGGGAATGAGAACCTTCGTTGGAGGCTTGTGGCACGGGCCCGCAACGCCCGTAAAGTACTCGATGAAGATCGAATCATCCGATTGCATATGGGTCTAGGCCGACTCCTGAGGAAAGGGTGCGTGTGGCAATGTAGATGTCTAGGATTGGTCAGAAGGGGCATGTTGGGCGATACGGAAGGAACCCAGACAAATTTAGGGCTTGCGATATGGAACGCGGCGTAAGTATGGGTTCTGGTAGTTGCAGTGAGAAAAGAGGCCTGGGATGAGACGCTGTGGGCGTTTACGAGAGAGGATGGAGAGGAAGACGGGGAAGACGTGGACGAGAAGGACGAAGGAATCTGATGACTGGAGGAAGAAAGGGAGGCCTAACGGCGAAAGGAGGTGATGTGATCGGGTGCTGGCGTAGTGGCGTCCTCCGAACAAGGTTTCGGCGCTTCCCAAATTGCCGAATGCAGCCAAGGCACTACGTCTACGCCTTCAGCCGAGCTGCGATATCTGTCCGTTCCGAGACTCACACCGTCCTGCGAGCGCGAGCAGGGCTTGGGCTGGCACAGGAATTGATTGCTGGGGGTCCATGTGTGTGCAGGGCGAATTTCCAGGTCGAAAAGGCGGCGTGTTGGGCTGGCTGTGAAGTGGGAAGCGGAAGATGCAAGCGTAAGGGGCCTTGTTGGGGCTTCAATCAGTTGTGCAGAGAATTCATGCGAGCCGGACTTCTCCAAACCGGGCATCGTCTCCCCTTTCCGTCTCTCCCAGCCGCTCGTCGCCCCTTCCCGCCTCTCACCCTCTCTTCACGACCACCATGTCCGTCAGAGGCCACCAGGCAATGTCGCCCCCTCAGCACAGGCCCCAGAGCCAGCAAGACGTCGTCATGGGGCCCCCTCCAGTCCCGTCCCAGCCCTCGTCGTCCGCCGGATCTGTACAGGGTAAGCCTGACTACAAAGAATACTACTACAAATACCAAGACCTCAAGAAGAGCCATATAGAGCTCGAACAAGTCTGTTTCTTCGTCTTACCTTTTCCCTCGTATTTTTCTTATGCCAACGCACGCATCAGAAATGCAAGACGCTTCACGACGAGCTCAGGCGCTCGGGCGAGCGCAACATGCAGAGCAACAATGAACGAGGGTGCGTTTTTACCTTCTATCCTTTGACGGATCGCCCGATGCCATTGTCGTTCTCTCTCTCTGTACAGTCTTCTTCTCGATCGCATCTTAGAACTCGAGTCCGAGCTCGAAGCTATCAGCCGTCCAAGCAATGGCGGCTCTCCAGCCCACTCAGATTCCTCTCGTCGTTCCCTGCAGCCACCCAGTACTGCGTACCCTCGTCATGCCATTTCTGGTCGTGCACATACCGCGATGGTCGCGAATCTTCGTCAAGCCATGGACGAGATCCGCACGGAAGATGGATCTCCCGATTCTCTCCTCGTTTCGCGTCACGCCGCCGCGCCACCTCGCAAAAGGCAAGCGGACGATATGAAGGAACGCGTGGACGAGGAGATTCGCGACGTAAAGAAGGCAAAGACGACCAAGCCGAGAACCGTCGCGCCCTCTCCCACTCCGTCGAATGGCCCAAAAGGGGTTGAGGGAGGCGCACCAGCCGCGCTTCCCTCGAGTAGTGACCATTCGGCTGGACTCTCTTCCTCCTCTCAACCGGAGACGACTCTCGTATCGTCCTCTGGGAAACGAATTCGCATCAAGTCGTTGTCGACCTCTCAGCCACAAGATGGTCCTTCTCCAGGCCCACCTAGCGCTAGTTCTCGAACTTCTGATGTTCAAGGCCAACATCAGCAACCATCCGCTCAGTCCGCTTACAGCAGTGGTGTGCCCGGCTATCCTCACTCTCCTCCACAACATCATCGACCTCCCACCGAGCCGGTCTCGCCCATCTACGATGGCGAGCGGTACTCTCCCTTGGATCACCACGGCGACTCACCCTCAAAATTTCGCAACGGTAGTGGTGGATATGGACATGGCCCAACGCAGGGGCACGGGTCCGGTCACCCAATGACGTCCCCTGGTTTAACACCGTCTAACACCTCTCATTACGGTACTGGCGTCACTCCGGGCGGCAATGGTTTAAGTCCAAGTGGTGCGGTCGCAGCCAGCCCTCATCCGGGAGTAATCCTCTCTCCTGCTAGTGCTAGTGCGTCCCGACTTCCAGACGGTGTCCGTCATGCGAAACCGAAACGACTAAAGGCCCACACAGTGACTTCAAAGAGCTTCAATGTTCCGTCTATCCCGAGGGATAAGAAGGGGAGGCCATTGTTGCCGTTGAATGTGGGTATCATGACCGTCATGAGCCTCGGGGAGGTCTGTATGAGGGAACACTTCCATACGGAGAGGTATATCTTTCCGGTTGGGTATGAGGTGACGAGGTGCGTCTTTTTCTTGAGCCGCGCGTTGCTCCTTCCAGATCGCTGATTGTAGCCTGGTTACGCGACCGCTATTCCCTACGTCTCAATGTTGGTCATTTGAGCAGGCGCTACCTATCTGCCATCGATGCGCACTCGGAGACTGTTTACCATTGTACTATCCTGGACGGCGGTGACGGTCCGAAATTTCAGATCGTGGCCGCTGACCAACCTACGAAACCTATCGCTGCAGGAACTGCCACAGGCGCATGGTCCGTCGTCGTTCGTGCAGCGAACCATATCAGGAATCGCCAGCACAGTAATTCGGTGTCAGGGCCCGATTTCTTTGGCCTAGGGCAGAACACGATCAAGCATCTCATCCAGGAGTTGCCGAATGCGGATCGGTTGAGAGATTATGTGTGGCAACATTTCTGGGAAGGAGGGTGGGTGTCTTCCTTGCTGGTTTAGTGCGGCTCACTTGAGTATTGCTGACAACCTTCTCCGTATGATTTAGTCCACTTGGAGGGCGTCATGCTGCCGTCATTCCTGCACTTCCAGAAGATTACGAGGGCGCGAACGCAGATCGTCCGGACTCGAAAGACGGCGAGATGAACCTCGTCGATCCCGACCTCGCCACGGACATGCCTACTCCTCAACCTCAACACGCTCCTCCTCCGCACACCCTCGAACGTCGGCCTTCTCGAACAAGTCTCGATCCAATTCCGGATAGACTTCCACCTCCGCCCACGGCCCACGGCCAGCACGCATACTCAAACCCCTCTAGCTCGTACCCCGGATCTGCACATACGCCACCGTCGGCTCATGCAAGACCCTCGCCACATATCCCTTCCACTCAACCATACCTTCAACCGAGATCCCCATCACACCCACACTCGTACTACAGGACAGACTTGTATCCGCCTCCTGGATCTTCGCCACCTGCAGCTCAGCTTCCACCTATCCATAGTCAAAGCTCGTCACGAGACTATTATTCCCGGAATCGAGAAAACCTTCCGGTGCCGCCACAGCAACAGCAGTATGCTCACCAGTCGCACCACCATTACCAGCCATCTAATCATTCCAGTCGTGCTTCATCGCCGCCGCCGTCGACGCCCTCTTCGCGAGGCGGTCCCGATCGCGACAGAGATCATTCGTCGCACTCATCTCATTCCAACTCGGCATCCCCGTATGGCTCGCGCACGCCACAACATTCGCACGCACCGCCAGCACCACCACCTGTGCCTGCGACGTTCGCGAGTATTATGAATGCGTATGATAATGCACCGCCGTATGCTTCGAGCTCACAAGCGCAGCAAGCCTCGAGGCCAGGGACAGGGAGTTCGGCGTCGATAAATGGAGGCGAAAGTGGGCATGCGAGTGTGAATGGGGAGGACAGGAGGAGGGGCAGTGTAGGCAGTGCGGGTATGAGTCTAGGAGGAGGGGTGGATGACGTGCAGTAGAGTGTTTTTGGATATCTGTTGAGCATCGTGATGAAGCTTGTTCGTTGTCATTGTTGGGCGTTAAAAGTAAGTCGTTCTGTTACTTGTTTGTACGCTGCGAACTGAAGCTTTTGCCCTTGTTTTTATAGTGTTGTTCTTTTTTTCCTCATGGTCTGTAATTGCGGCAATGTGTTTCGCGGCTTCGACGTTCATGGTTCATCTTGCGGACTGAAGAACTTGTATATGCACATCAATTACCATTTCCCTCTTCTTTCCCCATCCATCATCCATGCACCCCGCGCAATATCATCATACCACCCGCATCCATACACCTGCCCCTTTACCTCTTCTTGCCTCTTCCTATCCCTTATCACTGTTCTTGGCAATCATTATCATGTCGTCTTTGAATGACTTCAGCCACTCAACCCCCCACCTCCCCCTCTCTTACTTCATCTTGATTGTCATTTGGGTTCATTTTCCGTCTGGCCCTGGTTGCTTGTTGTTTTGTTTTGTCGCTCTCTATCGACGTCGTTGGTTTGTCCTATTGCCGTGTGGGTTTTTTTCTCGGTCATATCCTCTTCCGTGTCCTTGCGCCCTTTCCCTCGTCTCCCCGTTACATCCCTCGCCTCCCTCGCCCGCTTCGAGACTTGATCTCCATGCTTGACCCGCCGATCACCATGTCATATAACCTTATGCATCATACAGATCTACATCGCCCTGTAAGCCGCCTCACCCTACATGACGTGGGGAAGCCGACGCGACCGACGAAGCTTCCGCTGATCATTTAAGTCGTGTCCCCAAAATACACTAACTATCGCGCATCCACGTCACGGTCAGGGTTCTTTTGCACGCTTTCCCCCTATTCATTTTCTTCCCATCTGTGTCTGCGACGCATTACACCACATCTGTACCAGCCTCCAGTCCCACCCGTCACAGCAGTCTTCCACCTGTCGACGGGCTCGGGACGACCCTCGTACTCACCCCTACACACGCACACGCAACAGCGCGGCCGACCCCACGCATCGTGTCGTGTCGGGTGGGTGCGTGGGTTTCGAATTGGATTAAATGCTTAGGCGATATTGATGAAATTTCCATGTGGTTACGAACTTTTTTCCGTTTCTCTGACGCGCTCCGATACTTGATCTTCTCCATGTGAGGGGATGGGAGGAGGAGTGTGGATTTGGGATGGGGGGTTCGTTTGGAAAGCTCCTGTGGGGACTCCTCCTGATGCGAGGAACGTGCCGGGTTTTGGGGTAGTATATGGAGCTTACATTCTTTTTCTTTCTGATAATTGGATCAGGTAGGCGGGTTTGTCTTGGATCTTATATGTGCAGTGGGTGTGCGAGCTGAGCATGTTGAGCATGAATACATTTTGAGGGGATGGAAGTCTCGATATCGACAAATATGCGACCATTGTTCATGTGTATGCGTATAGGTAGTGTACTTTCGGGGTCAACAGTCCAATGAATCCAATGTCCTGCCTTATACATGTATATACCGTTCCGACCGTCGTGATGCCCGTTGACAATGTCCAAAAAATAGTAAACAACACAATTCAAACTTTGATGTTCGCCGCCTGACTCCTTTCAATCTAGTTTGTCTGCTCATCCTCCGTTGACTGGATCAAGCGCAGAGCAGCATCGTCCCGCGGAAATATTGAGCATTGGAATAGTGGAGGATGGCTAAGGAGAAGTATGGAATTAGAAACTTGACCGCACAGTGCAAACTTGAGCCGCACCTGAGAGAGAATTCCACATTGTGCTTGTCATTGACCGGTATCTCATTGCCCTTCTCGTCCTTTTGCTTCTCGACAGTGAACACCGACAGGAACGTGGAGAAGAACATGTAGGCGATCTCATCTACAAGATGGCGTCCCGGACAGACCCTTGAATGTTTATGGTTCAGTACGACACGGGTGACGAAATCATGGCAAGAAACTCGCCTGCGGCCGAACCCGAAGGCAGCTGCGATGTCGGGATCATCTTTGAACTCTCCCGTAGGTGTAAGGAAACGCTCGGGTTGGAAAGACTCTGGGTCGGGATATTTGACGGGATCGTGCAGCATTGCCCTTCCATGCATCAGAAAAAATAAGCCTCGTAAGTCATTAGAACTTGGAGAGTGTGATCGCAACCGATGTTAGCGAGGACAATGGAGCCTGTATAAAATTAACAGAGACAACATGAACCACGAGTTCTCACCCAAATAGAACGAACGTATACCTTTAGGGATGAAGTAGCCCTCGAAGATGTCATCCTCTCTGGTAGAATGTGCAACACCTATTCAGAAAGCTCAATAAGTAGGAGACCTTATAATGGAGAAGACATACCCAATTGTGTGACCAACCTCCATCTGAGGATCTCCTTGCACATAGCTTCTATGTACGGGAGCCTACCTCGGTCTTCGTTGTTGGGTAGCCGTTCACGACCGATTACGGAGTCGAGCTCTTTTTGTGCGCGTTGTTGTACTTTCGGGTACAGAAGAAGTACCAGCATGAAGTTCGTCATAACTACGCTAGTCTGAAAGGAATGGCTATTTAAATACGATCTCGTTCATTACCAGCGAGAACTTCGTTGATCTCACCGTGTCTGAACCAGCTATAAGGGGCAGCAGGTCAAACTCATAGACATAAGGACAAAGACCTGGAGCGTACCCCCATAAAGCGAAGCTGCGATGTTCTTGGTGTGATCTTCATCCTTGTCAGAGGGGGATTCGAGGTTATACTCCGCCGTGAAGTAACTCCGACTCAACGAAGGCTCCGCAGAACCGTCTAACTATAGCGTTAAGAGCACCCAGATGATTAGGTAGACTTATCTTTAAAAAATGGAGGCCAACGTACAACACTCTTTTTGACAAAGTCAAAAGGTTCGTTTCGTATTTCCTCACCTTCACGCTTGACTTGCTCAACGTCGCGCAATTTACCAAACCCAGGTACCCAACCGGGCAAACGTCCCACTTCAAGGAAGGTCACAAAGCCACCATGCTTCCAGAACAAAGCGGATGACACTCACGGATCGGAAAGACGTTGATGATGCTCGAAGTCGGAGACATGCTGTCTCCAAGTGTTTTGTTGAAGGCTTCAAGCTTCGTAATATATCCATCGTCTTCGTTCTCTACTTTGTATCCGTACGCGGTCGACATTATTATGCTCGTCAGAAAGCTATATTGTCACATCGCGAAAGACAAAGTGAGTCTCAGTCCAATGAAACGCGAAGTAACGGCCTACTATTTGAAGTGACGGCGAAAATCATCAGGCTCACGTACTAACGATCTGAGGAGCTCGTTGACTCTCCAGCGCATCATCGAGCGATAGGGGCTAAGGGCACTCGGTCGAAAGTGTTGATCTGCGATACGTCGTTGAGCTCGATGAGCGTCCGTGTCTGAAACGAAGATGGTGTTCCACGTCGAGAGCTGCATTCTGAAATGTCAAGGCAGTGTTATATGGTGCGAGCATAGAATGGGAAAATGGGCACTCACAGGTGCAGAAGGGGTATCACCGGACGATCGGACCAGTTCCTTGCTCTTTTCTGAAGAAGTTCTTTTGCGACGTGGAGAGAGCTTAGTATGATAATGTTCTGTCCCATAATACGGAGAGATAAAATGTCCCCTGAGAACCAGATAGCCGAGTTGAGATATTTACAGCAACATATGGGAACAGAGAGAGCCCTACCATGTTCTTTTCTCAGCGGCGCAAGGCGTTCGCCGTGGTCGTGATTGGGGAACTGAAGAAGATTGCCTATGAGAGGCAGCCGCTTGGGTCCTGGCGGCAATGGGAATTTAGAGGAGGAGCGAGTAACATGGACCAAAGTCAAGACGAGCACAAAAAGCGCGCAGGCGGCAGCATCGACCACAGAGAACGATTGGAGGAAAGACATGGATCAGTGGACGTCGTTCGGAGAAGGGATATGGGCCGTGCTGAGTAACGACGGCCCAACCTTGGATGGCACTCTTTATATAGTACAAATGCAGACGTTCCGTGTTGTAATAGCTTTCATTCGAGCCCGGAAGCTGTGTCATGGGGAACAAGTGTACGTTCCAGAGCACCACAGGGTCGTGAACTCTAACATGACGCTCAGTACTACACGGGGAGAGCTGGATAGTCATCTACATTCAGTTCGACGTATACAACGATATGCGGGATTAGCAAGGCCCTACGGCCAGAGTACAATGCCAATAGGCACATTAACCGTTCGACGTCATCCAAGAAGATATACGCCGTCTCTTTCTCAGGAATATCGTGTCGAGGTGGTGCAACAGGAAATAGAACCGGCTTCTCTGACCAATGAATCGAACGCCGAAACTAAAGAGCCCGCGCGTTCTGATAGTCTCCCAGCCTCCCTAGTATCATTGTGAACTCCACACCTACGTTACAGCTTCAAGGCGTTCAAGGTTCGAGTGGATTACCAGTATACGTGTGGATTGTGGCAGCGATACCCATCGCAATTGAATACTGATGAAAGTGTCCAGGGCGCAACAGCATGGTGCGGTATCCCCGATAGTCAGACTTGGGTCAGACAGCGCCGATCTGTTGTCAACAACTCTTTTCATACTAACGTCGCACCCAAGTATTTAGACGAGGGTATGTGTCCCCATATACGATAGCCATTTATTCACCTCCAACGAAGAGGTTCGACAGGAAACGACGACGAATGCGAGATATTGACGTCGAGTACACCGCCAGAACGTGTGCGTTGTACCGGCGATTCATCGAGTAACAAACGAGTCACGCACCTTTCAGCCCCTCGTTATCTAGCTCTGAAGAAGATCCGGAAATGAATGGATCAGCATAAGCATGCTCTTGAGAGAATACACCTGTCCCTCCGCTTGCTTACAATTGAATAACCCAATGATACGAAACAGCACTAATTCAAGCTCTCGACGATCGATGTGAACTAGGTCTTCAGCGTCCCAATCACGAGGAGGGATTGCGCATTCGAAAGATACACGCCGACTCGGAAGTGTGCAAACATGTTGCGTACTCAGTCATGGTCGTCGAATTGTTGTGAATACGTTACGCACCTGAACACGGCATTTACGAATGTGCATATTGGCCACAGGAATCTCCGGTTCTTCTTTCTTCTTTGGCTTCCTGACCCAGACACTGGACAAGGACAAGACCTCGTCAACCAAGCGGCGCCCGGAATATTCTCTGTGTGGTAAGAAGTGGATATCATCACCGAATGAGATTGCTGCGGCATTTGAGAGCTTTTAACAGGGCGCTCTCTTCCACACATGAAAAGGAGAAAGGTAGAGGATCCCCGCTGTATCCTGATTTGGCCAAAACGTTCCATGTAGTACTCTTGCAGCTGAGGCTATACCGGAGGGAGGTCCACAAGGATCATACACTTTCCGCAGAAGAAATACAAAGGGCGGAGGGCCTGGGACTCGGACTGGGCCGAGCGAAAGACCATGGCCTAAAACTTATGCAATACTGTAGTTTTTCGACCATATGTTCGTCACGCATCACGCAGGGTGCGCCGGCGAACATGTTTGACCTGATGGTCACGCATATACGCGGGTCCACGAACAGCAAATCGTGACCGATTTCCACCAAAATCGAGCAGAAATCAATTTTTAGGACGTACCGCGAACAATTTCATTGGTTCGTCACGCGTGGTCCGCCCAAACGAACCGTGGTCTGGCGAAGGTCACGTCTGACATAATCTTCCCACGAACCTACGGTCGAAAAACTACAGTATTGGAACCATCCACCATAGCGAAAGAACTTGACGAGACAATTGGTAAAGAGTAAGTAGTACAGAAAGTAAAGCTTTTGAGTTTGACATCAGAACCGAATGTGTCAGAATCGGGATTGCTCAACGATAGCACGTGTAAACTTCAAACTCCGCTAAGTAACTTCATCCGTGTGGCGTCGGCCGTGTTTCCAGATTCATCGAATCTTGAACACAAGCTTGCACTCTCCTGAAGCCGGAAAAATGACCTATTCATGTCAAGCCATGTTGTCAGCAAATGAGCAGCGCAAATGAACCTTCGTCACCATAGAATAACTCACAAAACTGTCCATAATCTCCATGCTTCCTTCAGTCGTGCTATCCGGTGCCACAATCTCAAAATTCCTCACTATCGCGAAGGCAACAACTTTGAGCAACATCAACGCGAGATTTCTCCCACCGCAGATACGAGTACCTAAACCGAATGGCATCATGTATTGATGCATCTTCAAGGTACTATGTTCGTCAGTGTGGTGCGGGGATGATTGGAAGTCTGGGTCAGAGACCCAACGCTCGGGGTCAAAGTCATCGGGCGAGGAAAAGACGTGCGGGTCACGATGCAGGGACCAGGCTTGTGTGCCGACTATAGTTCCGGGTGGGAGTGCAAACCCTAAGAGATCATATCCCTCAGAGCCCGGAGGAGTAGCCCTGGTATTCATTGTTGATGGGACGACGCGCTCAAGCAGACTGGGACCGGCGCTGTAAAGGCGGAGACCTATAGTAAATTAAGATCGATCATGAGGTATTGCCCAATGTGCAAAGCTGATGTGCAATAATGCTCCCCTTCTTGAACAATGGCATTGAGGTATGGAAGGTTCTGTATCACCGATATATCTGGTATACTTCTCAAGTCAGAACCTTTTATTACGCTGTCCACCTCAGCTTGTAGCTTCTTCGCCACGGCCAGTTTGCGAGAAAGCTCCCAGCATAAATAAGACAACGTCGTCGAAGTGGTGTCCGATCCTGCTATCCTACTCGAAGCCAAGTATTCAATATCCATGAGGGATTCCGTTTATGCACAGCGTAGTTCGAGAGACCGAAGACGGACTTACAGGTGGCCCATAAGCTCAGAGATGATGTGCTTTTCTGGCATTGGTTCCTTCGTCGTTGGTGTGCGAAATTGTAGGAGATGATGAGCTAGTGGAACAGTGGTAATTTCACGCTCCGGGTCTTGAGTTGATTCTTTGGAGAGTTCTGCTTTCTCATCAGCGAGCTGGCGTCGAGCTTCCCGAACTCTTGAAGTCACAATCTGAATAATTTCACGGGCAATGAGTACTCCCATAAGATGCAAGGGACAGAATGGTCGGAATGATTTATATCTTTAAAAATCTGCTTACTTCCGCAAGAATACTGTCTGAATCACATAGCTCTCTCCACCGTTTATTCGGGATACGGCTGATCAAGGCCCACGCACACCGGGGGAATACGCTCCGCTGGGTTATATCCCAGCATCGGAATCAGCGAGAAACGGACTATGGATTCATCGAGCAACACACCATCAGCCCCCGCTTTGCGAAATCACCAATCGCCTTGCTCAGGGCACTTTCGGAACCTCCGGCCGCCCAACTCTCCAACGCTCCAGCGCCCTGAAGGCTTTGATTCCCTGGACCAAAAGAGGTGGCGGAGATTACGTCTATCATCAATTGACGAAAGAGGAGGAGGCTGTCTATCGGCTCATTGGCGTGCTGGTTCAGGACCTGCGAGTGTGCAGGCCACAAATGTGAATAAGATGTGTGCCAGAAAGGGAAAGATGCTGGACGCAGCGGTGGGGCCAGGAAATAGTAGAACATACGTCGACAAGCAGCAGAGTGAAATGGTGAACCTCGGGCTGAAAGGTGGAGAGGTTCGTCGGGTTATAGTGTCCAGAGTATGCTTTCTTACGAGGTGCGTGGAGGGAGTGTGGAAGCACGGTCATCCTGTAGGTACGAGAATTATGGATGAACATATCATGTCAGCGTCCATAAGACAAATGGCTCTGCTCACGCATGATCATTATCATTCCTGTAAGGTGTTTATCGTTAGCATTGCTCACGCCGAGACTTCAAAAAGCATCGAACGAACGTCATCATGGATTTATACCAGCTACTCTTCTCGAACCTCGCCCCTCCACCACCCGCACCAATACTCCCACCATAAACGACCTTTCCTGATCCGAGATCCTTAAACGCAACCTTCCCCGGCCCAATCCTCACGACAGGCCCATATGTCTCAAATAGCTCGTGTATGACTTTGCATTGTCGAAATCGCAACGCGCCGTGGAATATGAGCCATAGATCGGAAAAGGCCGCGAGTTTAGGACCAGGGATGGAGGACAGGGGGGAGAAGTAGAGGTTGTAGATGGCGTGGGTTGTGTACCAGGGGACAAGAAGCACGAAGGCAAAGAGGAGGAGTGCAGGAGAGCTTGGTATGTTTGTTTTCGATCCGGCGACCGAGAGATATGAGATGGTGGAGTGCATGGAAGTGGCGAGACGATCAAAGACACTAGACATGGTGCAGACGAGATAGTTGTGTGCCGGAATGTGCAGTTGCTCTTGTGCAGTGACAGTGACTTCTCTTGAGCACGAGAAGGTATAACGTAGATTTAGAGGTTTTGAGGTCTTAAGGTCTCCAGGACACACCGGTCAGCATTATATCATGAAATCAAGGTTGAGCTCGGGCGGCATCTGCGCTAGAAGACGATGCGTATGTCTCAGAGCATGAGAAAAAAGCATACTTGTTTCGTCACAAGGTTCCGAGCTCTGAGGGACCCATTGGCCGATGCTCGGAACTCTGAACCCGCACGGACGACAAGAATAGACGAATAACTTGATTCGGGTCACGGGGCCTAATCAGACGAACTTTCATACAGGGTCATAGCTAATGCAACACATATACAAAGAGGACATACACGAGGACTTATACATACCGTCTTCACCGAACGCTCCTTCACTTTTTCCTTCCATGAATCTTCTCCAAAAACTTCAGATATACCTCCTTCCGTACAACTCCATTTCCACCCTCGCTCTCCTCCTTCCCTACCTCTTCCAAACTATCAATCATCCCCTTCAACTTCTCATACATCCCACTCTCATACTCCTCCCACTTCTTGTCTAATCCAACCTGCCCAAAGACCTCCTTCACCCTCCTCTCGCACTCGCCACCCCCTTGCGCACTACTATCGGTCCCGTCACCTTTCTTGGCGTAGTTCTCCTCCAAGATCTTGCGCTGCGCAGGGGACGCCTCTGCGAGAGCGACGTTGATGCACCACGAGCATTTATTATCGATGATATCGGTTCCGATTTTGCCGAGGATGTGGGGAGGAGCCGAGTAGTCGAGGTAGTCGTCCTGGGCTTGGAAATATTCGCCGAGCGGGAGGAGGATGGAGAGTGCGGTTTTGTAGGGGTCTTTTGACGCGTCTTTCGAGTGGGGAATGTGGCACATGATCATGGCGAGGGCGATGGGCATGTAGAAGGAATAGTAGGCAGTTTTGTAGATCGCGATGAGAGATGTTCTGATGTAACGTATGTGGTGAGTGAGATATGGCTCAACGAGACAGAATAATGGACGTACCGCTCCATGGAGAACTTGGACAAGTCGACCTTATCCTCAGGGGATGTAATAACATCGACAAGTTGTCCCACGACACTCTCGTACGTGATCTAAATCCCGCATTTAATCATCAACTCAAGGGTTCCCCCACCGAAACATACAGAGACTGAGCACGCACCTCATGGAACAGATCGACCAGATCCGTGTAGTAATCCGTCTCCTTGAAGTACGTCTTCAACATCTGATAGATCGCACGCTCGAGAATAAACGAGTCGTTGAAAGCGATGTTGCCCACGCCCTCAACACGGAACCAGCAGGGCTGTCCGCGCCGGGTAAGGGATTGGTCCATGAGATCGTCAGCAACGAGGAAGTGGGCTTGGAGCTATGACGGCCAGCAAGTAGAGTGAGCCACGGATGAATGAAAATAAAAGGGCGAGGCGCACGAATTCGACTGCCCATCCGAGGACTGCAGCTTTGAAGTACTCGTCGTCGGTCAATGGACGTCCTTTGAAGATCTGGACGGTTTCGATGACGGTGAGGCCACGATTGAGTTTGCCCCCGACGACATTGTAGTCGAGGACCTTCGTGTAACATTCAGTTACAATTCAAGCCACAAAGAAAATAAGGAAAAGACGCACCTTGGTATACCATTCAACACCGTCTGGAGGGATGCCTCGAACGGCGAGTTGGGAAAGGAGTTCATCGCGGATAACGTTGAAGGTGCTCAAGAATCGCTCGCGGGTCGAAGCCATCGTGACGAGTTGTGGTTGAGAGGAAATGTTACTCTTCTGTTGTTCGCACCTATGGACCTTATTATATGGAACGGGGGCGAATAAGATTTGATGTTTGACCCTTGTACGTTTGAGGATGCACGATAAGGATGAGACATGTAAGACAAACGTACGGAGAAAGCTTGTTCGTGCCCGTGGGAGATCTTGCAGTATGGTAAGACTTTCGAGCATGATGTATACCTTTATACGAGAAGTGGGGGGGTGCGTCGTTTGGATGATGAAGACGTGGATGCGGGCGCGGCGAGCGTGTACGCTCTCGTGCGCTCGTCGGGCATGAGATGGTGTAACGGCCGCTACCCAACAACCGGTGGATGCAAGGGGATACCAATGCTAGGACGCTTCGGAGAGCGCTTGACATAGAATGTGCCGTTTCCGTCGCCTTGCATTGAAACTCACCAACTGGGTCGACGAGAGCTCCAGAAAGGAGGCGCGAGCGCGATGCTAAGGATTGCGCCACACTTCTACCCGGCCACTTCGCTCGCCACTTGCTCGCTGAAGTCTATCTTCCACATTAACCGTGACTGCTGTGATCGCCTACGTTTATTTCCCATGGTGCTACGAGATTCATAGAACTGGAATACTTCTTGGTAGTCTTCAGACCGCTCACACGACCGAGACACACGAGAGTGAACCCAAACTGGAGCTGGACAAAGACCGGCAGACAAGACAGACATGAATTCATTGACATGGTCATATATTCATCAAGCCGTGGATAATGTGATTCGAGACAACCAAAACCCCAAAATACATATAAGCCCAAAAAAAGAAAAAGATACGAAACAATATGTGGCATAGATGATGCACATAGGAACCGCAGGCATGAAACGTAGCAGGCAAATATCTTTCACAGCTCCTCCCCCTCTATCGGCGTGTAGCCGTTAATGGCTTCGTCTGTGCGGATGGCTTCACCGACAAGAGCTGTCCAGCGAAGATCGCGTTTGCATCGTTGTGGCCCAAAGCGAAGGCTGGACGCAAAAGAGGTTCGTCGGGGAGGGAAAGGAGTGCAGACGAAGTCGTCGTCGTCGTCGTCGTCGCTGTCGACGTCATTTGAATAGGCAGATGCAGTGGAGAGACTGGGAGCGGGAAGAGACTCGTTGGAGTCGGAGTCGGAGTCAGAGTCGGAGAAGGCAGAATGGCAGTCCTCTGAGTCTATGGAGGCGGCGGATGCGAGCAAGTCGTCGAGCATGGCAAAAGTATTCTTCAGTTGAAGCTCGACTTGGTCGTCTGTGATAGCAGAAGCGGCGAAAGCCTTGATGGTAGCTTCCTTGTCGGCGACGGTGAGTTCGAGGTTCTTAATGTTGTGGCGGAGGTCCTCGTTGACCTTGCCGGATTCTTCGATGCGAGTGGAGAGGCGATTGATTTCGGTAGTTCTGTCGGCGATGGTGAGTTCGAGGTGCTGGATGCTGTGACGATGACGTTCGCTATCCTCCCTCTTCTCCTTCACCAAAACAGAATTCTCCAACCTGAGGTCCTTGACCTCACCCTGGAGAACCTGGTAGCGCCTCTCCGAAACAAACTTCTGCTGAACAAGGTTGTCCAACAACTCCTTCATGTTGTGGTTGTCCTCGGTGAGATGGGCGTTCTCTTGAGCGAGGACCGAAACGCCAGACTGCACCTCGCCCAGTTGAGCAAGCAGCGCGGCATTCTTGGATTCGAGGGCGGACTTGGCGTTGTACGCAGAGAGGTAGAGTGATTCAAGTTCGATGGTTCGTTCTTGAAGGTGTGTGTTATCTTGAGTCCAGATAGCGAGAGCGGAATTGCGTTCGTCGATGACGGCGGCGATGGTGCTGTCCTGCTCCAAGCAACGTCGGAGAAGGTTATGGTTGCTGGACTCATAGATGGCGTTCTGAGATTTGAGTTTGTCGATGATTTGCTGTGCGTCCTTGAGAGCATCTTCCGCGGCAAGTAGATGGCTAGAGTTGACGTCAGCCTTGTGCAATAGTGTCCGGATGGCACACTGGGCGACGGAGAGCGCTTCGGCAGTTGGGTCGACTTCGAGCTTGAGCTGATCGACAATGAATAGGACGATAGGGAACACAATGGCCGCGATGACTGGAGCCGGTATTGATGATACCAGAGCAGACATAGGGCCAGAGAAGTAGAGCACAGGGCCGAAGAGCGATAGCACAGAGAGGATGAAGATAGCGATCATCTTGCACTTGTACTAGTAGAACAGAAGAGTGAATGCGAGTGTTGCTTGAAAGTGAAGATGATGGAGCGAAGACTAGATGAGTGGAGGGTTGTAGCCAGCTATTACTTGACCGATATCCATGCATTGCATTAGGGACTGGTGGTTGAGACACAGCTGAGCCCGTCGGCGGAGAGGAAAATGTTTGGCGTCGAGCCTGCCAGGCGGATTTGTGGCAGATCAGAGACACTTCAAGCTAAGGTATCAGGAGCGATCCAAGCATTAAGTCACTTGAATTCAAAGAGCCTGCAGCTCCTAGACACACATACTAGGACACACAGTTAGCTAAAGCCCATAAGAGAGGAGTCCAATGTTTAACATCATGGGAGTCAGAGGCAGACCGACAGAACCGGTGAGGTGGCGACGTCATTGCCAACCAGAGAGATCTTATCTTATCTCCTCCGTACCCAAGTTTTTGAGAGTTCTATTTTTACACCACGAACACTGTGCCACACTTCATCCACCGCCCAAGTGCTCAATCTACCGCTTTTCTTACAATGAATCGACCGCAACGATATAACGCCAAAGCACGCTCCTCTGTAGCGGGTGGCTCTCACAAGAAGGGGAAGGCGAAGAAGACGCATTCGGAAGATCCACCTCCTGTCGAAGGTCAAGCTGATACCAATGCGGACATCCTGGAACATAAGGCTGAGGAAGATAAAGAGAGGGACCGAAGAGAGAGGATGAAGCGCGAAGTACGTCCATTATGTTTCTCCGTTCCTGAGTAGGGCTGTAATATAAGGCTTTGTGGAATTTCACAGTTGCTGGAACAATCGCAGAGCAAAGCTTCGAGTAAGAAGCGGAAACGTCTCGACAAGTATATCGTACGTCTTTCGTGGCACATGTGGCCTTCTCTACTGCAACTATAACCATTCTATAGGATAAAAAGCTGAAGAAGGAAGAACGGCTGGAGCTGTTCGACAAACTCGCGTATGCGTGCTCTTCTTCTGGTTCCCGTCGAGTTGCACACTCATCGTATTGGCAGTAAATCTCAAGCAGAGCTCTCATCCACACTTCAGTTACATTCGTCGTCTGCTCTTGGAACCGGAAAGCCACAGACCCACCAAGACCGTCTCGATAAATCGGAGGACAAAGATGTTCGACGAGCGATGGGCCACACTCAACCTACAGGAAAGCACAGAAAGCGTAATGGTGGGTTCACCGGGGTGGCGGACGATGATGACGACGACAGCGAAGAAGACATCGCCTTCAATGAAGCCTCGACATCATACATGGTTGTTGACGACGTTCCAGATATGAAGGAAGGTTCGTCGAAGGATAGACCCGTGGTGATTATTGACTCTGCCGTTACTGCTTCAGCAGCAGAACAGGCAGATAAATCAGGCGGCACAGTGGGCAGTGCGCTGCAGAGGAATGCCGATGGGTCAGTCGTGGCTCCTCGCATACTCAAGAAAAAGGGAAAGGGTCAGAAGGTGTGTTCATCGTATATGCAATCACCTTTACTTGGTTTAAGAGCGTGCGTTGCTCCCCAGACAATTTTCCAGAAATGGAAGCGAGGTCCTCTCGCATCCCAGAATATACAACCAGACGAACAATCCGACTCGTCGTTCGACAGCTCAGATTCTGCTCTTGATTTCGCTGAAGACGAGGACGGTGACGGTGACGGTGACGCCACATCAGACGACAACGAATCCGACGAAAATGGCGAAGAATCAGGCTCAGAAAACTCAGAAGAAGAGGACGGCGAGGGAGAACCGTCGCCACCACCAAAACCTCGATTGGCATTCAAGGATTGGGCTATGTCTCAACTCAGCGCTGCGAAGAGCTATGTCGCTCCTGTTTCCACCTCTGAAACCTCCACCTCTCTAGATACTCTGCCTGTCGAGTCATCAACCATTCCTCCGAAGAAAAAACGCAAACTCAACCCTTCGGATCTGCAAGGAATGCATGGACCGCTAGGAGAAACTCTTCAGCTCCCGTCCACCTCTCTCGCCCAGCACCTACAAGCCACTGGCAAGAACAAAGCCGACGAATCGCATCAGAAGCGGAAAGTGGTAGAGGTGAAACGACCAGTGGATGTCGAAGAAGCCAGGCTGTTGTTGCCCATCGTGGCGGAGGAACAGCCTATCATGGAGGCCATCATTTTGAACCCCATTGTTGTGATCTGTGGAGAGACGGGAAGCGGTAAAACCACACAAGTTCCTCAATTCTTGTATGAAGCTGGATTTGGGTCACCGGATAGCGGTCTGTTCTGGGTTTCTCTCCTTTCAATGTTAACCCTTACTGATAGGTTCTGGTCCACGTATTCAGACAACCCTGGAATGATCGGTATCACTCAACCCCGGCGTGTGGCCGCGATATCTATGGCTACCCGTGTGGCCCACGAACTGTCATTGACCTCATCCAAAGTCTCCTACCAGATCCGCTACGACGCCACCGTTTCTCCGTCGACTTCGATAAAGTTTATGACCGACGGTGTTCTCTTGCGAGAATTAGCTACCGACTTTCTGCTCACGAAGTATTCTGTTCTCATCATCGACGAAGCACACGAGCGAAGCATGAATACCGATATCCTTATCGGCGTTCTCAGTCGTGTTATCAAGTTGAGAGAAGATATGTGGAAAAAGGGTGAACAGGGCATCAAGGTATGTAACACTACTTGTGTGTGAATCTCGAAAATGCATTGAACCTAACGGTGTGGCCATGTTCAGCCCCTACGACTGGTCATCATGTCCGCTACGCTCCGTGTCTCCGACTTTGCCGAGAACAAAACTTTATTTCCGTCACCTCCCCCGGTCATTGATGTCGCGGCCCGCCAACACCCTGTCACCGTCCACTTCAACCGCCGCACTGCCCCGGACTACGTCTCAGAAGCAATTCGCAAGACGGCCAAGATTCATGCGCGATTACCACCTGGTGGTATCTTGATCTTTCTTACAGGTCAGAATGAGATCACCGGCGTGTGTAGGAAGCTCGAAGCTCGGTATGGCGCGAAGGCGTTGGCTGAGAAGAAGCAGAGGAGGAAAGCTGTGGCGGCGAGGTCGAACGCACAGAACTTTTTCCGGGAAGAAGGCGACAAACCAATGACAGTCAAGGCTGCGCAAGGTAAACATGAAATCTACTAACCCGGTATGCAGTTGCTGACAGCCACGCTACAGCTGATGTTGAGGCAGAAGACATGGAGCTGGGGAGTGAGGAGCAGCAAGACCTGGCCGCCGATGTAGACACAGGGTTGGTCGCAGAAGACGACCTGGAAGCCTTGGACACAGATGACGAAGAAGCTGAAGAGCAATCACTTGGAATTGACACCGAGGAATGCGAAGGTGTGTCAGAGAGCACTGGGAACTGAAAGCTATTATCTCAACATATAGAAACACAGATCCCATGCATATTGTGCCACTGTACTCGTTATTACCCAACGAGAAGCAGCTAAAAGTGTTCGAGCCTCCGCCCAGCGGTTCACGGCTCGTGGTTGTAGCCACGAATGTTGCAGAGACCTCACTTACGATCCCCGGAATCCGGTACGTCGTTGACTGTGGTCGCGCTAAAGAGGTAACTCCCTGCACAAACATTCAGCACGGATTGACCATGACACTTACCTGAAGTTCAGCGCAGATACAACGTCGCTAACGGCATTCAAGCTTTCCAAGTTGGTTGGGTGTCTAAAGCATCAGCAGCTCAGCGTTCAGGTCGCGCAGGTCGTACGGGCCCTGGTCATTGTTATCGCCTCTATTCCTCCGCCGTGTTCGAGAATTACTTCGACCAGTTCTCACAGCCTGAGATCCTCCGTATGCCCATAGAAGGTGTCGTTCTTCAGATGAAGAGTATGCATATCGATGCTGTGGTCAATTTCCCGTTCCCGACTCCTCCAGATCGTCTTGCCCTGAAACAAGCGGAGACGGTTTTAACTCGTCTGGGTGCCCTGGAGACCGCTTCCGGATCGACAACCACTAACATTGGACTTCTTCCCGGAACTATGGGCGGCAAGATCACCGAGCTTGGACGGACTATGTCTTTGTTCCCCCTTTCTCCTCGCTTTTCGAAAATGTTGGTCAGTGGGCGACAACACGGATGCCTACCCTATGTCATCGCTATTGTCTCCGCTCTATCCGTCGGCGACCCTTTCCTTCGAGAAGAAGTCCTAGACGGCGACGACTCCGAGGCGAGCGATTCCGATGAAGAGTTGGCTCATATCACTAGCGAACAAGTCCGAGCGAAAGAAGCGCGCAAACTACAGCGACGTGCATTCTTCCGCTCTCAACAAGTACGTCTGATTTACCGATGATGGCGGGCTGTGGCTCACGTGAAATATTAGGTCCATGCCGCTCTAGGGAACGGAATGAGCGATATGTTCAAAATTTTGTCGGTCGTCGGCGCGTACGAGTATGCGGGTGGTGGTCAAAGCTTCTGTAGAGAGCAATTCGTGCGCCCAAAGGTACGTTGATCACGCTCAGATGCAATATGGCTCCCACTGACATGTAGTAATCCTAAGGCAATGGAAGAGATCCACAAGCTTCGCGCCCAAATCAGCAGCATCGTGCAGACTAACTTCAGCGGTATAGGCGCCGCATTTGTCCCTAATCTTGCTCCGCCAAGCTCTCTACAGGTAAGCAACGTTTTTTGCTGATAGTGAATTTTGGTCTCAGCCTTTTGTCTTTCATCCCAGCTCAAGATTCTGCGGCAACTCCTGACGGCTGGTTTCATTGACCAAATCGCTGTACGCAAGGACCTGGTAAAGAAAGAGACCGCCACTGGAGATCAACATTCGACGACACGGGGTATACCTTACCTAGCCATCGGCATAACGGAGGACGTGTATATTCACCCGTCCTCCGTGCTTGCTAAGGCTTCACCCCCGGAATTCATCGCCTTCCATGAAGTTGTAAGGACTAGCAAGATATGGCTAAAAGGTCAGTATGATAGTCGTATGCTTGAACCTCGAGCTGACGGAATGGGTCATACAGGATGTACTGTTATCAATCCCGCTTGGTTGTCATCCTTAGGCAAACCAGCGTTGTGTACATTCTCGAAGCCCGTCAAAAACAGTGCGGGGGAGATGATGGTTATCCCCAAGTTTGGTCCCGACGCGTGGGAACTCCCGGCCATCAAGCAAATAGTATCATGATACATAGTGTATACTCTATTCTAGTCGGTCATCAAGGGAGAATAGTATCAGGTTACACGCTCTATCGAGAGCTGATCCGTGTTGTTGTAATCAGAAGTGGGAGAATAACTTATTGCGATGCGACGAAACAAATAATGTGTATGCGACAGCGAACGGAAAGAGATAGAAGGAAAGACTTTGTGCATCACTTTGTTATCAGAAGCGTAATCGTTACCGTTTCTTAGAAGGTCCGCCCATGTCGTCTTGTGCGGGTCTCTAAGGGGAGAAGAGTCACGACATGGGTTAGGAAGGGCAAATTCAGAACGTTTTGCATTTCGTACCTTCTTCGGGATGAACAAGCTTGCTCCCGGCTTCTGACGTTTCGCAGGTGCAGGACGAGGCTTCGGCGGAGGGTTAGAAGATTCAGAAGTGGTTTCTTTCCCCTCATCTTCGTTTAGTCTTGTTCCCTTTTCACTTCCTGCTGCGCTGGACGTCCCGTTGGTCTTCGATGTACCAGCGGAGGCCGCGACTAGAGCGCTAGCAGCCGAGGTGGCAGCGACAAGCGTAGGCAGTATGTCTGGAGCAGTACTCTGGGGAGATGTTATGGCGGTGGTAGAAGATGTGTGTTTCGAAGACGCTTTGTGAGCCTTGGGCGTCGTAAGATCGGAAGGAATTGCAGCAGCAGAGGAGCGTGGAATAGGGGCTGGTTTGACTGGCTTCGCAACCGATGGACGAGGTTCCGACCTTGACGAGGTGAAGTATTGCTCGTCGACCTAAATTCGAAATGAATCAGCTTGAACGTCAAGAAGCCTAAGGGAACATACGTCGAAAAGTCGGGACCGAGATCTTGCATCCGTCACGATCGCCTTCCAGTTCTGATCACTGCGTTCCAAAGTCGGAGCATGGCCCAGAATGAAAAGCGAAGCTCGAGAACGAGTCAAGGCGACGTTCATACGACGTACATCTGGAAGCAGTTCAGGTTTCAACCGTGGATTGACGATCAGGATGACGCACCTGCCAAGAATCCTACCGTCTGCACGCCAGGACCTGCACGCACACAGGAAAGAATGATAATGTCTTTTTCCTGTCCTTGGAACCCATCGACGGTATTGAAGTCTACTTTTCCGATGATCTCCCGACCGAATCGTTGCTCGAAAGCACGTCGAAGGGAGAAGATTTGCTCGCGATACATGGAGACCACGCCGACCCGAAAGTCGAAGTCTACGGACGAAAACTCTTGGCGAAGACGATGGAACAAAGACACGGCGATCCTGACTTCTGCGGTGTTCATGTACGAGTGAGAGGAGCCTTGCGACTCTTGTCCGTTAGTGACGTTAAAGAAGCGATAGGTTCCGAACTTTGGACTCGTATGCCAGGGTCTTTTGGTCTTCTCTACCATGCCGGGACCGTCCTGGAGTCTCCCATTATAAAAGAGGGCGCTAGGCAACTGGCTGATGTCAGGATGCATACGGTATTGAATGCTGGAAAAATATGTCACTCAGTCGCTGAAGGAAAGTAAAGGTGTGTAAGGAGATGTACCTGAGTAGGTGCACGGCATCGGGGCGATGTTTTTGGAGACGAACGAACAAGGACTGGTTGTACATGTACTTGCTTGCTTCCATGGAAATGACAGTCGGGGGCAGCTGTTGAGGATCTGTGCACATAAACTGGTCAGCATCACGACCCTACGCCATACATAGGGTTCACTTGCCTCCAACCATTACGATGCGTGAGCTGCGATACTTCAACGGGATTAACGAACTCAGCTCAATCGCTTGAGCGGCTTCGTCAATTATGATCATGTCAAAGTCAAGCTGCTCCAACAGTTCATGGCCTGTCCCCGACAGCGTACTACAAATCACGTCCGCATCCAAAAGAACCTTCAGGCGGTATTTACGACGGTTGGCATCCAGAGTTCGTCGGTCAGATTTCTGCTGGTCTCGTAGGCGGTCGATCTGCTGGCTCAGGTTTATGCGGCGCGAGTTGAGTTTCTTGATCTCGTCATCCAACGCAAGACTCCTCGCAGTATTATCATGGAGAGAGGCGAGTTCCTCCTGCTTCTCCCTTTTGGACTGCTTCACCGACTCCAGCTCGGTCCGCAGGAGGGTGAGTTCGCCACCCGACTCCTTAGAAGACTTCTGCTTGGAAGCTTCGTTGGCCTCCAACATCTGATCCACGAGGTTGTCCAGGGATACGTCCTGTACGCTGATGTTGATGGCTTTTGGGGCACCAACCCGAACGACATTTGGAACACGACCTTTACGACCAGCGCCGGACTCTCCTTCCTTTAAGCGATGAACCACTTCGTCGATAGCAGCGTTACTGGGAGCGCAAAGAAGGACTTTCTTGGGTGGCACCTTGTCGGCTGGCCCTGACGATCTGCCAACTTGAATGTTCGTCGCGGTCTTTCGTTTCGACAGGAACGCTTGAACGAGAGCACAAATAGTGGACGTCTTTCCTGTACCAGGAGGCCTGTGCATGGTTAATAAGAAAAAGGCTTAAACGAGTACTTCATACTCACCCTTGGATCAACGAAATGCCCTCAGTGCGCATGACGCTGGCAATGGCCACCGCTTGCGGTTCGTTGACGTTGAATTTAGTCTGAGTCGCTTGCAGTTCATCGCTGTCGATGAAAGGCTTCATGGCGAGTCGTGGTCTCAGGATGACATCAGCGAGATCATAGAACTCCATCGCTACCAGAGCGGCATACTCTCGATGGAGCGTACTCAAACTGTCGAGGAAATCCGGATCAGGTCAATCGCGAATAAGTACTAAGCTAAATTTACCTGAAAGCCTTCGAAATGCGCCATGTAGAGCCAGGGTTCAGACCGGGGTCGACTGTCCCGCCTCCCAAGTAGCATCGTACGGTCACTTGAAGGGATCGTTCGCCAAAATGGTTCGCTTTGAAGTTCTGGACTTTTCCCAAGATAATTTTGTCGGAGTTAGGAAGGTACAGACGGACGATGTCGGTGTCAATGAGGAACCAGTTGCTGTCCACGCCTTCAGTGATGGAGATATCGATATCCAACCAGTCGTCGATGTGTTGCCGGGAGGATATTTTACATTCAAACGCCTCTTGCTGCTCTTCCTTCGATTGAAGTAACTGTGCCCAACATTCGAGGACGAGCAACGGCTCAAATATTCGGCGATAATGAGCGTGATCGGTAAAGCGCTCGGGTATGGCCACTAAAAACGGACACTGCTTGTTTGACGGTGGGTCAGGCTCTGAATGATTCCAAGACCATGACAAGATAGTGCGATGCAGCTGCGAGATGTCCGGCTTCATACGCATGGCTATCCGTCGTGCGTCCTCCCGCTGGTTTATACGTTCCTGCATAGGATTCCTCGCGTTCGTCCTCATATTCATGAGCTTGACCTGGCGCCGTTCAGCAGGCTTCTTGATTTTAGGTGTACGTCGAATCTCGTTGAGCGCTGCAAACCCTCCGCCTCCATCACTGTCATCGCTCGAGTCGTCACTCGCGTCTTCTCGAGTTGGCTTCGCATTCTCTTTCTTCGTGCTACTCTCAACCTTGTCTACGCCCTTCGTGACGGGAACGTGAAGTTTGGGGAAGGCAGCTGACGGGATGGCCGCATCGTCGAGCTTCTTCTGGTCGCGTCCGCCAAAGAATCGAGAGGTCGACGCGGTAGGCTTTGTGAGTTTTTGTTGGATAGCGGAAGAGATGGAAGGTGTAGCAGAGCTGCTGCTTCCTGGACTCGACTTTCGGGAGCCGGTCTTGGCTACAGCAGCGGCGGGCGCTGGGTCCTTCGAAGTGGATGCATGGGCATTCTTTTCTTTGGACGTCGATGGAGCAGGAGTATAGGAGACCAACTCGATCTCGTTGTCGTCGTCGAAACCAGCAAGGATGGACTCGAGCTTTGATACGCGTGCGGAATCAAGGCGGGTCTGAGGTCTATCGAGTCTGGGATTCCGTTCCCTCTCGCGGGCATCACTGACCATCCTCGTGAGCTTCTTGAGGATCTCCTCGGTCGGTGTAACGTCCATGTTTCGGAACACATCGAACAATGTCTCCAGCAGGGCGTAGGATTGATGCAAAAGTTCCTCGTCCGTCAGGCGCAGCCATTTGGTGAGCTCGAAGAGTACAGACTGTAACGCAGCGATCATTCTTTTCCCCGGCCGTGAGATCTTGCTCGATTGGGCGTTGTTTCGAGAAAATTTTGGATCTGAATGATAGACTGCCGCGGACTCGAAAACCCTCCACTGGGCGAGCATGTCGCGCCCGAATATGAGGGCGTCTCGCATCCATACGATCATGTCCTCCGGGTCAAACCACTGCGACCATGATGGCGTCTTCTGGAAGATGTTGGAAAGGGCCTTCGACATGAGACTCCAAAGTTTGGGTATGTTGGCGGCTGGTCCGGATCCTTCGTCTCGCTTGAGATATCGCTCGTCAAGGAGCAAGCCATCCGGGCTCGCACACAAGACTTCAATGACGTCTGTCATGCACCGCACGAGGGCCTTGGAAAGATCGCAAGCCTCAGGGAGGACATCCGTGTACTGTGTGAATGTCGTTAAAGAGTCGAGGATACCGGTGAATGAAGGATCGGGAAGACGCTTGAGCATCGCTCGAAAGCAGTCGACCCGGACGTCCGTGTCGTAGGCTTGGCCGACCAAAGTCTGAGCGCCGGATTGAAGATCTTCCACAGGGCAGAGCATGAGGATGATGATGTCCTTGGCAACGTTGGGGCGACGAAAAAGCTCTTGGACGGCGGAAGCAGGATTGTAGTTCGCATACCTGGAAACCGCGTCGGAAAATCCGGTGTGAAAAATGTCGAGTGCTCGATTGACTTCATCGAATGCGGCTTCTGCTGAAGGAGAGGGTTTCATAGGCTTCTCTCCTTTCTTCTGCGAAGCCGCAAAAGGCGCCTTGTGCAGCTTCCCCAGATGTGCAGAGGGAGCTATGATGTCGATCAGCATAGCTATCCCGTCGGTGTCTGTGGCATGTATACTATCGTATGTCTTCTTCCACAACTGCCTGCGAACAACAGGAGGCGTGCTGAACCCCTTGGGATCGAGGTAGGATCGTGTGAGCTCGGTGATAGTCGAGGCCACACGCTTGACATCCGCCTTCAGTGCCGTCGAGATGAGTTCACGAATTACAGTGCGAGCGCTGGCCCACTTTGGATCGTTATATGGACGTGAAAACGCGATCGTTGTGAGTCGGTCAATGTGAATATCCAGGACGTTGAGGACGGCAGCGCGCTGGTCTCGAGCGGTCTCTTCGTCGCACATGCGTAGAACGGAACGGAAAAGCTGTGGCGAGGGTCAATACAATTGCACAAAAAAACTCGATACACTACATACCGAACTTGCTGCCGACATTACCACAGGACGTGCTTCACCAAACCGCTCGTGCTGGAGCTCTTCGCAAAGAAAGTCGACCATTTTCGCGAATGTCGTAGAGAATGAGGGCGACGACCAAATACTTTTGATGTAATCTGAAAACCAGTACAGGTACCACTGCTTGTCCTCGGTTCGTGGTACGCTCCGTACTCTCTCCACGTATGATGAGTTGTCCTTAATGGCATCGAAAATTACTTGTGGATAATCCGTAGCTTCGTACTTCCACAAGTCCGTTTCCAAGCGTTTCAGGAGATACAGAAAACATCGAAGGACGCTGGAGAAGTCTGCGCGACGAGAATGATTACCACATGTACAACAGGGGTGAAGCGAGAGTTGTGTCAAACAGGAGGCATGGCAAAGAAGAAGAGTAACTAACGTGGACCAGTATCATGCAGGTGTCCAGCGATGAGACGTCGAACATCGAGCTTTGTCATTGAACCACGTTGAAACAATTCCGGTGGCGAGAAGCGCATGAATTCAGAGAATGCCTGCCAAGTGACCAGAGGATCACTCGAAAGATATTCTGATTCCTCTTCACCCAAAGTGGAATCTGATGAAGCTGACAACACTATCGGATGTGAACCGCCTTGAGAGGCGAGAACCCCAGAAAGTATCTCCAGGATCTTGATGTACGGACGCACGAATAACTCCTTCGCTATTGGTCGTACGCGACTTTGAATCAAACGTGTAGAAGCCCATCTTCGCACATCCTCGTTCCGGTGTAATTGAAGGTAGAACAGACCTGGAGGTGGCGGGTCTGTCGGCCAGTCGGGGAGCGAAGATGGTAAGTCCCGTTTGTCGAAAATTGCAAGTATGCGTGGATCTCGTAGGATGTGGAGGTTTGAAAGGGCATGATAGATGACTGGTGGATGGGCTTCAATGGAAGTGGTGGTGTTGGAGATACGTGGGAGGATAAAACCGAGCTCCCAGTCATCGAATTTGAGCATAAAGTCTTTCAATACATCGGCCGGGAAAGCACTCAGATATCTGGCAAGTCCAATCATTGTGGTGCATTCGTCAGTATAGAATGAGCACTGCACGTACGTTTGTTCCGATGTAAGCTTCGCAAGCTGACCACCACGTACACAACCACAGCACCCTTTGAAGACTAGCTGGAGTCGTTGCTTCCATTTCTCTACTCCACCACTGTCGTAGGCAAAGAGCCTAAGGAGAAAGGTGGCGGCCTCGAGCGCGATTGGGTCCGCCTTTTCGCAAAACCAGTGAAAGAGACCGTCGGAGGTATGAGCGGGTATGGACATAAGGTACTGGAATATGGGCAGCAAGGCGCGCTCCGTTTCGTCATTCGTGTCCAGTGGGTCATCGCGAAGTTTCGTCAATAATTTGTCGATGTCTTGGGGGTCTGATGGGCCACGAGTGGCCATGATAAAAGAGTAACAGTAGAAGACGACGTAAAGGGAGCACAGAGGACAAAATACAACGAGTGATTAAGTATTCGCTGGGGCGAGGGGATGAGGATGGATGATGGTCGGAAAAACAAAACCTGCTATGACTGGACGCGCGCAAAGGCCCGCGTGACAGGAAGCTCGCGTCGAAATTGAACGCGTCTGTGACGTAACGCGACTCGCTTCCCCTCTTCGCTGCTCTCATGGATCCAGAGGACCTCACACACATAAACAATCTGCTCGACCATGATGCTGACTTGCGAGAGGTATTGTTTCATTGTTTCATGGAGGATTGGGCAAGGACACGTACTCAGGGACTCATTTTATACCGTTCCCAACACAGAAAATCAAGGACCATGTTACAGACTTTGACAAGAAGTCGAGAACGATGGTCGGCTTACTGAACAAAATACACTCGACACGGTCGTCAGATAGTACGGCACCATCTTGAGCATCTTACCATTGAACTTAACAAATCCTTTACGCCATCTCTGCAGTTCCGCCTCTGCTTGATACCGTCCGTCCCGTGTTGCACTCATGCCGAGAAACTTCCGCCGCCCTTGCCGATCTAGTTCCTGCTGACCAGTTCTGGAGATGGAAAGATATGTGGAGCATGTCTCTACGACAATCTGTGTTCTCTGCTATCCTTATCGAATACCTCACGAATGGCACGCTACTCTCAATGGCGGTGACCAGCGACCAACTGGGCAGTAGGTATTTCAATCAATCTCTGTCCCACACACCTAAGATCAATTTATCGTGGCTCGTATAAAGTTCGAGGAGAGTGGAAGGATAGATTCGTGCTCAGCGTCGAGGATTATCTTCACGGGGTTATCACTATGGTCAATGAACTGGTACGATCCTCTCTCGAACTCAACCAGTGTTCTAACAGAATGTTCAAGCCGAGCATACAGTCACGATTTGCCGTCAACGCCGTCACTTTAGGAGACTTTGAAGCTCCCATCAAGATCTCCATCTTCGTGAAGGATCTTTTCGCAGGCAAGTTATGAGACCAATGTTATAATAGGTTCACAATGCTCACCTTGAAGCTGACGCTATCTCGGCAGGCTTCTCCATGGTATGTGCCTTCACCCTTTCATAATTGTGGCAGTTGCTTACGATCTTTTCTGTAGCTTAACCTGAAGAACGACACGCTTCGCCGCCGATATGATAGCCTGAAGTACGACATCAAAAAGATTGAGGAAGGTCAGAGTATACTGTCCTCCGGCCATTTTCCACTACCCACAACTTGTCTTTGCATCCAGTCGTATACGACGTTTCCCTCAGGAAACTGGCCTCACCACGAGCAAAAGACCCAGCGACGGGCGCTGAAAATTAAGACCGACCATGTACTGTATCATCTGCTCCCAGTCACCCAGTGTAGCCGTAGATTCCAGGAATTGCTGTCGCATGACGAATATGTTGTTTTGAAGATCGATAGGATAACGGATGAAGGGGGATATGAATGAATCGTGCGCGAAGAATGTATGAGTGGAAAGTATCGATGAGGGCTGCTAGCACTTTCGCCGAGAGCGTATCCGCTTTCCATTCTGTACCGACGGTCCTCGCCTATACAACCATGAGTATGCATGCCCAGAAGCGAGGACACCATACAGAACTCACCCTCTAATCGTCTTTTTGGGCTGCACTTCGTGTGCGAACGTTTCTGGGTCTTCACCCAACCGGTACTTCTGCAAAGCCCACAGAAGATACCTTCCGCGCGTTGACAAAGTTAGACTCGGAAACAACACGTTGGAACCGTGGCTGACAGACGCACCTGCGATCCTGCACAGCCATGCCGCTCTTCTTGAGCTTAAGTCCATCAGAGTTCCACATCTCATCCCAGCTCTCAAAGGTTATTTTGCTGTCGCATGAGCGTCCAATGGCCTTGAGGAAGTCCTCCGAGGTCGCTATGGATCCTGCTTCAGTATATCCGCTTCAGTGAACGTTCAACCATCACATTTGGCAAAGACGAAGACCTCTTGGCGGCGGCACTGTAGCAGAAGCTGCTGACGTAGCTAGTGAGCGCGATAATGAAGGGAGAAAAGAGCGAAATCGCGAAGCTAGAGCGGAAGACATGGTATGGCAGAGTCGGAAACGCGCCTCACTCTGCCACTCAACAGGCTCACAACTTGTCACGGTCACATCGTGACTCACCACGTAATTGTGATTGTCACAGTAAGAACGATCTGCGGAGATTAAAGACACCGACTCACTCTTTTGACCCCCACGGACACGAAACTGGACCAAAAGAATTCAGTCAGTAATCTCCTGTCCTGTGGGTGATTATCCACCTATGCTTTAACGAGGCACCGCTAATAGATTTTCGAGCAGACATGTCGCAACCGCCCCTCCCTGTCAAGAAATCGCTGGGAAGCTGCTCGAATCCTTCCTGCGCTTTTTTCTTTCAAATCTGCCACAAGGCCCCTAAAAAGTGTTCGAAGTGCAAGTGGGTACTTATAACATTAATATTGTGTAACGAGTTGCTGACGTATTTATGATGATTTTGTGCTTCACAGATCAGTTCAGTACTGTGACAGAGTTTGTGTCTTCAGTTTGGACATCGGCTATCGGGATGGGTGGCTCATTACACATTATCATCTAGGCATGCCAACAGGCACACTGGAAAGAACATAAAGAGTTCTGCGCCGTATGGGCACAATCCACGTCCGAGAACCCCGGAGGCATCACCATCCAAAAAAATCAAACTGAAGATAGCGCATCTCATCTGGCTCGTAAGTCAGAACAAAGGTCAGCTTGATGGTAGTTCAACGGTCTGACGTTTTTTTTCTTCTTTCATAAGGTCAGAGGCCTCACCGAGTATACCGACTACCTATGGAAAGAGTACGACTTCTTCATAAGCCACGATGACGAACGTCGACGCGGTTTCATGGAATTCCACTTCACCCGCTGGGAACAGCTCTTCGCCGCCATAGACTTCATCGAATCCCTCCCCGTCACCGAACAGCGACCGTTTCGAGCTCTTCCAGGGAGCCCGAGCTACCTGCACGACGGCTTCGATCCAGAAACGCGTAGGGGATTTATCATCGAGGGCAAAGAGCCAGAGGCGCAGATGATCGATATTCGCAAGGTGCCCCGAATAGGAAGTTGGACCTCGCGAAGAAGGTGGATCAGTACATGCATCCGTCGACGAATGAGACCAGGAAGAGCTTGCAGACGTCGCTGGACATTGCGTTGCCGTATAAGGATGTGTTCGTCATCTCGGTGTCTGTGGACTTGACGGGCGATTATACGACGAATTTATACGACCTGTATTATCGCGGGTTGAGCTGGGCGCCGGAATGAGACTTGTAGAGCACGGATCGATAGTAAATAATGAATTTCTTGGCCACTTTTCGAGACTATCATGGTGTACGTCACGATTCGTTCCGTATTGTTGTAGGCCCCACGCATTTGATGTCCTATCGCAGACCTGTACCAGTGGTGATCTTCCAACGAGACCCTCAATATTTACACCGAAAAAAAAACAGTGCTCAATAAATAATCCATCTAACCCATCACCAACACGGCTAGCACTAGAACACGGGCGCATCCCGCAAGAACAACCGCGACTCCTCCTTCTTCACCCATCGCGCCACTGAATTTGCGGCGTGGATCGCCGCGCTCTTAGGCATCCAGGGAGAGAGGGTGATGTACAGCTCGAACGGCTGTGTGATCTACGTGAAGGTAGAAGCACATAGAGGGAAATTTAGTGTATGTCTGACGAGTGCGGGTGTGAATAGGTGAAGTTTGAAGAGGCGTACCCATCCCATAACGCTCTCCTTCTGCGTCTTAATATACTGCAGCTTCAAAGGTGTCTCTTGGCCCGACTTCGCATGTATATTGTCATGCAAAATCTGATACAGTGTGATCAATCTACCAAAGTTCCGTCAGCATTCACATCTTCATATACGTCTAAGCAGTGAAGGAGGGGAAAAGCTCCTTACCGTCGCTGTTCGTTGTCGGTATCGTACGGATCCTCATAGACGGGCACCGTGATTTGAACATGCGCCCTCGACTTGTATATGAAGTGACGAAGACCAGGGATGCTTAGCTCCGAAACAGAGTATTCAGTGGCGCCCGTTCGGATAGAGTCGAGAATGGTGCCCAGTGTCCCGTCTCCATCGAGTTTCTGGCGCCCAAAACGTGTTGAGAGGAGCAAGATAAATGTATGAATAAAATATCACGATACCTTATAGACAGTGTCACACCACGTTCGTACGGACTCGAAGTCTCCATTTCCACTAACACAGATCAAACACACGGACGAAGGATCGGTGGACTCGTTCACTAATGAGTCATCGTCCTCGGGCGCTGTCTCTTGACGATCGTCTTGTTCTGGTGGCTCGACCCCCTCGGGGACCGTCCCTTCTGCAGAGAGGTCATTCTCGGGTGGGGGTGTCGGAGGCTGAGGTTGTAGGAATGTGATGTAGGCATTAACGAAGGCTGAAGCGTCGAACTTGGGAAGACACATGGGCAACCAAGAGGCCGAGGCCGAAGAGTTGACGATGGAGGGTGAATGTGCTGTGTTCATCAATATGTGAAGGTCTAGAGGGTGAAGTCAGTAAGAGATCCTGATAGTATAGCGTAATGAGTTACCTGCTGGGTGTATAGAGTGTTTCCTTGGTCGTACCAAAGTGATCACCCGGCCACGACCAATCAAGATGATATATAGCAAGTCCTGGGTGCATGGTCAGCTCGAGTTCACCTGTCAAAGAGGCCGAGTGGTGGCACCTTCATGCGTGAACTAGGCAGAAGCGCGCTCGCCACGCGCGATCTCAGGCCAGGATCCATGCGAAGACAGTGCAATGACGAAGTACTCATAGCCAGGTCGTCTTGTACGCGGTCCAGCATGGAGTGAATGAGTATCTCAGCCCCTAAAACCCATTCTTGTCAGTTCATCTCGTCGTGTCGCTCGTTTAAGCGGTGTACCATTCAATAGCCGACCCAGGTCGAAGTTCGTCCGGCGTTCGAATATACGTCTTAGCTGCCCTCCAGAAACGATGCTTAGGACTTGAAGATGCAGGTACTCCAGATGTGATCGTGTCTTCCTTTTTCATAATCAGCGATTCCCATTCTTTGTAGGCCATAGGTAGAAGATACGATTTGACACATACTGACCACGGACTCGGGTTCGCCCCAGGAAGAAACGGAGGCGTAGTAGATCGGCGACCGTACTAAGAAGTTAATGCGCGTCTTGCCTGCGTTTATGCACCGAAGTTTATCTCGGTCGTCGAGGAAGACAGATATGAGGGCCTGCATGATGCCGATGATATTGGCCAACTCATCCGGATCCCGCGACATGGAGCGACTGTGAGTAACCGTCAGCGGTGATTTTAGTGTTATGACGGTAAGGATAAGGGGTACCTGTTAAAGACAGGCTTTCCAGCATCTGTAAGAACGAAATACTGCCGCGGAGGATATGAATCCGCTGGGCCACACATGCCCGGGTTGAGCGTTCTGAATGTTCACGTTTAGGTGAAAGCTCATACCAATCTCAACAGATTCTTCCTCAATATCAGCCGCCTTCTGGCTGCGACGTGACCGAAAGGATGCGCTCATGTCTAACGAACTTGATATGAGTATGCGTACGAGAGCTTCTATCTCTGTGCTGACCATTTGGAGAGTCCCTCGCGCTCAATGTCCGCCGTAGCTGATCCCTCAACGCTTTCTTAGATACCTCATCCTCTGCGGGCGACCGACGAAACCCAGCAATCGCCCCCGCCGCGTCCCCTTCGATGACATCGACCTCTGCATCGACCTCTGGAACGAGGATACCTTCGGTGACATTGATAACGGAAGAAGCAGAGCTCTGTACGCCTGAGCTCGGAATGGATTGCATATGGTGTTGTGGGGGTTTGGGGGAGGGAGATGATTGGACTTGGAGGGATGAGATGGAGCGGGTGGGTTTCGAAACGGAGAGGGTAGAGAGAGAGATAGGTTTGGGGGACGGTACGGGTGTGGGTGAGCGTGATGGTGTCCTAGAAGGAGGAGCAGAGTTGACCATCGTCGTTCCTTCCAGTGGTCCAGAGCAAGTCTCGAGGACCAGACTCAAAAATCGAAGGACAGTCGTTCTTCTCTACTCTAGAGCATACGTCCAGATACGTCCTCGGTAGACGTTGAACGTGAGCGTGGGTGGCAGAGTTGAGTAAGGTGGCGTAAGGGGCGTGCCGCCACAGTCACCCAGCGCCACGAGCGTTCAAGTCCGCGATGCGAATAACGTTTGCCTCCGCACTCTGCTCTCCCCATGAACCAACATGTCTCTCTTCCACCAGAGGCTCGTGGAGACCCATGGTTCGAGGATGGTATGCCTTTCGTTTCATTAATCCGAGAAAAAGCGCGATATCCTCATCTGTCACTCGTTGGAGACTAGGAAACATCGTCCTCATTGCAGCCTCGCCGAACGCGGAGGATACGACGAAACAACCCGTGGCATTCAGAGTCCATCGCGGCGTCCTCTCTAGACACTCGGAAATATTTCGCACCATGTTCCAGATGCCTCAGAATCCGACCGATGCGGAAATGCTTGACGGTTGTTTTGTCGTGCGAATGTACGATCTTCCCAACGAGCTATCCAGTCTCATCAAAGCTCTATACGACGGGGTGTGAGTCTCACTCTCCACCTGTACGACCTTACATCTCCATTGACATCATCCAGTGCATTTTCCCAACGTAGTGCCGAGGATTTCTTCCTCCTGGCTGGAATCCTCCGGCTCGCATCCAAATACTTCATCCCTTCTCTCCGTCTTCAAGCCATCCGTTACCTGACCCAAACATGGGCCCATACCCTCCGTGGCCACGACACAATGGTCTCCACTGCACTCTCCTCTCCAGAAATTGACGGCATGACCTACCCCTACGTCCACCCCTTACACGTCCTCAACCTTGCCCGCGAAGTCAACGTGCAGATCGTCGTCCCCTCAGCACTATACTTCCTCTCCATCTACCCCCTCACCGATCTCATACGAGCAGACCATCCGAAACTACGCGTCGAACATCCTTCACGACCGTCATCGCAACTATCAGCGCAGGACATCCGCGACTACACGCTGATGTATCAGCACCGGATCAACCTCCTTCTCGACTTCATCCGCGAGACTTGCGCGAACCGACCTGCCAGCTCCGACTGCGAAAGAGCGCAGGATCACTCCCCGGATTCTTCGCAACAGTGCAGGAAGAATTTTTCTCGATTGGCCCATTACAGCTATCAGGCCTTCTCGCCCCGTGCAGGACCGTTCCATAATATGGATCAGGCGGTGAAGTGGGCGGAGACGGACTCGACGCTTTGTTCGCGGTGTCAGCGTGCGTTTCGGACGGACGTCACGGCTTTGAGGGAAAGGTTGTGGACTGAGCTGCCTAGGATCGTTGGATTGCCTGGATGGGAGCAACTGGAGGAGATTGATTTGGCGCCACAGGCATCGTTTTGAGGATCAGGATTCAGAGCGCTGTTCTTTCATCTATTTTTATTTACCCTTTGGAAGAGGGTCACATTATAATCATAAATCCTTCTTGGCTAATTCATGCATCAGTCATTGTGTAACGACCCACGAGCAGTCAGACGGAACTTAGGTTGAAGTTTCCCTGAAGGTCGGTCATTCGTCCTTACTTTCACGCTATAGAGGAGCATGAATCGAAGATGTTAACGATGACTTGGCGATAGGACTCGCGGATTCAGGATGTTTCTCAACGACAAAAACGGTGTGCATTCTATCAAACATCAATCACACACGAGCCACGCTAGCAAGCCAAACCCAGTCCAGCAGGCATCCTCTTCCGCCTCCTCGGTCTCCCTGATCTCTCCGTCCTCTAAGCGTGAGCCTCAGCCTCAGTCTTGTCATTGTCGTTGCTCTTCTCCGGCGCTTTGACATCGACAGCGGCGGGATCGTCACGCCTTGAGACCTGGTCATTGCTGGAAGGTTTGACGTCGGTGTCGGTGTTGCCCGCCGGGGTGCTGACACCTGTAGACTCGTCGCGGGTGTCGAATTGCTTGTCGTTCGAGGGCGCGACATCGGTGTTGCTGTCTCCCGCCGGGGTGTCGACGCCGGCTCCAGCAGGCTCATCGCGAGCCTTGACATTATCCCCCTTTCCTGCCACGTCCGTCTCTCCCGCCGGGGTGTTGACGTCGGCGTCAGCGGGGTCGTCGCGGGTGTTGACCTCGTTATCTTTGTGAGGAGCTACGTCGGCGTCGCTGTCGCCTGCTGGGGTGTTGACATCGGCGCCAGTGGGGTCATCGCGAGAGTTGAGATCGTTGTCTTTGGGAGGTGCGACGTCGGCATCGCTTTTGCCTGCCGGGGTGTTGACATCGGCGTCAGTGGGCTCATCGCGTTCGTCGAGATCGTTGGGAGATGCGACGTCTGCATCGCTTTTGCCAGCTGGGGTGTTGACATCGGCGTCAGCGGGCTCATCGCGAGAGTTGATATCGTTGTCCTTCGAAGGTGCGACGTCAGTGTTACTGTCTCCCGCCGGAGTGGCGACGTCGGCGCCGGTAGGCTCGTCGCGAGCGTTGACGTCCTCGCTCTTCCCTGGAGTAGCTTCCGTCTTGGCCGCTGGGGTGTTGACATCGGCTTCAGTAGGGTCGCTGCGAGTGTTCATGTGGTTGTCATCTGCGGGTGCGACATCGGTGTTGCTGTCGCCCGCCGGAGTGTCGACCTTGGCACCGGAGGGTTCGTCGCGAGTGTTGATATCCTTGTCCTGTGAAGGCTTGACGTCGGCGTCACTGTTGCCGGCGGGCGTGGCAACGTCTGCACCGGCAGGCTCGTCACGCCCGGACATGAGCGTGGGCGCGTCGCCTGATGGAACGTTGTCAAGGACGGCGGGCTCATGAGCGGTGGCAGTCGAGCTGGAGGAACCGGGCTGCGGTACGGCGACGTCTCTGCGAATGCGGTGATTGAAAATGTCAGACCGTCGAGTACGAGGTACGGAGGAAGATGTCTACTCACGGGTTGTTTGAACCCGCCACAGGAGCGCCAGCGTAGAACGCGTTTCTGGGGCGTGAGTGGTGTTAGTCTGGAGTGCAGTACAGAACGAACGGAAATCAACATACCCGCCACTGTTGGCGCCAGCACTAAAGGTGGAAACTATGAGCTGAAAATACGAGCCAGCAGATAATGAATTGTACGTACTCCGCAGGTCCGGGACCGTTCCTGGTTTCGACGGCGTTGACGTGGTTCATACCTATGAGGAACGAGTTAGCTAAACTCGCGCGTGGCACGAAGGGGGGAGCGAACGAGACGAGGCCTACCGGGAAAGGCTGAGGCTGCAGACCTAGAGTTCATAGTCATCAACGGGCTAGCGCTAACGATAGCAGCGGAAGTGACAGCGAGGAGAGCAGCGGCACGCATGATGAATTAGATAGTTAGTCGGGGAGAGTGCTAGCGTGTGTAGAGATGTGTGGTGGCGGCAAGGCGAGTCGTGGGGAGGTAAGTTCTCGCTGCCTCTGGCTTATAATGCCCTCTCGTGATACTCACGACAGTTGAACATTGATCGAAAGATAAACGGCGGGAAAACGACGGGATCGACTGCAAGTTCTCGGTGGCGGGGACAAGATTGAACCTTAATCTTTAACCACGTAAGTTTCATTCTCCGCTACCCGTCGCGGAGTTTTCCGCTACACTGCTTTCGAGAGTGCTTGACAGGGACTGCATAGGATCCTATATTTATTGTTCAAGTATTTCTCAATGTTTTCTTGACGTTAATCTTGTTCTTTCGACGCTCTCGCCAAGTCGTCGAGTGTTGGTCCACATGTGAATGGATGCTTACCGACGAGATACTTCCGTCGCCTCCGTCTGCTTCACCCCGACTTGGTCTGCCCATTTGTATGTTCGCCGCTCGATGGACTGCCAGAAATCGAGCGCGCCCGCCTCTGTCAAACCTTGAGCTCTCGTTTCGGTAACCATCTCCTCTTCTGGCTTTTCTTCGATGTGACGTCCCTCTTTGCCTCTTTGTGACATGTCCCGCCCACATCCCTCCTCGCGGTATATAAGGGCCCTCGAGTGCGACCACGTTCCTCCAGGATCCGCCTGTCGAGCCGCCCACATTTCTATCACCGCAATATCACTTCCCCTTCCACTGCAACTTTTTCCGGACACTCTTTTCACCACTATCCTCAACCCCACATCTTCATCGTCTTCAACATGCGTGCTGCTGCCATCCTCGCCTTCACCTCCGTCGCCCTTGTCAGCGCCAGCCCCTTAATGGGAGTCTCTGGGATGCCTGCCTCAGCTGACAACGCCGTCAGCTCCGGCTCTGCTGCCCCCGTCACCGGCTCTGGAGGTCACGGCGCTGCTGGTTAGTTTTATGCCTCATGCCCTTCTCTTTTATGACCTTGTTCTGACTTTGCATGTCTTTGCGCACTCTTTCTTCCGTTTTAGGCGCGGGCTATGTCAACGCCGCTTCTCACAATAGCCACAACTCCAGAGACTGTGGCGCTCCCCCTCCCTCTAACAACGATGGCGGGAACGGTAATGGCAACAACAACGGCGGGAACAACGGAAATGGTAACAACGACGGCGGGAACAACGGAAACAACGGGGACGACGGGAACAGTGTAGACCCCAGCAACTTGCTTGCCTCCTTCTTTCCTTCCGACTCTGGCTCTGGCTCTGGGTCCTCCGGCAGCGGGTTAGTACTACCAACCTCTACTCTCACATCCTTCTCGTATCCGTTTTCTTGGCGTTCACTTACACGACAATATTTCTCATTGCAGGAACAACGGCAATGGCGACGACTTGGCCGATGTTGGGTCGCACAACGGCGAGAACTCGGGTGGCAACGCTGATGCCGCTGCAGGCTCGTTCAACCCCTCAACTGACCCCACGTGAGCAGCCCCTTTCGCGTAGCCTTTCACCCCGCTGATCTTACCTTGTTTCCTCCTTCCCATCCAATTTTTTTTTCGTCTTAGCAGCATCCTCTAAGGCGCCTCCTCATGCGGTCACTGTGTAATCGCTCGATGTTGTATGTCGGTTCGACGTTGAAGACTTTGGCTCCGTTGTGGTGTGGTGTTACTTCGTCTGTAGTTGCGTCTAGTGGAATGGAATCGTGTCTATTGTGACGATCCGGAGCTTCATTTCGCTCTGTGCGTGATAAGTGGCTCAGTGAGAGTTCCAGAAACATCGGAGGCGGTGCGGCTCGGTTTGGTGAGAAGGATACTATTTGGCAGTGGTAAAAAGGGAGACAAAGGAGAGCGAAACCTGAGCAAGGAACACGAAAGCGAGATCGGCGTCAAGGTCACTTTGAAGGTCAGAGCCAATGCGGTTTCGACGATATTTCCGGGAGTCCTACTGCTCGCTGTGATGCTCTAATGAGTTATCTCCTCCCAGACGAGTTGGCGACATCGACCAGACGCGTCTTCGAAGTTTATGCACGTGCTGAGGTACCTTCAAGAAGATAATTGTCGAGATGTCGGGAGAATTCGAGCTTCTTTCCAGAGGGATACCATTGATACATCGAGGTTGCTTTCATTTCTACACGGATATAAACACAGTTTCCCTACGATAGAGAAGCGCCCACAAGCGAAGGCGCCGTGCACACTGCGTCTTTCGTCCGGATCCGATGAACACTCTTCGTTGTGGGGTTCACCCATGCGGCTTCTCGTGAGTCGAGCGTGATGAAGCCTAGGGCGTGAAAAGGTTAGAAAAGTGAGGTTGAAAAACTCGCGTTCGGTCTCGAGTACAGGTCAGGGATGGTCGGGGGAGTATCGTACCTGGTTGAATCGTTTCGAAGATCTTTTTCTTCGGGTTGAGTTGCGAAAGGGGAGTAGCGTCTAGAGGAGTATTCGAGACGTGAGGGGGATATGGCCAAACATTTCAACTAGGGTACGAGGAAGGATAAGGATAAAGACGCACTCTCGAAGTCGGCACCCTCGAAGTAGATCCTCTCTCCTGGCTTAGAGTTCGGCGGTGGGTCAATGAGCTCGATGCCAGCTTCTTTGCCGTCTTTTGAGGTCGCCTGTTGCAGTGGCGGAAGAAGAAGGTGATAGGGTGAGTAAGAAGAAAATGATTTATAGATGTGAGGGACGCACGCAGAGAACCATGGCGAAACTTTTGACACCGCGCATGTTTGCGGGTTTAAGGTTGCACTGGTAGAAAGGAGGTCGGGGTTCAATTATAATACAAGTTGTTTTGGGTGGCGTGTAGTTTGGGAGGAGTGAGAAAGAGGCTTACGACGCCGACGAGCCATTTGTCCTGCATCTTCTCGATGGGGACGTAGTTAACGAGACCTGAAACTACGGTTCGGGGGCCGGTCTCTTCGCCAAAGTCGATTTGCTACCAATGCGGTCTTGGTGAGCATTCGGCAAATGCAAGAATGGCCGTAAGAGCACTCACCTCGACGTAGAGACCGTCGGCATCGGGATGCTTCTTGACTGAATGAGACCGCTCAGAGAGGAATGTAAGCTGGTTGGTGGTGCAGGCAAGGCTCACCATCGACAATATGTCCCACCCGTAAATCGATCATAGAAGGAACAGGTTCACCAGCATCTTCAGCAGGTGCTGCCGCCTTTCCTCCGCCTTTCTCCTTCTTCTTACCTTCTCCGTCTTTCGCCTTCGCCTGCGCGCCTCCCTCTTTCTTTTCTTTCTCCTTCTTTTCCTTCTTGGGCGCCTTACCCTGCTCAGTTTCAGCGGTCTCCGGCTTGCTCGTCGAACCTGTCGCAGCCGCCTCCGTGGGTGCAGCTGCAGCTGCTTTGGCGGCCTTGTCCTTTTTCTTGGGTTCGGGGGCTTTTCGTTCGATGGTGGGTGCGTTGGTAAAGTCTATAGAGACAAGAGAGAAGGCAGGAGATAGTTTCTCCGCAGATTTGCGGACAGAGGGACGGGATTGGATATGATCGAAGTAGCGGGTGAGGGCTGGGTGGGAGAAGTACTGTGGCGGCTGCAATTGAGACTGTCGATGGTGAAGAAACAGCATGAATAAGGGTGAATTCGAAGGACACTAGGAGAGGGAAAACATACGAAGGTGGAATGAAGCGCTCCGTAAAGTGCTGCGTCTGCGGCGGTAAAGTAGTTGCTAACTACATAGGTGCGAGGGACAAGTTGCGCATCGAGTTCCTATGGTATCAGAGTAAGGACTGGCTGGACTGCAGTCACTCTTCGTGCACTTGCCTTCAAATTTTCCGCTCTGGTGATATCTCCCTGCGCGACCTTGTCGATCCACTCAGCGATGTCTGCCTTTTCCTTCTCGGACTTGCCAAAGTCCTGACCTCCATCCTCGGTCGCCCCGATGACGAGATCGCGGAGAGGGGCCTGCAATTTTCCGAGGCTCGCTGCTGCAGACATTTTTCTAGAGAACAGCAATGGTAATCGATGGGGTAGACTTGGTGCTCTGTGATGCAGATGAAGAGAGAAAGTAAAGGAACGAGCGAATGCAAGCCGAGTCAAGGTGGCCATGTGGCGTCGAGAGTTTGAGGAGGATCAGATGGGCGGCGAACATCTTATCTTATCTTGCCGAGGGCCGTGCCGCGCCACCGCCGCTGCACGGATCTCAGGACGAAGTCGAGTGTGGCCCAGGGACAATCCATGATGATGTCTAGACAAATCACCATCCACTCTCAGCTCGAACGTTCGTCTCCTCCTTTGGTACTCTCCCTCAGACCACCACCACCTGCGCCTTGAAGCGACATGCCCGTCAAAGCTGCCTCAGCGCTCCCCATCATCCATATTGCCCCCTGGCTCGAAGATCACAACCACAAAGGCAGGCTCTCCACCTCTGCTGCCATCCACGCCGCTTGCCTTGAATACGGATTCTTCTATCTCGATATCTCGAGCTATATCGACCCACAAGAGCCCGAGGAGCTAGCCCGACTTGCACGCCAGTTTTTCTCGCAACCTCTGGAGGAGAAGAACAAGATATCTCTCAACCGAGAGGATCATGCCAGAGGTCTCTCCTGTTCTTTCTCTGCCTTCTGATGTGCCATCTACAACTATTTCTCAACGCTTATAGGGTATGCTAGACTTAATGAGAACGTCACCAACGGCAAGCCAGACAATCATGAAGGTATAGATTTCTACCGCCCTGTCGAGAGACCCGACAAGTCGAAGCCTCTGTGGGGCGAAAACCAATGGCCTGATATCCCTGGCTTTCGTGAGAAGTATGAAGCATGGGTGGAGAAGATGAAGAAGCTGGGCATAATTGTGATGGAGGCGTATGTATTTCTGCCTACTCGTATCATTCACTGGCATATGACTTATCGGCTCGCTCGGTATCATTTAGGATGTCCTTCGGCTTGGGCATGTCCCGCGAGGAATGGGCAGATCTCCGTGCTAAGGTCGACGATAGCTTTTGGGTTATGCGTGTCATCGGTAGGCAGAGACCATACGCCTTCGGGTCATTTCGTTGACGGGGTGGCAAACTCAGGGTATCCGCCACTTCCTAATGATCACGAAGGTTATTTCTGTGGCGCACACAGGTCAGGAATCCTTCGCGCTACGATATCACTAGCAGAAATAGCTCATTCGCATCATTTCTAGAGACTACGGTTGCCTCACGTAAACCTTGTCTTTCTCCACTGGCCTCATTTTACTCATTTCTGACCCCCCATCGCCCACACCCGCAGATTTCTCTGGGCTGATCCCACAGAAGATGCTCTCCAAGTGTTCTTGCCACAACCTGCAGCGGTTGTCGATGACGAAATCAACAACGGAATGCCCAAGGCAGAAGAGACACTCGAGCAAGGAGTCTGGGTATCTGCAGATCCGCTTCCTGGTTGCATAGTCTGCAACATCGGTGAAAGTGAGCATCGAATCCGTACCAAGCTTCCTATCTGACACAGCGGCGGTCGAATTGACTATTGCTCACATTGACTGTTCATTGCGAATGCGGATGTCTAGTGTGGGAGATCTGGACGAATGGCCTGTACAAGAGCACCCTTCATAGAGTCATCCATCAGGGAATGAACTATCGGTATATATACGCCGCCACTACTTTGCGTAGGTGTCTTTTCTAACCTTTCCCTCCTTCAATAAATTTCTCTCACAGGATCTCGTAAGTTCTTTTCCAATCCTACACCCTTACATTCTCCATTCATCTCCGGATATTCTGTCTCTCATACCGACTTCAAAATTTCCCTAGCATCCCATTCTTCTTCGAACCCAATTTCGACGCTGTTATCGCTCCTCTCGCAGCCGCTCACCGCATTCAGGATGAACTCCCCGGCGAGCACCACCTGAAGAAACGACAGAAGATGAAGACGTACGGCCCGACGAAATACGGCGACTTTCTCCTGCGCAAGATCGGCGGAAATTTCGCGAACGGGGGTGGGAAGGGCAAGTACGATAACTAAAGGTTGATGAGTGCGCATCCCTGGGTTTATGTCGCTGCCACTGCCATTTGAATGGTTCAGGTTTTTATGTCTCATTTGCTATACTTGGTGTTGTATGTTTTCGCGTTTTTCGGAAGAGGTTCAAACACGGTGTAGACAAGATCAGCTATATAACAGGGTTTATAGACGGTGGAAATATTGGGCTTAGTATATGTACTCTTAAGTGTTGTACAACAAGATACTTTACATATGTGGAAGAAAGAATCAAATACAAGTTTGTGGCGGAGGTTGCCCCTGTTTGGTCTTTGGATGACGTAATACTTCACGTTGAGACGGTTGATGCTGTTGATGCGCTTATTCAACGTTTCTGACCACTACTCTGGTGCAATTGGCTCTGGTTGCTTGCTCACAGTCATAAAAACCTGAAGAGCCATCGACTGTGTGAGTGACTCACTCGATGCAATGCCTGATCATGCTGCCTCTAATGCACATCAAATACAAATATAGGCATCTTGTTCGTAGGCGATCAGGTCCAGTACTACATATTCGGCTGGCATATTGGCACTGTACATCCATCCACCCGTCCTAGCAGTCTTGGGGACCTCATTGTAAGTCAGTTCTGTACCCTTTCACTCTGAGATTAACCTGAAACTATATTTTTCTGGACAAGCATTTGGACGTCACATCTGTACCTCTCAACTGGCCAACCCTCCTCAAAACCATGGATTATATCGATATGCCAGTCATACAAGTGTCGACGCCTACGACTCTTCATGTCTATATAGACGCCCCGCGCTTTCAAACGCTTCTACAGTACCTAGAGAGCGGAAGGCAATCACACCAGCATCTCCAACACATTCTCATATCCATGTTCACCGGATACGATTTGAATTCTCAGGAGCAGCTGGCACTCTACTCCCCCTGGACTGTCGGCACTAATGCCCAAACCTGGATCAATTCTCTCCTTCGATATTTACCCCCGTCAGTACAGACTTTCAAGGTGGACTGCCCGTCTAGCACAAACTACGGGAAGGCATTGTTCAATGCTATACAGGAGGCCACTGACGCTTCGGGTCGCCCATGGACAATCAAAGTACACAGGCTCATACTTTGGGGCCATAGGAACGACAAGGATCTCGTCGGGCTGATGTCACATTTCGAGAATGTCCGTCAGTTTTACCTCGCACTCAGCGGCCGTGATGGCAGGCGGGCGACTTTCTTCGAGGGCGCTTTTAACGCGATGGATCTCGAGCTGCTCTCCATATCGATGGACTTCGAAGAAATATCCAGGTATGGGGAGGATGAGGAGGTTTTCGAGGATGACGGGGACAAAGGCAAATGGGAACGGACGTTAAGAGCTTGTTCCACTGTTGCCCAACGCTTCTCGGCAGAGCTGCAGAGGGAGGGAGCGTGTCGGAACCTCGCCGCTTTTAAGCTCACTTTGAGCGAATGGCACGATGGAGTTCGAGAGGACAAGACGACATCGGAACATTTCGTCAGGGCTGTCAGTAGCCTGCACCCGTTGGGTGATAGACTTACTGTTCGGAACCTCGACCTCATCGCGACCTGCGCGAAAGAATATTGCCAACCGCACCGGGTCGGGAATGCCCTTAGCGCTGACCTTGATAGGGTCGGTAACGGCCCTACCTTTCGTCGCAAACCACCCATCGACGCCTTTCCTCGGTATCCGAACCTTACAACCTTGCGGCTGAGTGAATTTGGCCCGGAGCCGGAGATGTTTAGGCGGCTGGGTTGTCAGCAGTTGAAGGAGCTGTATGTCACCATTATCGAGGACGATGAGTTTGGTGACTTGTTGGAGAGCTTGAAACTGCCAGAGCTGGGGAAACTGAGAAAGGTGGGGGTCAGTTTTGGGCAGAAGCCTTATTTCGACGTAGATCCGGACTATTATGATGGGAAGTGGGATCGGGCTGAGATTGAGAGCTCTGCACATATGATTGAGGAAAAGTGCCGCAAGCGGGGTATTAGCATCAACGTCGAGTATCCCCCGGAAAGTGAGGATGAGGATGGCGAGGAAGAGGAAGAGGATGAGGGTGAGGATGAGGAGGACGCGAACGAGGATGAGGACGAGGAGTAAATATAACGCAATTCTGCAGTAGCTCTATTGTGATAATTTCGAGTTAGTTTCTGATACTTTCGTACTCTGGCGTGCATGTATTATGTGACCGTTGTGTGCACGCCTGTTATGCTTGATGACCGTTTTTACCTGACAAGGCCACGCGATGTCCCGAGCTGTACTGGCCAAGATTGGAACAATACGAGGGCTGTGGCTCTGTTTAAGAACGTTGTGCTCCTACCTCGGTGGTCATATCGTCAAATAATCCCTAAGAATAATTAGCGAGCTCAATGTACATTGTACAACAGTTGTATGTGCTTTGATTGATCGCACTGATCAGCGAGTGGTCTCTTCGGAACATTACAAAGGATACAGTATTATAACCGCTTTCGGTATGCCCGAGGTCTTGATACAGTATTAGTTGCTAGATTATCTTCATGAGGATGTTAGTTATCAAAGGCAGGCGATCTGTCTCGGCTCCCTCGTCGCCCCCTCTCGGCCTCCCATGGCCATCCTTCTGCACAATCGCAGCAGACCGCGGCCTCGTCGCCGGCTGATCGCCTCCCTAAGACTCTGCGTACTCTTAGCATACGCTCTCTACTGTTCCTCCTCGGCCTAGGTGGATCGGTTCATCGGGTAGGGATTTGCATAGCGCAGCGGAGGAGAATGTGGGAAGCGTTGACGATGCTGTAGACCTGTCGGAAGGCGAGTGAGACCGCGGTGCACTCTTCTTCTGTCCATCACACTTGCCGTACATTTTCCTATTTAACATCTTCGCTTTCTCCGACTCGTTCTTCGCTTTCCATGGGAGGAACCTGGTATCACCCTCGCCTGAGATGATTGCAACCAAAGCATCCCCCATCCACTCGTCACCCGCACGCCATTCGCTTCCGCAAATCCATCCACGGACAAGAGAGATCGCGTCTGCGATATGACCATAATCCTTCGGCCGCTCGCAATCTTCGTCCTCTGTGTCCTCATGGCCGTCTTCGAGACGAGACCCCAATAGGTGATAGTTGATGTACATGGCGAGCTGGGTCGCGAGAGTTGAGCGAGCGCACGAGTTGCGAGGATAGCGAGACATGATGCGTATTAGGCAGGAATAGAGCGCTGGCGCTCGTGGAATGAGGATAGGTAGTGATGACGATGTGTGGTTGGGGGCGGGGTCGAGTTCTGATGCTGTGAAGGAGGCAAAGGAGGCAGGGAACAAGTGAAGGAACTGGACAGTGCTCATGAGTGTCGATTTCGTCAGGTGATGTAGACGACCTTCAGTGTATAGATCGCCAGAGGTCGCGGCGAGGATATGCGGAGGCTCTGAGTGAGGGAGCCCGAAATCTGAAACGATGGATGAGGCCTTCTCAAGCTGCTCGTCTGCTACTAAATAGGTAAAATCCTGAGGGAGCATCGCGGATAAGTGCATAATGAGTACAAGGTACGAGCAGCTGGTGAAATAAAAAGAAAACAGACTTTGAGAACGACGGGGACTCCTAGTCGGAGCTGCAGTTCTGCGCCCCACTCGATGAGCTGAACGCCGCTGGACAATAGCTGGTCCCGGATCTGGCGTACGAGCTCCTCCGGTGGGCGATCGAAAATAGACGATTCTGTTTTGAAAGACGTCTGGGGAGTCGTGTCCGCTGTCGCTATCGTTGTTGTGGTTCTAGTCATCGTCGTTGTCGATAGCGATAGAGTGGATGGTGATGACTGGTGAAGACAAGGTTGTTGAGGGCGGGAACCAATGGCCCGATGCTGTGGCTGTGTCTTCCCACGATGCTAAAAGGGGAAATACGGCCCCAGTACGGGCGGACCTTTGTGGAACTTACTCGGGAACTGCCACAAGGACTGCCATTCCTCTCAGTTAGCGAGCCTTGGTCATGCCGCCTGCTCAGATCTCTATATCCACGAATACAGAACATCACGTTCGTGCCGCCCATATACTCTCAGAGAGGTCAGCGTGTCTTCACCGCTTAGAATGGGTCTAACTTCAGTCGAAATGATGCCAAAACAACTCATAGTCTCCGCGAGCTTGGATACGACCATGCCTACATCGGTGGTTTTGCGTGGTCTCTCCTCGGTAGCCGGCGAGCAACTCAGATACTTCGCTCTCCCGCTTCCTCTTATGCAATATAAGCGAATATTTACTTGCTCATTCTGACCTAGCACGATATCGACATTCTTATTCAGCCACTGCCTGGACAACCTCCTCTGCTAGCTTTGCGGGATGACTTGATGGAGCGCAGTCCTCATTTCGCCAAAGCAAACATCAAGTTCTATTTCGTGCAGGTGCGCTGATGTCATGTCGCCGGTGTGCGCTTGGTCTGGGCACCTGCAGAGAGTAGATCTAATCCGTTGCTCAACTAACCTTTTAGCAACCCGATGAAATGCTCGATGGAACGGAGAATGTCATGCGAGGCATCAACAATGTCCTGATCGAAACTCTTATGGCCGGGCGTATGGGCCTCCCCGCTGTCGCGAGCCCTACGCATCAAGTCGAGCATACGGAATACAGTACGTACCCATTCATGCTCCTTCAATGATCTTCCTATCACCGCCACACACAGTCTGCGACAATCTACTGAGGTACTTAATACTTATCGTGCACGACCGAACTTTAGGAATCCCCATCCTTCACCCTTCCATCCTCATCCTTACGAAGCTCAAACGCTGGACCGTGAATCGCACCTCGAGTTGGCCAAAGGCAAAGGCAAAGCGCGATACCGACTGGGCAGATATCAAATATCTCATCGCCTGGCTCTCCGATAAGGCTCACAAGATCGAGTTCAACAAGTATGAGGGAAAAGGTCGTGGGGACCTCCTTGTAATGGTGCGGCAAGTCCACCATGAGTTGATCGAGGAGGAGGATGAGGAGCTACTCGTGAAGTTGGAAGAGGTCATGCATCCTGTGGACTGGGAGGATATGAGCATCATCGTCTTGGCTCCGACAGTGGAAGACCCAACACCGATAGTGATAGTCACCACACCGTCAGTGGACGTCCCTACACCGACAACGAACGTCCCCACACCGTCAATGGATGTCCCAACATCGCCAGTGGACGCCCCCATATCGACAGTGGTCGTGGACGTCCCAACACCAACAGTGGACGTCCCCACACCGACAGCGGACGTCTCCACATCGACAGTGGAAAACCCCACACCGACAGTGGACGTCCCCACACCGGCAGTGGACGCTCTCACGTCGAAAGTAGATGGCCCCACACCGACAGTAGATGGCCCAACGCCGACGCCAGAAGAAGGGATGACAGGGTAGTCTGGTCTCATGTGCTCATTGAATTTGGATTTGGGTCTAATTGATACTGCATGGGTATCGTCTGGGCGATGATGATCGAGGAAAAGTGTCGCATGCGAGGAACTAGTGTTGATATCGAGTATCAGCGTCCCACAGTTTTGTACCAGCTCTGCTCTAGTTTTATTTGTTGTCCTACAGTTTTCTACAACCCTTTTCCGTCTATTCTGCTTTGTAGTCTGCAAAAATCTAGCTCACGCAGTACAAGTTCTCTTGCTACAAAACTTGGCACACTGTAACGGGACGCCCTCTGCTCCAGCTGCGTGACCATGAAATTTGTTGTAGAATCATCGATAGGAAAGTCATTCGGACAGTCGAGGTCTCGAAAGACAACAACGCGCAAATCACAGTCACTCTCAGAGCATCGAGCGACCCTGCTACATTTTTGAAGTGAACCAAAACTCGTGTGCAATTGTCCTATATGAATCGGTCCTGAGCCCCAGCACCGACAAATGCAACCAGCGGATTGTCCAACCCCCAGCTGGCTAACGACGATAAGTACTCATGGGGTATGAACATCGCAACTATACCTACACATGCGCATAAGTATCTCATCGCGCCGAATATATCGTCCTCCCCTGCGCCCCAAAAGGACCCTCGCCTCCCGAACTCATACTCCTTCCCCTCGAGTCCGAAGCCGAGATCGAAGGTGGCGGAGCCACACCGGGTCCATAGAGGGTCTGCGGCGGGGGTGAGAGATCCGCTGCGTTCATCGGTTCATCGTTCATGACAATGTCACTCATATCCCTCTCCAGTCCGTTGAGGGGTGACTGGCTGCGTGCGGAGTGATGGCTGGCACTGGCACCAGCGCCGGATTCGTGTCGATGGCCGGGTTCTGTCCATCCTTGGACGAGGGGCACTTGTGTGTACGGGGAGTGCGAAGGAGCGGAGGCAGAGTAGCCGTTACTGGGTCCAGCACTGGCGCCGTCATGAGAGTGGTTATGATGATGGCTGTGGTCGTGGTTGTGGTTGTGGTCGTGGTGATGATAATTGTGGTTCGGCGCGTCCGGAGTCACGCTCCCCGCGTTTTCACGGTCAAGGTGCGAAGGCGACGCGTTATTCGCGCCCGAATTACTGAACCTCCCTCGACTGTCCCTCTTCCTCGTCGACCTCCTGGACGGACTGGCGCTCGCCGAGCCCGACATCATACTCATGTCCACGTCCGCCCCCATCGCGTGCGCACTCATACTAGCATCCGATACAGTTCGGGGACGCTGCTGCATCGACATCGATAACGCCCGTTTCTTTTCGCGCTCAATGGTGCGTTCGCGTCGTTTCGCCTCCGCTTGCTCGCGTTGCTCTGGGGTGAGAGTGCCCGGAAGAGCGGGGATATAAGCACCTGCTTTTTCTTTGCCCTTTCCGTTCGCTCCGCTTTTGGACCGTCCTTTGGACTTGTCTGCCGCGTCGGGAAGAGGGGTACCGGAGCCAGAGGGGTGTGAGTCTGAGGTGGAGGCACGGCCGGCTTCGGGATGGCCTTGGTGGTGTGGGGGTGGGTGTGCTTGAGCGTGTGCGTGTGCGTGGTTGTGGTGAGCGGGGCGGGCGAGTACAGAGAGGGGTATGGTGGGGAGTGAGGGGTCGGGAGGGGGGAGTGGGGAGGTGAGTTGGGTGAGGGCGGGATCTTCGGCGATGAGCTCTTGTTCTTTGAGGGCTCGATTTTGGAAGGCTTTTGTTACGGTCATGGGTTTGGGCATCAATTCTGTGATAGTGCCGGCGATACATACATTGAATAAAGGAGAGGATGTCGTTAGTCACTGAAAGGACAAAAGACGAAGGTTTTGACATACCACCGAGGAACTCCAACTCTGGCCACCGTTTTGGTGAGTTGGCAACGTGAGCTGTGAAGAGATGAGTGAGCAAACGGTTAGCAGTGGAGGTAGCAGGTTACGAGGCCGGAAGGACGAACCTATGTCTTTATAGGTGATAACTGTACGCTGTCTGTCTTCATCATTGGCGTGAATGACTGCCGCGTCGACCATTCGCGTGATGAACTCCTCCTATATACTGAATTAGGGAATCTGCACTTTACCGAAAGGGCGGTGGGAGGAAGGATACGTACGGTGGCCAGTGAGAGTACCAGAAGGGCTTCTCGGGACATGATTCCCGTCTCGCCTACGCAAGGAAGACGCGTCGGTGGGCCGTCCGGTGAGAGCAGAAAGAGAAGACACGTACCATCAGCCCTCAAAATGTTCTCGATACGCAACGGAGGGAATATGGTCTCTCCCTTCTTCCTCGAATAACGCGGAACCGCAGCGTCGACATCTGGATCAATATCCTTGCCCGTGTCTCGCGCCACGGGAGGAGGGGGAGGAGGCGGGGGTGGGGGTATAGAGGTAGGCGCAGGCAGTTCGTCTTCTGGGTCCGAGTCGAGGAGCTGGTCCTCTTCGTCGTCGTCTATCTCAATCTGGTCATAGTGCTGAAGAAAGACGGGTTCCATGGATGGGGAGCGGGTGTGGAAGGGGGAGGGGGATGGGTGCTGGAACCGGACGGACTGGAGGAGATGATGGGAGTAGAGAGCAAGGAGTGCGGAAGGGAGTCGCCAGCGAGGTGGCGTGGAGAGGGTGTTCTGGCAGGAACCGGTGGACGGTCGGCACGCTCTCTCCTTCGTCCCTTGCTCTTCCTGCGCGTTCCAACCGCGTCCGGCGTGGGTTTCCGCCAGATATTCGCGTTTGTGGGTTCTAGTGGTATAATTGAAGCGCTCTACGGTGGCAGAATATTTCTGTCCCAGTGTGGTGGATATTCCTTTTCGTTGGGAATTGCGGAAGATGTGCGGGCGGATGGGAGTGCTGTGATGTGTAGCAATTGAGCGCTAGGTCCAGGCCGGGAACGATGGAGAGATTCCGCACCCAACCAGCGTCCATGTCTTGTCTCTTTGGTATCCTTAGGTTCCAGATGTCAGCTGTAACGCGACTATACGAGCTCGAAGACTTTGCAAGTCAATAACAAGAGGAGTGGCTTCATTCCGCCACAGTGGCGTTCGCACTTGCGGAAGCCGGTCCGAAGGCCGAAATCTGCGGCTTCCGGGCGTGGCGGGCTCCTAACTTCTAACTTCACCTTTCTACGAGCATGAACTACTATCGAGGCGATTTTGTTCACTTTCCATCGCTCACGTCTGGAGTACAACTATGTCGAGACCATTTGCTAGGCAAGTCATAGCTATGCTTGAGGTCTGAGCGAGTCGCTCTCCCGTTGCGGGCACCGAGCTCAAGCGTTCGCTCTCCAGCTACCGACGAACATGGATACATCTCACATTTCGAGCCTGCGGACTCTCCCCAATCTGAGGCTTTGCTCGACGTAAACGCCGGAAATATAACCCTCATACCCCTCGGATCTTTCTGTGTACCCACTTTCTGCGACCTTCACCTTCATGGTCAGCCATACTCACTTCTCTAGATCGCATCGGACATACCCCTCCCCGGCACGAGACCCTAACTTAACTCTGCCTAAGCTCCACAATTTTTATATCAGGGAACTGGCCTCCACCTACCGCTGATGCAATGGCTGGAGGAATATGCATTCAAAGCTGAAGAGAGAATTGACTCGGATCCTCAGCTTGCCCGTACCGTTTATGGCCGGCTCGCTCAACGCCTCGTGGAGAATGGCACTGGCGCTGTCCTCCTGTTCGGGACTATTGGTGTCGATACGAAGTACTTTCGTCGGCATGCGGAGCGCAGAACATGTATTTGACATTTTACTTTGACAGTCTCGTTCTTGCAGAGGAGATGCAACAAGCTGGCATCCGAGCATTCGTCGGCAAACTATCCATGAACCAGAATAGCCGTCCGACCTATACCGAACACGATACACACACATCACTTAATGCGGCCACCTCTTTCCTATCTCGCATGGACGAGTTCGCTCACCGGCACTCCGAGTCTTGTCTAGTCAAGCCCGTGTTGACTCCTCGATTCGTCCCCACCTGTTCGGATGACCTACTCAAGGGTCTAGCCGAGCTATCCCAGAGCAAAGGCGTCATGGTACAAAGCCACCTCGCCGAAGCGCACGATCAAGTAGCATGGGTGAAGGCCGAGCGTGGCCTGGACGACATCGAAGTCTTCGATCGCGTACGTCGTCTCTCATTTCTCCCATTCAGCATCCACCGTCGCTGACTTATAAGCATTCCCAATAGTCAAATTTACTAGGATCCCGCACGATTCAGGCTCACTGCACGTACTTATCATCGCCGGAATTCGACATCCTCGCATCTCGCGGAACCGCCATCGCCCATTGTCCCCTCTCGAACGCCTATTTCTCCGCACGACCGCTCGCTCTGCGCGAGGCTCTCACAGCAGGCGTTCGTGTTGGTCTAGGAACAGATGTCGCAGGTGGATATAGCGCGAATATTATGGATGCTATGCGTTGGGCCGTCGGGGTGTCCCGGATGCGAGACGGAGCGAGGATAGAAAGCGCAGCAGACGGTGCGGGTGAAGGTGGTAGTGTGAAGATTGACTGGATGGAGGCGATGTTTCTGGCTACTAGGGGTGGGGCGGAGGTACTTGGGCTCGAATGCGGTGTTTTCGAGGTCGGGGCACCGTTCGACGCTCAATGTGGTACGTACCACTCGCTCCGGCCTGAAGCTGGACCATACCCTCATCATGTTCTCTTATCGTGTCCTCAGTCAAGCTATTCGACCCATCGAGTGGGCGAGGCGTTGGTCAACTTGAATTTCTCGATGTGGAGTTGGGTACGGCTTCGAAGGATCTGACCGTGGATATGGTCGAGAAGTGGTTTTGTTTGGGGGATCAGAGCAACCGTACAGGGATGTGGGTTCAGGGTCGGAAGATCGGGACCTGGCAGCCTTATCCAGGTGCGTTCATTCACCATGCTCGCAATAGTATTTCACTCAAAGCATGTTGACTAGATGTTGTATTTCGCACTTGTTGACTCCGTTACCTTTCGCCTCCAAAAGCCCTCGGAGTGCCTGATTGATCTGCGTGTCCCAAGGCTGAACTTCCTCGTGTACCTGCAGCGCCACCACATATTTGCTGGATGGTCCTGAAAGTTCTCGATTCGTTTGGTCCGTCATAATCTATGGCTGCGGGACAGCCTTGAGTCGTTAACAAGCTGGAAAGACCAGGGCCTATGGCGGTTATATGGACTCTTCATCCCTGTATGTGTTTCCTGTGCGCCTTCGGTATCCGTCTTCTGACCGTTCACGAATAGATACGCCTGCGGGTTATTTGTGTGGCGACACAGCAGCGTCTAATACAAATATGCTGACGTCATGCTCTGGAAAGAGAAGAGTATAAAGACTGTGAGCCACTGGAAGTTTCGATGCATCCCCCCTGCGAGCATACCCTCCCAGGTACACCGCATGTCGTACTACTTCAGTTTGCCGTTTCCGCTTGTGAATGGGAGGGTTCCTCTTGGTTATCGAGGGGATCCCTGGTTTGATGACGGGACGGTAAGTTACGATCCCGCCGTCTAATGATACCTTCGTGTGACGCTAATAGGTGGTTTCGCAGGTCATCTTACTGGCTGGACACACCGCCTTCAAAGTCTATAAAGGCATGCTCGTGCGAGACTCGCAGGTCTTTGCAGACTTGTTCGCTGCGCCTCCTGCACATCGGTACCTGCGAACGCGGGTGGAAGGATGCGAAGTTATACGCATGGACGAGCCCGTGTCCAAGCTCGCTCCCGTTCTACAATGGATCCACGTCGGGATTGGAAAGTATGCCATCACTCCTCCGCGGTCTTCTACATAGTACACTGACACAACTTATCTGCTCGTGTTTGCGGTCAGACGGTTCCCAGCCTTCGACGACTTCACGAACCTGACATCCATGTTCGCCATGGCCGACTTCTACCAACTTCGCAACCTCCGCGAAATCCTGATCCAACCTCTCTTGAAACACTACCTCGACCGTCTCCGCACCTACGAATCCTGGGACGGCCTCCATCCGATCCCTAAACCGCTCAACCCCGTGCACGCCCTCAACTTCGCGCGTACGTACGAAGTCAGAGTACACTCGCTCGTGCCCATCGTCATGGTCGACCTCACCGTGTTCGTCTCCGAGGCGGAGCTGCTGAGTGCCAGAGAACCGCGCCGCTCGTCACCTTATGCGCCTGGACTCGATCAGTCGCAGGATAGAGATTTTTGTCCTGAGCTCTGGGATCATCATAAGGCTCTGGCGAAAGCCGTCGGTCGTGTGCTGACGAAATTCGATGCGGAGCGTCCGTTCAGTCGGAGGTCGAGGTGTTGCTCGTTCAAGAAGTTTCACGGGCATCTTGTCGAGAAGTTGGAGAAGAAGGCGAGTTTTGGGGTTGGGGGTGGTGAGTGGCTGACGGAGTCGCATGGACGGTATGGGTTGGAGTTCATTCGGTGTGTGAGGACGGATCCGGAGAGAGCGTCGTATTGTGAGTCGTGTTTGAAGGAGGTGGATGGGGAGGTTATGAAGGAGTATAAGGAGTGGTGGGAGAAGATTCCGGGGATATTGGGGTTGGAGGGGGGTTGGCAGGATGAGACGTTGGAGGAGTTGCAGTATGGTGAGCAAGAGGCGTGGAAGTAGGGTTCTGCTTTGAGTGGTGAGTCTGTCTTTCTGTCTGTCCCATCTCCATTTTTGCTGTCTGATTATGCGTGAGACAGGATCCTTGTATTATTTACGACATGACGACTGTCTGTATGAATATTTTGTAGGATTTCATTTTTATCACTATATCATGCCCTCCTGCAGCTCTGCCCCTGAGGGCAATGCTATCATGTGACAGGTTATTGAAATAATTGTCGTTTACAGGCGTTTTTTCCGATATATGCTTGTAAGGACGTTCATGTGCACAGAACTGTGAACCGAAGCGGCCACGCTGGGATTGTCAAGGCATCGCACGGTGACGCTACACCTGGCAGCAGCTAGTGTGCCACCTGTGCCAGTCTATTGATAGGTCACCACAACCATGTCTGGCTTCTTGTGATGCAGTGCCTTCAATATCCGGGAGGTTTGCATGGGCTTGGCACCGGAACGGCCGGGTCAGGGTTGCGTCGGACCCGTTCTCATCGCCTGAGCATCGCCCTGCCAGTGCCCTGGCAGCTCCTTCAAGTCACATACTGATCCATTTTGATCATAGGCGTCGTAGTCCACTCCTGCACGCGCTCTTCTTCCGCGCCTCAGCTCGCTTGTCATAACTTAGCAGGAGATGTCTCGAAGCTCGGGTTTCCTTTCTCACCGGCGTATCCTGGCGTATCCGAGACTAGCCTTTGTATCGCTCGACTGACAGGAAATCGTGCACATTCGGCGTATCTCAGACGGGCCCAACTCGCCGAATAGTGTCAAAAAAAGGCTAACTACCACAGGTCATTCAATATACAGACGTATCGTGCCGGCGCCAGGCGTCTTATGGCATATGTAGATCAAAACACTCGTATCGGGCGGTGGGAGTCCTCATGATTCTTAAGATGGGCGTTCGTGGTTATACGCGATCCTCTTTTCCTTTTCCCCCATCTTCTCCCTTGGTCCCCTGCTCTACGGAGCCTTCCTCATTGCTATGCCTTCTCCTTTGAACCCAGCCGTGTCGAACAATGCACGAAGAACCTATGCTCCAGTCTCGGCCGCACCGTCTTCCGCGGGTCTCCTTCCACCCAGCTACAGTCCATATCCTTCCTCCCCTTCACCGCCATCCACGTCTCGCTCCAGTCCTACACATGACATCCCACTCGCAATGCCCAGTCCGACAGTTGACGAGAAGTTCGCTCTTATGGGTTCGCCACAAATGAGCCGCATGAGAAATTCGAGTAGTACGACCTCTGCTTTTTCCGTTGGCAACGTTCCGATCAACCACGGTCAGTATACTCCGAGTCCGCCGCCCACGAAGGAGCGCGTCACACCTTTTCCCACCAAGGCATGTCTTCTTTTGCGGCCATCCCGAACGTCGACGATTTGACACGGGCGTCTTTCTCTAGTTTGGCTTATCACCAGATCCTGGTGCATGGGGGCTAACCACGGCTCCGGAGCCAGACGATGCTCTGCATGAACCGGATGCTCTGCGAGACTCCAAGCGAGATTGCGGTGGCAGTATATTCTCAATTCGTGGGCTGGTGAATGTTGGTTGTTTGTTCCTCATCGTGCTTGGAATTCTCGGTGTCTTGTGCGTCTTTGCTTCGATTAATTTTTGTCATGCGTGTCAAAGCCGAACTAATAGACGATCTCCTAACAGCGCCGGATACCCAGTTGCATCGTATTTCATCAGGAATCCAGTATCGAATGAAGGCGCGTTTGGTGTGGGCGGGACGAATGCTACTGGACAGGTGGGGCATTTTCTTCTGAGCATAACGATGCCATTTATACGCGATTGTTCAACGATGTCGTGCAGGTGCCCGCAATGGCCAACGGCTGGGGTCTCGTCGATGTTGCTACACCGGACTGGGCTCGCACCCACACCTCCTTCGTAGACGGCAGCACCGACTTACAGTTGGTGTTCTCCGACGAGTTTGAGGTTGATGGACGATCCTTCTATCCTGGTACGTTCATATGTATACTCAACTATTTGATGCAACGTACTAACAGCTCCTAGGGGATGATCCATACTGGGAGGCTGTCGACTTGCATTACTGGCAAACTGGGAATCTGGAGTGGTATGATCCTGCAGCGGTCACGACCAAAGACGGAGCGTTGGAGATCACGCTCTCGAAGAAAGAAACGCACGGATTGGACTATCAGGGCGGCATGGTCACGACGTGGAATAAGTTTTGCTTCACTGGAGGGCTTCTTGAGGTCGCGGTCACCATGCCAGGCGCCGCTAACATCTTCGGGCTTTGGCCTGCAGTTTGGACCATGGGTAACCTCGGACGAGCAGGCTATGGAGCGTCGCTTCACGGCATGGTAAGTCCTCGTTTGTCCATTCGCATACGTTCGTAATCCTCAATCAATCTGTATTCTTAGTGGCCTTATTCCTACGATTCGTGCGATGTGGGCACCGTGGCCAACCAGTCGATCAACGGCCAACCTGAAGCAGCCATACAGAACGGAGACCCATACAACAACGGACTACTGTCATTCCTTCCAGGTCAAAGACTTTCTCGCTGTACGTGCAGTGGTGAATCCCACCCCGGTCCATTACACAAAGACAAAAGCTATGTGGGACGTTCTGCACCTGAGATTGATATGTTCGAGGCTGAGGTGCGCTTATTAGCGATACCTTTCCCGACGCGCTCTCCTGACAATAGTTCACCCTCAGGTCTATAATGATGAAGGCGCTGTGTCTCAGTCTGTGCAGTATGCGGTATGTCCGCCCTTCTCTCCAGCGGTGCGCCAAGGTCTGACTCCCCCCATCAGCCAATGAACTATGAGTATGTTTGGAAAAATACAAGCGGAAGTTACGAGATCGTCGACACTTCCATCACGGTACGCAGCACGCGTTCTCTTGCTCTTTCACTTTGGCTCATTGATCCTATGTAGGCAGCAAACACATACCTTGGCGGCGTTTACCAACAAGCGATCAGTAGTGTCACTATATCAGGTGCGTAACGCCCTGGATTCTTATATCGTTTTTCTTACCGTCGCCTAATTGCTGGCCGATTACAGATCAGGATTGCTACGAGATAGGTGGGACAGGATGTTTTGTTGTTCACGGTTTCGAATATAAACCGGGTACGTGAGATCCATGTTTACCGCCAACTCGACACTAATCCGTACTTGTAGGCTTTGGAGATGCAGTCAGTGTTTTTTAGACTCTCACCTTCTGGCTTGCAGAGAGGAGATACTGACATTGCAACTAGTATATCAACTGGATAGCGAACAACAAGACATCATGGGTTCTCAATGCTTCTGGACTGTCCGCAGATTCGAACACCCAAATCAGTGATCGACCAATCTCCCAAGAGCCAATGGTACACCCCTCTACCCTTCCTCGTGTCTGCGCGTGCTAGAAACTGACATATCTGAGCAGTATATCATCGCGAACCTCGGCATATCTACAGGCTTCGGTGCTGTTGATTTCGATCATCTCACTTTCGTACGTTTTGTCTGCTGACCACTCTATGAGACACCTTCACAGTTCTAACGTCTGAACTCTTCTTAGCCTACAAAGATGAGAGTGGATTACGTTCGAGTATACCAGCACCCAGATTCCGTCAATGTCGGGTGCGATCCGAAAGATTTTCCGACCACGGCGTACATCAAACAGTACGTTCAATCTACGTCTGAGATTGGGTTGGGCCAATCTAACTTCCTCATCTTCCCAGGTATTCTGAGGCCTATACTAACCCCAACTACACGACCTGGACTGGAGATATCGCAGACGGGGGTTTCGGCCAAACATTCCCGAAGAACTCACTCTGGGATGGCTGTTGAGACCCTCCATTCATTCACATCTACGAGGTACTCTGTGGCGCTGTTCACGTCTACCTCAATTATGCCCATTTATACCATACTTACGAGCCACCGTCTGTCTCTTCTGCGCTAACGTCATTGGACTCTTCCGCGTATTTATGGGCTTCAAGTTCTGCTGCCGAACCCTTAGTCGATCTTTTGTTATACCTGCTGCCTACGCTCGCTCTCCTCTCCTTTTGACATGACATCTTGGATGACCCTAGGATTGTATGTAATTGACTGTATGGATGAGACAATATAGTATACCACAAATTGTCGGAGACCGATTTCCTCTTGTAACGATGTACTTACATAGACTGCAAGCATGGTGGCCTGCTCTAACACGCCACACTGTGCAAGTGACACAAAGATAAGATAAGATCTGAATTCAGCGCCATCTATGATCTTCAAATCCTGGCCGTTGTTGACCGTCACGAACGTCTTCGCCACTCTCGACGCGTCAGGATCCATGCTCTCGCGGGTCCCCATCGCCAGCACCAGCGCCGTGCGCGCATTCAGCACCTCCGCTGTCGTCCAGCGTGGCATCACCTCCAATATTGGCAAGCAGCCCATCAAATACCCCAACAATGTCACGTTTACACCCAGTGCGACCTCCCTCTCCATACAAGGTCCTCTCGGCACAACCTCCATCCCCCTAGAATCCTACATGACCCTGAAATTCTCCGAGCCCGAGACTCTCGAAATCAGCGTGGAGGATTCGAAGAAGAAGAACCAGCGACAAATGTGGGGCACGACTCGCACTCTCATCAACAACGCCATTATCGGCATGACCGAGGGTTTCTCCGTTCCTCTATACCTCGTCGGAGTGGGATACCGTGCGGCGCTGGAGGATGACCCAAGAGGGAAGGAATTCGGTGGTGGTGGGACGCGGTTGAACATGAAGCTGGGTTTCAGTCATTCGGTGATGGTTCCGGTGCCACCTCATATCAAGGCGGACGTACCATCCGCGACGAAGATTCAGCTGTCGTGCACGGACAAGCAGAAGTTGGGGCTTTTTGCGGCTGAGGTTCGTGATTGGCGGCGTCCAGAGCCGTACAAGGGCAAGGTATGTCAGTTCCTCATCACATCACGGTCTCTTCTAACGGCATCTCCCAGGGTATCTTCATCGGCAACGAGACCATTAGAATAAAAGCTGTCAAGAAGAAGTAGCCTTCTAATAGCATCTTTCATCTCGTCTACTATCCTATAGCCCTTGCGAAGGTCCTCTTTCAGGAGTTTCGTCGCTCCACAGCCGAGGATATGTGTTGAACCTCTTTTGCAACGGCACTCCGAGGCTATCCACACCTCCCATTTAACCATCTTATGAGGCGTTTACTCGGTTTGACGTCCCAGACTAGGTGGACAAGCACTCAAAATGGCCACCACCCCGAAGTAGAAATCCAACGGCCGTGATGCTCAGGACCCGGTCGATGCAATACCCAGACTCTAACAATGGCTCTGCTTCTGACAGTTGTTATTGCCCGTGGAAGCCAGTTCGCGATTGAACCGTTCTGTCGACCCGTTTTATGGCATACAATTCCGCAAGGTTGGTTGGTTGTTATAACTATCAAATCCTCGCTGCCTGGCCCTGGTCCCAAAGAAAATTTGGTACTTCGACGGTCTGATGCACGGGGACATGGTCAGCCTAGAGGACAGACCTGGTACAATTTTCGATACTACTGTCTTCCTTCCCGTCCATGTGGTTGCTGCCATGCGACACTGACCTCCAGTGTTGTTTGGCGCCCACTGGTAGACGTAAAACCATGTCCGTCAACCTTGTTTGCTCGAGTTGGCGACGCGACGGTCGAGCATTTGATTCTATCAGACTTGTGTCCCTTTGAATATATTCCTATTCAGTAGTTTTGCCGCTTTTTCTTGGATGTCGTCTCAGAGCTCTTGTTCGTACTGAATGGCAGTGTGGCCCAACCTGAATTGTGGCGCTTCGCAGATGGGTCGCTTTCTTGAGATCTAGTTGGTATAATCAACATCTTCTGTCGATAAATTCAACGCCCATGCCATACCCTATGTTGAAGATGCAATGTGTTCCTCCGAGTCCACTGCAGGTCCACTGAGCAAAGCTCGAACGGAAAGCCCGTTCAAGTAACGCTGTCACACCGTGACGCGCTCTGAACTCGCGACGCGGAGGAATTGAAGAGTCCACGACCAGCTCCTCTCTCTTCCTTGCCATGTTCTCCGTGTTTCGCTCACGAACACCGTTCGTCCGTACCGCGTCTCGACTATGTCGGTTCAATAGCACGTCCACGACCAGCACGACCAGCACGACCACAGTCGAGATTCCCCCCTCCGCCTCGACTTCTACACCCACATCCCTTGCTGCCACTACGGTCACTACTGCCATTACGCCTGGAACAAAAGCCGATGGCGCTCTTCGTCCACATCTGAACATTCCTGTGAACCCGAAACATGGACTCTTTGCGTTCTTCCGGAAGAAGGAAAAGGATGGGGAGGTGCAGTATGAGACTGTGGAGGGAGAGGAGGTGATGTTGCAGTCTGGTGCGTCTTCCTTCTTCCTTGGCTTTGTTCTTATTGACGGCAATTCACCATCTGACTTGTCGATTTGCTAACTGTAGGACGTGCATGGGAGACTGCAGAGCTCAGGCGAAAAAGCTTCAGGGATCTGCATACGCTATGGTATGTCTTGCTTCGGGAGCGGAATTTGCTCGCGACGCAGAGGCACGAGCTGTCCCGACTGGGGGCACAGAGGTTCATTGGGAACGAGCTTATAGCTCCTCAGGACGCGCTGGTACGTTCCTCTTCGTTCTTCGTTCTTTATTCATCTCTAACTACATGGAACTCACGCTCGCGTCACTTCAGTGCCGGAAAAGCATGGCGCGCATCAAGGGTGTTCTCCAAGAGCGTCGGCTAGCCTATGATGCGGCCGCGAAGATCGTCAGAGATTACAAGTGGGACCAGAAGAGGGAAGAGCAGAAGGCTTGGTCGACGCACAGGAGGGAGAAGATTGCGGAGGCGAAGGCTCTGGTTCAGGCGAGGAAGGCGCGGTCGGAGACGGTACGACGGGCGATGTTGAGGAAGCAGCAGGTTCGGGAGAAGAGGTCGCAGTCGCAGGACGTTGGGACGAAGGCGTTGAAGGGCCTTTTGTCGTGACAGAGCTCATGATATACTACCGCTGCTACCGTCTAATCATCATCTCCCTTCGCGCAACTGCCATGATCATTGGGGTGTACTGTGTGCATGCAAAGTCCTCCATCGATGTTTCTGTTCTTCATCCCACTGCTTCATTTCTCCCGACACCCAGCAATCCTTGACCGTCGGACTCTCGTACGTCTCCAGCTGTCGAGCTCCTTTCCTCAAGAGATGCTCGATGGTGCTCACGTTGCGCGGCGAGACACCAGCGGATTGGGTCCGGAAAGACCAGCGGACGAAGAGACTGAACTTAGGCTGTACGTTCTCTGGCTTCGTTCTAACCATGCGCAGAGCCCTGAGTGACGATGAGAACGGTGACATCGAGAGGGAATTCGACCATTTGCTTACCGGCGGTAGAGTGCGAGGACGTCCTTCTGTAGACCGGAGTGCCGCACTGACATGTTTGAGGACCTCTTCTATACCCACTGCAACAGTACTAGTCTAAGTTACTTCAGATGTCGACTATAGTGGAACGTATGGGCTAAGCATGGTACAGGTATGAGCTCGAGCCTGCCCTCGCGTCCGGAGACGCTGAGAGAGCGAGCACACGAGATTGGCGCGGAAGTTGCCGCGTGTTCTGTTTACTGAGTGATGTCGCGTCGACGCGTCTGTTGACGCGAACCATCTACTACTTCGTGCTCGACTCTTTGTGGGGGCATGCTTGCTTCACTCAGGCTATCCACAAAGGCGACATTGCTGCATCCAAAATTTGCATCTCCCCATGTACGACGCGTAGTCAGCACGGCCGCCTCGCCGACCGTTGGTGGAACCGGCGACCCATTCACGTATTGCGAGGACTTCGTGCGCAAACACGATTACGACTCTTTCATCGTCTCGCAGTCATGGCCGAGAGAGAAGCGGAAGGGTTATTTTGCTTTGAAGGCTTTCGCAGTGCGTCCGATACCCATGACTTTCGCTTCCGTACCTTGCTGACATACCCCGCTCAGGACGAGCTCGCGATGGTGCAAGACTCTGTCTCGAATCCTATGATTGGGAAGATGAGGATGCAGTTCTGGAGGGATGCAGTGAAGGCCATGTCAGATGTGCGCACGTTTTGAAAAAACTAGGCTCCGGATGTTCGTAACTTTCCGTCGTAGGGCAGACCGCCACATCATCCAATCGCGTTGGCGTTATATGAGACGGCGCGGACATCTAATCTTGCATCGTATCATTTGAAGAGAATAGTAGACGCTCGGGTACGTCTGCTATGAATACGATCTGAAAAGGTTTCGCTGACAGAATGCTCGAACCAGGACGCTGAACTCGATGCACCGGCTCATTTGACGATGGATACACTTACAGCACACGCCGAGTCCACTTCCTCGACCCTTTTCTACCTGCTCCTGTCGCACCTCGGCCTATCCTCAGAAACCTACTCACATGCTGCTTCTCACCTGGGTGTGGCACAATCGCTGACAACCCTTCTCCGCGCATTCCCCTACCACGTCTCCAAAAACCGAATGGTCATCCCGGCAGAAATCACAGCAAGGCACCGCGTCAACCAGGAGGAAGTGTTTCGAAAGGGCCCAGCAGCCGAAGGGATCGACAGTGCGGTGTTCGAGTTCGCGACAGCGGCGAACGACCACTTGATCACGGCTCGCGAGATGTTCAAGGAGATGGAAGGAAAGGTGCCACGGGTGGCGATGCCTGTGTTCGCCGGCGGGGTGCGTCTCTTTGATTTTTTTTTTTGCGAGATCGGAGTGATGCGCGTCCTCGGTGGTGATCATTTTTCTGATTGGGCTGGACAGATTCCGGTGGCATCGTTCCTGGAGCGTCTGGAGAAGGCGAATTTTGATGCATTCCACCCGGGACTGCGGGTGCGCGACTGGAGGCTTCCGTGGCGAGTGTGGCGTAGTTATTATAAGTGTACGTTTTGAGCAACACTGAAGACACTTTGTTTCCTTTTCCTTTGACTGGGTACCCCCTTGAAGGCAGTTCCTTTGACTAGTACCCCTTCAGGCTCTTGAGTGGATGTGGAGAAGAAGCGGCAAGTGGCAGGAAGTGGCAGCGCACGCGAGCGACGGTCGGAAGCGGATCTGAATCGGGCGTGGCTTCGTGACGCGCGAGGGGTTTATATACCTGGCCGGTTGCCCAGCCGCCGCCCTTCATCTTCACGCTTGTCCCTCGCTCTCCACCGCCCTCGACCGTCCCGCCGTCGTCGCCGTCGTCGTTATCGTACAAAGCTTCTTTTTAAAACGGCCGTTGTAGCATACAAGTCTCTTTTAACGACATCTGCGGCCTCATGGACCGCCTATGTGGTCCGTGCCTCACCCCCGCTCTTCCTCTCCCAGCGCTCCCTTTGACCTCTTTCATATTTTCTTTCAGACGACATTATTCAGCTCATATTTAATGAACTCGACCATCCTGCGTGCTTCGCCGTCACCTCTAAACGCTACTTCCAGCTCTCCAAAGACCCATACGTCCGCGCGCATTACTTCCTCTCTCGCTATGGGAAAATTCAGGCGTTCTTCTGGGCTTTGGGTCGAGGGAAACTGCTGAACGAGAGGGTCATCGACGTGCGTTTTTTTTTACTGTTCTGTCATGCCATCGTTCTCATCTGTGTCGCCCACAAATCGACGATGCAGATACTCCTATCCAGCGGCGCCCACCTCTCCCGCTACCTTGTTCAGTGTGCCACGCACCATTACTTCCGCACGGCTGTCTCCTTCGTGAAAACACGATGGGTGCGCACGAACTCTCTTCCAACCTTCGCCCACTTCCTCAAGGTCGCCGCCGAACGATTAGGCGACGTCCCGATCTCAAAGGGCGCTATGGACGATGGCGCTATTTTTGCGGCTTTCATTCACGAAAGCAGGTTGCCCATCAATCTGAGACCTACGAAGTGGGAGACCGTTATGGAGATATTTGAGAAGTATAAGGTGCGTGTATGCGTTTGTGTTTGTGTTCTCATGCTCACACTCATTCCGACTTGCGCTGCCGTAGTTTATCCCTTTCAGTCCGAAGGTGAGTCGTTATATGCGACTGCATATGTGTTGCTGTCCTTATACTCGATTACAGGACCCTCTCATGGCCCAATTCCCCCTCGCACTTTCTATTGAGCCTCGATTGCTTCCACCGGCCGTGGCAAACGGCTTTCACATGGACGACAAAGTACGCATATATTCAGACCCTCGGCTTCTTGACCATCTCTGACTAGGCATCCAGTATCGAGACTTCATCTTCCGCAAGATGTTCGAGAAGAATTCTAGTGGGCAGAACAGGGTGGAGGACATCCTCCACAATGTCAGACAACTATGCCTTCTGGACTCATCGTGCGAACTGTTCATTCTCTCATCTATTGGTCATGTGTTCATAATGTCGGAATCCCTATAGCATGTTCATCAGTCGTACTGTGGCAGCGGAGGTCTGTATGGAGGGGCAGAGCAACGAGCCTGCATACAAGGCATTGAAGAGTTTGGATCGCAAGGGTGATTTACGGTTTGAACTATCGTATGTGAAGAGTTTCTGGTTCATTGGGTGTATTTGCTTACGTTGTTCGTTATTAGGATTGTTGTAGAGGAGCTCATCAAGGCACGTCACACCATGGTTCAGTCACAGGTCTTCGTCGAATACTAACGTCACTTCCCACAGCTCTTCGCTAACACTCGCTCAGTAACTACCACTTCCACCGGAAACGCCCTTCGTCATCTCTTCGTCGACTTTCCTAGCAAGGATCCAACAGTTCGCGTCGTCATGATCCTGACAGCACTCTTCTCTGCTCGGACCGATCTCTCTCAGGCGCAACTACATAACCTGTTCACGAGCTATAAGCTCGCCCCGCTATGTAAGCGCGATGTGCTCAACGTGCTGCTCAACCCGTTCGTAGAGCAGTTCTGGTCACTGTACAAGTATGCGCAACTTCATGTCGAGGATCTGGATTCGCCTTCCGAGCTACTGGAAGAGGTTATCGAGAAGTCCCTGGCCATCACTTGTAAGGTTCGTGGGATTGTGCTGTCATTCTCCGTCCTCGGCGCAGTTTCACCTATAAATGTGTACACTTTATTTGACAGGGTAATCTGTTGGCGGATATTCTGAAGAAACGGCCACAGGCGGAAAAGATCATCGCCAATGCGGTCATGAAGCACTATTCGGTGGTACTGGATAGTCTGCCGGAACGAGACAGTGACGAGAAGCCGTTTGTTGCGCCTCTTTGCCGTGACGTAGTCGCATCCATTAGGCCGGTAGACTCGTCGGTGCCACCGCCGGCTGAACAGGACGGCGAGGAGGACGAAGAGGAAGAAGACCAGTTAATGGATGAGGATGAGGAAGGTCAAGTCCCAGAGGACGGCGAGCTTCAGGTATCCCTTCCGGCAGCACAGACCGCCGATAATGGTCTGGTGTGTATATCAAAAATCACTTGTCACATGTTGAAAATGTCGTGCTCATCGTCCTCTTTCCATTTACAGGGTCATATCGGCCAGGATACGCTTTCGCATATGATTCGTCTGGACGAGATGGTTATTCCTCGTCGGCGGCGTTATTCCTTCCACTACCATAATCATAACTTTTATGACTATACCTCCAGGCTTCGGTATCCCGCAGGTATGCTTGTATCACACTCCTCGACTGAGTCGGTCGTTAAGACTCTGTATCAGATTACGTTCCGGTCGGGCGCTGGATCCGTACTCATTTTGGTCCTCGTCATCCTGTTACGACGGTATTCATGATGAACGCTGTCATTAACGATAATTATTCGGTGCGTCTAGATATAATCTTCACATAGTGCATCTAATAACGTCTTGTCACAACACCTAGATCCTGACGCACTACCTACATGATACTGAACGAGTCGCTTCCTCTGTCCCGGTGACTCTGAAACACTTCCAGCTCCTCGCCCGCCTTGGTCGTCCTCCCGTGAGTGCTTAAATGCCTGACTTGAGGACCTACAACCGCTCATTTGAACATATGTAGAGCTTCTTGCTCTTCCAAGCCATCCGCACAGGTGCCCAGTTCTATGCCAGTGAAGACGATTTCTTGCCTTCCGATGTTAAAGTCAAGAAAGAAACCACCCCGAGCACTGACATCGTAACCTCCGCTTCTACACCCATCGCTTCCTCCTCTTCTGCGTCCTCTCGTACTCCGAGCAAACGACCGCGCAGACCGCGTCGTTCAGCAGCCTCGGCCGTCAAGTCGTATGTCGTTCCGGACTCGGACGACGAGGCGATCGCGGAAGAGCAAGTGGGTGAGAACGTCGAGACGTCTGGGTCGCACCCTGGTAATAAGAAACGGGTGGTGGAGACGAGCTTGCAGAAGTGGATCAGGCATTTGACGGCGTTGCAGAAGGGGGAGATTAAGAAGTATAATGAGGAGAAGAAGCAGATACATAAGCTGGCGGCGCCGGGTCCTAAGTTGCGTGTACCCAAGGTTCGTGATATTTCTCTCATTTCGTTCCGGCGCTTTTGTGTGCTAATTGACGGTTCTTGTAACGTGATGAATATGAAGAGCGAGTTTTTGAAGTCGCTGTCGTCGGGCCTGAGAGATTTGCGTCATACGGAGGCTGCGACACGGTCGGAGCTCCAGGGTAGCGAGTCGAATGAGCACGATCTCAGCGATGACGATGATGAGGAGTATCAGTCTCGTGCTCGACCGGCCAAGAGGAGGAAGGTCACTCATCATGGGGACTGATCGAGGATCGGAGACCTTTATTCCCCCTTTTTCCCTTTCTGCATGTTATACTCGTGCCTTCCAGATTCGTCTGCATTGACCATTGACCATTCATTGTTCGCACTTCCCCTGCATCGCCATCACCATCATCTCAATGGACTGAAAGATTCAACACGACCCCCCACCCCCATTTTTTTTATTTGCACGTACGAGCCAGTCCCAGAGCTATGTGAACTTCCGATTCTCAATTCCCGATCGTTGTACCCTGCCTTTATTCATTCGTCGTAATGCCTTTTTTATTTATTCGATTCGATGATTCTCGATTCTTTGTTGTTTTTCGAATTCAGCGTGGACGCACGGCGTTCTTCCCTGGTGTATCCTGATTCCTTGTCGTTGTTCTGCATTTGTCCTTGCCCGGTTCTGTGTTTCTTTTTTTTCTCGTTTCTCTGCCTGCCCTCCTTCCTCGACTGCGTCAGTGTTCGTTGCCTTGCCCATTGTTCCACCATTCATTCATACATCATTGTTATCAGCATTTCCCCCTCCTCTCCCCTCTTCTCTCCCCACTCCTGTCCTCCCCTTTCCCCTCCCCTCTCTCCTCCCCTTTTCCCTCCACTCTCTCCTCCCCACTCTCTCGTCCCCACACTCCTCCTCTTCCCCTGTCCCCTGCATCGGTTCTCGGATATAGATTCCCTCGTGATTATCCCTCTATCATACGTGTACCCTTTTTTTCTTCTGATTCAATGCCTCGCCTCATCGGAGCGTATACAAACCCTTTACTTAGTGAATAACTTACGTAGTTGGCTGGCTCTGTTTTCTTTTTCTTCTAATGGGTTAGTTAATAATGCATTATGCAGTAGTGATGCCGGGAGTGTTTAACACTGCCGTTGTGGAATGTGATATGTACGAGAGTACGAGAGCCACAGTTTGGTTCGAAGAAGTGCCACCGCGGATGTTGCCGGCTGAGCGCTAAGGAACGAGCGCAAGGGCAGGAGCAGGCCATGGGCTTTGTTCCTGCTCGACATCGACGACTTTGATACTCTAGGTAGGTACACAATATCAAACATAGCTACAGCCCTCATAATTTTACAATCTTGATCAGTATGGCTCGACTGAAGTACTCACTGACAGATCTTACCCTAGCCCAGCGAAAACATTCGCAGGATCAATGGAGGTTCAACTCGAACAAAGCGAATTCAATCTCACTCTTCCCAACGAACTGTGGATCCGCATACTCCGCTTCGCTACGTTTGTTTGCGGCAGCCTAGATGTGGACCATGATGATCCCTTTGACCACGATGCCAACCTGTGGAATACTGCCATCGAACCCCGAGTCGACACTATCTTCCCCGAGATCAGGCGCTCGAATGCCCGCAAGCTTCGGTTCATGCTTGTTTGCAGGTTGTGGCACGATATAGTGCAGCCTTTCCTCTACGAGACGCTCTACATCGCGCGCGACGAGGACTGTGCCATATTGGCTCCCACTCTAATTGCTTCAGAATCTGGTAATGTTCCCGACAAACGGCCGTTGGGCGTATGGACACGGCGACTAGACTTGTCATTTCCCTGCTTCGATGCTCAGGACGTCGCGAAGTTCGCCCCCATCCTCTCCTGCTTGCCCAATCTCGATATTTTAACGATCCATTTCACCCAAGATCGCGGACCAGGATTTTGCCTCTGCGCGGAATTATGGGAGCTACTTACCCTCACCTGCGGCAAGTCATTGCTGCGCTTGAATTCCAACAACCCAGACTCCGATCCTTGGTTGACGGCAGCTTCTGTCCTCTCCGCAAAGATTGCATTTTCCCAGACAGCCAACCGTCTGAGGACAGTGAACCAAGGTCTATGCTTTACAACCAATGGAGGCTGTGTGTTTTGTTTGCACGGTCTTCCTCAACTGTTGTCGTGTCTAACCCCTTTCGAGTTCCCCGATCCGTGCTCTTGCCCAAAAGACCCTAGTATTCCTCCTTACCCAGCCCTCACCACCGCTTTTATAAACAGACTCACTGGAACAGCAAAGTCCAATGTGCTCGACCTATTAGCTGTACAAGGTCCTATTTTGACCACACTCGTTTTGCCACATATTCAGCCGTCGAGATATGCCATGCTTCTAGATTGTATTGGGCGAAATACCCCAAATCTTACTCGCATCATTGTTGGGATATACTGGAGAGAAGATTACTCCAACGATGCGGAAACCGCTCGTCACTTCGCTCATCACATCCCCGCCACCCTCACCCACCTCGGCATCATCCTCAGCAATGATAATGATATAGCCTATGGTCTTCGCTGTCTCACCCCAGAGGATATGATTTGCTGGCTCGCCAGTTCTGAATTAGAGAAACGTCCTGCGCCCCTTGAGCTCAAACTTGTACGCTTCTTCGATCCGGAGCGCTTCCCGCTCTCACCGCCCAGAGATCGGACACCAGACCTTGTAGAGGCCGACTCACGGTTTGGTGTCGCCCTTCAGTACCTGGAGAAACATGGCATTCGCGTAGAAGGGTTTGATGGACAGGAGATCAAGTGTGCTGATTGACTGGACTTTTGGTGAGTGGGTGAGTCAAGTCGCTCTCTCGTGAGAGAGATGCTGACCATCCCCCAGACAGCAACTATCACCAGCGTATATTACGGTCGTCTGTGTTTGCCTTGGAGGCATTCTGTGCCTTGGAATATCGGTCGCTTTTATTGGGCTTGGTGACTGTACAGTTCAGAGCATCATGGCAGACGGCGGTCGAAGGTGTTTGGGTTACTAGATCGTCATGATTCCGTTTTCATGTGTGTGCGTTTATGCGAGTTGTACTTTATCCGGTCAAGAACCAGCGTATATACGATTGTTATGGCTGGCTACCAGATCATTAGGATGTGGGTACCGTAGTAGTTATGATATTAATGAGAGCCAAATTCTGCCACATTTGAGTTCAAATAAGTGCCACGCGGGTGTTGCCGGCCGGGCGTTGAGAAGGTCAAGAGCGTTGGTTACGAAGTTAGGGGTTCCTGCTCGACGTCGACGACTTTGATACTCTAGGTAGGTACACAATAACAAACGTAGCCATGACTCTCATAATTTTGCGATCTTGACCATCATGGTTCGACTGAAGTACTCACTGACGGATCTTACCCTAGCCCAGCGAAAATATTCGCAGGCTCAATGGAGGTTCAACTCGAACAAAGCGAATTCAATCTCACCCTTCCCAACGAACTGTGGGTCCGCATACTCCGTTTTGCTACATTTGTCTGCGGCAGCCTAGACGTCGACCACGACGATCCCTTTGACCACAATGCCAACCTGTGGAATACTGCCATCGAACCCCGAGTCGACGCTATCTTCCCCGAGATCAGGCGCTCGAATGCGCGCAAGCTTCGGTTCATGCTTGTTTGCAGGTTGTGGCACGATATATTGCAGCCTTTCCTCTACGAGACGCTCTACATCGCGCGCGATGAGGACTGTGCCACATTGGCCCACACGCTGAAGAGCGCCAAAATTGCTTCAGAATCTAGTGATGATCCCGACAAACGGCCTTCGGGAGCAAGGACACGGCGACTGGACTTGTCAATGCCCCGCTTCACTGACCAGGACATCGCTAATCTCGCCCCCATCCTCGCCTGTTTACCCAATCTCGAGATTTTGACGATCCATTTTTCCCAGAAGTTCAGCACGGAGCACCGCTTCTGTGCGGAATTCTGGGAGCTGCTTACCCTCACCTGCGGCAAGTCATTGTTGCGATTGAATTCCAACAGCCTAGAATTCTTTCCTTGGTTGACGGAAAGTGATGTCGGCTCCGCACAGGTTGGATTTTCCCAGACAACCAACCGTCTGAGGACAGTGACCCAAGGTCTATGCTTTACTACCGAGAGAGGCTGTGTGTTTTGTTCGCACAGTCTTCGCCGACTGGCGTCGTGCCTAACTATTCCCACCTTACCCACCCACTGCTCTTGCCCGAAAGACCGTAGCAGTCCTCCTTACCCTGCCCTCACCACCGCTTGTATAAATGCTTTCACTTCACGCGGAAAGCCCATCATGATCGACCTCTTAGCTGTACAAGGTGCTACTTTGACCACACTCGTTTTGCCATATATCCATGCATCGAGGCATCCCACGCTCCTAGATGGTATGGGGCTGGAAAATTGCCCAAATCTTACTCGTGCCATCGTTGGAATACACTGGGCAAAAGATCACAACGAACATTCATATGCGGAGGACGCTCGTCGCTTCGCTCGCCACTTTGCTCATAACATCCCCCCCCACCCTCACCCACCTCGGCATCATCCTCAGCAATCACAGTAATGATATAGCCTATAGTCTTCGCAGGACGAAGCGGCTCACCCCAGAGGACATGATTTGCTGGCTCGCCAGTTCTGAATTAGAGAAACGTC